TGAAGAAATACGTGTACAAAACCTATGGGGAAAAATGCATCTTTAATGTGAAGTAACCTTACACCTGATGATGTCAGGATCACGAACTTCTTCTAGGACCATCTGTGGGTGGTAGTCTAAGTGTGTACCAGGTCTAACGTCGATCGCATAATTTACAAAAGTGCCAAAGTGGAGTTTTTAAAACGTGTACAAAACCTACGGGGAAAAATCCATCTTTAATGTGACGTAACCCGACACCTGATGACGTCACGGTCACGAATTTCTTCTAGGACCATCTGTGGGTGGTGGTCTAAGTATGAATTAGGTTTAAAGTCGATCGGATTTACGAAGATGCCAAACTGGAGTGTTTTAAAACGTGTACAAAACATATGGGGAAAATGCATCTTCAATGTAACGTAACCTGACACCTGATGACGTCACGATCACAAATTTCTTCTAGGACCATCTGTGGGTGGTGGTCTAAGTATGTACCAAGTCTGAAATCAATCGGATTATAAAAAGTGGCAAAGTGGACTGGTGGAAGAAACGTGTGTTAAACCTATGGAGAAAAAGTCTGAAAAAGGAGAAGAAAAAAAAGGAAAAACTAGAAATGTGTTTGTGGACAAACACAAGCTGTTTCGGATATTTGAAATACTCTATGCACGTGATGAAAACTTGATGAAGTCACTTCGAATGTCATCTGCCAAGTGAAAAGTCAATCAGACATACAGTGCCAAAGTATGATTTGAAGAAAACATGTACAAACCCTATGGGGAAAAATGCATCTTTAATGTGAAGTAACCTTACACCTGATGATGTCACAATCACGAATTTCTTCTAGGACCATCTGTAGGTGGTAGTCTAAGTGTGTACCAAGTCTAACGTCGATCGGATTTACGAAAGTGCCAAAGTGGAGTGTTTTATAACGTGTACAAACCCTATGGGGAAAAATGCATCTTTAATGTGACGTAACCCAACACCTGATGACGTCACGATCACAAATTTCTTCTAGGACCATCTGTGGGTGGTAGTCTAAGTGTGTACCAAGTCTGACGTCGATCGGATTTACAAAAGTGCCAAAGTGGAGGGTTTTATAACGTGTACAAACCCTATGGGGAAAAATGCATCTTTAATGTGACGTAACCCAACACCAGATGACGTCACGATCACAAATTTCTTCTAGAACCATCTGTGGGTGGTGGTCTAAGTATGTATCAAGTCTGAGGTTGATCGGATTTACGAAGAGGCCAGAGTGGAGTGTTTTAAAACGTGTACAAAACATATGGGGAAAAACGCATCTTTAATGTGACGTAACCCGACACCTGATGACGTCACGGTCACGAATTTCTTCTAGGACCATCTGTGGGTGGTGGTCTAAGTATGTATCAAGTCTGAAATCAATCGGATTTGAAAAAGTGGCAAAGTGGACTGGTGGAAGAAACGTGTGTTAAACCTATGGAGAAAAAGGCTGAAAAAGGAGAAAAAAAAAACTAGAAATGTGTTTGTGGACAAACACAAGCTGTTTCGGATATTTGAAATACTCTGTGCACGTTATGAACACTTGATGAAGTCACTTCGAATGTCATCTGCCAAGAGAAAAGTCAATCAGACATATAGTGCCAAAGTATGATTTGAAGAAAAACGTGTACAAACCCTAGGGGAAAAATGCATCTTTAATGTGAAGTAACCTTACACCTGATGACGTCACGATCACAAATTTCTTCTAGGACCATCTGTAGGTGGTAGTCGAAGTGTGTACGAAGTCTAATGTCGATCGGACTTACGAAAGTGCCAAAGTAGAATGTTTTAAAACGTGTACAAACCCTATGGGGAAAAATGCATCTTTAATGTGACGTAACCCAACACCTGATGACATCACGATCACAAATTTCTTCTAGGACCATCTGTGGGTGGTAGTCTAAGTGTGTACCAAGTCTGACGTCGATCGGATTTACAAAAGTGCTAAAGTGGAGTGTTTTATAACGTGTACAAACCCTATGGGGAAAAATGCATCTTTAATGTGACGTAACCCAACACCAGATAACGTCACAATCACAAATTTCTTCTAGAACCATCTGTGGGTGGTGGTCTAAAAATGTATCAAGTCTGAGGTCGATCGGATTTACGAAGAGGCCAAAGTGGAGTGTTTTAAAACGTGTACAAAACATATGGGGAAAAAAGCATCTTTAATGTGACGTAACCTGACACATGATGAGGTCACGGTCACGAATTTCTTCTAGGACCATCTGTGGGTGGTGGTCTAAGTATGTATCAAGTCTGAAATCAATCGGATTTGAAAAAGTGGCAAAGTGGACTGGTGGAAAAAAAGGAGAAGAAAAAAAAAGAAAAAAAAATCTTAACGAAAACAAGAGCTGTTTCGGTGTGTACACCGAAACAGCTAAAAAAAAAAAAAAAATCTTAACGAAAACAAGAGCTGTTTCGGTGTGTCACCGAAACAGCTAAAAAGAAAAAACTAGAAATGTGTTTGTGGACAAACACAATCTGTTTCGGATATTTGAAATACTCTGAGCACGGGATGAACAATCAGTGACGTCACTATAAATGTCATCTATAACAGCACATTATACTATGTACATGTCAAGTCACAACCAAATCGAACATTTTAGTTTTGTAGATATAGACCTATAAAAGAATAAAATGCCCCTTTAAGGGACTTCACATGACATTGGATGATGATGTCGCTTCAATTTCCATCTATAACACATCCATGTGAATATGCATACCAAGTTTTAACCCAATCAGACTTGTACTTCCGAAGTTCAGTTTAAAGAAAAACGTGTACAAAACCAATAGGGAAACAATGCATCTTTAATGTGATGTAACCTAACACCTCATGACGCCACGATGACGAATTTCTTCTTGGACCATAAATGGGTAGTGGTCTAAGTGTGTACCAAGTATAAAGTTGATCAATTTTACGAAAGTGCCAAAGTGGAGCGTTTTAAAACGTGTGAAAAACCTATGGGGAAAATGTGCATCTTTAATGTGAAGTAACGTGACACCTTATGATGTCACGATCACGAATTTCTTCAAGGACAATCTGTGGGTGATGGTCTAAGTGTGTACCAAGTGTAACGTCGATCAGGTTTACGAAAGTGCCAAAATGGAGCGTTATAAAACCTGTACAAACCCTATGGTGAAAAATGCATCTTTAATGTGACGTAACCTGACACTTGATGACGTCATGATCACGAATTTCGTCTAGGACCATCTGTGGGTGGTGGTCTAAGTATGGAATAAGTTTAAAGTCGATCGGGTGTACGAAGATGCCAAACTGGAGTGTTTTAAAACGTGTACAAAACATATGGGGAAAAATGCATCTTTAATGTGTCGTAACCTGACACCTGATGACGTCACGATCACAAATTTCTTCTAGGACCATCTGTGGGTAGTGGTCTAAGTATGTATCGAGTCTAGGGTTGATCGGATTCACGAAGAGGCCAAAGTGGAGTGTTTTAAAACGTGTACAAAACATATGGGGAAAAATGCATCTCTAATGTGACGTAACCCGACACCTGATGACGTCACGGTCACGAATTACTTCTAGGACCATTTGTGGGTGGTGGTCTAAGTATGTACCAAGTTTGAAATCAATCGGATTTAAAAAAGTGGCAAAGTGGACTGGTGGAAGAAACGTGAGTTAAACCTATGGAGAAAAAGTCTGAAAAAGGAGAAAAAAAAAACTAGAAATGTGTTTGTGGAGTCTGAAAGTCTGAAATCAATCGGATTTGAAAAAGTGGCAAAGTGGATTGGTGGAAGAAACGTGTGTTTAACCTATGGAGAAAAAGTCTGAAAAAGGAGAGAGAAAAAAAAAAGCTAGAGATGTGTTTGTGGACAAACACAAGCTGTTTCGGATATTCGATATACTCTATGCACGTGATGAACAATCATTGACGTCACTAAAAATGTCATCTATAACAGCACATTATACGTACATGTCAAGTTATAACCAAATCGAACATATAGGTCTGTAAATATAGGCCTATAAAGAACAAAATGCCCCTTTAAGGGACTTCACATGACATTTGATGATGACATCACATGAATTTTCATCTATAACCCATCTCGGCATTGGTACGATCACGAATTTCTTCTAGGACCATCTGTGGGTGGTAGTCTAAGTGTGTACCAGGTCTAACGTCGATCGCATAATTTACAAAAGTGCCAATGTAGAGTGTTTTAAAACGTGTACAAAACATATGGGCAAAAATGCATCTTTAATGTGACGTAACCTGACACTTGATGACGTCACGATCACGAATTTCGTCTAGAACCATCTGTGGGTGGTGGTCTAGGTATGAATTAAGTTTAAAGTCGATCGGATTTACGAAGATGCCAAACTGGAGTGTTTTAAAACGTGTACAAAACATATGGGGAAAAAATGCATCTTTAATGTGACGTAATCTGACACCTGATGACGTCACGATCACAAATTTCTTTTAGGACCATCTGTGGGTGGTGTTCTAAGTATGTACCAAGTCTCAAATCAATCGGATTAAAAAAAGTGGCAAAGTGTACTGGTGGAAGAAACGTGTGTTAAACCTATGGAGAAAAAGTCTGAAAAAGGAGAAAAAAAAATCTTAACGACAACAAGAGCTGTTTCGGTGAGTCACCGAAACAGCTAAAAAAAAAAAAAAAAAAAATCTTAACGAAAACAAGAGCTGTTTCGGTGTGTCACCGAAACAGCTAAAGGCGGTGTGTCACCGAAACAGCTAAAAAAGACAAAAAAAATCTTAACGAAAACAAGAGCTGTTGCGGTGTGTACACCGAAACAGCTAAAAAAATCTTAACGAAAACAAGACCTGTTTCGGTGTGTCACCAAAACAGTTAAAAAAAACTTTAACGAAAACAATAGCTGTTTCGGCAGTTGCCGAAACAGCTAATGAAAACAAAATGGGCTGACCTTGTCTTGTTTCTGAGATATTTGGTAAACCTTTTCCATTTCCACCTATTTTATAGTGTATTTATTTTGTTCCTCTAAACATATAAACAGTTAAGTGGGCAGCAACACAAAGCTGATGGCCAAGTGTATAGAATACGTCTGCGTTGTCTACCAATCCCAAAGTCCAGAGAAAGACACACCCGCGGGCTTAGAGGTAAGGATCATTAAGTGCTTTCCATGCATTCTGTTCGTGTTCAGTAATAACGCCACTCACAATACAGAGAAGAATGTTCAAAGCCTGACCCTTTTTAAGTTCAAGCTCGGTGAATATTACACTTTTTGAGAAAACAGAGTGCATCCGTATACAACCTTTTGATACATGAAACATGATTTTGTCTACTGTTTCATTTCCGAAAAAAAATCAATCAATTGACTTCAATTGACTGATCGTTGCAAATCACCTATGCCTACTTGTCTTGAAATGACAGCAAGCTAGATGGAACAATTTCACAGGGTGGTTAGGCTAGTAGCAGTAGGGCCTACGATTTTTAATCCTGTTCTTAGCTTTTTTGATAGTAAATGGGTAGGTGACTTTTTTTAATAAAAGCAGTGGGCACCTTTAAAGGCAGGAAATAGCCTACGTGGCTACTGCAGTAGTGGATTATTCACGTAAGCCTCAAAACATCCTACTTTAAAGTGTTTCACTTTGTCATTTGGTCTTGTACAAACGACGGTCCTACATCCCTGCATGGTCCAGCACGTTCTAGGTTTGACATGACACGCCCTCAACCTCCGTTGGTTTTAGCTCCATGGTCACGCCCTTCTAAACCAACGGCTGCGCTTGCGTATGATTTTGTATGCCGATTGTTAGTGACTCAAATTATCCTTTTTCCCAACCGTACATATGAATCGAAAAATCAACTCTGAATGAAATATGTATTTACCAGTGGCGTCCGGAGTTGTTAGTGGAGAAAGGCAAGTGCTAGACCCACACTTTCCAATGCAGATTGTACCGCTATCTAATCGAACACAGCGCCCAAGCAGCAATTTAAGCACAGTTGATCACCCCAATACTAAACGTACATACCTCCCGCACCGTAGTGGATTCACAGCTAACCTATACCTTTATACCAGCGCAGCTTTGATAACCTTTTGGTTAATGATTAAAATAATTCATGTTCATCGTAATTGTGCGCACGCAAGGGTGTTTATTAAAGGACATTTTCGTCACAATCCTGTGTTTCCCCTAAAAGAATATCCGCAACATTGAACAGACCAAAAGACCAAAAGGTCAAAATGGAATGTATTCTGTACAATAACCGGGATATGCGAGTTTCCAAGCAACACGAGTAGGCCTATGACTTGTACTCATCACCGCCATATTTGTTTTCCTAATTGAGTCATTCTAATTTGGGGTCCACTTTCTTTTCTGTCCACGTTACATCATGGAAAACTATAGTTTTAGGATTCTGGTGCACTCCTATAGTTCAGTCGGAAAAGGGGGGTATCGTGCACCCTCGGAAATCAATTTCTAATCAACGTTTCTATGTCAGAAAAAAATGCGTAGAAAACGATTTGCTATGTTAAAAAATTCAAAAAATGTCCCACGAATTGTTTTTATGCAAATTAGTGCCGCCATTACCGAAAAATCTATTTTGAATTATATCTCAGCCAATATTGCAGATAACTGAACGAACTAGGTGTCTAAACCCATGTTTTCAAGGTCAGAGATCACAATAAAACTATTCTGGAAGTGACCACTTGTGTCTGTGGCATAGGAATATGCAAATTAGTGCTGCAAATACCGGAAAGTCATGTTTTTGGCATATAGCGGCCAATATAGCACATAACTACACCAGTAAGGTGTCTAAACCAATGTGTTGAGGGTCAGGTATCATTAAAGGATCATTCACGAAGTAACTATGTGTGTCTTTGGCAGAAAATATGTAAATTATTAAGTGTCAGTTTATCAGATATTTGATTTTTAGCCAATATCTCGGCCAATATTGCAAATAACTACACAAGTAAGGTGTCTAAACCCATGTGTTGAGGGTCAAGTATCATTAAAGGATCATTCACGAATTAACTATGTGTGCCCTTGGCAGGTAAATATGTAAATTCTAAAGTGTCAATTTATCAGAAATTGGATTTTTAGCCAATATCTTCGCCAATATTGCAGCTTATGTTGACAGAAAGGTTTTTGATAAGTAATAATTATCACAGTTTATTTTAAGCCATCATATTCAAAATAAACTGTACTATTGGCTGAAAATGAATATAATATTGGCTGAAAATCAATTTTTTGATAAACCGGCAAATTAAAATTTACATATTTTCATGCCAAAGACACACATAGTTACTTCGTGAATGGTCTTCTAATTATACCTGACCCTCAAAACATGGGTTTAGACACCTTACTGGTGTAGTTATGTGTTATATTGGCCGAGATATGCCAAAAAATGATTTCCCGGTATTAGTGGCACTAATTTGCATATTCCTTTGCCACAGACACATGTGGTGACTTCCATAATAGTTTTGTTGTGATCTCTGACCTTGAAAACATGGGTTTAGACACCTAGTTCATTCAGTTATCTGCAATATTGGCTGAGATATAATTCAAAATAGATTTTTCGGTAATGGCGGCACTAATTTGCATAAAAACAATACTTGGGACATTTTTTGAATTTTTTAACATAGCAAATCGTTTTCTACGCATTTTTTCTGACCTAGACACGTTGATTAGAAATTGATTTCCGAGGGTGCACGATACCCCCCTTTTCCGACTAAACTATTACTGCAATCGACCTTCAAGAGTGATTATGAATAGTAAACTAACTATACCCAAAAAATATAAACGTTAATTTGAAGTCATTCTTAATGATACTTTAGTGTATGGCAAAATGCAGACGTACCAATTCAACAGGGACAGATAAAGGTCACACTTTGGACCCTCATTAATTGATAAGAGTGACCTCATTAATTGATTAGTCAAAACATGGGTTTTTTCCCCCTCATGTTTGCTTTTTGGACTTACTATCATGATGTTATCATTGTTTACTTGATTTTTCATATAGTTTTATTAGGGTAAGTGTGTCAGTAAGTAACGTTGTGAATTTAAAGCTCATCAAAACTGAGGTTTGGCAAGACTACTTGATGATATCTGGGGAAAAGGTAAATGCACCTATGGGGTTGGAACTCGATAAATGCATTTACATAAACAAGACTATCATATAGGTAAAGATGTGACGTCATGATGACATCATCATCATCATTACCATCACCAGCCTTATTATTATAAAACAAACTCGAGGCAAAAAATGTATTAAGTTCTTAATATCCATATCCCCACATCATTCAATTTGTTACTTTGAATCCTTAATGGCTGCGCTCTTAGCAATCAACAACATTCAGTAATCATCACACATAAGAGAGGAACGGTATTTTGCTATGATGACAAGGTTGTATTCTTCTAATTTAAAATAATTGTTACCTAGAATTGAAATCGAAGAGTTTTAATAAAAATTGTTGTGAGTGCATGGGTTATATAATGTGTTTAAAACAAATAAAACTGCAACCTTGGAGCAGGTTACATGAACCCAAAAACCTTTTCTGTCCAGACACGTAAAAGGAAACAAACTTCTCTTTCAACATTGGTCAATTATTGATAATTGCTATCATCGACCTCCCATGACAATTTTAACAGCTTACTTTGTCAATTTGAAATGATGTAAAGCCTGAAATAAATGTGCATATAAACCAATTTAGCCAAAAGACATCTGAGTACAATAACAGTTTATGAAAGAGAAACATCGATAAAGAAATAGCACAAAAAGTAAATCAAAATAAAATTCATGTTAAACATTTTCGAGAAAGATCAGCCTGGCAATTTTGGTTCATACTGTCCAACTCAAAGGTTATTTATCCAGCTCTCATGTGTGTGCCTAGTAAAAGACAGCTTTTACTTAATAAGCCTAGTTTCCGTATCGACGTTCAGCTTATCGCGCAGACTACGCAGACTGCGCAGACAGTACGCGGAACAGTCGGCTGCGAGGTAGTTTGCGTCTGTCTGAGTTGTCGGCGACACTGAGTTGCATTTCACTTTGTGTTTCTTACGTCGAAATGGAAACTAGGCTTTACACTCGTGGGCTTGCTGTTGTACAATGAACGTTCTTAAAACAAAACATTATCTAGGTATACCACAGAAATGTCGAGGTACCACAGAAACATCCAGGTACCACAGTAACATCTAGGTACTATAGAAACATTTAGGTACTACATAATTGGAAGTAAATAATTCGTTGAAAAATTACCATTGCTGAACATCATTGACTATTAAAAACAACTTTCAAGTACCTTTTCAAATTTGATACGATTGAAAAGTGAAAGCATTAGCAGCTAGCAGGGGATGTTAAAAAAATGACATTTTATGACACACAAATAGACGTTAGTATCATAATCATAACGTTTTAGAAATACAAATTCAACTTATTTCAATTCAACTTATTTCAATTCATGTTAAGCATTGTCGGGGCAAAGCTTTTTTAAGTTGGGCCCAGGACACATTACACAGTGCTTAGTACTTTTGCTCTTGGGGTGGTGGGTACTGCCCCTGGGCCGGGCCTGGGTACTGCCCCTGGGCCGGTGGTCCTGGGTACTGCCCCTGGGCCGGGCCTGGGTACTGCCCCTGAACTGGCTGAGCTGGGTTCTGTATTTGGACCTGTGCTCCCGGGTTCTGCATTCCTGGGTTGGCTACCCCACCACCACTGTAAACCTGTGCATCATTGGAGAGATAACGAATAGATCAGTGTTGTTCCTAGAGTGTTGCAGTCGAGTCCATCACAATTAAGTCCGGTCACAAGTCCTGTCACAAGTAAATCCATAGTTAGACTGTAGGAATTTGACAAAATTTAAAGGTATATGGAACATTTGCTCATTAGCGAAGGCAGAGAAAACGCTTGTACAATTTGTGGGGTCTCATAACTGGATTTCGTTGCTATAATGCTAACGCTCATAGGCCTACATGGTAAAAAAATACCCGCGGGTACATTTTCTTAAACCAACTTCAATGATTGTTCCTTCTGAATGATACCATTACACTCGGAGTAATTTGATACCAGTCCTTTCTTCACTTTCAGAGGATTTTCTTGTTAAATTGGTAGGTACGTTTCCACGTAATTGCAAATGGTCCTGCGTGCCTTAAAGGGACATTTCGGTCTGGAATGCGCAAAATTGGGCTACAAAACGCGTTTTAAACCAAACGATATTAAACAAAAAGAGCATTTAAAAGTAGAATGTAGACGTCCACACAACTATCCTTTAAAAACTGGGACATTTGTTTCATTCTTGCAAGAAACATGCGAGAATGAATTTCGGGGGTCACATTGTTTTTGTCCCCCGAAAGAGCGAGCTGTTTAGTGCTATAGTTGTGATCCAGCCGCACAGTGGTTCTTGTTCTGCGGACGTGTATAAGAAACAACGTTTTTGTATTGGTGTTGTGTGTATTATGTACCACACACAACGTGTAGCGTACATTGAATAGACACGACTTGAAATACGTACAGTATTTTGCAGTGTAGCTGCACTGTATTGTAAACGAACTGAACTAATAAATTTGAGCAATACGAAGCTTTTGGTGAACTAGAAAAGTTTTTCAAAAAAAACCTTTTTGAGGTGCATACTGCAACGAAAAAAAAATTGGCGCTGAATATGTGAGGTATAGTAAAACAAATATAACATGGTTTGAGGGTGGACAGCCAATATAAGCTCCCCTCGGTATTCCCGAGGCGAAGCCGAGGGAACTAGTTTGTCAACTTCCAATACCTCGGGGAGCGAATATCGACGGTCCACTCTCAAACCATGTTATATTTGTATAGTGCTTTATAGGACTTTGACTGACTCGAACTGTTCCCCGCCATAGAGTGACTTTCCCGCCACCGCGCACTGCTTTATATAGCCGCGTGGTATGCATGCGTCACGGCATATATGAATATATTATATACAAGAGGGCGTCCTAACTTAGGGCCATAATTTCTCTACATTATGTTTGCGACGCTAATGATTGTATGTTACATGTTTGTGTAGTGCAATATTAACGTACCCCGCTGACGCAGGTAATGTCGCGGTTTGGTTTCGTTTTTCAAGCCCCAATGTGAGGATTTTAGTCATAGAGATTGGTTTTTAACCAATGCGGGGGGGGGGGGGGTTGGAGGGGAATCAGCTGATATGTACATAACCGCGACCAACATGACTTACCACAGTGCGAGCCTGCCTTGCAGTAGGTTTCTGGGTGATGCGCGCGGAGTACACAGTCCCAACGATACACAGTGAGAGCTCTAAGAGAGCGAGTAGAATGATAATGACGTCTAGAGCCACATCACCGACGTACTGCTCGGAACACAAACACACAAAACACAATACAGGGTGAGTCCAAAAAAAAGAGAGAAGGAAACCCAAATGGTACCCCCTACTTTTAAAGAAGTTCTGTCCATAGCGCATTCAAGATCTAGGATGTAAAAGCCCAATAAATATGTTTTGCTTAACAAAAGAATCGTTTATATCCCCCATGTACTTTTCAAGTTATGGACTTTAAAACTCGAACACAGTTTCGTAACTTTGTTCACGGATTAAAAAGGTAAGAGATATTTTAGCAAAAGGAAAATAATTTACACATACAAAAATTGATTAGTATCATTTTTAGTAATACCCCCTTTTTTGTTAGCATCATATAGCATACGTCACCGGCTGAACCGGGGGGGGGGAGGCCAACCCCCAACACCCATCTAGATCAGATACTTGATATTTGACCACAACTTTCCCAGATCTGTCTGCTCGACTTGAAATAATTTCAAAAACCCGTACCTGTAAATCAATTGGAAGTTCAACGGCAGAAACGTTTGATCTTTTGTTCTTATGACTTACATAATACTTCAGATACGTTAGATCCGCGTGGGTAATTATTGCACCGAAGATGATGACAATAATCGCGGCAACGATGCCAATAACGTTGAGCACCAGAGATGCGATCGCCTGTCAAAGGTGTAAAAGCATATACACGTATTTTACATACGCTAACATTTCAGCGCAGATTGCACCACAGAATGAAACATGCATAAAGTCTGTTGAATTTTGATAAAAGAACAAGAAGAATTGGAAAGAAAACTAGAGGTTTGAGTCTGTTCGACAGCATGATGATTTCTTTAATGAGTTTACACGTGAATGATAGTTTCGTGTCCGAAGTGCATCTCATGTAAAATTTTGCTAGTAGCAAAATATAAAATTTTAAGCATTTGTGACCAATCAGTCGATGACGTCATCTTGACATTATTTCCAATTTTGCACACTAGAAACAACGCTTAATTTTTGTCGAGACCGGCGTTCGAAAGTTACGCCGAACCAAATTGTTCCAAACATTTCAATTGCAGCACATAAAAATGTCGACGTTGCGTTAACTTGTTGCTAATATTTACCACTCCGCGGTTGCCAGTATTGCCCGCAATTATTCCAAGGATCCCGGCAGGAATGAAGAACTGAGGGTGAAAAAAAGTTTCCATTTTGAAGGGCATTCGGTGCGTTTTTGGTTTTTTGCTAATGCGAATTTCAATATTCATGAGCAAAAGTGTGATCTCACTTCAGGCAGAATTCTCAACGTTACAGCTATTTCAGCACCAACATTTGCTAGAATTTTGGATATTTTGATGACGTAAATGTTCTTTTCTTTGGTGATTAGTCGCTGTCAGTACACTGCAGTAAGCCTATGAGCCAAATTTTCTCACAGATGTTTTCAATGAGCATATTTTGGGATCAGAAAACCCCTAATAGTGTCGGCGTTTTTTCGCTAGGTAACATAGCTATTTTACCTAGGTTTGGGAAATCCGAAAGTGATGGACACCAAGCTGGATTGTGATTGGAAATTATGCCTAATTTGCATAAATCTTTAATACCTGTCGTGTAATATATTTGTTCCCATATTTGGGGTCGCCCCACAGGTCGGTTTAAGTACCGATTTTAGAATACTTACAAGGATACCACACCACACTGGTGCGGCGACTGCACTGTAGTAACCGGGAAAGGCGAGACCGCCGCCCCACAAAATAGGCAACAGTATTCCATCAACGATGTGAATGGCTCCGATCGTCTTCATCAAAGCTTTGTAGATGGCCATCTCGAACGTTTGAGCTCAGCACTCACCGTAATCCCAAGCTGTGTGTAAACTGCGGATTTTTCAAAACAAGACCCTATTGTTGGCAATCATTCGTCCATGAAAACAGTCCAACAGTAAAAAGCATTTGCTACCTGTTGACTAGTAAATGCTGAACAGTAAAGGAAAACTTTTATTCATAGGAAATCAAGCATTTGCTTTTCCTTAACGCTTGTACTCCAAAGTAAATGCTTTTACGTTTGGCTTAAATTTCCTAGCATTTACTAGTTTTTATTCATACGACCCATTGATTAACTGACTCACTCACTTTGAATAGTCACGCTTTAAAAAAATGGTACTTTAAAGTGTTTCACTTTTTCATTTGGTCATGCACACGCAACGGTCTTCCATTCCTGCATGGTCCTACGCGTAGGTTGGTCGCATGATCTGACACACCCTAAAGCCCGCCGCACACGAGAGTTACGTGCTGAGCAAAAAGTCATTCGAGGCCGTTTGCTCAGCACCTAGCTTATAAACTATCCCCGTGTGCGGTGAATTTGTGCAGAATTGTCTGCCTTGCAAGGCCCATGTTTGATTTCTCTCGCTTCGCGAGACGAGAAACTCAGCGTGTGCAGTCAAGTGGATCTACGTGCTGAGCTAAAAGGGTTAACTAAGCAATGAAAGCACATAACTCTTGTTTGTCGGTCGCGCGATTTAAAAAATATGGACAAACGCTAGTAGGCTTTTGAAGAGTTGCACAAAAATATCTTAAAATCACGTGTATAGAGTAGTACGGGATTTCATTGGCTAGTTCATCTTTTTAGCTCAGCACGTAGCTCAAGTTGTCCGCAAACGGTGAGTTTTTCGCCTCGCGAGGCGAAAGAAATCAATCAGGATAGATGTTTTCCTCACGGCCTCGCGAGGCAGAAAACTCAGCAAAAATTCACCGCACACGGGGATATTTCGTGAGCAACATGCTGAGCAAACGGCCTCGAGTGACTTTTTGCTTAGCACGTAGCTCTCGTGGGCGGCGGGCTTAAATCTCCTTTGTTTTAGCTCCATGAACACAGCCACGTATGATTTTACATTCCGATCGAGCTGCGTGCCCCGCTTTCATAGTGAAAAAGACTCAAAATATCCCAGGTGCCAACTGGACATAATAATGGATCAAAAAATCATCTGTAAATGAAATAGGCCTTTGTTTACCAATGGCGTCCGGAGTTGTTTGTGGAGGAATGCCAGTGCTGGACCACAACTTCCCAATGCTGGTGAAACCGCTATCTGATCGAACACAGCACCACACCAGCAATTTTGGCAAAGTTGATCGCCCCAATTCTAAACACACATACCTCCCTCACCGTAGTGGATTCTGCGTCACAGCTAACCTATACCTTTATACCAGCGCAGCTTTGATAACCTTTTGGTTAATGATTAAAATATTTCATGTTAATCGTTATTGTGCGCACGCAAGGGTGTTTAAAGGGAAGATACAACATTAGCAAACATCTCAAAACGAAATGATCAAATAATCACAAAATACCGTACTGGATAATTGTTAAATGACAGTCTAAAATGACAGTCTAAAAGCATCCTGTAAAATCGTGGCTCCTGGTGTGCCAACATTTTCAAGAAAAATTGTATTTTCCAACGTTGGTTGGCCGACCAGCGTTGGAGAAAACTGGCATTTTTTCAAAAACTGCTTGCAAACTCTTTGCTTCAAAAACTGCAAAAACTATTTGCATTTGATTACACACCTGTGAAGGGGTACAAGCCTGCTAGACTGATTCTCTGAACTTACCATTCCCCCAAAGTCTATAAATTCTCCGTTTCATCTTAAGTGGAGTTAGGGAACCAGACTACAAGAAAATGAATGATTTTCTTGGTTTTTCCAGCATCTACAAGCCCAAAACGTGAAACAAGTCATTTTAACAATTTTTGCTGTAACATACTAATCCTCCAACTTCATTTGTTTCTAAAAATTGAAGCAAAAGCAAATGTTGTACATCCCCTTTAAGGACATTTTCGTCACAATCCTGTGTTTCCCCTAAAAGAAGATCTGCAACATTACAACCGACGAAAAAGTAAAAATGCAATGTCTTCATTTCAATAAAAACCGGGATATGCGAGTTTCTAAGTAACACGAGTAGGCCTATGACTTTTACTCATCACCGCCATATTTGTTTTACTAATTGAGTCATTCTAATTTGGGGTCCACTTTCTTTTCTGTCCACGTTACATCATGGAAAACTATAGTTTTAGGATTCTGGTGCACTCCTTACTGCAATCGACCTTCCAGAGTGATTATGAATAGTAAACTACCTATACCCAAAAAATATCAACGTTAATTTGAAGTCATTCTTAAGGATACTTTAGTGAAAGCAAGGGCGGATCCAGGGGGGGGGGCCAAAGGGGGCCATGGCCCCCCAAAACGAAATCAATTTTTTTTTTTATGTGACATCGCAATAACGGCAGGCAATGAGTACACCACCATCTTTTCCTCAAACAAAAAAACATTGGTTAAAGTGGTCAGAAATTGCCTCGGATCGCACCACAGAACATCTAGAATCCAAAAATTTTTCGGGGCCCTTATGCGGGCCCCGAACCCCACGCCGTAATTTTTTTGGACCCACTTTTTGACATCGCAATAAAGGCAGGCAATGAGTACACCAGCATCTTTTCCTTAAAAAAAAATTGGTTAAAGTGGTCAGAAATTGCCTCAGATCGCACCACAGAGCATCTAGAATCCAACAATTTTTCGGGGCCCTTATGCGGGCCCCGAACCCTACGCCGTAATTTTTTTTACCCACTTTTTGACATCGCAATAAAGGCAGGCAATGAGTACACCACCATCTTTTCCTCAAAAAAAAACATTGGTTAAAGTGGTCAGAAATTGCCTCAGATCGCACCACAGAGCATCTAGAATCCAAAAAATTTTCGGGGCCCTTATGCGGGCCCCGAACCCCACGCCGTAATTTTTTTGGACCCACTTTTTGACATCGCAATAAAGGCAGGCAATGAGTACACCACCATCTTTTCCTTAAAAAAAAAATGGTTAAATTGGTCAGAAATTGCCTCAGATCGCACCACAGAGCATCTAGAATCCAACAATATTTCGGGGCCCTTATGCGGGCCCCGAACCCTAAGCCGTATTTTTTTTTACCCACTTTTTGACATCGCAATAAAGGCAGGCAATGAGTACACCACCATCTTTTCCTCAAAAAAAAAATTGGTTAAAGTGGTCAGAAATTGCCTCAGATCGCACCACAGAGCATCTAGAATCCAAAAAAAAATTTGGGGCCCTTATGCGGGCTCCGAACCCCACGCCGTAATTTTTTTGACCCACTTTTTGACATCTCAATAAAGGCAGGCAATGAGTACACCACCATCTTTTCCTCAAAAAAAAAATGGTTAAAGTGGTCAGAAATTGCCTCAGATCGCACCACAGAGCATCTAGAATCCAACAATTTTTCGGGGCCCTTAAGCGGGCCCCGAACCCCACGCCGTAATTTTTTTGACCCACTTTTTGGGGGGACCAACAATTTTTTTTTTTTGCCCCCCCCCAAAAAAATTGTGTTCTGGATCCGCCCTTGAGTGAAAGGCAAATTGCAAAGGCAAATGGGCTGACCTTGTCTTGTTACTGAGATATTTGGTACACTTTTACCATTTCCACCTATTTTATAGTGTCTTTATTTTGTTCCTCTAAACATATAAACAGTTAAAGTGGGCAGCAACCAAAAGCTGATGGCAATGTGTATAGAATACGTTTGCGTTGTCTACCAATACAAAGTCCAGGGAGAGACACACCCGCGGGCTTAGAGGTAAGAATCGTTAAGTGCTTTCCATGCATTCTGTTCGTGTTCAGTAATAACGCCACGCACAATACAGAGAAGAATGTTCAAAGCCTGACCTTTTTTTAAGTTCAAGCTCAGTGAATTTTACACTTTTTGAGAAAACAGTGTGCATCCGTATACAACCTTTTGATACATATAACACGAATTTGTCTACTGTTTCATTTCCGAAAAAAATCAATCAATTGACTTCAATTGACTGCAATTGACTGATCGTTGCAAATTACCTAGGCCTACTTTTCTTGAAATGACAGCAAGCTAGATGGAACAATTTCACAGGGCGCTTAGGCTAGTAGCAGTAGAGCCTACGATTTTACATTCTGTTATTAGCTTTTTGATAGTAAATGGGTATAGTAAAAGCAGTGTGCACCTTTAAAGGCTGGAAATACCCTGCGTGGCTACTGCAGTAGTGGATTATTCACGTAAGCCTCAAAACATCCTACTTTAAAGTGTTTCACTTTGTCATTTGGTCTTGTATAAACGACGGTCCTACATCCCTGCATGGTCCAGCGCGTACTAGGTTGGTCGCATGACACGCCCTCAACCTCCGTTGTTTTTAGCTCCATGGTCACGCCCACTATACCAACGGCTGAGCTTGCGTATGATTTTGTATTCCGATTGTTAGTGAACAAGACTCAAATTATCCGAAGGCCAAACCGGACATATGTATCGACAAATCAACTCTGAATGAAATATGTATTTACCAGTGGCGTCCGGAGTTGTTAGTGGAGGAAGGCCAGTGCTAGACCCACACTTCCCAATGCTGATTGTACCGCTATCTAATCGAACACAGCGCCCAAGCAGCAATTTATGCACAGTTGATCACCCCAATACTAAACACACATACCTCCCGCACCCGTAGTGGATTCTGCGTCACAGCTAACCTATACCTTTATACCAGCGCAGCTTTGATAACCTTTTGGTTAATGATTAAAATAATTCATGTTAATCGTTGTTGTGCGCACGCAAGGGTGTTTATTAAAGGACATTTTCGTCACAATCCTGTGTTTCCCCTAAAAGAAGATCCGCAACATTGAACAGACCAAAAGGTCAAAATGGAATGTATTCTGTACAATAATAACCGGGATATGCGAGTTTCCAAGCAACACGAGTAGGCCTATGTCTTCTACTCATCACCGCCATATTTGTTTTCCTAATTGAGTCATTCTACTTTGGGGTCCACTTTCTTTTCTGTCCACGTTACATCATGGAAAACTATAGTTTTAGGATTCTGGTGCACTCCTTACTGCAATCGACCTTCAAGAGTGATTATGAATAGTAAACTACCTATACCCAAAAACTATAAACGTTAATTTGAAGTCATTCTTAAGGATACTTTAGCGAAAGGCAAATTGCAGACGTACCAATTTAACATGGACAGATAAAGGTCACACTTTGGACCCTCATTAATTGATTAGAATGACCTCATTAATTGATTAGTAGAAACATGGGGTTGATATGCAGGGGTGCAGTTCACTATGATAACATCTATGGGTGTATGTGTTTGTGGCTGTGCTTTTAAATTGACAGTGTTTCATAATAGTCAGGTGGCTAATGGGCGGAATCGTTACCGACTACTCCAAAGCGCCAAATTTGCAGACTTGTATTCGAGTCACCAAACATCGAGTTCAAGTCCGAGTCACCTCTCCCGAGTTCGAGTCCCGAGTCATGCAGGGAGTCGGGTCCGAGTCACGAGTCACAAAGATCGAGTCCGAGTCACGAGTCACGAATCACATATAATATGTATTGGAAGTACCCTTGAGGCTTAAAACCTCAAGTGTAAATGTTTCCATTTTTTCAGAGTTTTTCTCTAATTTATTGAACTAGAAATACATGTATTATATAACAAGTCAAATAAGGCCAGGCAGGATAGTCTGATATCAAACACTATCAAGCTTGCATTTACGCAGTGTCAAGTGTGAACGCTGGGGTACCTGATTCAGTACATTGATTTCCCAATCAATATATCGGGGAAAAACTCAGAAGCACGCGCTGTGCATGCACAATACACCTACCTAGCTGCGTTTTTTCTGCACCGCACATAGTTATCGCTCGCTCAGGAGACGATCGTCTTCAAAAAAATATATTGTTGAAATAAATAAGTGATTTTGTGTTAATTTTGGTCGAGTCCCGAATCACGCTGTTAGAATCCGAGTCCAAATTCGAGACCGCAGGGTAGAGTCCAAATCATTTGTCATCGTGACTTGAGTCCGAGTCTGAGAACGGAAAAAAAGGAACTCGAGTCACATGTCGTACAAGTCTGTAAGTTCGGCATGCATGCATGCTTTGTGTGGGGAAATCTCCCAAGAGAAAAAAAGAAAAGATGTGTCCGTAAATTGGGCTAAAACAAGGCGAAGGCTTGCCTGATGTGGGGGCTTGAATAAGTTCAGAGCAATCCCTGTCAGAAAACTGTTGGCATTGACATCAGTATAAACAACCATAATCTCTTATTTGGGGGGATTTCTTTGAACTTGTTTAAGTCCCCCATGTTAGACAACCCTTCGTCTAATTTTTAGCCCAATTTACGGGAACTCTTTTTTCTCCTCATGTTTGCTTTTTTGGACTTACTATCATGATGTTATCATTGTTCACTTGATTTTTCATATAGTTTTATTAGGGTAAGTGTGTCAGTAAGTAACTTTGTGAATTTAAAGCTCATCAATACTGAGGTTTGGCAAGACTACTTGATGATATCTGGGGGAAAAGGTAAATGCACCGATGGGGTTGGAACTCGACAAATGTATTTACATAAACAGGAATATGTTATAGGTAAAAATAATGATGTAACGTCATGATGACATCATCATCATCATTACCATTACCACCCTTATTATTGTAAAACAAACTCGAGGCAAAAAATGTATTAAGTTCTTAATATCCATATCCCCACATCATTCAATGTGTTACTTTGAATCCTTAATGGCTGCGCTCTTAGCAATCAACAACATAATAATCACACATAACAGAGGAATGGTATTTTGCTATGATGACTAGGTTGTATTCTTCTTACATAATTGTTACATAGAATTGAAAACAAAGAGTTTTAATTAAAATTGTTGTGAGTGCATGGGTTATTTAACGTGTTTAAAACAAATAAAACTGCAACCTTGGAGCAGGTTACATGAACCCAAAAACCTTTTCTGTCCAGACACGTAAAAGGAAATAAACTTCTCGTTCAACATTGGTCAATTATTGATAATTGCTATCATCGACCTCTCATAACAATTTTAACAGCTTACTTTGTGAATTTGAAATGATGTAAGCCTGAAATTAATGTGCATATCAACCAATTTAGCAAATAGACATCTGAGTACAATAACAGTTTATGAAAGAGAAACATCGATAAAGAAATAGCACAAAAAGTAAATCAGAATCAAATGCATGTTAAACATTTTCGAGAAAGATCAGCCTAGCAATTTCGGTTCATACTGTCCAACTCAAAGGTTATTTATCCAGCTCTCATGTGTGTGCCTAGTAAAAGACAGCTTTTACTTAATAAGCCTAGTTTCCGTATCGACGTTCAGCTGATCGCGCAGACTACGCAGACTGCGCAGACAGTACGCGGAACAGTCGGCTGCGAGGTAGTTTGCGTCTGTCTGAGTTGTCGGCGACACTTCCGGATGAAATGCTTCCATATGCCTGTATTGTTGGTCCTGTTTGCATTTCACTTTGTGTTTCTTACGTCGAAATGGAAACTAGGCTTTACACTCGTGGGCTTGCTGTTGTACAATGAACGTTCTTACAACAAAACATTATCTAGGTATACCACAGAAATGTCCAGGTACCACAGAAACATCCAGGTACCACAGAAACATCCAGGTACCACAGAAACATCCAGGTACCATAGAAACATTTAGGTACCATAGAAACATTAAGGTACTACATAATTGGAAGTAAACAATTCGATGAATAATTACTATTGCTGCACATCATTGACTAAAAAAACTTTCAAGTAGCTTTTCAAATTTGATACGATTGAAAGGTGAAAACATTAGCAGCTAGCACGGGATGTTAACAAATGACATTTTATCACACAAAAATAGACGTTAGCATCAAAATCATAATAAATGTTCAGTTAGAAATACAAATTTAACTTATTTCAATTCATGCTTTCGAGTTGTTATTTAAGCATTGTCGGGGCAAATCTTTTATTTAAGTTGGGCCCAGGACTCATTACTCAGTGCTTAGTACTTCTGCTCTTGGGGTGGTGGGTACTGCCCCTGGGCCGGTGGGCCTGGGTACTGCCCCTGAACTGGCTGAGCTGGGTACTGTATTTGGACCTGTGCTCCCGGGTTCTGCATTCCTGGGTTGGCTACCCCACCACCACCGTAAACCTGTGTATCATTGGAGATATGAATAATACATTAATCTTGTTCCTTGTGTTTTAGACTGTTTCCCGCCCCCCCCCCCAAAAAAAAAAAAATAAGTGTGGGGACCGGTAGCTAGCTCCTATTTAAAGCCATTGATTAGATCACCACCTATGCGCACGCATCTTGATTGTTTGTTTTCAAACCGCTGTTTAGCTCTGTGCATGCACGGTAATTGAACACATGACTATCAAAAAGCCTCACTCTTGTCTTACCACAGAAAGTACACAAAATCATCAGTGTCTCCAGGGAGGTAACTTTCAAGGATTTCAACTGCATAGGTCTTAAATACTGAACAGTAATTTCCCTCTCTATATTGATATTTGCCAGAGACACTTTCGAATTCAGCAAAAATCGAAGCTCATCACCTCGGAAACTGTGGTGCGGCCTATTGCCATTTTGCGGGCAAACATGACCGTTGTGATTTTCAATTCAGGAGGCGGGATTCAGACCTGTTTACGTCATGCATTCATTTGCATACATCGGGAGGGATGCCTCATTATGTAAGGAAGATTAACCGCTAGCTACCTGTCCTCATATTTGAAGTCCGAATGACAATGGGGACAGGGAACCAGACTAAAGTGTTGTAGTCGAGTCCATCACAAATTCCCACATTAGAAAGTCCATTGTAAATTCTTGAGCCTAAAGTCACGTCACTAGCTATTCAAACGACTGTAACAAACGCATCCCTTTGATCATTGTTCATCCCGTTACTTGTGATTGACTTATGAAAAGACTTTGTGACTGGACATAAGGATTTTGTGACTGGACTTGTGACTTGACTAGTGAAAGGACTTGTGATTGACTTATGAAGGGATTTGTGACTGGACTTGTGAAAGGATTTATGAAAGGACTTTTGACTGGACTTGTGAAAGGACTTGTGATGGACTTGTAAGAGCACTTGTGATGGACTTGTAAGAGCACTTGCGATGGACTTGTAATGGACTTGTGAAAGGACTTGTGATGGACTTGTAAAAGCACTTGTGATGGGCTTGTGAAAGGACTTGTGATGGACTTATGAAGATACTTGTGATTGACTTATGAAGGGACTTGTGACTGGACTTGTAAAAGGATTTATGAAAGGACTTGTAATGGACTTGGGAAAGGACTTGTGATGGACTTGTAAAAGGACCTGTGATTGACTTATGAAGGGACTTGTGATTGACTTATGAAGGGACTTGTGACTGGACTTGTAAAAGGATTTATGAAAGGACTTGTACTGGACTTGTGAAAGGACTTGTGATGGACTTATGAAGGGACTTGCGACTTGACTTGTAAAAGGATTTATGAAAGGACTTGTGATGGACTTGTGAAAGGACTTGTGATAGGACTTGTGATGGACTTGTGAAGGGACTTGTGATGGACTTATGAAGGGACTTGTGAGGGACTTGTGAAAGGACTTGTGATTAACTTATGAAGGGACTTGTGACTGGACTTGTAAAAGGATTTATGAAAGGACTTGTAATGGACTTGTGAAAGGACTTGTGATGGACTTATGAAGGGACTTGCGACTTGACTTGTAAAAGGATTTGTGAAAGGACTTGTGATGGACTTGTGAAAGGACTCGTGATGGACTTGTGAAAGGACTTGTGATGGACTTGTAAAAGGACCTGTGATTGACTTATGAAGGGACTTGTGACTGGACTTGTAAAAGGATTTATGAAAGGACTGGTAGTGGACTTGGGAAAGGACTTGTGATGGACTTATGAAGGGACTTGCGACTTGACTTGTAAAACGATTAATGAAAGGACTTGTGATGGACTTGTGAAAGGACTTGTGATGGACTTGTGAAGGGACTTGTGATGGACTTATGAAGGGACTTGTGAGGGACTTGTGAAAGGACTTGTGATTAACTTATGAAGGGACTTGTGACTGGACTTGTAAAAGGATTTATGAAAGGACTTGTAATGGACTTGTGAAAGGACTTGTGATGGACTTATGAAGGGACTTGCGACTTGACTTGTAAAAGGATTTGTGAAAGGACTTGTGATGGACTTGTGAAAGGACTTGTGATGGACTTGTGAAAGGACTTGTGATGGACTTGTGAAAGGACTTGTGATGGACTTGTGAAAGGACTTGTGATGGACTTGTGAAAGGACCTGTGATTGACTTATGAAGGGACTTGTGACTGGACTTGTAAAAGGATTTATGGAAGGACTTGTAGCGGACTTGGGAAAGGACTTGTGATGGACTTGTAAAAGCACTTGTGATTGACTTGTGAAAGGACTTGTGATAAACTTATGAAGGAACTTGTGATTGACTTATGAAGGGACTTGTGACTGGACTTGTAAAAGGATTTATGAAAGGACTTGTAATGGACTTGTGAAAGGACTTGTGATGGACTTATGAAGGGACTTGCGACTTGACTTGTAAAAGGATTTATGAAAGGACTTGTGATGGACTTATGAAGGGACTTGTGATGGACTTATGAAGGGACTTGTGAGGGACTTGTGAAAGGACCTGTGATTGACTTATGAAGGGACTTGTGATTGACTTATGAAGGGACTTGTGAAAGGACTTGTAAAAGGATTTATGAAAGGACTTGTAGTGGACTTGGGAAAGGACTTGTGATGGATTTATAAAGGAACCTGCGACTTGACTTGTAATGGACTTGTGAAAGGACTTGTGATGGACTTGTAAAAGGACTTGTGATGGACTTGTAAAAGGACTTGTGATGGACTTATGAAAGGACTTGTGATGGACTTATGAAGGGACTTGTGATTGACTTATGAAGGGACTTGTGACTGGACTTGTAAAAGGATTTATGAAAGGACTTGTAGTGGACTTGGGAAAGGACTTGTGATGGACTTATGAAGGGACTTGCGACTTGACTTGTAAAAGGATTTATGAAAGGACTTGTGATGGACTTGTGAAAGGACTTGTGATGGCTTTATGAAGGGACTTGTGATTGACTTATGAAGGGACTTGTGATGGACTTATGAAAGGACTTGTCATTGACTTATGAAGGGACTTGTGACTGGACTTGTAAAAGGATTTATGAAAGGACTTGTAAAGGACTTGTGAAAGGACTTGTAATGGACTTATGAAGGGACTTGTGACTGGATTTATGAAAGGACTTGTAATGGACTTGTGAAAGGACTTGTGATGGACTTGTAAAAGGACTTGTGATTGACTTGTGAAAGGACTTGTGATTGACGTATGAAGGGACTTGTGACTGGACTTGTGAAAGGATTTATGAAAAGACGTAATGAACTTGTGAAAGGACTTGTGACTGGACTTTGTGACTGGACTTGTGAAAGGACTTTGTGTATTCGTTAGGACCTGTGATAGACTCAATTTTACTTGACTGTCCCTTTTCTAATAAGTTTCAAAATAATTTTGCCTCGAAGACAGAACATTCTCAGTCCTGTTTACAGAAGAGATCGGTATTGAGGGTTTGAATTGAACACAATTTTTTTTTTAATGCAAAGGAACATTTGCTATGTGTGCATTTTGTCGATTGAAGCAACAACATTGCTCAAAATTTTAAGGGTACTACACAACTAACTTGTTGACGTTTCAACTCATTGGATACCATACATTTTGTGAAAATTGGTAGTTTACGTTTCCGATCCTTTAAATAACCAGTTTATGTCTGTCAGCAATACCTTTCACCAGGTGGAGCGTTAAACTGTTGTGACGATCATGGTCATGCAATGTAAAATGATGTTTACACCGCTAACGGTAAAATATGGGTGTTCGCGTTTGTGCAGGGGTATGTAATGCATCTATCAAATGTTGCCCTAGCGATGGCCAAGGTCTGATATCGGGGTTTCGTCACCGATGGCGGAGACTTTGGTCACCGATGTCATAGATGGACTGGCAGTCAGTGTAGGGCGCCACACCCGTGCACGCTGGAGATTGTCACTGAAATATTGCCCCGGGTTGGGGATTGGCAATCCCAACATCTTGGGTTGGGCAGCCTGGGTGGGGTGGGGATGGAGCTGGGGGTAGGGGAGACAATGAATAGATACATATCGGCCGATCAACATGACTTACCACAGTGGTTGCCTGCATCGGGATAGGGGTTTTGGCGATGCGCTCCGAGTAGACACCCGCAACAAGACAAAGTATCAACTCAAGGCCACCGAGTATGCAGATGATGATGTCTACTGCGCCACATCAGCATAGTACTGCTCAAAACACACAAATCACTTGTTTGTTGATGGTGTAAATCGAGGATTTTCTATTGTTCCTCTTCCCTTTTCTTTTGTTTATACTCCTCTTTTTTGCAACAGCTCTCATTGGTTGTGCACAAGTTTTCTAATCGAGGTTGTCCTCGGGTTGGTTCCTGTCCTCAATTCATCGACGATGTACGTTTCACGTGTGTGTCCTCGATTCATATCATTAACAAGCACAAACAAACACTACATGTACTATCGAATGTTTTCCACTGATTTAAAAATGAACTGTCCCGGCTATTTTCGAAATTGCTATTTTTTTTCAAGCAATACAAAAGTTAGTGACTTTTGAATGACACATCGAATCGAAAAAAAAAATAATTGGGCCACGTTTGGTTACGCGCAAAACAAATGAATTTACAAATTTCGATTTATTTTGGGGCCGACGATGATTCAGTTTTTGGATACAGGTACACTCGTCCCCAAATCAAAACCAATGATGTAACGGCGGGGAATCAGTCTATAGAAGGGCAGATCTGTGTGTGTTCAACCTCGTTCCCCATGGGTACGTTCTTGCTGCGCCATGCTGTTTCCCATCACGCCTTGCGCGATCAATGATTCCAATCAACAAAAATAAAGGGTACAATAAAAAGTGTATTTTATCAGATGGTTGCTGACGCCCAAAGTAGAACACAGTTATATTGTAACATTAACAATCTGTACAAGGCTAGTACCAGATGTATGGACAACAATGTCTGCCGTTACTTTAATACCTCAATTTCTTTGTGTAGCCTCACCAAGTAGGGCCACTGACCGTACAGCGGGTTAATATCATTGCTTATTTTGAATAATTATATACCGGGCACTACACTAGATTAGAGCCCTTAATCCTGTCTACAGGGATTAAGAGCCTTTGAACTCTTAAGTAGATTAGAGCCCGCGCCCTGTACGTTGGGTTTGGGATGTCTATTGTTGAGCAAACACTTTCACAAGCGGGTCAAGTGGGTTACTTTTTGTTAGTAGGAAATTCTTTTAATTGTTAGCTCCTTCACTATAAAAACCCCTGGGCCTCTTGGCCGCATGTGGACTTTCAGACTGGGCGTTGGCCGTTCATGTTGTTTGGTAATTTTATGTATATGTATATACCGGTAGATATAGGCCTACACAACTGCGGCTAAATCTGTTAACATGTAAGTTTCAGTTAAATCTCGTGCAGCTCCTCTCCGACTGTTAAGTATATATTATTGCCATTAATAAATTCTGGGAAATCATATTTTGCTTTCTAGTTACAGTTTCTTTGGTTGTCCAAGATGGGGCGCCATTACAGTGTTTAACAAAAGAAATGCAAGTTACAAATTCGTCAGAATGCACAAATGGTAAAAAAAAATTGTTGCAAGTTGTTACATTTAGCAGTCTCCTGATCTGATGCATTCCACCCCTGCATTCCATTGCATTTGGCAGGGAACGTACTTGGTACCAAGTGTACATGAATTAGTTCACTGCCTACTGTTGCATTTGGCAGGGTGCCTAGAGAATACCTCGTGGGGCTTAGGGTTTTAAATTAGGTGTGCCTAACGGTGAGCTTATAAACGCACATGTACATGACTTATGTCCCCAGTATCTTTTTTCTCAATTTTCATACCTTGAATATTATTACCCAACTGTCCCAGATTTGTCCGCTTGACTTGAAATAATTTTCAAAAACCTATACTTTAACAAACAATCGAAGGTTCCATGTAAAATATTTAATCTCTTGTTCTTTTGACTCAAATAATAGCCCAGCCCCGTCAAATCTGCATGAGTGACAATGGCGCCGAAGATGATAATAGCAATCGCAGAAACAGCCCCGAAGCAGTTGAATACCACAGATGCCCAGGCCTGTCAAAGGTAAAAGTATATTTGCTTCAAACCTATATTGCATATGGGTATAACAGATATGGGCATATTTTTTTCAATGGGCCAATTAGGCCAAGCTTCCATGTAATCCTCACCCCTACTATACACCACAAGCCTGTAGACTCCCATTGGCCAGACACTAGCCAATCCGGAGTAATGAGTGTTGAAAGACAGAAGCCAAGGTGGCGCCTAATGCCTTTGTGCAGTAATGGGAGATCTTAGTGGCTATCCCCTAAGTGCCGCCGATCCCTTTGTGTCAACCCCTCGTGCCGCCCAGAGCTCAGACAGGTTGTAAACAATCCCTGGCCATGTGAATTACCTATATCTTGTGCATGTACAGGCATGCTAGGATTAGTGACCTATAAACACATGTGGTGATAAAATTCTCCCCGTGGCCATTCCGTGTAAAGTTTTTGGGCTTGATCCACGAAGGGTTAAGCTGACCAAAAGAACGAGATTACTGCATATCCGGGCACCATGGAAAATCGACAAAACTTCCTATTTGTTTCCATGTATTTTGTGTCCAGACTGAGTATATCCAATGAATGGGATCAATAGATACTTTGTAGAACAGGAAGCATTTTAGCTTATTGAAAATCTTTCGAATTAATGACTGTTAAAAAGAACATATAGTTGACCTAATGTTCTTTTCCATTGTTCACTCGCATACCAATTGGGTAAATTCAAACACGGTGTCTCAGACTATTCAGTTTTTGGTACCAAGGCGTTCACATACGGATAATCACCAACCGATAATGTCACATAAATTAACCGATACTGTATCACTAACCGATAATGTAACACAAGTCACTGTTTGTTACATTATCAGTTGGTGATACATTATCCATTAGTTACTACATTATCAGTTGTAACACATGCTCTTTACTAATTGCAGATTGCAAACAACACTTGTTGTTTATTTGTTCTTGAAGCTTTTGGCTTCCATATAGCAAAAACTGGGAGGTAGTTTTTTTTAATTAATGATATATCATATACAACATCGTCACTTATGTAATAGCAGGACGATTCCTCTGCTGTGAATAAGTCATTTGTATTTTCCCCACGGCGGTGTGAAACACGCCGTGGGCTTGAGCTCCTTATGCTGGTGGGTGGGTGGGTGGGTGGGTGGGTGGGTGGGTTGGTTGGTTGGTTGACAGTTTACTCGGGTTTATTATACCTACAGCTCTGTGACACTGATGCGCATGCGTCTAATTTGCATATTTGATCACGCCCTATTGCATTTCAAAATTCGCGGTAGTACTGTACTGTTCGTGGAACCGCCGTGTTGTACCACGTGGTACTTGTTTTTTAGACCGGCGTTACACTATTGCACCAAACCAAATTGTCAACATTTCAATTGAGCACATAGTTCAACAATGTGTGCACTTGTTTGCTGCCACTTACCACTCCTCGGTTGTTACCAGCGCCTGCAACTATTCCAAGGATCCCAGATGGAATGAGGAACTGAGGAAAAACGAAAATGTCAATAGAATATGTTTCGTTTGCTGGATTCCGACCGTAAACTTTTTTTTTTTTTTACTTCTAGCTATGAATAGTTGGTCGCTCATTTGGGGAGTGAGCCAGTCACTCACTCACTCACTCAGTCGGTCCGTCGGTAAGTCGGTCAGTCAGGCACACTGAAAAATTGCCTTGGTAAATTTTACCCAAGAAAGGTAAAAACTGGAACTACCCAAACTTGGGTTGTTCTATAACCAATTGCTAGGGTTAGAATTTCTGGTAAATTCAACCAAAACTTGTGTTCATTCAAGACCATTTGGTCTTGTATAGAACTTTTGACTACTACTTTTGGTTGAATTTAACATAAATTCTAACCCAAACAAGTGGTTATAGAACAACCCAAGTTTGGGTAGTTCCAGTTTTCACCTTTCTTGGGTAAAATTAACCCAGGCAATTGTTCAGTGTAGGTGCTGCCAGTCAGTCAGTCAGGCAGGCAGCCGATCGGTTTGGTTCAAGAACCGAACATGAAATACTTACAACGATACCACTCCATGCTGGCGCAGCGATTAAAGATACATAAGAGGGGAAGATAAAGCCCACGCCCCATAGGCAAGGCAGCAGTATCCCATCAATAATGTGAATGATTCCGATCGTCGTCATCAAGCACTTGTTGTTGGCCATCTTGACTCTTGTACGGGAAGGCCTTGTAACAGTAAATCTGGCTCTGTATACAGACTGCGGAACTTTTCAAGGTACATGTACAAGATTATACTTCTGGGGTAAGATTGATATAAAGTGAAACCAATCGGAGGAATAAATCATGAAATACTCGGCGGAGGGTTTCAGGGTCACCGAGGGCCCCAGAGCAGCATAAAGCCCTGATTTTTAGTCGATTTGTCCGTGAAATAATATCGTCAAAATGCATCGAAATCCTTTTTTGAGAAAAACATACCTTGATGGATGTATGCAGTAGGTCTTTAACTACCTTAAACAACTTTGTTTGTTTGGATCAGTTGTGGTTTGCCACTAAAATTGCGAATTTTCTGAAGCCCTTTTTACGGCCATCGTTCGCTGGCCTCGCGTTGCTGTCAGTTGTGTGGACGAGAAAATAGAGCAGCTACACGGCTCTATTTTGGTAAAATGTATCTCACTTGAAGGACATTTTGAGAAAAAGTGATTCAAAGATTGAAATGTTGCCGTTTTGGTCTTTTGGTCTTTTAGACTGTGAAGCAGTCATTTTCTGATGTCTTGGAACCATTATTTTGTATACTTACACAATTTACTAAATTTCGTGGATATTTCTAGAGATATAGAATTTTTGGAAGATACATCATTTTACTAAAAAAGACTTCCAATGGAAAGCTTGGATTTGTTACGCAGTAATAATGTATGTGTGTACTTATCATTTGGAATAATCATGAAGAGACTTAAAAACAAAACAGTCTGCATTTAAGCCTGTGAAAGGGTAATTTCGTTTAATGATGAAAATAATGCAAATGACTTTCCCCAGTTTACTTACATATCAGGGGAAACAAATGGGATATGCATGAATTCAAACCAACAGTGCTATTTTGGTAAAATGGTGTATGTCTGGCATGCACAAACAATTAACGAGACTTTAATTACCATTTTACCTTGTTTGTGAGATTTGCAAACACAGATATATGTCACGTATGTCAGACTTGCATTATTTTTCTAAAAAAAAGCTGCACTAGTTAAGTTTTCTACGGTGAGATACATATAATATCTTTTAAGCTCTTCATTTCTTGACTCTAATATTTTCTGAATCGGAAACAGCGCCCTCACTTTACCAGGCTTTGACTCTAACTCAAAATCGCCCGAAAATCGACTTACATCATTTTACGAGTGACACGGCAACTGACTAGTCATTATTGTCATTGTTTGAAGAACTATACGTGACGTAGACTTGACTGGGGGTTGGGGGTTGGGTTCATGGGTCCGTCTTACCATAGAGCTAGGGTCTTACAATACTCTACTTTGCTTTGTTTACATGTGCGCTTTCAGGACTATGAGAGCCTGATGGCACGCGTCGAACCAGCTTAAATGTAAACAAAACGTGGCGTCGCGTCGTAAGGATATAGGTGCATTATTCACGCGCATGAAACGATGTCCAGTGAATAGCTATTCGGGGACCAGCTTTTCTTAACTTGCCCAGTCTTGTTTCTGAAATTATTATTTGGTAAAAACTTGACCTTCGAAATCTCAACAGTCAACAGATAAGATGGACAGGAACATAAAGCGGGCAAGCTAGGTATACAATAGGTTCGTATGCCTATTATCTACCCAGCGTAAAGTCCAGTGACCGGTCCGCCCAACAAATTGCGCTTGGCCCAAGGGCGGATCCGGGGGGGCCAAAGGGTAAACCAAAACGAAACCAATTTTGTTTATTTTTTTTATGTGACATCGCAATAAAGGCAGGCAATGAGTACACCACCTTCTTTTCCTCAAAAAACATTGGTTAAAGTGGTCAAAAATTGCCTCAGATCGCACCACAGAGCATCTAGAATCCAAAAAAATTAGGGGCCCTTAAGCGGGCCCCGAACCCCACGCCGTAATTTTTTTGACCCACTTTTTTGGGGGGCCTAAAAGAAAATTTGGTCCCCCCAAAAAATTGTGTTCTGGATCCGCCCTTGGCTTGGCCTCGGCGAAAGGTGGTAGTCAATGTGTGGTGGGTTAAAAGGCACATAGGATCATTTGCTTTCCATGCCTTAAGTTCGTGTCCAAAAACAACACCACTCCAAATCCAAAGAATAATTTTCAAAACCTAACTTCAAGAAAGCCGGAGAGTTGAAAACCCTGCACAATTTTGGCTATATACAACTCTTTATTTCCAAATATTAGTCAGGTGGCCCACATTTCTGAGTGGATCATTAACGCCAGCCTTAAAACAATCCTACTTGGAAGTGTTACCCTTTTTCATTTGGTCTTGTAAAGCGGCGACAGTCCTACACTCCTCCGTGGTCCGCTGCGCGTAGGTTGGTGGCACGCCGCACCGTAAACCTCCGTTTCTAATAATACTCCATGTATGGAGCCCTAAAAGTGTACAACCCAATTTTCTCGTTTTCTGCTAGCACCACCCGTTTTTTAAATTGTCTACTTTGGGCTGGCAGAATTAAGATTGTACTTAGACACTCTGTCGGCGTACCAAAAGTATTGGCCTACTGGGTGAGTCAAAAAAGCGGAACCATCCCTCCAAATATATTTCATATTTAAAAGATATGTAGCACCAAACATAATAATGACAGGAAAGCCAATTTCATAAGCTACTTTTAGATGAAAAAAATAGTGAAAATGCTCAATCCGTTCAAAGAATATATCAGCATTTAAACGCAATGACCCGAAAACCTCTTTCGTCCAAATATGCGATTTCAAGAATCGTCGTCACAATTGTCTTTAAACATCACTAGCGAAGTTAGTTGAAACCAGTATTCTGTGTCATTTTCTTTGTTGTTCCAAACAGTCAAAATACACACTTATAGTGCTTCTTCTTTTTTGGACGAACAGGTCTTAGGGTCATTGCGTTTAAATGGTGACATTCTTTGAACGGATTAGGAAATTTCAGTAATTTTTTTCATCTAAAAGTAGCTTATAAAATTGGCTTTCCAGTCATTAATATGTTTGGTGCTTCATATGTTATTGGTTTGTTTTTTTTTTTTAAATATGACATATATTTTTGGGGGTTTGGGTTCCGCGGGTTTTTTTTTGACTCGCCCTGCATAACAAAAAAAACTCACATTCCCATTAGCAGAAATAGGCAAACATATTTTGGGGGGTTTGGGTTCCGCTTTTTTAAACTCACCCTGTATTACTAAAAACCTCGTATTCCTATTTGCAGAAACATGCGGTTGAAACGTTCAATCAACATTTCTTCTTATGAATATTTGAGGTTTTTAGTAATTGGCCTATACTTTTGGGGCGCCGACAGAGTGACATCTTGAACGTTAAACAAAGTAACATCTTATACTGCAGATATTAAAATCTCCTATTTCGTGCTGGTGGAAATGGTCGTCGACCGAACGTGGACAAACTAAAAGTCTAATTTTCTACTTAGAAAAGGATTGCAGATTTTATAGAAACCAGAATTTCCTATTTTTCTACAAGCAGGAACTGGGTTTTAGACTTGAAATTTGGGTGTGTTTTTTAATTAGACACGATTTTGCACTCCTAGCCTCCGTTTTCAGAGTTTTTCATTATTTTGGAAATTAGTCCACTCGTATATTTGCGACGGATCAACCCACCCAGGAAATTTCTAGTTTTTGAGTAAAGTCCATATATCTATTTCGTGTAAAAATTTGTGGAAATTGCCCTGTGGAGCTGTATACAATCTTTTGTTCCCTATTGTGCCCATGTCTCCAGAGGGCACGGTGTATCAGATCGTTACAACAGACCAACAAGTCAAAATACAATACGGGGATATGCGAGTTTCCAATCAATACGGGCATATACAGGGTGTTTCCCTAAAAGGATTACCCAATAAGGGGATTTTTTTTTTCAAGCTATTTACAAAGTGCATATAATGACCACGATTACGGTTTTATCATAAACTAGGAACATCAAGCTTTCCATTGTATAATATCTTTGGATGCATACCTCTGGTCATGCATCAGTGACTTTCATCATGTTTAAAAAACGCATGTGCAAACCTTTGTACTTGAGGTTAACCATTGAGAGCACATCGAGGTTCACTGAGGCATTTCCATTTATGAAATCATGAACAAAACAATATTTGTCAGTTGATAATATGAACCATTCAAGATTCAACACATCACCTCCCACGTGTCGACCTCCCGTTTGAACACAAAGGCGTCAGCGGTCCCGCATAATCTTCCATGGGCCATCTCACCATTGCAGGTTGATTAAGTAAATATTATCCACCTCGTGCCAAAATGCACGCCTGCAATGTTAGGAAATGGACTGCTGAAAAAAAGGGGATGGATATCACTTGGAGTGCGTTCGATTACCTCCCCAGCTCACTGGCGCCTGGCTCCTCGCGTGATGACGGACATGCGCAGTGGACGGTTTCAGGTAAAGTTTCGTGCAAGAACTTTGACGTGACAATGAAGCTGCATCCGAATCAACTGTCTAAAGCTAGGTCTAGGTCCACGCCCATTAAAAATACGCGGGGACGCGCTGACAATTTAGAAGTAGCCGTAGTTCTAGCCCGTTTCGGACACGGCCTGAGGCGCCCACCGGACGTCACGTTGGCAGCCATGTTTTTGCATGGCCTTATGGGATACTTACCCAGGTAGTTGGTTACTTGGGCCAGGGTCGAGTAAGCGCGAGAAGTCACGTGAGAAGTAAATCGAACGATGTCGGGCTTGCACGAGTACGCGCGGGGAAGTAATCGAACGCACTCAAGAAGTCAGCTTCAGCTTCTTGGAGGTCATTCCACAGCATGATTCAGTAAGACTATATTTTCCTGTGTCCCCAAAATTTCCAGAAAGCAATTCATGACAGCAGTGAGTCCGTGAGCTGGGGCATGGTCTTGTGCCAAGCCAGCCAGTGATGTTGGAAGATACCGTTACCTTGATTCATTTCCTTGCTGGTTGGAAATGCAACTCGCGATGTGGCACAAACTCATGATGGAAATCATGTTTCGTTCATGTTTTATCAAATATTCGTCTTCTGTCTGGCTGTGTCCACAATGTTTTACGCAAAGTGTCCCAAGAAAAACCATTTTCCAAAGCAAAGGAAATCAGTAATGCATGGCATACTTAGGCTTACTGCTTGCAAGTTATAATGGTCATTAAGTTGAGTTCATAGTTTGTTCGTGTTATGCCTTCGTTTGTGGTTACCTTTTTTTGTGGGGACACCCTTGAATATAATGACTTTTACGCAGCAGAAAAATATGTTGTCTAATGATTTTGTTGATATTTGTTTGGGTATTATGTAGTAGAGTATCCAATCATCACTCTTGGATGACAACTGCATTATTAAGGAGTACATCAGAGTTATAAAAGTCATAGATGTCCTTGATGTAACATGGATAGGAAAGAAAGAAGACCGTACATGTAAAAAAAATGTCTCAATTAAAAAAACAAATGTGGCTTTTAATAGTAAAAGTAATGAAATCATTATAGACCTTCTTTGATGGCAAATTATAAAGTATCAAGCTGGGGACAGGAAATATTTCACATTTGGACCATACATTTATCGAATGACCTACTTATGAAATCATAGATGCACATGTACATGTACATGTTTCCCCAGTACTTTATTTCAATAATTCTGATATCAACATATCTCACGAACACAACATGCTAATATCAAGATTGTCTTTTTTAATAGGATTGTTGTGAAAAACATGTGATGTCATAATAACGTCAGACAAAATGCAATTGTTAAAACACATAGAGGGGTAGGTCCGATCGTCATGAAACTTGGTTGGAAGGTAGATAATGTTACTTGAATATTTGAAATGACGTTAGATGACGTCATCAACTGATGTTTAATAAATGTTTTAAACTTAAGCCTATATATTTCTTTGCTACTAGCAAAATGTTACAGTAGGTAGCCCTAACAGTCATGAATCCCCCAATTTTAATATGATTTTGCACACCCCCTACGGAGTCAAAGTTAAATGCACTTTGTACATGAAATTATCACTTAGGCCCACAAGACTGTACTCATCGCCAAAAAAGCAAAACCTCATAAACAAATCATAATGCGCACAAGCATCTGTTCATCGAACAAAGTGCTAGTTTTTCCATCTCTTTGTATTTTTCCCCATATCATTTATTATTCTTCGGAAATAAATTGGGTACCCCAAGAGTATCCGCCACCCCCATCCCCCTACCTACCGGAAATGGTGATCGAAATATCACCGCCGGACACTGAATCTTATCGCTATACGACAACAACAAAGGGCAAGTATTTGTGTACATAATTACAGACGTCAGATACCGACGTGAACGGACTTGATGTACAAATTACATAGTTTTTTTTTGTAAGCGTAGATAGCCCGTGTATTCCTGAAGGTCACTTCTGTTGATCACAACTCTTTTATGATGATCAAGTCAATATGCGAATGCAACAACTCCTTATAAATATAAAAATGTCTATTAATATTAAATGATCACCTGCTGCTTAGCTGCTGGATTAAAAGTTAAACCCATAAAGCTCGATAACAATTGATTTGATAAGATGTGATATATAATATACAAGAGACAAATATATTTATTTCCGAGACATCGTGTACAACACAATAAAAAATTATGACAAAATACTCGTGAAATAGTTGTGAAGACACACTGATTGACACATAGTAATTATGTTTAGCTCTTCTGTGAAGTTAATTACTTCTTTTCTTATGAAAAAGTGGAGCAGCAAAGGTTCTGAGATATTGATCTTACATACTTGTCGATCTTTAGGTGATGCACAGCTGATATTTCATCGACAAAACATTATAAGAAAGACAAATTTATCTATTTGAAACCAAGTAAATCAAATGAATGAAATTCCAGCCAACGTACAATGTACAAAGTACAATATTAATCCCTAGACTGAATCTACATCAAACCGGCAGCTAACGTACACGTGATCAACAGTATTCAACACTTTTTACAATTGTCGACGAATTGTCCATTTTGCCTTTTTGTTCATACGGATCATTACTCAAATAACATAAGTAAAACTAAGAATTAGAAATAAAGAATACTAAAAAATTTGAATAAAAATAGAATATATAGGGAGAGTATTTTATACTATTTCGCTTTCAATCTACAATCGCCACCAAATTTTTTTTTAAATATCAGAGCCGCAAATTGAAAAATGTAAAGAGGAACAGAATTGTAGACACAATTCAAGAAATAACCGAAATACTAACATGCAAAATTACAGTAGTACACTGTAAAAAAATCCCTTAAGGCGAAAACTTTATGGAATTACTTCTAGTCCGAAAATTTGGGACCCTTCAATACTGTGTATGAGACTGTGTGTTGAGAGTCCCAAAATTTAAGGTACATGTGTATTGAAAACGTGTAATACAAGAAAATAGACTAGCACTTGAAACAACCAGTCCAACACCGCTCAATACTGCATCAATCAGCTGACTGTGCCAAAAGAAATATCTAGGATGTCGGGTACTAGGTCGCTATTTAATTATACATATTTCTCCATACTCGGGCACCAGACTAAGGACAATGAATGTAGAAGTCAGTCTTGTCAAACAATTGGACCATGGATGGACATGTACAAGTCTAGTCTTTAGCCTCATTTTGAAATCACTTGACTTCCCTCTCATGTGCAAGCCACTGCCAAATATTGAAACACGGTCTCCTTTAAAAATTGAATTGATTCTTTAAACTTGGTTGGTGAAATACCGAGGACCGTTTCTTTGCCCAATGAAAGTTTTGGAGAAATTTGCTGGCTGAAGAGTGAGTAAAGTTGGCCTGATCTTATTTTGCATCGCTTTGAGCATTTAAGGTCCAAACGTTTGTTTCATGGCCTGTATGAAAAAACATGTACTGTAAATGATTCCCTCAATGTGCGGCCAAAAAATATGTTGTTATATAAGAGTCAGGTTCATGAGAAATTGTTTTCCAAATATCCAAAACTCGTACATTTGACATTATTTTACAAATTAATCCCATTTATGCATGGAATTGTTTGCAGGGACTATTCACAACAAAACCTATAGATTCACAAATAATCTTCGGTTGACTGTGCATTCTTTTAAATTGTAGTAACTTTCAAACAAATTTCCTTTTTTTCCCCTGAAATTTAATTTCGGAACTTTCAATTTAAACCGTGTACTGAATGTGATTTGCTGTTTTCAAAGAGATATTGTTACACAGTCCCACAAAATAATAAATGCTTTTAAACACAGTAAATAATATGTAAAATCCTGAGTCCTCGTATAAAATTGTTTATTCAAATTGAACACACACATTCATTTGCTATAGTAAACAAGACAGTTTTGTCGTACACACTGTACAAACTCTATGTGCCTTCATCCATTCCGTAATTTCATCTTATGGCGGCGGTTTCCGGCCGAGCAGTACCACGATCGGCGCCTTAAGCCGGACCTTGGTCTGCTCAGTCTGTGTCTCAGCCCCAAGGATTTCTATCAGCCTGCAGGGAATGATAGTACATTATTTAGAAATAAAAAGGTTCCCACAGAAATGTTAGTTGAAATTCCATGACTTTCATTTCTCTTCTTGGACTAAAATATGCTTTCGATGACCAACTCCTACGTTGATTTTGCATCTTAGGAGCCTATTTACAATAAAGTTGCCAGTCATCACACTGAAAATAAAGATGTATGTAGTATGCATTTACATCAACAAGAGCATTGTAAAATAGTGGGAAAATATCTGTTGGAAAAAAAATGTGGCAAATTCTCCATTAAAAGGCTTGTCTTTTAAATACAGTTTGGGGAATTCTATTTGTAAGGGAAATCAGTTTCTAACTAACAGAACTGCTTGGTCAGGCATTGCATAATGATTAGGAAGATCAACAAAGAAAGGCTGGTACAGCTGGTCCTATACAGCGCACAAAAATTCTACGCAACTGGTTCAGAATGGCTATTCACTTGACTTTTTTTCATGAGGGTCTACACAATGGACCGGATTTAGCCCATTTCTTGGTGTAGCGCGGTAGTACTATTCGATAGTACTGCCCGGCTCACAAGTGATCATCGGGGAGTCAGTCAGTCAGTCAATCAGTGAACCTGTCAGTGAGTAAGTCTGTGACATAGGTGCATAGAGGACCCTAGGCAGGCACCTCGAGGTCCAGCAAAAATCTGAGACCAACCTCTCTTGGAATCCAATTAGAGGGTTTGGACTGTCGGGGTTCTTTCGTAAAAAGGCGCGCATGGACGACCAGGAACTGATGTAACCAATATACGATGGTACAGTGATCTCCTGAACCAATTGGAAGCTGTCGTCTCTGTGAAAAAGACAATGTGTAGTAAAGCTAGTACCAGAGCACACAAAAGTCCAGTCAATTAATACAGAATACCTATTCACTAGAATTCTTTGCAGCTGTTCAGTTTTTACAATGGGCTGGATTCAGCCAACTCATTTACGGTAACTGGTAATCCTATACGATAGCACTGCCTGGCTACCAAGTGAACTCAGTGGGCGAGTTGTGAGTGAGTCAGTGAGTGAACGGTCGGTCGGTCCGTCGTTCCGTCGGTCACTCAGTCAGTCAATCATGTATAAGGACTATAGGACCAGCACAAAGAAAAACTGCATATGAAACTGAAACTGTAGACGAATATTAAAAAAAAAGAAGGATAAAGCTATATATCAGAATCGTAACAAAATATGTTAGACTATTTGTTGATTTCCAAGTCACTTTTAATGTTAATCAAAAGGACAGCTATTTCCCCTTCTTGTTGAAGTCAAATAGGAGTCTAGGAGATCAAAGTGTACGTATGTAAATAATACCCAAGGCATACAGTCTGTTGCAATTTTTTTTGTTATGTTTATTAATTTAAAGTTAGTTCAATATTTGCCCCATTTGCCACCCATGGGTACATGTACGTCCCAATTGTTAAATAGTTACAGTTACATTTGGGTCTGGACGTACCTGATGCTCCCTTCATATGGTATGCTGAATTCAGCATAAACGTTGTCGATGTGCCTTCGGCGATCGTCCCAGTATGCCCCCATCAAACCCTTGTAAAACTAAGAGAGAAAAAAGTAACAGATTAATCTTTAGAAAGGCAAAACCCCAGAGCTTGCTATGTAGTAAAGCTCAATACACAGGAATAACAGTATAACTGCCCTACAAAAAAAGTTAAGTGTTCTTTCAGCATAAACGAAAACATATCACATAGGATGTGTGTGAATTGTTTTTGTTTGCTGCAAGAGCGCACACCTTTTTTGTGATCTGTGGACAGAACTTTAAAACGGTGATTGTGTTTACAATTCCTTAAGTTGAAATGTACATGAGTGATGTAAATGATTCTTGTACTAAAAGAAGGCTTATGAATTGGGCTTTCATATCCTACATTTTGAAAGTGCTGCATGCCGAACTTCACTAAAACAATGGTCCCGACATTTGGGTTTCGTTTTTTTTTACTCACTCTGTACCTGTAGTCAATGGAGCAATACATGGGTCTGCGCATGCGCAATAAGAATGCGGAACGATGTCACTCGTTTTGTGTGGGTGGAGTTTATGCGTTTTGATCAAAACTCCGTTTGCCCAAAATATCTGTGAAATTATGAATGAATCATGATGCCTATAATAACATGTATGCACACCCATACTGAATTTGTTTCCTTGTGGAGTCATTTCTTTGTTCTCGTGTACTAAAGTTTTCAAGTTTGAAAGTGTACTTTCAAAATGCTCCTGTTTTAACCAGAATTAATTTCCTGGGCTGAATTTCGGACGTAAGATCCCTTATCGTATATACTTCAATTTGCGACGGATCAACAAAACTTGGAAATTCCTTGTTTTTGAGTAAAATCCATTTATCTATTTCGTGATAACTTGTGGAGACGTATTCACCTATAGAAATTGCCCTGTGGAGACGTACACAATCTTTTGTTCCCTATACTGTGCACATGTCTCCACAGGGTACCGTGTAACAGATCGTCGTGGACGTGCACTCTTTACGACTGTGTAGTCACTTCGGACTTGAACAGTTTGCAGCGCGGTGCGACTCTTAAGTCGCGGCGCAACCGCTAGCCAAGGAATAGTGGAACGACTAGTCGTGGCATAACAACTAGACGACTAACTTAAAACTGATAGTCGTGACTACCAATGCCTTATCATTGGTGACTAGTCGAGAAGTCCCACATGCCTATTCTGGATTTCTGTAAATCATTTCTTACATTCCAATGGAGCTGCTGCATTTTTTTGTCTTTTGTCAGATCGCCCTCGCAAGTCTCAGGGACAAAGTTTCCATAAGCACAGACGGCCAGACAACCCGAAGGAAGCAAGACGCGATCGACGTCTTTGCAAAAAGCCGCGTAGTCAAACCAGTGGACAGCTTGGCAGCAAGTCACCAAGGAAACGGAGTTATCCGGAACAGGAATTGTCTCGCCTTGTCCAGTTCTGGTAAGAAAAATAACACAATTTTAGTCTCAATTAACACAATATTGCGACTGTTACTTTCCTTTTCTTACTCTTTTTTTTTAAACAATCAATCCATTTTATTGACATGTTTATTTATTTAGCTTAAAAAAATGTGAAAACCAATGCAATTTAAATTAAAATTACCAAACAAAAGAAATCCCCGAAAACCCACAGGGGATAATTTTTAATCCATTTTTAAAAAAATAAATTTATTGTTGGGAACTCTCGACTTTTATTAAAGAAACTTATTAACATTATGTGATACAAACGTAAAAACACAGACCTCACCTTAAGTAGAAAATCAACAAACCCAAACTACTTTTTCAAATTCCTAGCCTATTTGAAATAGGGTCGACACAAATATGAGGCCGGTATTTTGTTTTGCCATTGTCATTATCCAAAATTACCACAAATAACTAGTGCCCTCCTAGTGTGTGTGTGTGTGCCAAATCTATAAAATATAAAGAAAAGGCTAATGAAGTATCTGACAAAATATTTTTACTATACCCAAACTATAGCAGTGGCCCAAACTATAGTTGGGAACTTGGGACCATGACCATCCTCATGATAGTTGGGACCACACCAATTATAGTTATGACTGTCCCAACTATAGGTGGGATGATGTTACAGTTTGGGCATAACATCTTTAACACGCATCCAAATAAGACCGGCCAGTGGATTAAAGAAGTAGGCTACAGCAAGTGATCATGAGCTCACCTGTATTCCACATTGGGCGGATTATCCGTCTGCTTGACTGCCGCTTCTATCTGTGCATCACTCACGTCAACACCGATGACCTTTTCAAAATGTGGGGCCAAAGGTCGCGTACTCTGTCCTGGCCCGCACCCCACATCGACCGCAAGCTTGAAAGGCTTTGATTTCTGGGGAAAATCAGTTCAATAAACCTTTTCGATCTTCGCAATGCATCTTGGGATTGGATGACAAACCAACCAGCAATTTGTGTGCAAACCAGAACAGGAACCAGTCAAGCTTTAAAGTATTTTTCTTCACTATTTTTGCAAGATTAAGTGATCACCAATTCACCTATAAATGCGTAGAATTTTAGAAATTGATTTGCAAATAAAATTCACTTCAACTTTAGAAATAAAGATAAGAAATATTTTTTGAATTTATGTCAGGATACCAGTCGTCAGGCACAGTGACATGGTTGTGATTGGTCAGTGTTTGGAAGCATGACATCGATATCTTGATTGTGATTGGTCAATATCATGATATTAATATTCATGTGTAACAAAACTGGTCTCCAAAAGGGATTCCCCGAAACCGTCTTCGTTCTTCTTATAATACTAGTAACAGGCTTTAAAGAATGATCGTTTTTAGACAATTATATGGATATGTCAAATTACCAGTGCAACAATGTGTGAAAAGATATTCACTAAATTCCTGATATAAAATGAAGAGGAATTAAATGAAAGTTGCAACTGGAACTTGGCCCCATATAGGTTTTTGCACAAATTACCTGGTTGGTTTGTCATTCAATCCCAAGATACATTGCGAATATCGAAAAGGGTACGGCGCATGAGAAAATAACGAAGGAAAACCTAAGTGCATAGTAGTGGTGTTCCCTAAACGTGACGCACTTCAACGTTTACCCCGATTTTCCTCATGTAGTGTTGCAAAACTTCTTTGTTGACAAACTTCAAATTCATTCAGTGAAATACTGGTACGTTTACCATATGAACGCTTGCTATTTAACCTCTGTGAACAATTTCGGTGTCATGAAATTAAATCCGAAATTCAAAAACAATGGCGTCCGGAAATTGGGCACAAAAACGGCTGAGTGTTCCTTAATTAACGTGGCGCTCTTGAATAAATCTCGGAAAATTCCAAATTAACATTAAGGTCATTTCTGTAACGTTGATCAATTCTGACAAACCATTAGTGTCTCTACTTAGGCCTACATAGCCAACAAGAAGTTTTTCAGAAAATGATTTTCTTATTGGGGGGGGGGGGCAATTTTAAAGGGTTGACTGCCAACTTCGAAATAAAATCGGAAAATCACACCGAAATACGTTTTTTTTTTAAGTTTGTAACGCCTCGCGATTTAAGAACGGGAGTGTTTAGAACTTGATGAAATCTCACTTTCTGTGAAATTACAATTAAAACGTTTGCTCTAGCTAGGCGCCACTATTTAGGCGAAAAATCAAAGTGTGCCATTTTAGGGGCCACGCCACGTTTAATAGTGAGTAGGCCTAATGAAGAGCATCATACAGTAGTCCGAAAATTCCAGACTCTCAATACTGTGTGGATCAACAGTACACACATGTACAACCATAGAGCTAGCTCTATGGTACAACCATGACAACAGTAGGCTTTGCTTACAAGTTACATACATGTACATGTAGTACATGGCATATTGTTTTGGCAATAAACATGATCTGTCACTCAGTGCCGACTGATTCTATACACCGTTTACACGGTTGATGGAGATCCACAACATGGTGTTTTTACAATGCCGTAACGATAGCACTTGCAAGCGGCTGCCGTAACAATAGCCACTGCCATGACCGCCTGATTTTCATCATGTTTGGCATCGAATTAATTTCATGGATAAATCGATAATTTCCGACATGCCAAGACAGTTTAGGTGCCTGGGAAAAAAAGAAACGAAGTGGGCATACTTTCTCTTTTAAATACTCCACGATCCTTTCGAAGACTTTCTGTGGTAACCTTGGCCGGTATTTCAGATAAACACTTGCATGAGCCGCCTCTTCGAAGAGCTTGATGGGGGCTGCCATTTTGTCAGCCTGATAGCGCCCTCCATCGTTGTAGACGCACCTTTATTTTAGACTTGTTCTAAGTCTGACCAGTTCTTCCTCCGTGGTCTGCTGACCCGCTGATCTGCTGACCCGCTGATCTGCTGTATTATAATCATAGAGTTATATTTTTTTAAACAATTTTCTCCATAATTATAATACATGTCAGTGGCTTTATTATCGTGGCAGTAGAACCATATGCTGAATTAATGATGATTGTATGCTTTATTGCCAAACATTATTTTATTTGAGGGCGAACTTCACTGAGTGTGAGATCACGTCGAGAATAACATTTTAATCAAAAGTGACAGAGAGGTTGGAATTTTTGGCCTCAGTCATGGGCCCACGCGGCCAGCATTTTTTTCTAGAGAGGGCAAAGCACATTATTTCCCCAAATCCTTCTCTAGCATATTCTCAAGTTTTTGAGTTTTGGCGGGGGGACATATGATCTCGATCTACTTATATACCCAACTAGAAGTTTGTCAGAAAATTATTTCCTCATTTTGGGGGGATATTTTCAAAGGGTTTACCCATGCACTTTGCAATAAAATAGGAAAATCATGTCGAAATAATGTTTTGTTGGAACTTTGTAACAGGAATCGGATTAACTCGTGATTTAGGAACGGGAGTGTTTAGAACTCGATGAAATTATACCGGTTTTTGTGAAGGTTCAGTACAAAACTGTTGCTCTAGATAGCGCGACAGACGAACAAGCAAAGTACACCACGTCAGTGGCGGCGCCATGCTATTGTAACGTCTCTCTGGGGTGAGAGACATTATCAAATAAAGAGTCAGATACAAATATCTTACACACACACTCTAGTACTTTATTCGGGATTATTTACATCTCAGGTCAATAGAGGGCGCACTATATACAATGTAAAGTTAAGGCGTACATGTGTACATGTCAGGAACTCTGTCGGGGTCAGAGCCCAGAGCAACAATCTAATGCGTCATATGCGGGAGCTCTGTGTAGGTCAGAGCTCAGGTCAGAAATCTACTGGGGAAGAGCCCAGTACAACAATGACCAGAACTGCCATTTCTGCGCGCTTTATATACACTTTTGGGTGCGCGTCTTAGCCAATGGGAGCATTGGATTCTGGTGGTTATGAATAATGCATCCGTGTACAAAGGCATGGGGAAAGTTCTCTATGGGAGATTTGTACACGACTGACTTAGACATTCTAGTGGGAGAAAGTCCGAGAGCAGTGGTTAGCGGGCGAAGTAGGATAACTCGTGGGTACCTTACGGGGAACTGATCCTCAAGGAAAAGGGAAAGGGAATAACTTCTCGGTACATAGGTTTGTGTACAAGACTTAGTCTCTAGACTAGGTAAGAATCTACACACTAATGCTATGGAGTAAAACTATGAGACGAAGGACGTAACCTGACCTCTAGCTACCGTAGGTCTCGGCCAGTGGGTAAGCGGGACACACTCGCTGGGGTGTACGGGGTCACTGAGGGGTGAATACACGGGTAGGTTTTAGAGAGCCACATTCGCTAAATGCTTCGGGTCAATGTGGGTCAGATGCGAGGTAAGGTGTGTGAGGGGAATTCGCATCGACTCCGGGGAAAGGTGGAGGGAAAATGGCTAAGTCCTAAGTACATGTCCCATGGCGGTACATGTTCAATAGCTGTGAGAGCTACATGCATTGCGCGCTATACAATAGCGTACTGTATAATGTGCTGCACACTTCTACGTGTGTCTAAAGACTTCGTGGTAAAGCTTCGCGCTGTGTGAGGGCACACAGGATCGCTGCAAGCATTACGCTGTGCACGGAGTGGAATGGACTGGTTGGGAAAGAAGTAAACTACGCAATTTGCGGGAACGCAACACTATGTTACAGCAAACATCAACAAATATCTATTTATGCCTTGAATATGGGATTTAATGGTAATTCCACCAGTCCAGTTAAAATGCATAGAACAACAATTGATTGTTTGTTGGTTTATAAAACAGGTTTGACAAATGATCAGTAATAACAGATTAATTAATATAATAACGGCCGGACCATTTAGAATAACCATAGAGCAAGGAATATGAAAACATTAAATCTTTTACAGTTTTAGCTTGTGTAAGCATGGAGGTGTTCCTTCCTCCATGGTGTAAGTAATCTCGCCGTCGGTTGAATATTCTCTCCCAGAACTTGTCTGCACGGTTAACATGCATGTATTACAACTCCAGTTCTCTTTCTCAGTGGGCGCTACATTTCAGCATATTCTCGTTTAGATTATCGTTTTCCAAGTTGTATTTTTCTATTCCTTCCTCCATGGTACAACCATAGGTCCTTGCTATACAACCATGTCCAAGTAATATACTATAGTGCATGCAGCAAACCTCAATGTCTGGAAATAGAAGCAATTAATATAAGGTTTCAACTGTAAAGTGTACGTTACATTAACATATTAAGATAGCATGCACATGCATGGCCTTGTGCAGGGCCAGAGCCCTGACCACAGTTTCCCCACATACACTTTGTTACGCAACGTACGTTACGTAAATCTCACTGATAGCTGAGCTAGGCAAGGTCACTGGGCCGATGACCACCAGTGATTGTATGCTCTCTCATTGGTTGTATCTGTCAGTGCACAAACCATCGGCGCTGTTGTCTTATAGGCTCATTCTGGTTTGTACACGAACCATCGGTACCGATTGTTCGTGTACATTCAATTAAAGAGTGTCCGAGCATGGTCCGAGTAATGAAAACTGCAGCGTAAGCTAGTATCAATCGGCCGTCATTGCGATTTCGTATAGGCCCTGTAACTGTCAATGAAACTGCCGTAGTGGGGGCTGTAGAGTAACGATACAACTCAACTCATCGGTTTTCAACTATCATTGTCATTGTCGCTTTTGGGGGGAAAAACCCAAAACATCCGTGATGCAGAGTGCATGTCATCAGCCACGAGTCATGCTGTGGTCTGTGCCTCGGTCATGTACTACTGCGGTCCTACGTGCAGTCAGCAACATCGAAGGTGGTGCGTTTTACCATGAACCCTACTCTTGTGCTCTCTACTTTGGCCCAGAGAAGAATAGGTCGTTTTTTCCAGACCAGGAACCTCTGCCTGAAGATGTTCAGCAGCCATGGCCAGAACTGGCCTACGCTTCGTCGATTAACACCTTTGCCTGGGTGAAGCAGACTTTAGAGTCTGAACACGAGGAATCTAGTCTGGTATTTGCCAAGGACTTCGCTTGCTCCCTGGAAGGTAGATTGGAGCGCCTCCCACGCGGATACCAACACACCTTCCTCATCAGAAACCCAGAGAAAGTCATCCCATCTTGGAGAAATATGATCCAGGACCTTTTTAGGAAGTCTGCGCGGCCCATGGACGAACAGTCCATGGAAGAATGGCAAGACATCGATATGGGGAAGCATGCTGGTTTCAAGGAGTTAGTGGAACTGTACGAGTATGTCAAAGAGAACCTGGATCCTAGTCCGTTTGTCATGGATGCTGACGATCTGATTGCTCAGCCAGAAGCCGTGATGTCAGCGTATTGCAAGGCGACTGGTATCCCCTTCAGCAAGAAGCTGATTGAATGGGAGAATGATGGGTTACCAATGAACTCGTTGATCACTTGCCGGGATCAGCTGCGGTGTTTTATGGGTGAACACCACCTCAATGCAGGGAATAGCCGTCGGTTTGAGAAGACTGATAGCTTGAACGGACCAAGTCCATCATCTCCTGAAACAAACCAAAAGGTTCTTGGCCTAATTGAACGCGCTATGCATTTTTACGATCAGCTTTATCAATTACGCTTCGTCCCAGAAGTAATTACCAAAACTTAGTTTTCAGCCTTTATAGTTTTACAGGGTGATCAAACAAGAAAGTGACTAAGTTGTAAAAAAAGGGTAAAAAATAGTCTATGTTAGTGACTAGTAACTGTGCAAATGACAAGAAGCACAATAAAGGAGGCCACTTTGCATCCGTCACGTTAGCAGTTTTTTCCAATGGTTTTTTTTTTTTTTTACAGTACCTGAAACCACCCAAAAAGTTTTTGAAAAGTGAATGGACATGTAGGCATATCATACATTTTGTGTTGAATCATTTCTTTCTTTCTTTTTTAATTTTTAAAATCACCCTCAACTTGATTCCATCAAAAATTGACAGAACGATTTACCTTAGTTTTCCGTTCACTTTTTGATGGAAATTGAGGATAATGTCAAAAAGCAATATCAATAATCAACTCAACTTTAGCGAAAGGCTGAAATTCTTTGGTTTCATTCAGGTGTTTAACAAAAAAATACTGAATAAAACTGCTAACGTGACGGTAGATAAATGGCCCCATTTATTGTGTTTCTTGTCAAATCTCTCGTTATTTACATACCCTATTCACATAGGTTTTTCTTTTTTAAATTTTAATAATAATGTTACAAAATCCAGCAGTCCACCATCGATCAATTGCCGATACACATTGATGAATACCCTTTACATTAATGAACAATAAATTTCGGTTTTGCAAAGGAAAACGCAAAAAAAATCACCACCATCATTTAAAAAAAAGACTTGATTTGTTCCTCATATATACAAACAAAATCTGACAGTAAAAATGTTTCAGTCTTGACTCAAATGAGTAAAATCACCTTTGTATTTGGATGGCTGTGTGCAATCTATACTCAACTCAATGGTATTCCATCGACAGCTGTAAAATGGGTTCTTTTAGTAAAACATGCATAACATCTGATAACATGCATCAATTTCATTATTTTGGTCACATGAGTGGAAGAAAACGATCTTTGATACATGTTTCATTGGTGTATCACATGTAATTGCTTTTTAAGGGGGAAATCATTAATCAGGTCACTTTCTTTTTGAATCACCCCACCAAGAGTTTGGTCCCAAAATGTCCCTCTTGGGTGTGTACATAATTCTCGTAATTTATGAAAACAAAATTCACATTCAATGATATAATTGATGAGCCCAAACGTTTTCCATTCTTGTGTGAAGTGTTTGTTGGATTCGGTTCAGTGGCCACTCAATGTAAAACAAAGGCCATTAATGTAACACCAGTCTATTTTGCTCCATGCCAAGTTTGACAATACACACTTTGAAGCGTCCTGAACCAATTTGAACTTTTATAACAGGTGTTGGAGACACTCCGTTGATATAAAAAGAAGATATGCAAATAACAAATAGCCACAGTCAACAATGAGAAATGTCAACAATAGTATTCCTCCTGTTTACTATAGTAATTTTATCAAGAAGCCAATTTAAGCCAAAAATTCAACTTGGAATGGTGAAAATACATGTAATACTGTGTTACATAATAGCCTTTATTTGGAAAACCGGTGAACCGAATCCGATGGAACTTTTACAGAAAATAGTAAAAAAGTAGAATAAAATAACATTTTGGTTTTTCATATTCTGCTACAACCCTGCATGAGAGGGGCATTCTTCTTGGGGGGGGACCTGTATTTTCAAACTTGGAATTTAGCAAAATTGACTAGTGTTGCATGAGTGGCCATTGTTTCAAAACTAAATAACTGAATCCAACAAAACCTTCACATACGAAAGAAAAATGTTTGGGCTCATCAATTCTGTAATTGGATTTGATGTATACCCTCCAGTGGGACATTTTTTTTGGACACCTTGTAAAATGACCTTGTTCAAACTATGCTTTCTAGGCTTGAAGCTCATAGATGCAAAATCGCCATGCATTATTACGTTACATCTTCGCAAATGTACAATACAATGACGTTAGTCTCACCATAGATCCTTTAATTGATTGCATGTACTGTTAATCATTTTCATCGATACTCTTTGTACATCTTTGTCCATTTGTTTGTCTTCATAATAATGTTACAGCAATATACTTTCCTATGTAGTTGTAAGATACTGAATAAACTGATGATGATATGATGACGATGATGATGATGCATTACCAAAAGATAATTTGGGTAAACATTTTAGAAATTCTTTTTGTTTATAATTATAGTTGATTCTATGGCATACCTAAATTCTTTTGTCAAGGACTCATTTCACACACCGCAGTGAAACTGTATTTTTTTTTCTCAATTGGTTAAATCCTCTTTCTCTTCTGGGAGCGAAGAGGAAAAAAACACGTTTCTTCGCTTTCTGAGCTACGTTCAGTTTGGCTGCCGGCTAGCAAAATTTTACATTAAATGCACATTGTATCCGAACTTATCACCGAGGCCTACAAGACTGAGGCCTACATTGACAAAAAAGCATATACTTATAAACAGATCATAATACGGAAAAGATTTTCTTTCATCAGTTTATCAGAGTCACTGTGTTCAATGTTCGAATTCCGACAGTGACGAACGTACCTATGTATACGACCTAGACTTGAAATCAAGTCGGTAATTGGACGGGTCAGTTCGCCCACCGCGCACCTCGTTTAGTACTAGTGATGGAATGGACCCGTTCATGCGCAGCAGATTCGGCGATGAATAACAGTGCCTGCAGAACAGACTGAGTCTTGTTGACCTCAAGATTCTGATCCCATTCAACAGTTGTTGTATAGGCCTTTCTTTTTTTTGTAAACATTCGCGCCATTTCAGTCATGGGCGTCGCCAGGATTTGTTTCTAGAGGAGGGCAAAGCACATTATTTCTCAAGTTTTTGAGTGTTTTATTATTATTATTATTTCCCAAGTTTACCCGCCCCTGCGCCCCACCCCCATTTGACACCGGGCCTGCTGACGCCCTTGTCCCCCCCCCCCCTTGCCCGCTGAGTGTTTGGGTCCTTACATTGCATTGCACAACACACGGGACCTGCGGCTTTACGTCCCATCCGAAAGACGACCACTAATGGTTAAGTGCCTTGCTAAAGGGCACAAGACAGTGTCCAGACCCGAGCTCGAACCCACATCTAGTGCATTCTGCTCTGAAACACCAGAGCATGAGTCCGGTGTGCGCGGTGCTCTTAACCGCTGCATGCTGGGCCATGACACTTAAAATTATCGAGGCAAGCGGAATGAAAACAACACGATACAACGTCGTGGTAGTAAATATTGCATCACTCGGACACTCTCGATAGAAGTGACAGTTAGTACAAACCAGAATGAGCCAATAAGACAACAGCGCCGATGGTTTGTGCACTGACAGATACAACCAATGAGAGAGCATACAATCACTGGTGGTCATCGGCCCAGTGACCTTGCCTAGCTCAGCTATCAGTGAGATTTACGTAACGTTGCGTAACAAAGTGTATGCGGGGAAACTGTGGTCAGGGCCCTGGCCCTGCACAAGGCCATGCATGTGCATGCTATCTTAATATGTTAATGTAACCATACAGTTGAAACCTTATAATTATTTGCTTCTATTTCTGGACAAAGGTTTGCTGCTTGCACTTTAATATATTAGTTGGATATGGTTGTACGGAAACTTGGAGAACGAAAATCTAAACAGGAATATGCTGAAATGTAGCGCTCACTGAGAAAGAGAACTGGAGTTTACATGTACATGTCAACCGTGCAGACAAGTTCTGGGAGAGAATATTCAACCGACGGCGAGATTACCTACACAAGCTACAGGATTTAATGTCTCCATTATCTGGGCAATTCCACCGTGACTGACATTACATGTATCAAATCAGCTCTAATGTCTAAACAATTACAGCCAACTGAATCATGTTTGGCAAAGGGGTTACTAGGACCTAAATACACAATACAGTATTAATTGAACCTTTGAAATTTCATGGTTAGCTTTTTTGACTTGGGGGGTTGTTTAGTGCCGTGATAGTCCGAAAATTTGGGACTCTCGATACTGTGTATGAGAGTCCCAAAACGGGAACTAGCGGGAACTAGTCTCAATTTACTACACATTTCTCCATAGTCAAGCCACCAGACTATTGACTCTGAATGAAGTGGTCAGTCTTTTCAAATAGTTGGACCATGGTTGAACATGTACCAGTCTAGTATTTAGCCCCATTTTGAAATCACTTGACTTCCCTCTCATGTGCAAAATATTAAAGAAAAGTCTCCTTTAAAAATTGAATTGAGTCTGCAAACTTGGTTGGTGAAATACTGAGGACATTTTCTTTGCCCCAGTGGAATTTTTGGAGAAATTTGCTGGCTAAACTGTGAGTAAAGTGGGCCTGATTTAGTTTCGCACGTTTCAGAGCACTCCAGAGCCCTGACTGGTGCCGTGACTGACATTAAAAAAAAGCGATGCAACCCAAAAATGTCAAACATGTTTTTAACATTTCTCTTGAGGTTAAAAGTGCTGCAGATCAAAATCCATTAGAACATTAGAGCTAATAGGGTTACTAACGCATGTAGTAAGATGGGGGGGGGGGGGAAATCGTGAATTTTTGAATGAATATGCCTTTTAATATAAAACAAATTAACACCCAATTAAAATAGCCTCGTCTGTCAACAACAGAAGTTGATATACCCAGACCCCGTGCTAAGAGAACAATGAAGGGCAGATTTTTATTGCTATCCTGAATGCTTTTATGGGAAAAAGCATCGTTTTTTGTGACTGACATTACACTAAGCCTAAAACCGTCACTGACATTACATTTTTACTAATTTTGAATATCAAATCAGCTCTTATGTGTAAACAATTAAAGCCAACTGAACCATTGTTTGGCATGGGAGTTACTGGGATCTGAATACACAATACGGCATTGAAATTTGAAATTTCATGTTCAGTTTTTCCAATTAGAGTGGTAGTTTACTGTCGTGACTGACATTACAAAAAGCGATGCAACCAAAAAATGTCAAACATGTTTTTCAAATTTCTTTTCAAGTTAAAATTTCTACGTATTTAAATCCATACGAGCATTTTAGCTTATAGGGTAACCAACACATGTAGTAAATGTGCCAAACTTTCATGATTTCTTTTAATATGCAAATAAACCTCTGTGACTGACATTACCGTGGCTGACATTACGCATTAGATTCATTATACCTGTTAGCAACAACCCCTGGTCTGATTTTTATATTTGTTTGTTGTCAAAAGATGCGCAAGGCTCGAGCCTAAAAAGTCATAACAGCTCAGGTTGCGAAAAAAAAAATTTGAAGGCTATCGCGGAAAAAGTCGAGGGGGTGGCGAATTCCGCCCCCGGCTCTTTTAGGGTAAAAAAAACCACATTTTTGATTTCTCCTTCGTTACATCAAAAGTAAAAAAACTACGCTGGGTTAGGTTTATCCGTCGCCAAAATGAGGGGGACGTGAGGGAACACGTATCTGCCCCGCCCCGGAAATCAGTATCAACATTTCTAAAATTATATCATGAAAGTGTGCTCCGTGGAACATGGTGGCGCAAAAACTTGCGGACATTTGCTCACTGACTTCCGCTACGCGCGGTTTAACACGGGGAATTCATTGCTAAAAAGGGCACTATCCTCAAACTTCCCTTTGTTACTGAATAGTGTTACTATGTACCTTACCATATCGGACACCATTTGAAAATGTAAAACATCCCCTTTCTGTTCAGTGGAGTTTCTTATTTCAATCAATCCTGGAACATAGGGCCTTTTTTGATTAGAAAATCGGTAAAAATGCTCAAAATTGAATTCTCTATGGAGGTCAACACGATTTCACGGGGGTCTGCTCACTAAATAAACTATACACAATTTTCTTTTCAGAGATATAAGAATGGTTTTGATTGGTCCAGAAAAAGCATGGGCTTATTCCAATCCAATTGTTGAGCTCCTTTCATCTGAAGGATGACCTCAATAATATATGCAAATCGTAGTATAGTCTGGTTCCACTGGCTTTCCGGTATGCGGGGCACGAACACGTTTGTTGTACTGGGAACTAGTCGATGCCACGCATACTTCTGTCCTCGTGAAACACGAGGTTGTTCATTTTCCTTCATAGTCAACCAATTCGGGCTTTCCGGTATGCGGGGCACGAACACGTTTGTTGTACTGGGAACTAGTCGATGCCACGCATACTTCTGTCCTCGTGAAACACGAGGTTGTTCATTTTCCTTCATAGTCAACCAATTCGGGACCGAAAAACTGCTTGAATCGGATTTTTTTTGAGAAGTGAAGGGATTCTACAAAGAGGAGATATATTCCAGTTTCTCTCTTGATGACTGTCATATGTTACATTCGTGTAAAAATCCAGCACTTTAGGGCAAAAGTTGGAGTCTTCGCGTTGGATCACCTCATTATTCTACAAGAGGGGTGCAGCGTGTTCTGGTACGTTCATGGCGACGGTACGTACGCGTGTGTGTATACTTCACCTGGATTTTGATTCTGAAGTGAGGAGATCTCTCATCATCTCTGTATATTATGGGCACATAACTCGACAATCTGCACACGGGACGAGGTGAGGAATTATTTTTGTTTTAATAATTCGTACCTTTTCTGACCAGTTTTACACATCAGGTTGTCACGTACATGACGTAATGAAGTTTAAAATTAAAGTCTGAACAAAAGTTTTTGCTATTTTTACTATATTATAACATGAACAACACTCAGCATGCTCAGTCATGTCAGTCAACATGTTCAACAATCATGTCCATTAATTGTCCATGACAACATGTTTAACCAATTTGACAAACTGTTGTCTTTGTTAAATTGGAGCTAAAAATATATAAAGTCCAATGGTTCTACTGTTGATCTGTTGATTAAAATTCAGATACTATTACTGATATTATTTAGTTGGGATCTTTTGTTATTTTATCCCGGCCAAATGCCATGCATGTTCAGGCATGGTTCTGTTTTTTTTTGGAAGAGCTTGAGAATTTCATTGAATTAATTTAAAAAGTTCTTGGTCTGTTTTTATTTTCACTACAGTACAGGCTACCTTTACCTTATGGCCAGTGCTTCCTCCGTTAGTGGTTAGGAGGAGTGCAAGACCGAGGAAGGAAATAAACTACCGTAAACTTAACAGTGGTCCCACCCTTCGTGAAGAGAAACCTGGACGTAAGACGTGGTCTACCTCTAAATTATACGAGCTAATTGTAACCGACTCCAAGGTTATAAATGATGAACTCTTTGTAAAAGTTCATTACACCGCTGAAGAGTGGAGTTCAACTTTGTACGATGAATGGCGTGAAGCTGGCGATATCATAGATGTGCCAGATTGCTTCATCGAATATTCTGAGGAACAGAGAAGCCTATTTCTTGAGCAGCTAAAAACATCGGTAAAGGAGTCGCTCCACGGACAACGAAAAATTGACAGTGTTGTCAATATCGAACTGCCAATTCCGCGGAATCTCTTTGCAGAGTTAACTTCATTTGGCATCAATGGGAACAATTCACGCATTTTTCTTAAATCGCCTACAGATTTAAACTGCTTACTTGGTGACGGGTGGAATTGGAGAATTTTTAACCCTCAAGGCGATTATTCCTTCATAGAGCCAGGAACTGTATCTTTTCGCTTGAAGGAGAGGAAGCCACTTGAACAGTATTCACCAGATGGCAGCTTGCATCTGATCCACAGAGGGTTCCAGTTCCAACTCAGATTCTCCCGTGGCATTGGAAACCGATTTGATTTCCAGAAGTTTTATAGTGCCTAAATTTAACATTGTGTGTTTAGCTTTTTTGTTCACCTCCTTGTTTGCATGTATGCTATTTTTATCTATGTAAGCTAACTTGCAATGTGCTCATAATTTTTGGTATTCCAAGTACGCCTGTATGTACATGTGTACATGGACATGAACATGTACATGTGCACATATTTTGTAATGTAGGTTTCACAGAAACAATAGCTACAGGTAATTTCCACATTCTCTGGTTCAGTTTTGTTTAACTTAGGTTTCTACGCTGATCCATTTTCTTCCTATTTGAAACAATGGGCGCCATCGGCACTTTCATTGTTGCCGCTTTGGCATTCATGTGTATTGTTCGACCACTTTGTGCCAGTCCCGAAGACGAGACTGTTTACCCGAACATTGCTGAAATTGATGTTACGGAAATGTTCCTCTTCAATTTGGTCAAAGATGTAAACGGACAACTATCATCTGAAAATGTGCAAACAGTGTTTCAACGAATAATAGCCCGTCAGAACATCTCCCCTGAAAGAGTTGATTCAAACTCCTTGACTGCATTAAGAAGTAAGCTTGGCAGGCTGTGGCATTCTTGGAGAAGTCAGAAAGGCTCAAACGGGCGATCAAAATTACTGAGAACATTTGAGAAAAATGTATACACTCTGAAAGTTCCCCACAAAACTGGCAGCCCAACAAAGCGAAAGTTAGAGTATCAATTAGAAAGTGAAAAGATTAAAAGGAGAAAGGTTGAAGAAAGTTTGGCTACTGTTAGCAATGACTTGGTGAAGTGCTCCCAAGAGAAATTGGAAGTTGAAAGAAAATTTGAAAGATATTCAGACCCCAAAAAACGTGAAAAGGGAGAAAGGGGGCGAACAAAAGGAAAACAGAGCTACATGTATAGTGAGAGACAAAGACGTAGACACAAACACAAACAAATCACTGACATGAAAGATTTTCTTGAATGTAGGAAAGATTTGTTGAGTGTTGAATTCCTAGATGAGGGTGGGCAGACAGTGAAGGTTGTTCGGAATGACAATGATTATATAATAAGAACGGCAGACCAAATATGTGAAGAGGATATTGATGAGATGATATTCATCATGGACACATTCAATGTCACGCAAAGTGGGTACCATGAAATTGCCCAACGTTACAGTGCTCTTCCTAGAGCATGTAGGATTGCCAAACGAAGAAATGAGCTGTTGCCATGTTTGAAATAAAAACATTGGAGGGTGATTTTCACGGTGTATTCAAATCACTGAAAACTAATCTAATTTACGTGTTGAGTGATGAAACTAACGCTCATTTTATTCAGGATGGGAAAGTAAAGATCAAATTGAGTGGGGATGGAACCAGAGCTGGAACTAAAAAACACTTGGTAAACATGAGTTACACTGTAATCGGTGACAAAAACTGTATGTCAGAACGTGGAAATTACCTGTTAGCTATTGTTCAGTGTCCAGAGACAAGAGAATGTTTACTCAAAGCCCTCAAGGATCTGATTGACGAATTTAATTCCTTGGATTCTGTTGAAATTAATGGTGAGTTGATCGAAGTTGTTAAGTTTGTTGGTGGGGACCTAAAATTTCTGAATCAGGTCACAGGCATTGGAGGCTTTGCATCAACATTCTCTTGTCTTTGGTGTAAATGTAGCAAACTCGAACGGTCGGATGTGACCAAGAAATGGTCTATGACCGACACTTCTCAGGGAGCTCGGACAATCGAGGAAATATCAGAGTGTGCCAAATTGCCAAAAAAGAGCAAAACGAAGTTCAATTGTGATGCCGAACCAATTTTTTCATCTGTTCCTATTGCTAGAATTATCCCAGACACCCTTCATCTTTTTCTTCGGGTTATGGATCAGTTAGTGTACCAACTCACATACTATCTGCAACATCTTGATAACTGTGTACGTCTTAATCCAAGCCTCAATCTCGACAAATGCGACAACCTTATGAGATTTCAAAATTTCATAATCAAACTGGGTATCACTGACTGGAAATACATTATTAATGATGGCAAAATCCAGTCAAGATCCTTCACCGGCCCTGAGAACAGAAGAGTACTTTTCAATATAGATTTAAATGCAATCATCCCTGATCATCCTAAACTGACCAGTATTCAAGCCCTTTGGAACTCGTTTAAGGAGTTGGTAGCCCAGATGAATAAAAACCTGGAACCATTTGATATTGATCGGTTTGGGTCCTCCGCCAAGAAATGGTTAGAACTGTATCAGACGGTATATTTGGCAAAGGATATCACTCCATATATGCATGTGCTGGCATACCATGTACCAGAAGTAATGAGAACACATGGTAACATATCATTCTTCTGCCAACAAGGTCTGGAAAAATTAAATGACCTTGTCACCAAGTGGTATTTTCGGTCTACAAACTTTGGCAAAAGTGCTCTGAAGCAGATAATGCAAAAACAAAACCGGCTAAGACATCTCGAATCAAAATGTAAGAGAACCCCAAAATGGCTTGTAAGATGCAGCATTTGTCAGAAACAAACTCATCATAACCGAGCAACATGCCCGGAACATCTTCAATGAATATACTTCGTCTCCTTTTATGCTACTTAAGATATCACCTACTGTACATGTCCATTACTTCTGAAACATGGTATGCGAGCACATGCATATACCCCAAAAATGGCTTGTCAGATGCAGCATTAGTCAGAAATAGAATCATCATAGCCGAGCAACATGCCCGGAATATCTTCAATGAATATACTTCGTCTCCTTTTATGCTACTTAAAATATAAACACATTTATCACCTTCTGTACATGTTCATTATTGATGTAAAACTTTGTGGTCATACATGTTGTATAACCTGATCAATTTGAATGTGCACCACCTTGGTGTGCGCTTTGATGGATATATACTCGTAGATAGCAGAAGTGTAAAGTTTGTGTATTTGTTCATTGTTGATGTAAAGCTTTGTGTTTTTCCCCCTTATGATTTTTTTCCCTAAAGGTTGTTGGATAACTACTTAAGTAATATGCAGGTACTTAATTTGAAATGTGTTTTGTTGTACGAGTAGTAAATTTATTATCATTTTGTAATGAAGCCTTTGGAAACTAGTGCCGCATCGAAACAAATTGAACTTGCCTTTTGCTTGACCTTTATTGGTTTTAATGTTTTGTGAGACCAGAACAAAACATTGTGCAGACAGCTGAAAAAAGTGTGCATTATTTAAAGATGTTTTATTTTGTAGTTCTTTTCACTGAATATTGTTTAAACAGAATGTAATGCCAAAGTAACAAATGCCAGTATTATGCCGTTATTTGCCATTCACTAAGTTATGTCAAGTTTCAGTTGAGCTCCAAGCCAAGTTATTTCATCATTACGTGGAAAAATATTTTTCCACAGCATAAAATGTATTTTCGAAATGAATAGCAATACTCAAACTCAGGGTTTTTTCAACTTCAGACATTCAGCATGAGACTGAGAGTACATCATCTATGCATTTTTATCAAAAATCTAAATAGGTTCAGCAATGGTTTCAATTTCATTGTATTTTTGTTAAAGTTACAATTTGTTGGAAAATGTTACGTTGAAAGCATTTTGATGTTTATTGTGTGAAGTAAATAAACACCTAATACACACAAACGTACTGAACACTTATCACACGAATCCTCTGTGTATCTTTTTTGCACCTCCACTTTTCAATACCCCTTATGCTAGAAATGGTTTGCCCCGATGAACTGTTGCGGTCACTGTGTGCACTCATTTGTTTACACACACTGTGTGTGGTGTGGGGAGCAGGGCTTATCTTTTCTGTCCGAAATCGGGTCAAAGTTTTCCATATGACTGCTTTTGGTGGAGGGGGGGGGGGCATGTACAGCTTACATGTTTAATGGTTTGCAATATCTTTTTTCATTAAATGTATGTATTAATTCATGTTATAGGGGATTCCTACTCGACAAGCTCTGCTTTTTGAAAATGCCCTTCCTTCATCTCTAATTTAAAAATAATGCGCTCAAAGTCTATAAATATATTTCTTAAAACCAGTACCCTATCAATTCCTTAATATATTACATAGTGGTGTTTCCTAACTTGGCACACTTCGACGTTTACCTTGACTTTCCTCATGTAGTGTTGCCAAACTTATTTGTTGATAAACTTCAAATTCAGTCCGTGAAATACTGGTACTTACACCTTATTACTGCGGCGGTTTATACCTCTGTAAACTATTTCGGTGTCATGAGATTATATTCCGAAATTCGAAAACGGTGGCATCCGGAAATTGGGCACACAAACGGCTGAATGTTCCCTAACGTGGCACACTTGAATAAATATCGGAAAATTCCATTGAAGAATTCTGTAAAGTTGATAAAATCTGATGACCATTATTATCTCGATCTACTTATATACCCAACTAGAAGTTTGTCAGAAAATTATTTCCTCATTTTGGGGGGATATTTTCAAAGGGTTTACCCATGCACTTTGCAATAAAATAGGAAAATCATGTCGAAATAATGTTTTGTTGTAACTTTGTAACAGGAATCGGATTAACTCGTGATTTAGGAACGGGAGTGTTTAGAACTCGATGAAATTATACCGGTTTTTGTGAAAGTTCAGTACAAAACTGTTGCTCTAGATAGCGCGACAGACGAACAAGCAAAGTACACCACGGCAGTGGCGGCGCCATGCTATGTTACATCATACATCAACAAATATCTATTTATGCCTTGAATATGGGATTTAATGGTAATACCACCAGTCCAGTTAAAATGCATAGAACAACAATTGATTGTTTGTTGGTTTATAAAACAGATTTGACAAATGATCAGTAATAACAGATTAATTAAAATAATCACGGCCGGACCATTTGGAATAACCATAGAGCAAGGAATATGAAAACATTAAATCTTTTACAGTTTTAGCTTGTGTAAGCATGGAGGTGTTCCTTCCTCCATGGTGTAAGTAATCTCGCCGTCGGTTGAATATTCTCTCCCAGAACTTGTCTGCACGGTTGACATGTATTACAACTCCAGTTCTCTTTCTCAGTGGGCGCTACATTTCAGCATATTCTCGTTTAGATTATCGTTTTCCAAGTTGTATTTTTCTATTCCTTCCTCCATGGTACAACCATAGGTCCTTGCTATACAACCATGTCCAAGTAATATATTATAGTGCATGCAGCTGGAAATAGAAGCAATTAATATAAGGGGTCAACTGTACAAAGTGTACGTTACATTAACATATTAAGATGGCCTTGTGCAGGGCCAGGGCCCTGACCACAGTTTCCCCACACACTTTTTTACTCAACGCTACGTAAATCTCACTGATAGCTGAGCTAGGCAAGGTCACTGGGCCGATGACCACCAGTGATTGTATGCTCTCTCATTGGTTGTATCGGTCAGTGCACAAACCATCGGCGCTGTTGTCTTATTGGTCATTCTGGTTTGTACACGAACCATCGGTACCGATGGTTCGTGTGCAGTGTAGGCTATCATTCGGGTTACGATTTTGTATAAGCCCTGCAACAGAGACGGTAAGTGAAGCTACATAGTGGGGGCTAAAGTAAAGACGATACAATTCCTCCATGGTTGAACTCATCGGTTTTCAACTACCGTTGTCACTGCTGCTTTTCTTGGGTGAAACCCCCCAAAACATCCGCGATGCAGAGTCTATGTAATCAGCCACGTGTCATGCTGTGGTCTGTGCCTCGGTCATGTACTACTGCGGTCCTACGTGCAGTCAGCAACATAGAAGGGGGTGCGTTTTACTATGAACCCTACTGTAGTGCACTCTACTATGGTCCAGAGAAGAAGAGGTTGTATGCACCTGCCCTTGAACCTCTGCCAGAGGAGGGCGTTCAGCTGCCAGGGGCAGAACTGGCTTATTCCTCGTCGATTAACACCTTTGCCTGGGTAAAGCAGACTTTAGAGGCTGGGCACGAGGAATCTAGTCTGGTGTTTGCCAAGGACTTCGCTGACTGCCTGGAAGGTAGATTGGAGCGCCTCCCAAGCGGATACCAACACACCTTCCTCATCAGAAACCCGAAGAAAGTCATCCCATCCTGGAGAAAACTCCTGCAGGAGGGACTTAAGAAGTCTGCCCAGCCCATGGACGAACGGTCTATGGAAGAATGGCAAGACAAAGAGATGGGGAAGCATGCTGGTTTCAAGGAGTTAGTGGAACTGTACGAGTATGTCAAAGAGAACCTGGATCCTTGTCCGTTTGTCATGGATGCTGACGATCTGATTGCTCAGCCAGAAGCCGTGATGTCAGCGTATTGCAAGGCGACTGGTATCCCCTTCAGCAAGAAGCTGATTGAATGGGAGAATGATGGGTTACCAATGAACTCGTGGATCACTTGCCGGGATCAGCTGCGGTGTTTTATGGGTGAACACCACCTCAATGCAGGGAATAGCCGTCGGTTTGAGAAGACTGATAGCTTGAACGGACCAAGTCCATCATCTCCTGAAACAAACGACGGAAAGCAAAAGGTTCTTGGCCTCATTGAGCGTTCTATGCATTTTTACGACAAACTTTATCAAGTGCGATTCGTCCCGTAACTAATAGCCAAAGCTTAATATAAGCCTACGTACACTTACGGTTTTTTTTTTTTTTTATAATAATGAGAATACAGTGCACTATTATGTTGCTTCAGTAAAGATTAAACTTAAAATAACTTGACGAGATAGCTTTAATTGTTTGCTATTGTAAGCTTACGTTTCCTTCTCTATAAGAGGATTTTATTTTCCAATTATGTAACATATAGCTCCTTTGATCTTGTTTTTTAATTTCACAAGTACACCTTGTTTATTATTTTCAATAATGTCAGTTAAAAAAAGCGAAACCCAAATGTTTGGACTATTGTTTTAGTAAAGTTCTGCATGTAGCACTTTCAAAATCTAGGATCAATCCATAAGCTTTCCTTTAGTACAAGAATCATTCAAATCACTCGTGTACTTTTCAAATTTGAAATTACGGAATTGTAAACACAACCACCGTTTTAAAGTTCTGTCCAGTTCTGAAAGAGCATTAGAAACTATCAGAGACAAAAGCAAAGATCCATCAGGAAAAAAAAACAACGGAAGAGTGTGAACAAACACCAGTTATTATACGATGCTCTTTGAAATTTCTGTCAACATTCAATTACGATAAAGCCACAAATCTGTTTTCATATTTTGCGATTTGTTAACGTTTAGAATAAACTGACCTTTGTGTCTGTTGTTGTTCGCACAAGTACAGTTACACATTAATTTCGTTTGACAAATAAAAGCACATTATTCTATTAAAAATATACCTTTGCATAGCTCTGCTCACAGCCTCTCGCTAGCTCAAAATCTGAAAAATATTAACACGTGAATCATTAATTTACAAAGCAAATAATCCTATGATAATGTTTCATTGAATTTCTTCAACAATAACCGGACCTTCAACAATGTACTTTCTTTGAACAAGTATACATGACCCAGTCGTAAACAGGTGAAAATGGCCAAAAACAAGGATACTGCACTTGTTATATTTAACTAATTTAAATAGCCTTGCTGTGCATAGTCTAAGCAATGGATTACCAATAAGGTACTTTTTTGGCGGGGGGAGGGGAGGGCATTTTTGTGAGGTCAATGGATTTACAGTGTTAGAACGTTGGGCAAAAAAATGCCCAACTAATATTGCCCAACGTTGGTTCAATAGTCAACTTGAATATCTATTGGGCAATTAATACCCAACGGTCGTTGGACGAAGTCTTTACCAAATAATTAAGCACACGACTTACTCAAAAGTTGGTTATTTAATACTGCCCAACCCTTGGTTGGCGTAGTATGCCCAAGGATTGGTAATTATAGGTTTCCCATTTTTCGGGCAGTAACATGAACAATTACCCAATTGTTGACTTTTTGTCATTTTTATTGGGGGAGGGGTAACATTTTTTGAAAAGGGCACTTGCACATCCGTGGTGAAATGTAGACAGGTTTTTTTTCTCCGGACACTTGGCCTCCGTAAAATTAAAAAAACCGTACCATCTGCCTGGTACCATCTGTCAATGGGGGCGCTGTTCAAAACTGACGATAATGCACACAAATGGCAAATATATGGTGCTTTTCAGGGCGATACATGAGCGAAATTCAGTAACAGGCACCCAAAACGGCAGATGCCACAAAAAGGTACCACGTCTTTTTTTTAAAAGGGCACTTGTTCCGAAAAAGGGCCTTCTTAAGAAAAGGGCACTCTTTACAAATTATTGGGGTACGGGGGGGGGGGGGGTAAGCCAGTTGAAAAAAAGGGCATTTGAATAGAAAAAGGCAGTCTTTAAAAAATATTGGGGGGGGGGTAAATACCCCCCTTACACCCCCCCCCCCCCCCCCCCCCCGGGCTGGCTACGCCTGTGTGATTGTGTGCATAGTGAAGATGCTGGAGTTACTTGTGGTGCTACTATCACAACTCCAAACCATATTCCAACAACTCAAACCCAGGTTAGTAGTTCTTTATTTGACAGTCATATTTAACTTCATTTGAAGGATCCATGTCCAAATGTCAATAACACTACCTGATTATGTCAGCATCCCATTGATCAGATTTCGCACCTTAATTCCTTTCATATTGTACTCTTCATTAATTAAGTTTAGTTCACCTTGTTGGTGGCAGCTCCTCCTACTACCAAGGCGAGTGGGGTGCAGTCTGCATCTGCGATGATGAATGGGACCTGGATGACGCTAATGTCTGTCGCATGCTTTGTTTCCCTTCTGCATCGAATGCTTGGAGCAATGCCCACTTCGGCCAAGGATCGGACGGATCATATTGACGATGTGAACTGTGGAGGCTATGAATCAAGCATCGCTGCCTGTCCACACAGAAGTTGGTCAAGTCATAACAGTTATACTGTGGGTGTGGGCATAGTGAAGATGCTGTAGTTATACTTGTGGTGAAAGTATCACGACAACTCCAAGCCCAGGTTTAGTTCGCCTTGCTGGTGGCAACTCCTCCTATGAGGGTTGAGTAGGGGTCTTCTACCAAGGCGAGTGGGGTACAGTCTGCGATGATTGATTGGGCCTTAGTGACGCTAATGATGTCCTCTGTCACATGGTTTCCCTCCTGCATCCAATGCTTGGAGCAATGCTCACTTTGTGGCCAAGGATCAGGACGGATCATGCTTGACGCTGTGAACTGCGAAGGCTATGAATCAAGCATTGCTGACTGTTCACACAACAGTTGGTTTAGTAATGACTGTGGGCATAATGAAGATGCTGGAGTAACAACTCCGGTCGAAACTACTGAGGCAACCAGAGGGCAGTATTCTTAAAGATTTACGTAATTGCGTTTGAAAGCGTTTGAAATAAAAAAAAATTCAGATCAGTTTGAATTAAAATTCCATCATCGCAAATTCCATTCGGTAAATTTGAATTTCTTATTTCAGTTAACTTATCTTTCCTGTAACCAGTTTTAAACGAGCTGCCTTGTAATTTTCGATTGTTTTTGATTAGTATTATTTGCGGGTAACACCTTTGTAAACTTTTAATTGTGATAATTATGATGCTGGTTTTTAATTGAATATAATCACTGAAAAGTTTGTTTGACAAACCTGTAAATCACCCGATCTATATCAGACAGATTTATAAAAACGCTGCGACTGTGACTGAGTGATTCGTCCGATTCAGTAAAGGCATCTTAATTTACACTTTCATTTATTACACTGAACTTATTTGTTTTATGCATGTAGACCTCTATTTCAATCATAGAGTGACATGTAATGAAATACATGTACATCCATCTTGAGAAATATGTTCAGTTATATTGCTGAAACGTTTCATCGTGCTTTCGCTATATAAACACTTATCCTACATTGTCGACTCGCGTCATGCCCATTCCCATGGCAAAAACATTATTCTCGGTATTTATATAATCACTTCAGGGAACAGGCTTGAACCAACAGGAAGTTATTTACTGACCCAGTTGTAGTGAATGACACGCATGCAGGCAATTCACAGTTCACGGATATTTATTCAATGAAAATTCCTACAGGGTTATATTTTCTATGGAAAGCGGCAAACAATACCGAATATCAACCGAGGCTGGCTGCGCGCATGACGTCTGTCTGTTGTTATGGCGTATGCATAACGACAATACCCCAATGCAATAGCAAGGCGATTCACCAGAGGAGCTTTACACAGGAATGGCCTTTGCCACTGCAGCGTCCCAAAACATTGAGGTTAGGTTTCGGTTCTACACGGTAGCCATTGTGTTTTATCCATAGTCAGTTTCGAGGTTGTTCAGGCGGCACTGTGCTACGCAACAGGTTAGAATTTCAGTTTCGGTTTTGGTTTTATACGAATCAGTGTCACGAGTATGCAGACAGCACTGCGGCCTACCGTATAAATACCACTACGACGCCATTTTGTGGCACGGTGCTGTATCGGTAGACAAGGTCAAGTTGTTTCGTTCGTCGTGATAAGGGAGCGTGGGTCTCCAAGGCAACGACCATCCTCATCAAGATGCGAGGATTCATGATGCTACCACTCCTGCTGTTATCACTGAGTTTTCTTGGCAATATTCGCTGGGTATGGACCCAGGAACCGTTGGGTAAGTCAGAAAGATATATCCTAGCCCCATAAATGTGGCCTATTTACTGGACTGCCTCCGTAAACATAGGCCACACATCCACATGTACAAAAATCGTGTCGACGGAGCCAAATTTTGATTTTCACATTTAGGATTAGTTTGTAGGTTTTTTTTGCTTTAGAAGCATACTCACCCTCTTTATAGGCTAATCAGAAAGTGCTGCCTTTTTCAGATGTATATTTTTCGTGAAATGTCCAGATTCATTTTTACACGTTTGCGTATCAAAATTTCAACATGAAATTTCACAAAAATTAGACATTTGAAAAAGGCAGCACTTTCTGATTAGCCTATAAAGAGGGTGAGTATGCTTCTAAAGCAAAAAACCCCTACAAACTAAGCCTAAATGTGAAAATCAAAATTTGGCTCCGTCGACACGATTTTTGTACATGTGGATGTGTGGCCTATGTTTACGGAGGCAGTCCAGTAAATAGGCCACATTTATGGGGCTAGATATATCCCAGCTAACACATTCACGTTGTGACAACGTTGCCAGAAGGTGAAAGCAAATTTTGATATGTTGACATCGAAACCATTTGACTCAAAATTGCCCAGAGTAAAATGTGGTTCACTCTTTTTTCCCCCAATTTTTTAGCGCTGGCGTTAATGATTGCCGTAACTTCACAAAGTGAATTGCCGTAACTTCACAGAGTATGAACCGACCTTTTAACAAGACAATAACGTTGTTACTGAGCAATTAGAAGATAAAGGGTCTGGTCACCAATAATATAGCCAGAGCCGGAATGCAAGGGCTATTATCGTCGACCTAGCCACTAACCGGTTTTATACATCACCTTTAAAGGGGCTCCATATCACAATGTTACCCACACTAGAGAATACCTATTCATGTATTGGATCAATTCATGAAAAATACACAGTGCTATACGTAACGTACATTCAAGCAAAAGTATGGTTTCAAATAGTATTTGAACATTAGTATTTTCCACTGTCCGTGATGAGAAATATAGTATAGGAAGGCGACTTCCACATCGAACAAATAAAATAGATCCGACAACTTTTAATCTACTGAATCACATGCTTTTTAAATCTGTCCTCTATCTAAATCCTTCATTTTCGTTCTCTCCCATGGAACATCTTCAAAAGAAAACTCAAAGGAATTGTTTTGGTTTTTTTGTAGCTACAGAGTCTATGAAAAAGAATAACACTTGAAAGGGATACTTGAATAGCGTTTGTTGGTGAAGATATATTTGTATGCAGGGAACTTGCAAAAAACCTGCATTTTAAAATATTGACATTTCAACATGATTTTCTTTGAATACCTCCATGCACATTGGCTAATTGCCCAATCTATGTTTTAGAGTAACATTCATTTAATGGAACCTTTCATAGAAGACTATCCAGATGTAGAAGTAAGTGGATTCCTTGTTCAGCAAGGTTGTCAATATGGCACTTCTCCAAAGACACGAATCTGACAAGAAAATAAGGAAAACAAAAAACAATGTATCAATTATTTAAACATTATGAACTATTTAATGTTTGCTGCCTTAGGCTTAAAACACTCACTGCGTGTCACGCGCGCTGGCTCACCAGATGTGAAATTTAAAACTACATGTATATCCAGATAATGTCTGTCTTCTCAATACATGTAGGCTACTTCAAACAGAGCTGTGCCTGTGTTTCTACATGTACAATCTTTAACCCACGAGAGACAGGGATAAAATAAATGAGCCTCTTGTTTCAAGCTGACCCTCGAAGTCAAGGATATTTCTCAAATTTAAAGGGTAACCAAAAACCCTGGTTGAGAGTTAAAGCGCCAGCCTGTTTTAAGCATTTGTATGTAATCTAAACAACTTCATGTTCAAATGTATGTACGTAACGATCAAAATGTTGGTTCTTTCGCAAGTTTATGGTCTTGGTGGTCGGCATTGCATTAGGTCTATGGTGCTCGTTTCAGAAGTCCATACATGTATAGAAGGTCAGTGTATGTTGAATTACTTACAGCAACAACATTGAAGAGATGTACGGGGTGGTTTTCAAAATAATTAGAAACTTCCTCCCTCGAAGACTGCTGAAGTTAAAAGTTTAAACTTGCCACATCCTGCAGCCAGTGCACTCACGTATGTACTGCCTACCTGGAGAAAGTAACGATGTTTTTTAAGGTTGAGAAATATATAAAACTAATCAAGTTTGAACAAAGTGTAAATATGATATCCCCGTGCTCTTCAACCCACATAATGTCTTATTTTCACGAAAAAAACTAGGCTACAAATGACCCTTTTTAGAAAAGGCTTTTATAGTTCGCGTATTTTTCATTGATCTTGTAACAGTGCTGACCTGGCCCTGAACCCTACTCCACACACTTTGGTCAAACTCCCTTAAATCACGCCAAACCCTGGGAGCTATACAGCCCGAAAGCCCGGATTGAAACTGTATACACTTGTTATGTACAAGCCAACGAAAGCCAGATGACCGTTTATACGTGTACAGTCCTGGTACGTGAACTGACCTGACCCTTGGGACTGAAATGCTAATGCGCGTTGCTATTAGTATTACAACTGTACACTGTGTCTTTGAGCGGGAATTTTATAACGGACTGTTTATGCTTAAATTTGCGCTAGTTTTAGTTGAGAGAAAATCAAATCAGATCTATAAATTAAGAGATGACCCAGGTAACACTTTCACGGTTGTTGGCTAGGGTATCATGGGTATCTCAATACAATATTGTTACAGTTTGATTAATTCATCAATTTGAAAAAAATACAAACATAAGCCTATACTATAGTACACAAATCAAAAGTCTTCTCGATATAATGTATACACTTCCAACATTTTGCCATTTGCTCAAACAATATCTGTTTTATCTAAAATTATAACTATCGAACAAATAACTTTCCAACCTAAAGTGTTGTTTAAAAGGTCTAACATGTCTCACATGAATTCGAGTAAATCTGATCCACATGTACATGAGAAATCGTGGGACAGTTCGAAAAATTGAGCTTACCTTTCATTAGCTCCCTAAAATGTGGCCAATTTGCTGGACTACCTCCGTACAGGAAGGCCACACTTCCACCATGTACAAAAACGTGTCGAACTTTGTCAAATTTTGATTTTCACATTTAGGCATTTTTGGTAGTTTATTTTGCCTTTAGAAGCATACTCGCCCTCTTGATAGGCTAATCAGAAAGTGCTGCCTTTTTCAGATGTCTAATTTTCGTGAAATTTCATGTTGAAATGTTGACACGCAAACGTGTGCAAACGAATTTGGAAATTTCACGACAAAGTGTGGCCTTTATTTACGGAGGTAGTCCAGTAAATTGGCCATATTTATGGGGCTAACCTCTCATATAAAATAAACCAGATTGAGATAATCGCCATTTTGTACGGACAATGCTAGTTTGAATATGGGATAGAGCGGCCAGTAGTCAGCTATATGGGCTGTAGTATAGTAAATTGGCCACATGACATAGGCTTAGTATTTCCATGTGTTTTGACGGAGATAGTCACATAATAATAAACATATTACATTGGATACCCACATTCTAAATCAAGTGCGTGGATCTGAATCCTTGTAGAACTTCTCTTGCAGAATCCTGTTTTATTTCTATTTAACATACGGTAAAGAAGGCATGGACATCACTAATTTTCCCTGCCGTGACCTATCAGCCTTCAGCAAGGGATCAAATTGGCAGGGAAAATAGCAGACTGGGACCGTGAGTGCATAAAAACGTGCAAAATTACTACTGACGTTTTTTTACTCACCATTCGGCTAATTAATGCCCACACAACACATACATCAAAATGCTTAAGTTGCAAGCATGTCACCTGCGAAATTTGAGACCTTAAATCCAATTTTAAGGCAAGTTTTTGGCAGTTCAAAAACCATCCACGTCATTCTCCATGCTCTAGAAATGGTTGAGTGATTCCCAAGGTATTCTGGGTAGGTGTAGGAAGAACCTTGCAGCTTACTTGTTTTTTAATCGATGGCCAAATGAACATAGCACCCTCTGTCATGTGTCTGTTAAAAAATGAAGCGTTCTGCATTCACTCAGATCAACAAGAGGGCGCTGTATTATCTACACGATGAAAATGTTTTAGCTGAGGAGTTTTTTTGCACAATGCATTGCAGTACACATCAACGTGATGTTTTGCGTTTGGATTTCGTTAACTCCCTGCAAAATTAGAATTAAAAGCTGAATTTTTGGTGATGCAATGCTCACAACAGCAACTTTGCGAGGCAGAAGTTTGGGGGATTATTGAAGAAACTGTAGTGAGTAAGAAGCTTGCAAATTTGATTCACACTGGTTTTATGATGCAGCACAAACTTTTGCACGATATGGATACCTTAAGTTTTGGGACTCTCATACACAGTATTGAGAGTCCCAAATTTTCGGACTAGGAAAATAGGTACTGAAGCATTTATTGAGAAAACACTTGGATTATTTCAGACCAGTTTCTTAGAGTTTGTGCACAGGGTATCAAGTGATGTCCAGGTATGGAACTCTTCTAATATGGTATCCAGTTGCCACTTTAGCGGTGGTGTAAATTGTTCCGTCATTTTTAGTCAAACAATTTTCAAGCGCCAAAAAGTTACTTTCTGTGGTTCTTTCATCTAATTTCCCTCCTCGACTCTTACTCTCATCGATATATTTAGCGACAGATAACTGACGTACTATAGTGAAGAATTAATGCCAAGATGCTTATGGACCATAAACATGTACATGTATAAGCATATGCATTTTGCATTACCCTATATGTTCGTTTCCAACATTGAGGGATGATATGTAGATTTATCAATAATTAATATAATTGTTATTCTTCTTATAAATTGCAACAATTGCAATGACTTCTGTTGATGTAGGTGCTATTTAAAGTCGGTTAACATTTTGCATGGAAAGTTGCAACGTGACTGAAATGTAAAGGCCTAAAGTTAAGATGAACAATTAATCTAATCCCGAATTGCGTCATGACAATTTAGCAATTTACTCCTAACTCTCATTCAAACCTCGATCCCCCCCCCCAAAAAAAAAATCAACATTGTTCAGTGCATCGTTTCACATACATTTATGTGAAGAAATTTAGCCCAAACTCCACCTTAAACATAGAATTTCCATAATTCTAGTACATATAATTATGACTACTGCAAGTCAGGTTTTGTTTTTTTTTTCAGTTGCAAAAGTGTTGCCTGAATCACCAAAGCTATGTTACTCTCAATTTTTTTTACCATATTGCAGTGCTAGATAGAAGGTATCAGGTATTACATAAATATATAGCCTATATTCTAGCTGTTGCGAAAATCTGCTGTTTTTGACGATATACATACATGCATTATAGTGTTCTGGATAAAATCTTATAAAGGAAACATGCAATTGGATTTTTATGACTGAAATAAATTTAAAACAGCTTTCTTGCCATGTAACTATGACTTTCCATCTCCCTTGTAGCAGTAGTAGTTTTTATCTTAATGAAATTTCCGTATTTATGAGCCAAGTCGTGATTCCATTCAAGGCAAAACAGAATTGTCTTCATAGCTTTGTGTACAAATATAATCAAACGTTTCTTCATTTTCTTGGAGTAAGTTCAACTTTTTACTTGCTTTTCATGTTAAACAGCTTGTTAAGACAATAGTAATGGCTAATATTTCTTAAAAACTATTTTGTGGGTAATTTTGAAGGACCAATGTACCGTACTGTTCATATGCACTTTTGACAGGGATTTGGTTATAATTGAAAATTACCACTTTCCTGTCACTTCCAGTGAAATTAAGTATAGATCTTGTATGTATTGTTGCAACACATAGTAATGTGCATGAAAAAAGATGAGCTGAATTTCCACTTCATGTTTCCTTTAGATTAATGACATTGATATAAAACCAATTCCAGGCTCAAAACTACATGTATGAATAAAGCCTGTAGTCATGTTATTAAAAGCGAACGTTGAGGTTTATTTTCAAATGGAAAAAACAATCACAAAAGGACACACGTTCATGTTTTGAAAGAACTATTTCTGACAAAAATGAGGATCCTATTTTTCATGCTACAGTTTGGGTAAATATGCGATGTTTTTATTTTAAACAATCGACTTTCGGTATTTTCTGCGTGAGACATTGTGTGGCTGTTTTTTGTCACCAAATCATTGGAATGTTCCAAGTAAACTAACTTTTTTGCCGGGGGGGGGTGATCTCCGAACGAAAGTGCATCTTCAACAATCCCATCGAGTTTACAGATAATTTATGTTATGTAACCAATCCTGAATTATACAGTATGGCCATAATGTTATTTAATCGCAAATTCATGTACCTCTTTAAGCTCAAAACCAGCTTTGTACCAAGCACTTAAGGACTCACCTCCAAATTTCAGGTATGCGCTATGCAAAGAAAAAGAAGAACTAATTCAATTCAAATTTTGTTTTCTTTTTTAGATGATAAATGCCTCTTTAATCGAAAAAAATGTTTCTTTAATCTCAAATTCCAGCTTTCATGCATTGGTCATTTTCCGGTTTTTATCACTTCATGAGGCAACATATTCATGCGTGCCTATTTTCTGGTTTTTCCATTAATATTTCATACAGAATATATCACATTAATAATGCATATTGCATATATTTTGATGAATATTTTTATTTTGACGATAATGCCTTTTTAACGTTACCAACTTTTACTTAAAAAAGCCCCTTCGCGCCATGATGTAGGGCCTAAATCTGAATGTAATTCAGTTCAAGCCAACACATGGACGGAATATTTCACCATGCAGAGCGCGTACACTGCAAATGCCTGGTGTAATTTCACGGTGATAAACATCTGGAGCTAAATAAAAAACAAAACATATGATTAAATTCAGCACAATAAATGTCACCCCAAAAACAGTCGCAATCACAGCACTGCCAGCAGACGAGACGTCGGCGTAATTATGTTGATTTATCCTACTGTATTTTATTGTCTACACTGCGGGCTATCCAAGTCGGGTTTGTTTTCCTCTGACAAAAGTTAATTAATATTGACAAAGAACTGTACAGCGTGCACTGTGTGCGGTCTTACAAATTTATTTTCTAAAGTGAAGGCTTAATTGAACACTGATATGCATGCAAAACCATTGGAATTTGCAGAATTTGAATTCAACTTTGAAACTCATCGTGTCTATTACGTTGCGGTTGCTCACTGCTCATGAAAACAAAGCAATTTGAAATTTTATTTTGCGATTGTCACTCCATAAAAAGGCACATTTTGTTAACTTACAAAAAAATAAGCCCATACCAGGCATGATATTGTTTTATCAGACTTTTGTCTGAATTCCTTTTGAATCTGAGAGAAAGACAATTAGTATAAAAGGAAATGCATCTCTCAGACTTTTTATCTAATTTTCAGATATTTTTCAAAATTGCAAATCCCATCCCTGACATACATTTCATTCTTGCTTTAATTCCAGTGCGTCTTGCAGGAAGCAATCAGACTTACGAGGGCAGAGTAGAAATGTACCACCAAGGCCAGTGGGGCACAGTCTGCGATGACAAGTGGACTCCGGCCAACGCCGATGTGGTCTGCCGACAGCTTGGCTTCCGGGCGGGCTATCGGATCTGGATCAGGGCTCACTTCGGGCAAGGGTCGGGTCCGATAATGGACAGTGTCGGGTGTATCGGCAACGAGTCCAGCATTGAAAATTGCACCCTCTCTGGATTTGGTAGGGAATGTTCGCACTCGGAGGATTCTGGGGTAACGTGCGTCATCAGGGATTCTCCCCCACGTAAGTATATTTAATATACGGTCATCACAATCATTCATAAAGTAAAGTAAAAAAAAAAAATCTGTCATGAGCCAATGTGGCTCGCAGGCCGGCGTTTATCTCCGGTTTCAGTATATAGCACGTAACAACTGAAAATAGTTCTATGATGCTAGTCCAGCGCAGGCTACTCCCCAGCTAATGCCGGCCGGTACCCATTTGTACTCCTGGGTGGAGAGAGGCAAGTGGGGATGAAGTGGCTTGCCCAAGGACATATAATGACCAGCAACTGGACTCGAACCCCTAACTTACAGTGTAAGGTTGCAACATCACGACCCATCAACTCTAAATCGGTGTTCTGGAGCCCAATGACATTTTTTTTTATCAACCTCACTTAAAGGGAAAATACAACAATTGCAAACATCGAAGAATAAAACTACCAAGTTTTTACGAAATACCTTACTAGGATGTTGGTAAATGACAGTCTTAAGCATCCTGTAAAATTATGGCACCTTGTGTAAAGTCATTTTCAAGAAAATGGTATTTTTGTATACACTTAACTATTTTTCAACTACTGCTCCTACTGCTGCTCCTAATTTACAAATTTGTTCAGTCCAAATGTTGTTTGCTATTGGTTACATGTTTATGAACGGGTGCAGGCCAGCTAGACTGGTTCCCTTACCTTACAAATTTTCCGACATCTATAAATTGATCCATTTTATCTTTGGTGGAGTCAGGGAACCAGACTACTTCAACATTTTAGTTTTTCTTGATTTTTCCAGCATTTTCGAACACAAAACTTCAAACATGTCAGTTACACAATATTTGATCTATTATACTAACCCCTCAAATAGTTCATTTCTGAAAATTACAGCAAAAGCCAATGATGTACATTCCATTTAATGCTAGTGCATTAACTGTTTTTAATCTCACAAGATCATTTTAAAAAGTAACAAACAACAAAGCAATTTGGTTTTTAAACCACATGTTTGCGTTTGTCCTTTTGACAAAGGGCGATGGGGCTCTAGAACTATTTCATTTGGCACTGTCTATCTCAGTTTTAATATGTTTAAGCACAAATCAGGAAGAATTTGAAATTCAAACGTTTTCGTTTAAGCATTTAGTATGACTTTTAACAAAAGCCTTCTTCAGGGACCGTTTTCAGAACACATTTTATCTGCACAAAAACTTCCGGTTTAATGACGTCATCAGAATATATATAACGAATACTGACGTGGTTTAGACGGATCAGGCCTTTGCGAAATTAAGTGAAAAGAACTTCTTAAAACGTGCAAATAAACGAACGCATTGGGTCGTATGAACAAAAAAGCATTTGCTTTTACTTCCTATTTTTATGCATTTACTTGCATTTGTATGAATAAAACTGAACAAATGCTTTTATTGGAAAAATTTTGCTGAAAGCTAAAAGTGTTAAAATTTTACTTGTAAGCTTTAGCTAGATTAGAAGTGTTTACTTCTAATAAAAGGGAGTAAATGCTTCAGATTTCAAGTATATATTTACTGGTCATTTTCAAGGCTGGGTTGGGGCAACCTTGAAAATATAAGGTAAATACTTCTGCGCTAAAACTGCCGCATTTATTAATATTAATCGCCCCAATATTAACACAAAACGTTAATAAACTACATATAATACCATGTACTGTATTTTGAATAACATGTTATGCAAAATTTTATTTCTTTTATAATGTTTATTTCATTACTAGAAAAGCGATAGTTGCGCATTGTGTTCGCGATACGAGAACTATTAGCGTAAAATTCGGTGTTGCATAGAGTGATAAAGGATACATGTTATATAACGACACCCTTGGGACTGAACAAAAAGAAATCTTTTTTTTGTTTATTAGGTCACCAATCTTTGTAAACTATTAATTTTTAAATATTTCAATACACAAAACTCTTTGTGTATTGAATGTTGGTATAATTTTACCAAATTGTGACGTCTACGGGACACTGCATGTGGACCTTAAAAATTTTCATGAATGATGAAAGTATACTTTCTTTATTATGCAACTGGCGAAAAGTATCAGATTTTTGCTGGATTTGAGGGTCAAATGTACTGCATGTACTGTAAGCATCAACTTGAATTGAACTATTACACTACGTGTGGCAGTGTGTACACACAGGAGACCTAGTATTGTTGACAATCATTCGTCCATATCCAACAATAATCATTTGCTACACATGTTGCCTAGTAAATGCTGAACAGTGAAGGAAAACTTTTATTCACACGGAATCAAGCATTTTGCTTTTCCTTAATGGTTATACTCCAAAGTAACTGCTTTTACTTTTTGCTTAAACTTCTTAGCATTTGCTATAGTTTTTATATATACGACCGATTATGTGGTTTGTGAGCGACGCGCGATTATCTAGGACGTAATAATATTACTCGCAATCACACGCGAGACTCGTTACTTTCAAGCTGCCTTGTACCATGTGTACATACACGCGATGGTGTAGCGTGATATCCGACTCCATGAAATGTGGACTCACTGGTAGTATTGCGCATGCGTAAGTACGATAATGTGCTATTTGTATGGTCATTATGGGAGACCGACATGTGGGGACCGGAGTCTTATATAGCGCACGTATCTACCAACAATTTGGTAATCAAGGCGCTGGAAATTATGTCTATTATTAAAGAAAGGTAAATACAGTTTATAAGAAATATGAGACCCATGTTCGAGCGTGAACAATAAAGAAGAACAAAGACAAAACCAAGGGCAAGCAACCTAATATGGCGTTTTATTAAATGCACTGTCGTTATCATATTTTCAGTATAAATTTATATTACTTCTATGCTGTGTTTGTAGCTTCAGTGCGTCTAGTGGGCGGTAACCATCCATATGAAGGTAGAGTTGAAGTTTCCTTTCAAGGAGAACAAGGAACAATCTGTGATAATTGGTGGAGCCTGGACGATGCTCATGTCGTCTGTCGGATGCTGGGTTACCCGTCGGCCTTCAGCTACTGGTGGGACGCGCACTTTGGAGAAGGTTCTGGACAAGTTGCCCTGGCTGACGTCGACTGCAATGGCACCGAGGCCAACATAGAGCAATGCTCCCATTGGGGCTGGTACAACAATATCTGTCTGCACAGCCGCGATGCTGGTGTGACTTGCAATGATGGAGTTCTCCCACCCGGTAAGATGTCTCAAAATTGTGATTCGTCTGGACTTGATTGGGTACTTCATCCAAAAACTATCACTGGTCGTTAGTTTTAAGTCTTGTTGTGGCGCAGAAATGCTTGTGAACGGTGGGCTGTCCAGCAGTTTGCCAATGAGCTAAACATAAATTAGTTTAGATCAAACCAGTATTGTGAGCACGATGCGCTGGAGCAGAAATGAATAAAGTAATCAATTTAAGTAGGCCTTTCCTAAAGCTGTCTGAAGTCGGTTTTAACAAAGACTCCTCAGGTGTTTGAACTTTTTGATCTTTAAAACGCTTTGATTTTTTCTCAGCTTCAGTTCGTCTTGCGGGTGGTAACACGCCTTACGAGGGTCGAGTCGAGGTTTACTCCCAGGGCCAGTGGGGTAGCGTCTGTGATGACCACTGGAATCTAGAAGCAGCCAATGTAGTCTGTCGACAAGTTGGCTATCCCTCGGCCTTCAGGTATTGGATCGGTGGATATTTTGGTCAGGGATCGGGCGAGATCCTAATGGGCAATGTAAGCTGCCTGGGTGACGAGTCCCGGATTCAGGAATGTACCCACAGTGGCGTGTTTGGTACCTTATGTTACCCTCCCCATAGCCAAGGCGCTGGTGTGACTTGCAGTGATGGACACCTCCCACCACGTGAGTGTGATCATTGAATATTATGTATGTTGCATTTTTAAGCTGAATCCCAGGAACTACATTTGAAAGGTTAGGGTAACGTTCAGAGTTGCTAAAACTCATGATTAAAAAAAAATTAAAAATCTGGGTTTTTTAAATTAAGTTTGATCATTCTTTTCCATTTAAATTGATTTTTTAATATTTTGTTTTATTCTGTTTCTTAGAATGAGTTATCAAAAAAGGTGTTAGTTATATTCAAAACACACATTAAATTTAAATATTTTTTATTGTTTTTCTTAGAATGAGTTCTCAAAAAAAGGTGTTATTCATATTCAAAACATACATTAAATTCTTCAATGCCCATCTTTAATATTCTGTTTAATTACATTTTTGTCTTTACAATCCCAATGATATTTTTTTTTGTTTAAAAAAAATTATCTGTCCCTAAAAAGAAAGTGCCGTCTCACTAGCTTAACTGTATTCGGGGGATCGTGAAATTATGAAACACCGAACACGAGTGACGGACCCACTATGGAATATAACGTTGTCATCTGTTAAACTGCTATTTCTGTTCCAACAACGAAGTTCAAGTTGCTAATTGTATATATTTATTTTTTATATTAAAATGTTTTTGTTATTTTTTTGTTCGAGTGATTTAAATCAAATGATTTAAATGAAACAACCCCTTGGTCAAGGTAGTTTATGTTACACTGTCACGGTTTTATTTTTTCTGTTTACCAAGATTTTTTTCGGGGGGGGGGGAAGGTGTTGTAAATCGGGCACCATCTAAGATAAACTTTAAAGCTACAATGTTATGGCTGTTACACTCCCTTTCCTAATTAACCAACAAAAAGTTTCTGTTCTGAACAAATAAATGTATTAGCTTTGTTTAAAGAGTCTAAGTGAAAACATCATGGTTAACCTTTCATCCTGATGTTTTATTTAACAAGTGCTCATCGGTCTTGTCTTTTTACCCCCCTCCCCCCCTGTTTGCCTGCAGCTACGGTACGTCTTGTTGGCGGTAGCAACAAATTTGAGGGTACCGTCGAGATCTACCACGAGGGCCAATGGGGTACAATTTGTGACGACTACTGGAGCCTCCTGGATGCCTTGCGCGTCTGCCGGAAGCTCGGTTTTTACATGGCAACACAGGCTTACGGTGGGGCCCGTTTCGGTCCAGGCACGGGGCCGATCTTCCTGGACGATGTCAGATGCATTGGGAACGAGTCTAGGATAGAGGATTGTCCCCACAGGGGATGGGGGAATCATGACTGTACGCATCGTCAGGATGCTGGAGTGACATGTACATACGGTCGGAGTCCGCTAGGTAAGCTGATCCAAATAATTATGAGAAATTGAAATATTTTTTATAAACAGTCGACCGCAAAACAGGGAAATGTTTAAATTGCGATAGCATTTAGCATATGTTAGCTTGAGACCAACATTTGTTGACAGAGGTCTTTGATTCTAGCCAACATTAAGGTTTGTATAGGTTTTCCCGGCCAATTTCCTGAAATGTTCATTCACTTCTGTAAATCGGTCATTCCTTTTCCTCTGAATTTGAATGCACTTCTTTAATCCCATTTCAATTCAACGAAAGTTCAATCGTTTTCATTGTCCGTGCATTCGGTTTTGAGAAACAGACGGCCAATTACGTTACTCGTGCATTCATTTACGCAAGCATACCTTTTTGCGCAGAGTTTTAGAATACACTTTCGTGAATGTGCAATCAAAAGTACGTTTTTCTCATTCAAAATAGCAGATTACAGCACAGAACATAAAACTGAAACTGAAATAGAATAGTCAATGTTTGAAATTGCCCTCTAAAAGCGAAAAAAAACGGTCTTGAAAAGGAATCTGAGTGAGCATATAAAAGAAAGGCGCTGCTCAATCACTCTTATTTGATTGAACTGAAATGGAATCGAATGCTCTGGTAGCGAACATGAAATGCGTGTTCAGAGCGATTCGCAAATTCAGACGAAAATGAATGCCCGATTTTCAGAAGTGAATGAACATTTTAGGAAATTAGTCAGGAAAACCTATATTTATAGTATAGTTCCTGCTTCAACTGCATATTGGGGTTTTTTTACCCATAGTACCAATACGTCTGATTAATCCATGGCGGGAGAACTCCAACGAAGGTCGAGTTGAGCTGTACTACCTAGGCCAGTGGGGTACAGTCTGCGATGACAGTTGGGATTTAGACGACGCCACCGTTGCCTGCCGCATGCTGGGCTACCGTTCTGCATCCCACGCCTGGACCAACGCTCACTTTGGTCAAGGATCAGGGCGAATCGTTTTAGCTGACGTCATATGCAACGGTGAGGAATACAACATTAGGAATTGTTATAGTAGAGGATGGGGAATCAGCCACTCATGTCAACACTTCGAGGATGCTGGTGTGACTTGTATTGATGGACCTGATCCTACTGTTACACCTGTTCCGGCGACCAGCGTCCCTACAACGACAGGTGTCAATGTGACAACTGTCGCGCCCGGTGAGTTCACACCTGTGAAAGTAGATTCAAACAATTTGGAGGTTCCTGTCTTAATTGTATAACTTTCTGCCATAAACTCCCGAGTACTGTTTTCTTCTGTGATATCCAGAATAAGTTGAGTCTCCTCACACACAAACATCACAATTGAACTATTTGTCTGCCAGGGATACTCCATTTTAAAAACAGATCATGATTGAGACTGAAAAACGATTGATCTTGTGTTTCGATGGAGGATTTTGTTTTCGTCTTGATTTGGATTTTGAAATGCTCCACCATTTCCTATTGTTTAGACCTTTCCAGTTGCTACTATATTTCACGCAACTGTAAATTTATTCAGCCGAAACTTATGCAAATTGAAAGGAACATTAAGCAAACAACCTTTGAATGCTTTTGTTCCATTTAATTGTTCCATGGGCCTGTCCCCTGTTTTTGTTAAGTTAGATCGTTGTTTTACAATGCTAGATTGTACCTTCACTTCTCCACACTGTCTCTGTCTTTTGCTTCCATTCGACTCAGGTTCGGTGCGTCTAGCTAACGGCATTGCCCCACAGGAGGGGCGGGTCGAGGTGTATTACGGAGGCGTCTGGGGAACGGTGTGCGATGACGGTTGGGACATAGAAGACGCCAACGTCGTCTGCCAACAACTTGGCTACGGCCCGGCAAACGAGGCGTGGAAGGACGCCCGCTTCGGGCAAGGATCAGGACCGATTCTCCTAGATGATGTTCGATGTGATGGGCAAGAGTCAAGCCTGGGTGCGTGTCTACACAGGTGCTGGCTCGCAAATAACTGCGACCACAGTGAAGATGCTGGCGTGACTTGTGGCGGGGGACCCACATCTCAGCCTAGTCCCACAACCATCCCTCTAGCAGGTTCGAAAATACATTTCAAGGATGTTTGCTCGTTACAATCTATGTTTCTAAAACGTGAATTTGAACAAATTGCGTGGAAAGACTCGTTGGTCACAAAGAGAAAAAAGAATATTTCACGACTTACAAGAACTAGGTTGTTGTCAGTAAGGTCTTTGAGTGCGAATTTATAAGAGATTACCGAAACTCAACTCTCGATCGCTATTGCCATTTTCCTTCGAAAACAATTGACCCTTTACAATGACAGAAAAGGTAATTCTCATGTTGTTTTACATACTATTTTGCTGAGCACGTGAATTTTTTTTTATAATTGTAATCATTTCCTCCTGTTCAGTTCAAGTTCGTCTTGTCAACGGAGAAACAGCGCGAGAGGGTAGGGTGGAGGTAAATTACAGAGGCCAATGGGGTACAATCTGTGGGAGCTGGTGGAGCATTGAGAATGCTAATGTTGTCTGCAGACAGCTTGGCTACCTCTCCGCAGTCAAAGCTTGGACCAGTGCTCACTTTGGTCTCGGCCCAGGGCCCATTCTGCTGGACGAGGTACAGTGTGACGGGTCTGAATCCAATATCAACGAGTGTGCGCATGCTGAGTGGTCGCGTCATAAGTGTCAACACAGGGAGGATGCTGGTGTGACTTGTGGAGAAGTTGTGTCGACAATTCCTCCCGTTGCAACCACACCTTCAGTTGCAACCACTTCTGTTGCAACCACTTCTGCAGCTACAAGCACTCGTCAGGTCACAACCACTCCTGCAACCAACACAACCATTCCAACAGGTAATAAAGACCCAACTTACTGTTGTTTAACTGTGGTAAAACTCTTTGTTCATTTTCGTCAATTTTTTTTATTTACCGTCCTATTTTTTTAGTGTCAGTTCGTCTTGCTGGTGGTAACTCCTCTTACGAAGGTCGAGTAGAGGTTTACCATCAAGGCGAGTGGGGTACAGTCTGCGATGATGGTTGGGACCTTGACGATGCAAATGTCGTCTGTCGCATGCTTGGTTACCCTTCTGCATCCAATGCTTGGAGCCATGCTCACTTTGGCCAAGGATCAGGACTGATCCTCCTTGACGATGTGAACTGCCAAGGAACCGAATCTAACATTGCTCAATGTCCACACAGTAGTTGGTTTAGTCATAACTGTTGGCATGGCGAAGATGCTGGAGTAACTTGTGGTAACATGACAACTCCTTTACCAGGTTGGTGGGTTGTTAGTAAAAAAAAAAGATAATTTTTCATTTGTAGTTCATTTCCAATTAGCTCAACTATATATTCCTCATTGTCTCTTCATTCACTCTCAGTTCGTCTTGTTGGTGGCAGTTCCTCCTATGAGGGTCGAGTAGAGGTCTACTATCAAGGCGAGTGGGGCACAGTGTGCGATGATTATTGGGACCTACAAGATGCTGAGGTCGTCTGCCGCATGCTTGGCTTGCCTCCTGCATCCAATGCTTGGAGCAGTGCTCACTTCGGTCAAGGATCAGGCCGGATCATGCTTGACGATGTTAGCTGCCAAGGATACGAATCTAGCATCGCTGATTGTCAACACAGCAGTTGGTTTAGTCATAACTGTGGGCATAGTGAAGACGCTGGAGTAACTTGTGGTGAAAGTATCATGACAACTCCAAACCCACTAGGTTAGTGGCTCAAATGACAGTGATTTAAATTTCATAGGAATTCAGACTTAATAGATGTTGGGCTTTCAGACGTCATCAACATTGCTTGGTTTTTGTGGTACCATTGACAACATTTCTTACATGAATTCTATTCAATATTGCATTCTTTCAGTTTCAGTTCGTCTTGTTGGTGGCAACTCCTCATACGAGGGTCGAGTAGAGGTCTACTACCAAGGCGAGTGGGGCACAGTCTGCGATGATGGATGGGACCTTGACGATGCCAATGTCATCTGTCGCATGCTTAGCTTGCCTTTGGCATCCCATGCTTGGAGCAGTGCTCACTTTGGTCAAGGATCAGGCCGGATCATGCTTGACGATGTTAGCTGCCAAGGATACGAATCTAGCATCGCTAATTGTCAACACAGTAGCTGGTTTAGTCATAACTGTGGGCATAGTGAAGATGCTGGAGTAACTTGTGGTGAAACCATGACAACTCCAAACCCAGGTTGGTTGTGCGTTAGTTAAAAAAAGAAGGAAAAAAATCATTTCTTCTTTTTCGCTTCATTTTCAATTATAGCTCACATTTCTTATTCCTTACTTGTCTCTTCAATCAGTTTTAGTTCGCCTCGTTGGTGGCAGTTCCTCCTATGAGGGTCGAGTAGAGGTCCACTATCAAGGCGAGTGGGGCACAGTCTGCGATGATGGATGGGACCTGGATGACGCTAATGTCGTCTGTCGCATGCTTGGTTTCCCTCCTGCATCCAATGCTTGGAGCAGTGCTCACTTCGGCCAAGGATCGGGACAGATTATCCTTGACGATGTGAACTGCGGAGGCTATGAATCAAGCATCGCGGACTGTCCACACAGAAGTTGGTTTAGTCATAATTGTGGGCATCGTGAAGATGCTGGAGTAACTTGTGGTGAAAGTATCATGACAACTCCAAGCCCACTAGGTTAGTGGCTCAAATAATGAAAGTGATTTAAATTTCATAGTAATTAAAACTTAATTAATAGATGTTGGGCTTTCAGACGGCATCAACATTGCTTGGTTTTTGTCGTATTATTGACAACATTTCTTACCTTAATTCAATTCCGTATTGCATTCTTTCAGTTCAAGTTCGCCTTGCTGGTAGCAGTTCCTCCTATGAGGGTCGAGTAGAGGTCTACTACCAAGGCGAGTGGGGTACAGTCTGCGATGATGGATGGGACCTTGCTGACGCCAATGTCGTCTGTCGCATGCTTGGTTACCCATCTGCATCCCATGCTTGGAGCAGTGCTCACTTCGGTCAAGGATCAGGCCGGATCATGCTTGACGATGTTAGCTGTCAAGGATACGAATCTAGCATCGCTAATTGTCAACACAGTAGCTGGTTTAGTCATAACTGTGGGCATAGGGAAGATGCTGGAGTAACTTGTGGTGAAACCATGACAACTCCCAACCCAGGTTGGTTGTCCATTAGTAAAAAAAAAAAAAAAATCATAATAATAATGATTACTCCTTTTTCGCCATTTCAATTAAAGCACACATATCTGATTCCTTATTGCACTCTTCATTCAGTTTCAGTTCGCCTTGCTGGTGGCAGTTCATCCTATGAGGGTCGAATAGAGATCTACTACCAAGGTCAGTGGGGCACAGTCTGCGATGATGGATGGGACCTTGCTGACGCCAATGTCGTCTGTCGCATGCTTGGTTACCCATCTGCATCCCATGCTTGGAGCAGTGCTCACTTCGGCCAAGGATCAGGACGGATTATCCTTGACGATGTGAACTGCGGAGGCTATGAATCAAGCATCGCCGACTGTCCACACAGAAGTTGGTTTAGTCATAATTGTGGGCATAGTGAAGATGCTGGAGTTACTTGTCGTGAAAGTATCATGACAACCTTAAGCCCAGGTTAGTGGCTCAAAATAATGAAAGTGATTTAAATTTCATAGTAATTAAAACTTAATAGATGTTGGGCTTTCAGACGTCATCAACATTACTTGGTTTTGTCGTATTATTGACAACATTTCTTACCTTAATTCTATTCCGTATTGCATTCTTTCAGTTCAAGTTCGCCTTGCTGGTGGCGGCGGCTCCTATGAGGGTCGAGTAGAGATCTACTACCAAGGCGAGTGGGGCACAGTCTGCGATGATGGATGGTCCCTTGCTGACGCCAATGTCGTCTGTCGCATGCTTGGTTTCCCTTCTGCTTCCCAGGCTTGGAGCAATGCTCACTTCGGTCAAGGATCAGGTCGGATCATGCTTGACGATATTAGCTGCCAGGGAGATGAATCTAGCATTGCTGATTGTCAACACAGTAGTTGGTTTAGTAATGACTGCGGGCATAAAGAAGATGCTGGAGTAACTTGTTTTGAACAAATCCCAGGTTGGTGGTGATTAGTCAAAAAAGAAAATTACCTGATTTTTACTTCATTTTCGATTAAAGCTCACCTGTTATGACTGAGGGTTGGGAGTTATAGGTCCTTTAAGATGGCTAGTATGTCCCGTCTGTGATGTGTTTTTTTTCTGATATAATGATCGGTTTCGACTGTGCTGTGCAACTGAGTTTGTTGCTGCATTCAAAGGGGATCTTCACCAATAGAGGACATAAGGGTCCCCAATTCCCGAAGGTCCCCAATTTACGATTGTGTACAAAACATATGGGAGATCTTCCTAAAAAGTAAGTGCAAACAAAAGAGGGACAATAGGGATCCCCGATTGCAGGCAAATTCACACTTGTGTGAGTCGGGAGGTGTCCTTTATGTATTTAAACTTGTTTATGCATGGTGACCCTTTCAACATAAACACATGTAAATTAAACGATACAAAAAATAAAATCAGTAATTTAAATCATATGCAAAACATATACACATATACATATACTGAGACGTTAGGTAGGGGCTGCGTTAAATAAAAACATGTAACATTCAACAATTCAAAAAATGAAATCAGTTAAGTCAGTGTGCAAAAAAAACACAAAATCAACAACACAGTGTCAACTAACGGATACCGGAAAAAATACTAAATAACCATAACAGTAAAAATCGCATCCACGTATATGTAGAAACCGAACAAGATTAGTAAATTACACCTAAGGAATTACTGTCAATTGCATGTAAATTAAAACTTTCATGAAGTAGGCCTACCATATTAAATTTTCCTGTTGCTTTTGTTTCAGTTCGTCTTGTTGGTGGCAGCTCCTCCTATGAGGGTCGAGTTGAGGTCTTCTACCAAGGCGAGTGGGGCACAGTCTGCGATGATGGATGGGACCTGGATGACGCTAGTGTCGTCTGCCGCATGCTTGGCTTGCCTTCAGCATCCCATGCTTGGAGCAATGCTCACTTCGGCCAAGGATCAGGACAGATCATGCTTGACAATATCGACTGCAATGGCTATGAGTCAAGCATTGTAGACTGTTCCCACAACGGCTGGTTTAGTAATAATTGCGGGCATAGTGAAGACGCCGGAGTGACTTGCAAATCTTACACAAGTAACTCTACGCCAACATCAGGTCAGTAAGGGTACATGTTATCGAATGAGAATAAGAACGCCTTCAAACGTGGGATCTTTTTCTCTGTACTGTGGCGTTAATACAGGAGAACTGCACACTTTTTCCAACTTTTAACCCTCCTATGGAAGCATGCATTCTGAGTCATGCTGTTAATGATTTAATCAATCAGTATAACGTGTGCGTGGAAGCTCGCACTTAAAGGAGCATCGGTTTAAATTGTAAAGACTGTTTAACTTGGCTCACGAAAATCTCGCAAACTTACTCCGGTGGACTGATCCTACAGTTTGCTTGTATATAACGGTTCCTAGATTTAACTCTTCAAATGTTTTCAACATTAAACTATATATTTCGATAACATTCTTTGGCGGCTTTTTTCCTCTGTTTAGACAGAAACGAGAACATTCAAACGATTTTAAGTTTTGCTGAACTGTAAAAAATATTATCTGAGTTTCATCTTCTATTATTTTAAATTGTTTCTTCTTTTTTGTCAATAATGGTATAAACTGTGATTGTGCTTTGATTTTTTTTTCCACTCGCCTATTTTTACCTGCTTCCAGGTGTTTTAAACGAGATTCGTCTGAGTGGGGACAGGTCAACAAAAGGCACTGTTCAGGTTTGGAGTGGCGGCCAGTACGTGGACGTCTGTAGCTCAAACTGGGACTTGTCCTCTGCCAAAGTTGTCTGCCGTCAGTTGGGGCATTCAACTGAAAGCGTATCAGCTGACTACAGTAAGGGCTTAATTGTCACACTTCATATCCGTGACGAGTTCCGCACAAGTTGCGGGTGGAATCATGCACTTTGTCCAGAAGAAGCTCTGCATTTGTCTCTGACATGTTGCGGGGAAATTTTCATTAGCAACTGCTTTAAACGGGGAAGTTGCTCAGAATCCTGCAACTTATACCCAATACAATGTGCGAAACTTGTCGGAAACTCACCCCGGTTATGAATTGAGACCGTCCAAATGAAAACCGATAAAAGTATTTTACTTTCCTTTTCAAGAAAACATCTTTGATATTTTGTACCGCTGCCTAGTTTTTCTGAAAACCATGCAGTCACTACACAAAAATGCGTTGCTCAATTTACACTAAATGCTTGCTACATGGAACCACTCGTTATTATATGACGATATATTAAAAATAACACGCCGCCATTTTGTGGCATAGCCACATTGAAATGAAGTCAATGAAAGTTGTTTGCATGTACGGTACGAGCAGTGAATGTTAGTATGTGGTGGAAAATTCACAGTAGGCCTACTATTCAGCGGGAATTTCAATGTAAAATTGTTGTTTAACGAACCAAACCATTTATGTTACAGCCACGCATTATTTGTCGTACGGAAGTTACATTGTTTTGCATTGCGATGGTAGCGAAAGTGAACTGGCTGACTGTAGCACATACGCATCGTACCAATATGGACTGTGCAACACTGCAACAGTGGACTGCAATGCATATTCAGGTAAGAGCTTTTTTTCCAGAAAGGTCATTTTGTTCTCGGTCGTTGAACTTTAGGTAATAGTTTTAAAGCAAATTCAAATTGGCTCGTGAGTACCTATTGCCAAGAATGATTTATACAATTTGTATTTATTCACTATATACCTTTGTAATCACCTACATTCCTTGATACCTTAATTGTCAATCGGAATTGTCAGCCTCTTGATGATTGTCATTATAATTCATATGTAAGTTTCAATGTATGTCAGTACACAATTTAAGGGGATCTCCGGTTTACAAGCTCTGCTTTTTTGGAGACCTCCTCCACTTTTTTTTCAATCAAAGTTTCATAATTACATGAACATGTACTGTTATTTCCTATGAAGTGAGTAAGTGGAAATAAATGAGCTGAACTGAACATGGATAAAGGGGAGGACTTAAGTGATAGTAATGAATTCGAAGTGCTTGCACTTTCATTATTCAAACAAAATAATCATTTTAAAAATCATGGCAAACAAAGGCCGTGGTGGGGTTGGAGTACGTTTTCTGTGCCCCTCCCCTACTGAACACGCCACTGCTAAATAGAATAATAATCTATTCCACAATGTAACGAATGAAAACATGAAAAGAAATGTGACATACATGGCAAGTGTTTCCAAAAATCCCCAACGGGTACTACGAGTGCTTTCATGAATTAGCTTAAAACATCATGTGAAAAAAATGCTCCAGGAAATTAGGTCAACCTCCACGCGATTCTGACTATTTTGTGTTAGTGCTGCGTTCGGATAGTGCAACGATTGTGCATATACTTGTACACTTGCTGGCATTAGTAAAGATGGTATTTTCAACAACTTTCCCAACACAAAAAACGCGCAAAATCGGTAAAGAAAACCACGTTGTTGTATTTATTATTGCCACTTAGTCGCCCATTCAGTGGAATACATTGGTCTCCCATGGGGTCCAGTAACGATAAGACAATGTGAAGAACTGTTATAGATGTGGGGGGAAAACCTCAGAAGGATGTTCTGAGGAAAGCCCACGGAATCAAGCAGGGACTGAAAACCAAAATGCACATATTGGCCCAGGCAGGATCCGAACCCGGGCCACAGGGGTGGAAGGCGAGGAAAGTACTGCTACGCCAAGCTGACTCCCTATTATGCGTTATCCTGTTGCCATGCCAACGCCAAGTATGACGCAATTATTCCGTGGCAACCTATTGCACGTCATGATTTTAAATACCCTATACTACATCACCGGACCAAAAACACAACGGGAACATTTTGAAGAGGTGCGTTTATTCAATCTCAAACTACTACTCCAACGAGAGTCCTGCCGTCTCCTGATGACGAACAGAGTATACTGTTCAAAACGCTGAGTTAAACCAACTGGTTCTTCTCAGAACCTCACAACTCACAAAGAAATATCATTGACATGATGTTAATACCGCAAACCTCCCATTCATTAAAATGTACGTCAGTTAGCACAAAGACTGGAATATGTGTCTCAGGTGAATTTCCCTCTTTTAATGATTCAACGTTATGCCTGTGTTCCTATTTTCCTCATAGGCCTCTCCGCTGGTGCAGTCGTAGGTATAGCTATCTCTTCTTTACTGTTAGTGATCACAATCGTCGCCATCGTCATTATAGTTGCAGCCAGAAGCAGGCGCAAGAAGTCCTCATCGACATCCAGCAACATGAACATACCCTTGGCATCGGCCGCTGAACCGCCGTCCTCTGACCCGAATTCCAACGGTGCCAATGTCCTAACCAACCCTCTGTACTGCGAGACCCCCCTTTCACAGCCCGTATCTCGTCATCCACCTCAAGGCTACTACCCAATGCCCTTTAGTGGCCAGCCCCAAATGGTCCAGTCTCGGGTACCTGGTGCCGGGTTTTCCCAGTACAACCCTGTATCAAACACCGCAAACGCCCACCTGCCACCTCCTGCATATGCTTCAGTGGCTGTTAGCACGCCATTCTACCCCGGCAATGCTCCCCAGCCTCACCCACAACGACAGCCACAGGCCAAGCCCCTGCCCCAACCTCAGACCCAGCCTCAGCCCCAGCCCCTGCCCCAATTTCAGCCCCTGCCCCAACCCCTGCCCCACACCAAGCCTCAGCCCCAGCCACAGCCACAGCCCCTGTCCCAACCTCAGCTCAATACCCAGCCACAGCCCCTGCCCCAACCCCAACCCCAACCCCAGCCCCAGCCCCAGCCCCAGCCCCAGCCCCAGCCCCAGCCCCAACCTCAGTCCTCAGCCCCAGTTTACGAGTCCTCTTTGCCTGGCCCAGATGCTGATGCTGGTAACACTATCGAAGTTACCGGTGCCCACACAAACGAAGTGTCAGTTTAAGAATGTTTGTGATCGAAACTCGCAAAGACAGGACATGTCGACACGGTCGAGGTTTTTGGTATGTGTACAATCGCAGAAAAAATGATTTTGACTTGATGCGATATGTATTAGTCTTAATAAATTATCATAATGATAAATTTGTCATTTCCTCCGGTACAGCTATGAAAATATATGAATACATGAATGCAGTCAGTTGAAGGTGCGAGATTGATTTTGAAAAAAAAACCACTCCGATTTGGGTCTACAAAAGAAGCTTACTTTGGAACTTTCTAAAAGTGCTCAGGAGAAGCATAGGGATTTTTTCCAGAACAGACATCAGTTGCTTTAATCCAAGTTATAAGATTGCCTCTCATACAGTTTGTGGTATCACATAAACTCTGAAAACTAATTCGTTCGAAGAAAGACAAAATATCATCGATTGAAGACCACGGAATCTGTATCCACAACATTCTCGTTGCATTATGTTTACTCAGATGGTTAGATAGTTGCTCTAACGTTTATTTGCTTATAAAATGTATCACTGTGTGTGTGGGTGACACCGAAAAATTCACGAGGTGACATCGAAAAACTGACGAGGTGACACCAGGATGTTTTCCCCCTCGTTGTATTACTCAGCCCATAAAATAGGCAGGTGAAACTGAAAACATAAATTACAAATGAGTACATTAAATTACATAGAAACAATAATGAAAAAAGTACACACCAAAGGTCACAAAGTACAATGTTTAAACGCAGGTACAATTATACAATGTGTTTACAATAAATAAGACAATCAGTTCGAGCATAGTGTTCACAGCTTCACAGGTTATATACAGTATCTTCATGAAGTAATACAGTTATAAACGATTCGATATAAAACTCACAAATCGAATGCGGGACCAACACTTGTCGCTACACACAGTGGATATCAGGACTGGGTATACAGAGGTTTTCTGGGTTCACAGCGGCATTCTGGTGAGTCTTCACAGCTTTCGGTGCGTGACGAAGACTGGCGCGAATCTGGAATTATCCAGACTAAATATAAAACGAGTTCACGTGATGAATTTTGACGCAACGCTATTGGCTGACTGACACCCTATGACCTAAAAATTCTACGTAAGCTAGTTGATGAATAATAATATGTTAAGAGAATAAAGAAACATATGACCTGACATCCTATGCAAATTAAACTGAATGGAACAGCGGTGAAGAAACTAATCGGCGACGACAACAAAGTGTACAATAATCTTAGAATCGGGTTTAATCAAGATGGTTTGATATTGATTTTGAACATTGCGTGAAAGTTTATTACTTATAAAGTTTACAATAGTAATCGAGTTTAATCAAGATGGTTTGATATTGATTTTGAACATTACTTTATGGCTGATTTGTTTTTTTAAGAATATCTAATCATGTACATGAAATCGAGTTTAATCAAGATGCTTAGATATTGATTTTGAACACTGCTTGAACGTTTATTTGCATAGAAAGTATACAATAATCTTTAATCCAGTTTAATCAAGATAGAGAGTTAGTAGACCATTGTTTGAAGGTTTACATGCTTATTAATTATATACATGTATTAGCTATATATTCGAGTTGAATCAAGTTGGTAAATTTGCAATAGTTTATACGTTTAAGAGAAGTGCCTATTCATTCACGATCGCACTGTGTAGATTAGTCAACAAGGATTGCAGCTGAACTAAGCCTTTGTTTTGCTACAAATGTGATTGGATTGCCTTAATCGTTTTCGGTGAATAAGCAAAACTATGTATAATACCGCTTGTAATCGGCTATTCACATGACGGAAAGGAACGTTAATTTACAAGCAGCTGTTAGCACACATTAGGAGAATCGTCTTTCAATTAAGTCTTTCACATTTGTAAATTTATATTGTACTGCTTGAAATCAAGATGAAATTTTTACTAGCAGTTGTTAGTTCTTACTACACGATTTAATCTGTTAGAATTAGGACAAACGTCTTTCAATTAGTCTTTCAAGTTTGTAAATTTTAATTGTGTGGCGTGTGGCAAAGGGAAATGGTAAGGAGAAATATTTTTGTCGAGTGATTTTAAAAGATAATATCTTTACTAGCAGTTTTAAGTAGTCCATAGACTTGATACTATTTTTATAACTATTACTCAGATGTTTTCTATGCATGTAATTATTTTTGTAACATCTTGCCCCGCCCTCTCCCCTCCTCCTCCTCAATACAAACTCCCTCCACCTCCTCACAAAACAAGGTATGATTCACCCCTCGCGTACTACTGTGAATACTTGATTAAATAACAAATGTCTATCCAAGACAAACATTACTTCATGTCCATTATCTAAAAAATATCTTGAGTTTTCTTCATTAGGTTACAGTTGCTTTGAAAAACACTTTCACGTTACAGTAGTTGGCCTTTCTAATGCAAGATGCGTTTAGAAAGAAATATGTCTTAATGGCTACACACTTTGTATCAACTATTCACATCAACGCTGTTTTTATTTTTGGTAATCCATAATAAATGTATTCACTCATTATGAACAAGTCATGACTTGCCCTTTGTATAAACTATTATTGTGCCAACCAAATACCATTAGGTGTGTGTATGACTTAAAGTTGTTCTGTGATGATACATTAAGTATCATTATGTCGATATTACTGGTTATATATTGGGCAGTGTTGCGGATGGAAGCTTGTTCCTAAAATGAGGTTTGACCTGATTTCTGTTTCTGAAGAGACAGACTATTTGAGTAGAAGTAGGCCTATACGAAAGTCTTTCACCTGCGGTTGAAAAGTCCTACAGCCCTCTTTACTCCTGTTGGCGTTCAATGTCGCAACTGACTAACTTTGGTAGGCCTAAGTCCAGTAGACATGGTACTAGGCCAACGTCACCTTAATAAATGTGGGATTTTATTACGCGTTTTTACCTGTAGCTATCGTCGTTACGGCAGCCGTAACGCGATTTTCAACTGCTATTGTTACGGATTTTATTTAAGTAGTTTTCATTTTCTTTTTTGGGAAATAAAGTTCGAAAACAATTCGGTTGAATGATAGTCTGGTTCCAATAGCCAAAGATTCGGATGTAGATTCTATTACTAGGTCAGGGAACCAGACGGTTCCTTAACGATAGCAGTTGAAAATCGCAATACGGCTACCGTAACGATATCCACTGCGTAATTATTATGCATTCGATTCACCCAAATATCGGGGTATCGTGCCAATACTCATTTTACGCAGGCATGGACAGATGCTTGCGGCAGCTTCCACAGTACTAGAGTCTCCGAAATGCTCTGTAAGCAGTCAGAAACGCAGACATACGAACGTAAACCGATATGTTGTCAGTTTCGCCAATCTCGAAGATTCTCGAAAGTGAATAAACTAGTAAAACATATTAAAAATTCGTTAAAGAGCCATTTTCCCTTGAAATTACAGTTAACTAAATGTTCACGGATTTTTCAACATATTAAGCCAGATTAGGAGTCCGTGAAAGCACCCTTAAGAACGTCCCTTGTTTACCCATGGAGGTAGACCCAGTGTACCGTTATGTATAACCAATGATAATCCTCAGTGGCCAGGGTCATCAAAAAAGTGTGAAAATACCCTTACAGGATTAGTCCTATATAAGCCCCATGTAAATGTCCGTGAAACATCTCTTAAAGATTCTTTTCACGGAGAAGTGGACTTTTAATGAATTTTTAAGGGATGAAAATATGACTGAGACTCGCTGTGTGGATACCAGTTTCCTGTACCCGATATAATCGCTACATAATGACCGCGGATGGCGACCACCGTACTCCGGTCGCCGGTTCATATGCAAATTAGTTTCCTGTGTGGCGCAGCATTGCATCATTCTGGGAAGTCCTGAAAAACGCCACACAAGCCCTGAGGCTACGTGAGTATTTGAAGAGTGTATCATCCAAACGTATATTCATCCATTTGGGGGGGAAAGGGGGAACTGCACTATATACATAACTTTAAAAACATGTACAATTTGTCTGAACAACTGTTGCGTTTAAAATATAGACCAGCGCAGCCTGTCAAACTTTTTAGCTATATAGGCAACCACGAGAGGGCATTTTAGGTTACGAAGTGTGTACCAATTGCCACACATGCAGGCAATTCACAGTGGTGTTTTTTTCTATGAAAGTTGGCAACAATATAACTGTGCACCACGTACTGTCATTGTGTATCGTTATGGTGGATGCACAACGACGACAGATGGTATGCACAGCCGTTTTCCCACAGTAAACTTATGCGCGATTTGACCTCTGTGGGGCCATTGTTGTGCACATTTCTATTGGAATGATGACGTCATACACATCGTGTTTAAACTAGTCGATACTGTGCACACATAGGTTGTCTCGATTGTGCAGGTAGCACTGCGCGTGATAACTGCGACACGACGCCATTTTGTGGCAGTGCAGTATCGGCAGACGAAGTCAAGTTGTGTCGTTAGCCGTGATAAGGGCGCGTATAGGTCTCCAAGGCAACGATCATCCTCATCAAGATGCGAGGATTCCTGATGCCATCACTCTTGCTGTTTTCACTGAGTTTTCTTGTCAACATTCCATGGGTATGGACCCAGGGACTACCGACCCAGGCACCATCGGGTAAGTCATGAAGAAACACAGTACATGGAATCGTAGCGACACATATACAGTTCGGAAAATTTTAACTCGTACAATTGTATCAGATCGTCACTTTATTAGACGGCAGCGCGGCCAGTAGTCAGCTATAATATTATGGGCTGTACAGTGTAGTTAGTCAGTAGGCTACATAACAAAGGCTTAGTATTTCGATGTGCTTAATTATTTACTTCGTCGTTTTCCTGTACATCATAAATTGGTTGAATGCAATATTAATTTTGACGACGAGAGTCATATTGGGGAAAGAATTCCATACCTAGACATCACTAAGGTGACATCCTGTGCACAAACCCTATGAGACTGTGTGAAAAATGTTTTCTCAGTAAATGCTTCAATATATTCCCTTCTAAATTTGACTTTTTAAGGACATTTTATCGCTTTCTGATGGCTGATACTAGTGATAGGTCACTTCAGAGAAAACTTATTGATGATATATGTATGGAATTCTTTCCTGTATTGGATATCCTTGTAAAATAAGTGCATGGATCTGAAGGATACGAAGAACTATGTACTTTTTGACAATTATGATAATTTAAGAATGGCATGCATGGAGGTGCCCTCCTCCGCTCCAAGGGGTCCCAGCAACCTAGCCCCATAAATGAGGCCAATTTACCGGACTACCTCCGTAAATAAAGACTACACTTCCACCATATACAAAAACTTGTCGAACTTTGCCAAATTTAGATTTTCTCATTTAGGCTTAGTCTGTAGTTTATTTTTGCTTTAGAAGCATACTCACCCTCTTTATAGGCTAATCAGAGAGTGCTGCCTTTTTCAGATGTCTAATTTTCGTGAAATTTTCAGATTCGTTTGCGCACGTTTGCGTATCAAAATGTCAACACGAAATTTCACGAAAATTAGACATCTGAAAAAGGCAGCACTTTCTGATTAGCCTATAAAGAGGGTGAGTATGCTTCTAAAGCAAAAACAAACTACAAACTAAGCCTAAATGTGAAAATAAAAATTTGACGTAGTTCAACATGATTTTGTACATGGTGGAAGTGTGGCCTTTATTTACGGAGGTAGTCCAGTAAATTGGCCACATTTTTATGGGGTTACCAGCAACCCTGAATTATGCAGTCGAGAAAGAATGTAGTATCCAGACGCCACTTCAGCGGTTGTGTACAAAGTCTATGGAGAGTCAAGACAATTTTCTAACAACATTATTTCCAAGTATTTCCTAACAAATGTGGAATGTTTCTCAGTCTCAGATGTATGTCTTTTCAACATTTTTGCACTGACTGACCTTTATTGAGATGATATATGAAGAAAAAAGTGGCGTCTGGTTCGAGTGGTTGCAACATTCTTTCCGGAAAGATGTATGTATACGAAGTTCACTCAACACTCTGCAGGTGTACAAACCCTATGAGAGTGGACTGAAATTTTTAAAGTGTTTTCTAAGAAAATGCTTGTATTTTCTCACTGCTCAAATTGACTTTGATGACATGAAATTGCTATCTGGGGGCTTGTTAGTCAATACAGAGGAAAATTAGTGAACTTTGCATATGGTAATCTTGCCTTCTTTTCATATCGTTCAGATCGGAAACATTATTCAGTCTGCTTTCGGCTCAAGTAAGGCACGAATTTAAGTGACATTGGTTAATACTTAACATTGAGTGGGTGAAGGGAGATACTACAAAATATTTTTCCAAATTTAAGCTGGTTTATTTTGAAAATGCGACGTCAAGTGTACCGATGCCACTTTTCTATAGTTCCGGATGGGTTGAAGATTTTCCGGACCGGATCAAAAACTGCTTCGCGAAAAGAAATTATCACGCGAGAAAATAAACTTTTTTTAGCCGGGACCACCCGAAAAGCAGTTCATTCAAGAGAACTCAAGCAAATTTTAAAAAGATAGTTAACCTAAAATGTTTTTGAAACTTTTGTCCTGCAGCGCGACGAGCACGTACGGACCGATAAAACCTTTGACCCATCACATGCACAGAACACGTCACATAAAATTTATTACGCGCGAGCATTTGGGTCACGAGCGGCGAAGCCGCGAGGCACGCGACTGGTCTTTTTTCGTGTCAGAATCAGGGGCCCCATGCGTCCGGGTAGACGCGCGCGCCTTGACTAAAGGCTAACTGTACTGTGGTTAGTCTGGTTCCCAGACCAAAAGATTTTGACCATTCCTGATGAATCTTAGATCAGGTCAACCTCGTCCCCAGTGCTTACTTTATTTCCAACCACGTTTCCAATAGTAAGCCCTGGATAGGAAACTTTCTTCCTGTGTCCTGATTCGATACCGCAATTGGCTAGAAATGGATTTATATCGTGTACTTGGTGTTGCTATTCACACCGTGCAGTACGTGTTGTCGCGATCATTCGTCCACGCATTCTCGAAAATATTCATTTCCTTTCCAATTTATTAATATTAATATGATGTGATACTGCATGTTGTCTCGTTAAGATCGTTACAGTTTAATTAAAATAAAATCGTGTTTTCGTTACTCATCACGCCATGCTCGCGTTTTCGTTGCTCACGCCATGCTCGCGCTGCGACGAATTGATTCTGTGTTTCCCCAGACACCGCATACAAAAATAAACGCAAATGCAGCGCACAGGCAGGCTATTCCTCATTTGCATACGTGTTCAAAAATCTTGAACATGCAAATGATCCAATACCAGGGTGAGAGAGCAGGTAGTAGTGGGCGCGTACTGCTCGACACCCTGGGGACTACGTTGTAGGTCAGCTAGCCTCCGGTAATACATTGTATTACAATTTAGGTCACGTGACTAAAACGGGAGGAATTCCTCTTTTTTTCTGAAAATTTCCGAAGTTTGCCGAATTCGTTTCGTCGACAATCGGATAGCGCCCGATTATTCCGAGTATAATATAGGTTTAATTAACTGCTAATTGCTTTTTTTTTTTTTAATTGAGTTGATCATTAATATTCATTGCTTTCATTTACAAAACTTGAAATTCAACGACGATTTTGTGCATCAATATACTTGGATCGTATGGGCGAACTTTTTGCTGCGTCATGTACAATTTTGAATTTGACGACCGTTACCGAGATTTTTCAAAACTCGGTCTTCATTCGGCTCTGCCTGCTAACAGTGCTATTTGGGTGCCTAATTTTGAAGATTCCAGATCAACATTAGTCAATGTCATCTTACTGAAGCATCAAACTGTATTATCGTGACTGTATGATGTTACGAAGCAAGTGATTTATTTAAAAATTTGATCAGAACATTCAAAGCTAAAAGTGATAAAGCGAAATCGGAAACGAAGCCGAGCTTTGAAAGGGCCATCAATGTCGTCATGTTTATTTTTAGCCACGGAGGCTGCCTGACCTACAATTTAGACGTGAGCGTCGGGATATAGACCTTTCTACGCTTGGTTGGCAAACTGCACTTTTGCCAACCACGGGTTGCAATACTATGGAAGGTCCAAGACTGCAAAAATGAAAACGAGTTATTACAGATAACCCAAAAATTATTTTATTGTTGGAAATACAACATTGTCAACAAAGCTACAACATAATTCCTAAACATGCCTTTTTACTTTGTATTGAGGGCGTTTTGGGGAATTTTTTGGGAAAAACATGTTGTCAATCACGGCTTCAATATATGCGCCTGCGGCAGCCCATATAAAATGGCGCCAATGTTTACAAACAAAAGAAAGGTCTATTGTCAGGACTGGGAACCAGACTATACTGTGGTAGACGGCAAAAGGAAATCCGGCCCTCTTGTGAAAAATGAGGAACACCAGGGTACTGATAGTGAATAATTGACAGAGCCAGAGAAAATAAACCCCACACTGGGCATGCTGGTTTTTGATGATGATTTCTGTTTTACACTATAATTAACTCCTTATTCAGTCGACTCACTCCCAAAATGATAGTGTGAATTTGAACTTTCATAAAACTTGAGCGTATCATCAAATCCTAAATGGATGTATCTAAAACGGCACAATCATCCCCTTGAGCTCAAGCAAGACAAGAATTCTTACAGTTGGGAACGTTAAGTCAGAACGTTAATAGCCGAAGGGGAACCTTTTTTTATATTTTTTTTTTTTCTGTTTTATTCAAAGATACAATCAACAATTAAATAACAATAATCTATGTACATGCACAGTTAATCGAAGGGGAACCTGAAGGCACCTTTATAACTGCTTGTTACAATAGTTGTAACTATTGAGCAATTCCAATACCAGACAATCCAAAACCTGAATCAATCAACTTGGCTAAAACCGCATTAAAAAAATGCTGTTTGGTTAAAAGAGAGGCCATATATTGGGCATACTCCGTCAAAATTAGGCCAACCTACTTACAACTGACAATGTCCTTTAAATAGAGGAGCTTTGGGTGGCGGCGCGACAATTGTTTTTATTTTCAAATCAGTTTAGATGTCGTTTCATCAATGGACTGTCACAATGAAAAATATTTAATGGAGCACACTTAGCTCCAGCGGCGTAGCCAGGGTTCTCATCCGGGGGGGGGGGGCGTTTTTTGCTTTCCAAGGGACGTGACAATTAACAACCACTCACGACAAAAAAAATGAAAATTTGATGAAAAATAAGCACACAATAGCGGGAAAAAGGGACTTTATGTTCTTCCATCCAGCTAATCATGGTTACTCTTCTCGGATGCCCAATTTTCAGTGGGGGGGGGCGTGCGGCCCCCCGCCCCCTCCCCACGAAGCTACGCCGCTGGTTAGCTCCTAAGCGTCCCTGGATACAGTGAAGTTTCTCATATTCCACCTTATAAAAGTTTCTCATAGGTCAACAGTTTGCCCAACTCTCTCCTGATTGGATGAGAGCCTCTTTTAACTCTGTATCTAATCTGCATAATATAGAATTGCATTATATTGTTATGCCTAGTGCGTTCTAGAAATTTCCACGCTATCTATGATTAGCCAGATAATTATATGACTATAAACATAGACTTGTCTTAAGTCACTTAGTAGACCAAAATAAATACTAAAGCCAACAAGTAATGTCACTGAGTATAAATGAGTTTATCTTTGGTGGATAAAGTATGTTGACGGAGAACTAACTACATTGTATACGTTTAGTTTTAGTTCGCCTTGTTGGTGGCAGCTCTTCCAACGAAGGTCGAGTAGAGGTCTACTATCAAGGCGAGTGGGGTACGGTCTGCGATGATTATTGGGACCTACAAGATGCTAAGGTCGTCTGTCGCATGCTTGGTTACCCTTCTGCATCCAATGCTTGGAGCAATGCTCACTTCGGCCAAGGATCAGGACAGATCATACTTGACGATGTGAATTGCGGAGGCTATGAATCAAGCATCGCTGACTGTGCACACAGTAGCTGGTTCAGTAATAACTGTGGGCATAGTGAAGATGCCGGAGTAACTTGTGAAGCCACAACTCAAATACCAGGTTGGCGCATCTGTTAGCCAAAGAAAAAAAAACTGATTACTTCATTTGTAATTCATTTTCGATTAAAGCTCACCTATTATAAACGAGGGTTGGGGTTGGGTCCTTTACGATAGTGTTTTTGTTGTTGTGTTGTCAGTTGTCAATACTTTTGATCAGGTTTGTATGTGATGTGTGACTGCCATCACCCCAAATTCATTACATTCTTACAAGTAATAATTGAGACCATGGACAGCTAGTGGACAATACTCTGTATATAATTATGTAAACATATTTGCGATATATTTTTTGTTAAGCTGTGAAAAAAGGACGCTTTGAGGGTTTCGGGGCTTTTTTTAGGCACCCTGTGTTAGTAGTAGATTTGTCGGTTTTTTTTTTTTGCAGTAGTACAGCACGTGTACCTTTTTTTACTATTTTCAGCTGCTACGGTACGTCTAGTTGGTGGCTCTGCAGCCTCGGAAGGTCGAGTTGAAGTCTACTACAGTGGACAGTGGGGTACCGTCTGTGATGATGAGTGGGACATCAACGATGCTAGAGTCGTTTGTCGTCAGCTTGGCTATGCTTATGCCGTTGGGGCAAAGAGTGGTGCTTATTTTGGGCAGGGATCGGGTAGCATCCTCTTGGATAATGTTCGTTGTACCGGATCTGAGTCGACTCTATCAGAATGTGATCATGCCCCGTGGGGACAAGATGATTGTAGTCATGGCGAAGATGCAGGCGTCATCTGCAGCTATTCCCCGACTACTCCCGTGCCTGACGGTAAATTTTACAATCAAGAATGTGCTTAAATATAGAAACCAAAATGCTGAAAAGGCGAATCTCAAAGTACCACACTTATTTTCCTGTTGCTTTAGTTTCAGTTCGTCTTGTTGGTGGCATCTCCTCCTACGAGGGTCGAGTAGAGGTCTACTATCAGGGCGAGTGGGGTACAGTCTGCGATGATGGATGGGACTTACAAGATGCTGAGGTCGTCTGTCGCATGATTGGTTACCCTTCTGCATCCAATGCTTGGAGCAATGCTCACTTCGGCCAGGGATCAGGAAGGATCATCCTTGACGATGTTAGCTGCTATGGCTATGAATCAAGCATTGCTGAATGTTCACACAGAAGCTGGTTCAGTAATAATTGTGGGCATAGCGAAGATGCTGGCGTAACTTGCGGTGAAACAACTCCGATCCCAGGTTGGTGCATCTGTTAGCACAAAAAAGAGTTGATTACTTAATTTTTACTTCGTTTTCAATTAAAGCTCACCTTTTAAGAACAAGGGTTGTGGTTGGTGTGTGTGCTGTCAGTTGGTAATACTTTTGATAAGGTTTTAATGTGATGTGTGATGACTACCATCACCCCAAATCCACCCGAAGGTGCAGGCGTCATCTGCAACCATTCCTCGACTACTCCCGTGCCTGACGGTAAATTGTGCAATCTAGAATATACTTAAATATTGAAACCAACAATGTTGAAAAGGCGAAGGTCAAAGTACCAAACTAATTTTCCTGTTACTTTAGTTTCAGTTCGTCTTGTTGGTGGCAGCTCCTCCAATGAGGGTCGAGTTGAGGTCTTCTACCAAGGCGAGTGGGGTACAGTCTGCGATGATGGATGGGACCTACAAGATGCTGAGGTCGTCTGCCGCATGCTTGGCTTGCCTTCTGCATCCAATGCTTGGAGCAATGCTCACTTCGGCCAGGGATCAGGAAGGATCACCCTTGACGATGTTAGCTGCCATGGCTATGAATCAAGCATCGCTGACTGTTCACACAGAAGCTGGTTTAGTAGTGATTGTGGGCATAGTGAAGATGCTGGAGTAACTTGTCGTGAAACCACAACTCCGATCCCAGGTTGGTGCATCTTAAGCAAAAAAAAAGAGTTGATGACTTCATTTTTACTTCATTTTCAATTAAAGCTCACGTATTAAGTACAAGGGTTGGGGTTGGTGTGTGTGTGTGTGTTGTCAGTTGGTAATACTTTTGATAAGGTTTGTATGTGATGTGTGATGACTACCATCACCCCAAATCCACCCGAAGATGCAGGCGTCATCTGCAACCATTCCTCGACTACTCCCGTGCCTGACGGTAAATTTTGCAATCTAGAATGTACTTAAATATTGAAACCAACAATGTTGAAAAGGCGAAGGTCAAAGTACCAAACTAATTTTCCTGTTGCTTTAGTTTCAGTTCGTCTTGCTGGTGGCAGCTCCTCCAATGAGGGTCGAGTTGAGGTCTTCTACCGAGGCGAGTGGGGCACAGTCTGCGATGATGGATGGGACCTACAAGATGCTGAGGTCGTCTGCCGCATGCTTGGCTTGCCTTCTGCATCCAATGCTTGGAGCAATGCTCACTTCGGCCAGGGATCAGGAAGGATCACCCTTGACGATGTTAGCTGCCATGGCTATGAATCAAGCATCGCTGACTGTTCACACAGAAGCTGGTTTAGTAGTGATTGTGGGCATAGTGAAGATGCTGGAGTAACTTGTCGTGAAACCACAACTCCAATCCCAGGTTGGTTGTCTGTTAATCAAGAGAAATGTTTACTTCATATTTACTTATTCATTTTCGATTAAAGCTCACCTATTATGATTAAGGGTTTGGGTTTAATATGTCCTTTATGATGGCTAGTACATGTATAAACTGAATGTGATGTTTTTGTTGTTTGTGTTGTCGGTTGTTAATACTGTTGGTCAGGTTTACCTGTGCTGTGCTACTTCGTCGGTGTGTATCTCCTTTTATTAGTTAATTAATGATTCATTAGTAGCAAGGGCGGATCCAGAACACAATTTTTTGGGGGAGCCAAAAAAAATCTTGGTCCCCAAAAAAGTGGGTCAAAAACATTACGGCGTGGGGTCCGGGGCCCGCTGAAGGGCTCCGGATAATGTTTGGATTCTAGATGCTCTGTGGGGCGATCTGAGGCAATTTCTGATCACTTTAACCAATGTTTTTTTAGGCAATGTCTGAGGCAATTTCTCATCACTTTAACCAATGCTTTTTTAGGAAAAGATGGTGGTGTACTCATTGCCTGCTGTTATTGCAACGTCACATAAAAAATTAAAACAAAATTGGTTTCTTTTTTTTGGGGGGGGGGCATGGCCCCCTTTGGCCCCCACCCTGGATCCGCCCTTGATTAGTAGTAGAGTTGTACGTTGGTCGGTTGAAAATTGTAGTGCTACAGTACGTTCTGAAAACATCTTATCATCGTTGACCGTTTCAGCTGCATCGCTCCGTCTAGTGGGTGGCTCTGCAGCTTGGGAAGGTCGAGTTGAAGTCTACCACAATGGACAGTGGGGTACTGTCTGTGATGATGAGTGGGACATCAACGATGCTAGAGTCGTCTGTCGTCAGCTTGGCTTCCCTTCTGCATCCAATGCTTGGAGCAATGCTCACTTTGGCCAAGGATCAGGACAGATCATGCTTGACGATGTCAACTGCTATGGCTATGAATCAAGCATTGCTGAGTGTTCACACAGCAGTTGGTTTAGTAATGACTGTGGGCATAGTGAGGACGCCGGAGTTACTTGCAATTCACCAGAAGCAGGTCAGTGTACTCTGAGAATTAAAACTCCTTAAAATTACGGATCTTTTTCGTCTCTGTTGTGGCGTTCATTTCATGAAAACTACATACTTTTCCGACTGCTAGTTTAATATCGATCAGTATTTTGTGTGTGGAAGCTTGCAGCTGAAAGGAGTATCGGTTTAAATTATAAAGACTGTTTTGTTTGATTGCTGCTCAGGATTTGTGGCGTTTGGCTAGCGAATATTGTATACATGATTGCATTTTCTACAAGTTTCCAAATACAAAAAACGCGCAAAACGGGCGACGAAAACCGACTTTTCATACTGAGTGGCTGTATATATATTTTATATTTTAACTGGGTAGCCAAATCAGAGGAATCTACTACCGTACTCTCTCGTGGGGCCCAGTAAAGAGAAGACAGTGAGAAGAAATTACGGTTTTAGATGTTGGGAATTTTTTTGAGGGAAAACCCACGGGATCAAGTAGGGATTGAAAACCCAATCCACATATTGGCCCAGGCACGAATCAAAACCGGGCCACAGCGGTGGAAGGCGATGAAAGTACTTTCTAAGCCAAACGTACTCCCTGAATATCAATGCGTGATCCCGTTGCCATGAAAACTCCAAATGTGACGCGACTATTCCATGCCGACCTATTGTAACAGTGAAACGGGATGCACATCAACTTGTACAATAGCGAAATCTGATACGACTTTGCCTAGCTCTTTTAATGATTCAGCGTATTTGTTTGTGTTCCTATTACCCCTGTAGGCCTCTCCACTGGTGCAGTTGTATGTATTGCTATCTCTTCTTCACTGTTAGTGATCGCGATCATCGCCATCGTCATCATAGTTGCAGTCAGATATATGCGCAAGAAGCCATCCAACAACATGAACATACCCTTGGCATCGGCCGCTGAACCACCGGCCTCTGACCCGAATTCCAACGGTGCCAATATCCTAGCTAACCCTCTCTATAGTGGGGCCCCCCTTTCCCAGCCCGTACCTCGTCAACCACCTCAAGGCTACTACCCAATGCCCTTCAGTGGCCAGCCCCAAATGGTCCAGTCTCAGGTACCTGGTGCCGGATTTCCCCAGTACAACCCTGCACCAGGGGTTGCTCTGGTATCAAACACCGCCAACGCCCACCTGCCACCTCCTGCATATGCTTCAGTGGCTGTTAGTCTGCCAGCCTACACCGGCATGGCTTCCCAACCTCAGCCCCAGCCCCTGCCTCAGCCCAAGCCCCTGCCCCAGCCCCAGCCCGAGCCCCATCCCCAGCCCCTGTCCCAGCCCCTGTCCCAGCCTCAGACCAAGCCTTAGCCACCGGCCACAGCCCCAGCAACAGCTACAGCCACAAGCCCAACCCGAGCCCCTGCCCCAGCCACAGACCCAGCCCCTGCCCCATGCAGCCACAGACCCAGACACAGACCCAGACCCAGCCATAGGCCCAGCCCCAACCTCAGTCCTCGGCCCCAGTTTACGAGTCCTCTTTGCCTGGCCCAGATGCTGATGCTGGTAGCACTATCGAAGTTACCAGGACCAACACAAACGGAGTGTCAGTTTAAGAATGTTTGTGATCGAAACTCGCAAACACCGCAAACGATCAAGGATTTTTTTGTATGTTTACAATCTCAGAATTTTTTTAATTTTGACTTGATGCGATATGTTTTAATCGTAATAAATAATAATAATACATGTGTCATTTTCTCCGTTACAGCTATAAAATTGTATGAAACATGAATGCAGTCAGTTGAAGGTGCGAGATTGATTTTGAAAGAAAAAACCTCCGATTTGGGTCTTCAAAAGAAGCTTACTTTGGAACTTTCTAAAATTGCTCCGGAGAAGCATTGTATTTTTTCCAGAACAGATATCAGTTGTTTTAATCCAACTTATAAGATTGTCTTTCATATAGTTTTAGGTATCGCATAAAATGTGAAAATTCGTTAAAAGAAAAAACAAAATACAAACGATTGAAGAGCGTGAAAATTGTATCGTTGCATATGCTAACACTCAGATGGTTAGATATTGATTTTGAGTATTGCTTAAACGTTTATTTGCTTATGAAGGGTACAATTATCATATAATCGAGTTTAAGAAAGGTAGTTAGATATTGAGTTTGAGCATTGCTTGAACGTTTATTTGCTTATAAAGTATACAATAATCGAGTTTAATCAAGATCGTTAGATATTGATTTTGAACATTGCTTGAACGTTTATTTAGGGAATAGGCCTCTACAACGTGTGCTTGGTCGGTTTTAAATAATTTGTTTAAGACCGGTTTGGAGTCTGGATGCTGATAATGACCCGAGCCGAAGCACATATTTATACCGGCCAAGCACATATTTATTTCCATTCATTAATACCTTTTCGGTCCAAAAGCCAAAATGTTTCGGTCCAAAAAGCAAAACAAATAAAAAAAAAACCCACATATATATATGCATTTCCGACGATTTTGTTCAATGTTTTTTTAAACGCCCCTCTAGCTATATCATGGTATTTGCCTCTCAACCGTTTAAGACCGGTCACGTGACGGGCTCTCAACCAATATGTATGGGTAAACTGGCTTTAATTTTTATGCTTATATAATTATTGCTTATAAAGTATACAATAATCATATAATCCATTTTAACCAAGATGGTTAGATATTGTTTGAACATTGCTTTGACGTTTACTTGTTTATGAGGAATATGTTAATCATGTACTAATCGAGTTTTATCAAGATGCTTAGATATTGATTTTGAACACTGGTTGAACGTTTATTTGCTTATAAGGTACACAAAAAATAATTATATAATCGAGTTTAATCGACATGGTTATAGATATTGATTTGGAACATTGCTTGAACGTTGATATGTTTATAAAGTATACAAAAAACCTATTTAATCGAATTTAATCAAAATGGTTAGACATTGAGTAAAAAAACACTGCTTGAACGTTTATTTGCTTAAAAGTGTACACACATAACATAATCGACTTTAATCAATTCAAGATGGTTACACATTGATTTTGAACATTGATTGGATATTCACTTGTTTATGAAGGACATACATTGTATAAACCATTTGATCGATTTTAATCAAGTTGATAACCTTTGAATGGTTTAAACGTTTAAGTGAAATGCCTATTCACAATCACACTGTGTAGATTAGTAATCAAGGATTAGAAAAGTTGCTGCTAAACAAACCCTTTCTCTTGCGACAAATGTGATTGCATTGCCTATTCATTTTCGATGAATAAGCAAAACTATGTATAATACCACTTGTAATCGGCTATTCATAGGACGCAAAGGCTCGTTAAAGTGCCCAAAAGCATTAGTAATATCTCTCAATTGTCTTTCAAATTTGTATTTTATTAAATAGTAAGGACAATCATTTTTATTCTCACTGATTGTAATCAAGATAAATGTTTTACTAGCAGTTGTTATTACACAGATTTAATACATTTAATATGAGGAGAATCGTCTTTCAATTCAGTCTTTCAAATTCGTATATTTTATATTGTGTGGTTTTAGGCGAAAAGAAATGGTAAGAAGAAAGTGATTTTTACGGATAATATTTTTACTAGCAGTTTTTAGGAGTCCATATACTGAGCTTTAAGCTTATTTGTTACTATTTTTGATAACTATTACTCAGATTTTTGCTATGATTATTTTTGTAACAGAACATCGTTTGTTCATTATATTTGAGATAGCCTTTGCCCTATAGCGAAAAGCTTAAAGTTTATAAGTAAAGGTAATGCACAACATTTGCTGTTGCTGTACTTTTCAGAAATGGATGGAATGGGGGTTAGTATTTTATAGAAACAAAATTTGGTTCATAGATGCTGGGGAAACCAAGAAATAAATGCTGTTCTTGTAGTTTGGTTCCCTGACCCTACCTCAGACGAAACGGAGCACTTGAGAGTTATCGGGGAATCGTCAGGTCAGGGAACCAGACTAGCTGGTTCGATTCACGGATGTGTAACCGATTGCAAACAAGAATGTGAACTTACTCAATTTGTGTACTTTGGGGCAGTATTTGAAAAAAGTCAGTCAACTATGGTCGGCCGACCATCGTTTGAAATCGATACGAACATTTTTCATTATTGAAAAGGATAGTAGGCCTACATCAGGTGCCATGATTTCACATGATGCTTGAGACTAATGTTCACTTTCAGTCAAGTAGGGTATTTCGCAATGATTTGGTAATTTTGTTTTGTTGATGTTTGCAAAGGACATTGCCTTTACTATTGTAGAATGTACTTGCGCCTCTTTTTTCATATACAGTTCAGAAGAGTGAATAGTAGTAGGTGAGGGGTGAATCATGCCATGTTTTGTGAGGAGGAAGGAAGAGCTCAGGGCATCGCACGCTTAACCCGTTCCACTACCCTCCTCCGTGCAACATTCTGAGCCCCGCCCTCTCCCCTCCTCCGCCTCCATGCAAAGGTCTTCCTCCTCCTCCTCTCTCAACTCCTCGTCCTTCTCCTCACAAAACAAGGCATGATTTACGCCTCAACTACTACTGTGAATACTTGATTCAAAACAAACGTATACATGTATATCCAAGACAAAAGTATCTCAAAAAATATCTTTATATAAAGGTCACGAGTTTTCTTCATTAGGTTACATATGTGCTTTGAAAAACACTTTCACGTTATAGCCTTGGCCTTGGCCTAAATCATAGTTCCAAATTGTTATAAACTATTCACATAGCGCTGTTTTCATATTTCATGAAGTTTGGTAATCCAAAATAAATCTGTCCCACTTAATATGATGAACAAGTCATGCCCGGCCACTTCGCCGCTTTCCTATACCCGATACCACTTTCACAATAATTACTCATCCCAAATAGTGTAACGATTACACATATTAATGAAGCTTTGGTCTCGATATCTTGAAAGTACATGTAATAGTTTGTAATGTTTGTTTACACGAGGACTACATATTGACCGCGGATGGCGAGCACTGTACTCCGGTCAGGTCACATGCAAATTAGTTTACTGTGTGGTGCGGCATTGTTCACTCAGAAATCCCAAATCCGATCACGCCACACAAGCCATTCAAACCAACGTACCAGCAAGCATTTGAAGAATGAACATGTATTTCCAAAATACGTATAGGCCTATTTACCCATTTGGGGGAAAAAGGAAAAAGTTGCACTATGTATCGTATAAAACATGTCAAATTTGTCTTGATAACTTAAAAGTATAGGCCTATGCCGAACAGCCAGTCAGAACTTACTTTGTAACTAAAGGCAACAAGGACAGGGAATTCTAGGTTACGAAATGGCGTTTCATTAAAGCGTTTTGGAAGCAAAGTTTTTATATCAAGATATAATTAAATGTTTGACTAGTAATCCCATATAATTATTCATACTAAATATAATGTGTTTACGTCACGATCCATGTGTGCAAGTATGATAAAGTGTACCAACCAATTTTACTGATTGCCACGCATTCCCAGTGGGATAAAGATTTTCTTATGCAAATCGCAAACAATCTAACGAAACCGAGACTGCGCACGTCGTCTTTGTGTCGTTATAGTAGATGCACAACAACAAAAGAAGTCGATCCACCATCATACAACATTGTCAAGATTGTGCAGGAAGTACTGCGCGTGTCATAACTGCTATACGACGCCATTTTGTGGCACGGTGCAGTATCGGCAGACGAAGTCAAGTTGTGTCGTTAGTCGTGATAAGGGCGCGTATAGGTCTCCAAGGCAACGACCATCCTCATCAAGATGCAAGGATTCCTAATGTCATCCCTCCTGCTGTTTTCACTGAGTTTTCTTGTCAACATTCCATGGGTATGGACCCAGGGACTACCAACCCAGGCACCATCGGGTAAATCATGAACAGACATAGTACATGTAATCGTAGCGACACATACAGTTCAGAAAATTTGAACTCGGAGAATTACCTATCAGATTGTCACTTTATTAGACGGCAGCGCGGCCAGTAGTCAGCTATAATATTATGGGCTGTACAGTGTAGTTAGTCAGTAGGCTACATAACAAAGGCTTAGTATTTCGATGTGCTTAATTATTTACTTCGTCGTTTTCCTGTACATCATAAATTGGTTGAATGCAATATTAATTTTGACGACGAGACCATCATACAACATTGTCAAGATTGTGCAGGAAGTACTGCGCGTGTCATAACTGCTATACGACGCCATTTTGTGGCACGGTGCAGTATCGGCAGACGAAGTCAAGTTGTGTCGTTAGTCGTGATAAGGGCGCGTATAGGTCTCCAAGGCAACGACCATCCTCATCAAGATGCAAGGATTCCTAATGTCATCCCTCCTGCTGTTTTCACTGAGTTTTCTTTTCAACATTCAATGGGTATGGACTCGGCTAGGTAAGTGTACACCGAGACAGACTTGTGGAATCGTGGGGACACACAGTTCGGAGAATCCGGGGGGGGGGGGGCTTAGCCCAATTAATGTGGCCTATTTACTGGACTACCTCTGTAAATAAAGGTCACACTTGGGGAATTAACTCACAATGTTTGCACTTGTTACCGAATTTATTTTCACATTCAGATAGTATTTTCACATTCATAGTTGATTTATGCTCTAAATAAACACTCACATTGCTAATAACAAATATAGGCCACATTTATGGGGCTGGGGGGGGGGGCTGAGCTTGCACCTTTTATGTATACCTTCACATCGTCACCGTTTTGTACAGACAATGCTAGTTTGAATATGGGATATAGAGCGGCCAGTAGTCAGCTACATGTCATGGGCTAAGTATTTGATGTGTTTTTCTAGTTTTGTTGTACGCAATTGGGCAATTTTGTTTGTGTCGATGATAGTCACATAATTATATTAGATATCCTTTTAAAGTAGTGCACTGATGGATACAGTGCAAAAAGTATATCCTGTTGTCAATTTTTTTTTACCCAAAAAATAAATGCTCCATAAAAATCATATTGCAGAGAGCAGTTACTTGTGGAAAATTGGCAAAGCTGGCTTCATTTCAAGTTTTTTTTTAAAGAGGATATGACCCGTAATTAAGCAGAGAGACCTAAAGAGGTAAATGGCGAAGAACAAAGATTCGATATTGTAGATCCGAACATGTCGCATAAGGCCTTGGATTCATCAGTTAGTTGCGACTTGTTGTCGATATGCTACACGGGCTGACTGTGATTAAAACGTTCAGGAAACAACTAATTAAAATTGTTTAATGCTTTTCTCTTCAATGAAATTATAAATTACAAAAAAAAACTTGATAAAAAAATAAAAATACATTAAAAACTTGACTATTTCTCCATCCACTCCGATCCTTTTTACCCCATTTCAAGAATTAGGTCCTTAGATTCAGAAATACAATCAATAAGTGAAAGGGGTAATTTTTACTTAGGCCACTCTCAACTGTGATGGCACCAATTTCAATACCTATTCAATTCATATTCAGTGCTTTACCTAGATTCATCAGTGTTTGAATCCGGCTGGCACTTTACACATCTTAATTGAACGTAACATAGACAAAGATTGACGTCATCTTCGGTCATGTGACCTCATCTCAAAGGTGCATGTTTTAATGGCCTGTAAATGGAGAACTTGACTACAGGGTGAGCCAGATTGATCTGGACCCAAGAAAATATGAAAAAATAAGTAGCAATTATCAAAGCAAGTGCGAATGATTATGTTATTGGCTAGCATTTTTAACACACTTTGTTAAATTTTCATGTATTTCCAAAGAACACACGCTAAAACACTCTGACCACGGTTTCATGGTTCAACAAATTGACAGTGAAATCGCGTACTAATGCATTTTAAACAATGCATGGAACCATGGAACCGTGGTCAGAGTGTTTTAGCGTGTATTATTTGGTAGCGCTTGTCTTCAAAATGGTACAATTTATATACAGTAAACTTTCACACACAAAACTGCCCAAATTACCAGCATATAACATATCTCGTTTGCATTTGATTATTGCTACACATTTTGTATATTTTCTTTAAGTTGGTTCCAGAGCATTCTTACTCACCCTGTACACATCGGATTGGGTTGAAATTTTGTATATGGGCCTACATAGACAATTCAGGATGTGTCAAGAGATGGTTCAATCGTCCTTGACGATGTGAATTGCCAAGGATACGCATCTAGCATTGCTGGATGTCAACACCGTAGCCGTTAGTAATACTGTGGTCATAGCGAAAATGCCTCAGTTATTTGTGACCCAGATCGGTAGTCTATTGCATTTACTTCTTTGTAAAAACCTGGCCTATGTGCTTTCCAACAGCATTATGCCTGATTGTGATCAATACGTTGACAAACATACTGTGTCTCATTCTCATTCTTTATAATACCCTTCATTCAGTTTCAGTTCGTCTTGTTGGTGGCATGTCCTCCAATGAGGGTCGAGTTGAGGTTCTCTACCTAGGCCATTGGGGTACAGTCTGCGATGATGGATGGGACCTTAATGACGCCAAGGTCGTATGTCGCATGCTTGGTTACCAGTCGACATTCGGCCATGCTTGGAGCAACGCCTTCTTTGGCCAAGGCTTTGGACGGATTATCCTTGACGATGTCAACTGCTATGGCTTTGAATCAAGCATCGCTGCCTGTCCACACGGCGGCTGGTTTATTAATGATTGTGGGCATAGCCAAGATGCTGGAGTAACTTGCTTCGGAACAATGACAAATCCAAGCACAGGTTGGTGGTCTGTTAATCAAGAGAAAATGTTCTTTTTTTTAAACTTTATTTTCGATTAAATCTCACCTTTTATGAATGAGGGTTGAGGTTAGGTCCTTTACGATGGCTAGTATATACCGTCTGTGATGTTTTTGTTGTTTGTGCTGTCGGTTGTTCAAACTGTTCGTCAGGTTTAACTATGCTGGACTACTGAATTGGTGGGCATCTCCTTTTATTAGTTACTTGATGATCTTTTAGTACGTGTAGTAGATTTGTAGGTCTGTTGATAAATTGAAGTGCTATAGTACGTTCTGAAAATCGTATCCTGTTGACTGTTTCAGCAGCACTGGTCCGTCTAGTTGGTGGCTTTGCATGGGAAGGTCGAGTTGAAGTCTACCACAATGGACAGTGGGGCACCGTTTGTGATGATGAGTGGGACATCAACGATGCTAGAGTCGTCTGTCGTCAGCTTGGCCATGCTTATGCCGTTGGGGCAATAAGTGGTGCTTATTTTGGACAGGGATCGGGTAGCATCCTCCTGGATAATGTTCGTTGTCTTGGCTTTGAGTCGAGTCTGTCAGAATGTGATCATGCGCCGTGGGGACACGAAGATTGTAGTCATGCCGAAGATGCAGGCGTCTTCTGCGGCCATTCTCCGAGACCGACTACGACTACTCCCATTTCTGAAGGTAAATTTTACATTCTAGAATGTACTGAAATATAGAAACTAACAATGTTGAAATGGGGAAGGTCAATGTATTAATTAATTGTCCTGTTGTTTTTTGTTTCAGTTCGTCTAGTTTTAGTTCGCCTCATCGGTGGCAGTTCCTCCTATGAGGGTCGAGTTGAGGTCTTCTACCGAGGCGAGTGGGGCACAGTCTGCGATGATGGATGGGACCTACAAGATGCTGAGGTCGTTTGCCGCATGCTTGGCTTGCCTTCTGCATCCAATGCGTGGAGCAATGCTCACTTCGGCCAGGGATCAGGAAGGATAATCCTTGACGATGTTAACTGCTATGGCTTTGAATCAAGCATCGCTCACTGTTCACACAGAAGCTGGTTTAGTAATAATTGTGGGCATAGCCAAGATGCTGGAGTAACTTGCGGAGCCACAACTCCGATCCCAGGTTGGTGAATCTGTTAGCAAAAAAGGAGTTGATTACTTCATTCTTTCTTTGTTTTCAATTAAAGATCACCTATTAAGAACAAGGGTTGGGGTTGGTGTGTGTGCTGTCAGTTGTTTTGATCAGGTTTGTATGTGATGTGTGATGACTACCATCACCCAAAATCCACCCGAAGATGCGGGCGTCATCTGCGACCATTCATCGACTACTCCCGTGCCTGACGATACATTTTGCAATCTAGAATGTACTTGAATATAGAAACCAAAAATGTTGAAAAGGCGAAGGTCAAAGTACCACACTAATTTTCCTATTGCTTTAGTTTCAGTTCGTCTTGTTGGTGGCAGCTCCTCCAGTGAGGGTCAAGTTGAGGTCTCCTACCAAGGCGAGTGGGGCACAGTCTGCGATGATGGATGGGACCTACAAGATGCTGATGTCGTCTGCCGCATGCTTGGCTTGCCTACTGCATCCCATGCTTGGAGCAATGCTCACTTCGGCCAGGGATCAGGAAGGATCATCCTTGACGATGTAAGCTGCCATGGCTATGAATCTAGCATCGCTGATTGTCAACACAGTAGCTGGTTTAGTCATAACTGTGGGCATAGCGAAGATGCTGGAGTAACTTGCGGTGCCACAACTCCGATCCCAGGTTGGTGCATCTATTAGCAAAAAAAGAGTTGATTACTTCATTCGTACTTCGTTTTCAATTAGAGCTCATTTATTAAGAACAAGGGTAGGGGTTGGTGTGTGTGCTGTCAGTTGGTAACACTTTTGATCAGGCTTGTATGTGATGTGTGATGACTACCATCACCCCAAATCCACCCAAAGATGATGGCGTCATCTGCAACCATTCATCGACTGCTCCCGTGCCTGACGGTAAATTTTGCAATTTAGAATGTACTTAAATATAGAAACCAACAATGTTGAAAAAGGCGAAGGTCAAAGTACCACACTAATTTTCTGTTGCTTTAGTTTCAGTTCGTCTTGTTGGTGGCAGCTCCTCCAATGAGGGTCGAGTTGAGGTCTTCTACCGAGGCGAGTGGGGCACAGTCTGCGATGATGGATGGGACCTCGATGACGCTAACGTTGTCTGCCGCATGCTTAGCTTGCCTTCTGCATCCCATGCTTGGAGCAATGCTCACTTTGGCCAAGGCTCAGGACAGATCGTCCTTGACGATGTCAACTGCCAAGGATATGAATCAAGCATCGCTCACTGTTCACACAGAAGCTGGTTTAGTACTGATTGTGGGCATAACGAAGATGCTGGAGTAACTTGCGGAGAAACCATGAGAACTCCAAACCCAGGTTGGTGGTCTGTTAATCAAGAGAAATGTTTACTTCATTTTTACTTCATTTTTCGCTTAAAGATCACCTATTATGAAAAAGGGTTGGGGTTAGGTGCTTTACGATGGTTAGTATAACGTCTGTGATGTTTGTTTGTGCTGTCGGTTGTTAATGCTGTTGGTCAGGTTTATCTGTGCTGTGCTACTGCGTCGGTGTGTATCTCCATAATTAGTTAATTGATGATCTAGTAGGGTGTTATTGGGTGAGAATAAGAATGCTTAAGACGTGGAATCCTTTGTCATCTGTATGTTACGTTAATTTGAAAACTACACACTTTTCCAAGGATCATTGGGTAGATTGTAAAGACTGTTTTGTTGTATAAAACTGTATAGAACTCTATATGACGCAACTATTCCATGGCAACCTATTCTAAAAGTGAAACGGGAACTTGTGTAGAGTTGCTATTGAATCTTATTAAATGCACATCAACTTGTACAATGCCGGACGTTTGTGAAAGACGAATTTGGCTAGCTCTTTTAACGTCCAACGTAATATATGTGTTCCTCTTTCCCCCAGGCCTCTCCACTGGTGCAGTCGTAGGTATTTCTATCTCCTCTGTAGTGATCGGAATCATCGCCATTGTCATCATAGTTGCAGTCAGAAGCAGGCGCAAGAAGTCTTCACCGACATCCAGCAACATGAACATACCCCTGGCATCGGCCGCTGAACCACCAGCCTCTGACCCGAATTCCAACGGTGCCAATGTCCTAACTAACCCTCTTCATAGAGGGACCCCCTTTTCCCAGCCCGTACCTCGTCAACCACCTCCAGGGTACTGTCCAATGCCCTTCAGTGGCCAGCCCCAATTAATGGTCCAGTTACCTGGTACCGGGTTTCCCAAGAACAACCGAACACCAGGGGTTGCTCCGGTATCAAACACCGCCAACGCCGACCTGTCCCCTCCTGCATATGCCTCAGTGGCTAATAGTCCACCATTCTACCCCGGCAAGGCTTCCCAGCCGCAGCCTCAGCCCCCGCCACAGCCCCTGCCACAGACCCAGCCCCCACCACAGCCCCTGCACCAGTCCCTGCCCCAATCAGAAACCCAGCCCTAACCGTCAACCCAGACTCAGCCAGAGACCCAGCCCCAACCCCTGCCCCAGTCCCTGTCCAGGCCCCTGCCCCAGCCAGAGACCCAGCCCTAACCCTAGACCAAGCCACATGCCCAGCCACAGACCCAGCCACGGACCCTACTCCAGTCCCAGCCACATACCCTGCCCCAAACCCAGTCACACACCAAGCCACAGGCCCAGCCCCTACCCAGCCACATCCCAAGCTCTAGTCTCATCCCAGCCACAGCCCAAGCTCGAGTCCCAGCCCCAGCCCCAGCCCATACCCCTGCCCAAGCCCCTGCCTCAGCCACAGCCCTATCAGCTTCAGCCACAGCCGCATCAGCCCCAGCCCCAGCCCCATCAGCTTCAGCCCCAGCCCCAGTTTCCGAATCCTCTTTGCCTTCTGTGCCTGGACCAAATGCTGATGCTTGTAACACTATCGAAGTTACCGGGCCAACACGAATGAAATGTCAGTTTAAGAATGTTTGTGATCGAAAGTGGCAAAACAAGAAATGTTTACAGTCTTAGAACAATTAGTTTTTGTTGATGTGATATATATTAGCCTCACGTTAAAGTTCTGCATAAAATGTGATTAGCCCTTACTTCCTCCGTTACAGCTATGAATTATATAATAACATGAATGCAGTAATTCAAAAAGGTGCCGACATTGATTTGTAAAAAAAAAACTTCTCCGATTTCAGTCTGCAAACAAACGAACTTTGGAACTTTCTAAATTGCTTCGGAGAAGCATAGGGATTTCGCCAGAACAAATCAAGGTTGCTTTAATCTAAGGTAAAAGATTTTCTCTCATGTAGGTTTTAATATCACGTGTACATCCCAGTTGCAGTATGCTTACTAAGATGGTTAGATATCGATTTTGAACACTGCTTGAACGTTTATTTGCTTATAAAGTATACAATAATCGTATAATCGATTTTATTCAAGATGGTTAGATATTGAGATTGAGCATTGCTTGAACGTTTGTCAGCTTATAAGGACACAAATACCATATAATTGTGTTTATTCAAGATGGTTACATATTGATTTTGAACACTGCTTGAACGTTTGCTTTATATAATCGCGTTTAATCAAGATGGTTAGATATTGATTTTGAGCATTGGTTTAACGTTTATTTGTTTATGAAGCATATATTAACCATATAATCGAATTTAATCAAGTTTGTAAATTTGGAATAGTTTATACGTTAAAGAGAAGTGCCTATTCACGATCACCCTGTGTAGATTAGTCAACAAGGATTCCAGCTGAACAAACCCTTTATTTTGCTCCAAATGTGATTGGATTGTAGTTAATCTTTTTCCGTTAATAAGGAAAACTGTGCAAAAACCACTTGTAATTGGCCATTCACATGATGCAAAGGCTTGTCACAGTGCCCAAAAGTATCAGAAACGTCTCCCAGTTGCCTTTCAAGTTTGTATCTTATAAAATGGCAAGGACAATCATTTATATTTTCACTGATTGTACTCAGGATAACCGTTTTGCTAGCAATTGTTATCACACAGATTTAATACGTTAAAATAAGGAGAATCGTCTTTCACTTCAGTCTTTTAAATTTGTAAATTGTATAAGTGCGATTTTGGGCGAAGAGTAATGGTAAGAAGAAAGTGATTTTTACGGATAATATTTTTACCAGCGGATTTTAGGAGTTCATAGACTTTACTTTAAGCTTATTTGTTGCTATTTCTGATAATTATCACTCAGATAATTGCTATAATTATTTTTGTAACAGAACATCGTTTGTTCATTATATTTTAGATAGCCATTGCCTTATAGCGAAATGCTTCAAGTTTAATTAAAGGTAATGCACAACATTTGCTGTTGCTGTACTTTTCAGAAATGGATGGAATTGGGGTTAGTATTGACCCTACCTCAGACGAAGCGGAGCACTTGAGAGTTATCGGGTAATTGTCAGGTCAGGGAACCAGACTAGCTGGTTTGCGCCCGTTTACGGATGTGTAACCGATTGCAAACAAGAATCTGAACTTACTCAATTTGTGTACTTTGGGGCAGTATTTGAAAAAAAAGTCAGTCAACTGTGGTCGGCCGACCATCGTTTGAAATCGATTCGAACATTTTTCATTATTGAAAAGGATAGTATACATCAGGTGCCATGATTTCACATGATGCTTGAGACTAATGTTTACTTTCAGTCAAGTGAGGTATTTCGCAATGATTTGGTAATTTTGTTTTGTTGATGTTTGCAAAGGACATTACCTTTAATATTGTAGAATGTACTTACTCTTTTTTCAAATACAGTTCAGAAGAGTGAATGGTAATAGGTGAGGGGTGAATCATCCCATGTTTTGTGAGGAGGAGGGTATAGGAAGAGCGCAGGGCATCGCACGCTTAACTTGGACAGGAGGATGAGGAGCATGAGGGAAAAGATGAGCAAATCATTCCCATTTTGGTGAAATCATGAAGCTATCGCGTAACGTCCTCCCTCTTCGTTAGACTACGCCTTCCCCGTTCCACTACCCTCCTCCGTGCAACATTCCTCCTCAATGCAAAGTCCTTCCTCCTCCTCCTCTCTCTCCTGCTCCTCCTCCTCACAAAACAAGGCATAATTTACGCCTCGCCTACTACTGTGAATACTTGATCAAAAAAAAAAAACGTATACATGTATATCCAAGACAAAATATCTCAAAAAATATCTATGTATAAAGGCGGGTTTTCTTCATTAGGTTACATGTGCTTTGAAAAACACTTTCACGTTATAGCCTTTGCCTTTTAAGATGCCTAAATCATAGTTACAAACTTTTGATAAAGTATTCACATAAGCGCCGTTTTCATATTTCATGATGTTTGATAATCCATAATAAATCTGTTCTGCTTAATATGATAAACAAGTCATGCCCGGCCGCTTCGCCCTTTGTATAAATTGTAAATGCCAAATGCCAATTTCATGTGTATGACTGCATAATGTTTTTCTACTATGATAACATTAAGTATGATTAGGCCTATGCCGTTACTGGTTTTATATCGATCAGTATTGCGGATGGAAACTGGTTCCTAAAATAAGGATCGAGCTTACTTCTAAAGAGATCGACTATTTCAGTAAAAGCACACGAAAGTCTTTAACCTACTGCGATTGAATAGTCCTACAGTTGGTCGCATATATCTTTATCATCGTGTATCGTCGTTATCATCGTTTTACCCCAAAATCCTCATAAAAACCCTAACCCTGCCCTTTATCCACGACATCCTGTTGGCGTTCAGTGTCACAAACTGACTTAGTAAGTATAGTAACCTTAGTAAAAGTTGCTTTGTGGCCCGTAACTACACAATCGTAATTATGCATATCCACCGAGTGACGTGACAAAGCACATATACTTTTCGATTTGATCATTCGATAAAACCTCGGGGTATCTTAAAAGTCCACGTATAAGTTTGTGGGTTTTTTTTTTACATGAGGACTACATATTGACCGCGGATGGCGAACACTGTACTTCGGTCAGGTCACATGCAAATTAGTTTCCTGTGTGGTGCAGCATTGTTTATTTGGAAATCCCAAATCCGATCACGCCACACAAGCCATTCAAACCTACGTACCAGCAAGCATTTGAAGAATGAACATGTATTTCCAAACTACGTATAGGCCTATTTACCCATTTGGGGGAAAAAAGGAAAAAGTTGCACTATGTAACGTATAAAACATGTCAAATTTGTCTTAATAACTTAAAAGTATAAGCCTATGCCGAACAGCCGGTCAAAACTTACTTTGTAACTAAAGGCATCCAGGAGAGGGAATTCCGGGTTACGAAATGGCGTTTGATTATAGCGTTTTGGAAGCAATTAAAGTTTTCATATCAAGATATAATTACAAAAGGTTTGACTACTAATCCCATATAGTTATTCATAATAAGTATAACTTATTTAAAATTAGTACTTCGCGTCGTGTCCCTGCGTGCAAGTGTGACAAAGTGAACCAATTTTACTGATTGTAAGCATGCAGGCAATTCCCAGTGGGATATATCTTTTTCTTATAAAAATCGGCAAACAATCTAACGAAACTGAGACTGCGCACGGCGTCTTTGTGTCGTTATGGTGGATGCACAACAACAAAAGTGTCAATTCACCATAAGACCTACGTAGTACACGATATACACGTACATTGCCTGATTGTGCAGAAAGCACTGCGCGTGTCATAACCGCTATATACAACGCCATTTTGTGCGAAGTGCAGTATCGGCAGACAAAGTCAAGTTGTGTCGTTAGTCGTATTAAGGGCTCGTATAGGTCTCCAAGGTAACGACCATCCTCAAGATGCGGGGATTCCTGATGCCAATCCTCTTTCTGTTTTCACTGAGTTTTCTTGTCAACTTTCGATGGGTATGGGCCCAGGAACCGTCGGGTAAGTGTACACTTAGACAGACTTGTGGGAATCATAGCGACATACAGTTCTGAAAATCCGGGGGAATTAGCTTACACCTTTTACGTGGTCACCTGGAGTGCGATGAAACGTGCAAAACTAAATCAGGTCAACTTTACTCACTCTTTAGCAAGCAAATTTCTCCAAAAATTTCGTTTGCCAAAAAAAATATTAGGTCCTCAAATTTTCACCAACCAAGTTTGCAGACTCAATTCAACTTTTAAAGGAGGAATTTCTTCAATATTTTGCACATGAGAGGGAAGTCAAGTGATTTCGAAATGAGGATAAAGACTAGACTGGTACATGTCTAACCATGTTCCAACTATTTGAAAAGACTGACCCTTTCATTCAGTGTCATTAGGCTGGTGGTTGACTGTGGATAAATGTGTAGCAAATAGAGACTAGTTCCCGGTTCATGCCACATCTTTCTTTTGGCACAGTTGATTGATGCAGTACTGAAGGGGTGTTGGACTGGTTGTTTCATGTGCCACTCTATTTTCCTGTATAGCATGTTTTTAACACTTAAGTTTTGGGACTCTTATACACAGTATGTAGAGTCCCAATTTTCGGAAAAAAAGTTTTGGAAAAAAAGTTTGAATATGGGATAGAGCGGCCATCAGCTATATGGGCTCAAGGTGTAGTCAATATGCTTCATGTATAGGCTGTATAAGTATTTCGATGTGTTTTTACTTCCTAGTTTAGCTGTACGTAATTGGATGAATGCAATATTGATTTTGAAGACGATAGTCATATAATATAGTGGATATGCTTTTAAATTAGTGCATGGATCTGAAGGATGCCATACAAGAACTACTTGCTTAGGCCAAAAAAAAAGTCTCCGGTTTCTGGTATGGAGCTTGCCCAAAAAGTGGTGCGGCGACGCGGCTTTTTTTTTTTTTTACCTGTTTTTGTTTGCTTCAAAATGTCGGCTGATGACTGCAAATGGCGCCCGACTAAACTTAGTGCAAATATTATGGGAGACCAGAGAGGCCACATAAAGCTTATTCTCGATCATAACCCCATCGAAAAACACGTTAAAGTTGTGCAGCAGCAGGATTCCAGTCAAACCAGTGAGTTTGGCGGTTTTGAGACATCATCTTTCATTGAAAAAAAAAACCTTTTTCATTTTGCCGACGCGCATGGCTACGGCGACGCGCGCGCATACCAGAAACCGGAGACTTTTTTGGGGGGGGGCCTTAAGTTGAAAGTTTTTTAATATATAATAATGGATCATAAACAAAAAATGAATGCTCCTTAAAAATCATATTGCAGAGCTCCATTACTTGGGTCACCTTCAATAGACCTAAGACCCAATGACGTAATGGCCTTGTTTACATTATGTGCTATCCTATGGGAGCGAAGTCGGGACGCCAGACGAAGTAGGGACCGTCTACAACAAAGGAAAGCGCACATGGAAAACATGACCTGTCCTCCATTTTATATAGACAATCGCTATATAAAATGTCCATAGGTTATACTTTTGCTTTTAGTTGAGGTACCTCCAGATGTATTACAGAATGGGTATTATTTTGTCGTTCACAATACCAAGTGTGTGTCTGGGTGAGCTTGTCTTACATACGCAGTGTGGACTTCCGAACAAAAGACGTCCACATAATGTAGGTAGCAGCGACGAAGTGTGGACTTGCCCACGTCCACACAGTGTTTCCCCATTTCTGGAAAACAGGTTTAGAGGCATTTTGGGGTTAGGTTTATCCGTAGCAGAATGAAGAGAAACACTAAAGGGAATCATTGAAAAAAAATTGGGTTGTAAGAGTTTTCACAGTTTGAGAAAAATGAGTTTTTCCACTGGTGTTCCTTAACTACACGAAAAGAAAGGAAAGTCCACACTAGGTATGTGAAACAAGTATGGGTGGGTGTGTGTGTGTGTGTTAAAGCAGTGGACAATCACTATACAAAATGTCTGTATATTACTTTAGCCTTTATGTGAGATACCTACAGATATTATTTTCCACACCACTTAGTGAGTGTTCATAGTTATATAATATATTTTTGATATATATATATTTTATTTATTTTGATATACTACGGTCACTTGGACCACCATCTTGAATTTGGAATATGTTCTCAAGTAAGACAAATCCGGAAAAGTGCAATGAAGTCTCAAACAAATAATCTCAAATTTCACTTATACATATCACTTACATTTGTTACTTTTCTCAAATTTGACCATTTTTTGGCAGCCATATGGGCAGCCATCTTGAATTTGATTCATGGTAGCAAAACAAAATAATGCTTAAAATGAATTTGTAAGGGTTAAAAGCATTATCTCTAATAATTAAATGCATGCAGTTATCATATTATTTGGCTGATAGATAACATTTTTCTCACATTTGACCACTTTTGGAGGCCATATTGGCGGCCATCCTGGCCGCCATCTTGAATTTGAGGCATGATAGCAAAAAAGGACACCAGAAATGAATTTGTTCAGGGTAAAAGACACATAACTAACAATTTTATTGATGCTTTTATCACATTATTTGGCTGATGTATGACTTTTTTCAAGTTTTTCCCCATTTTGGTGGCCATATTGGCGGCTATCCTGGCCGCCATCTTGAATTTGAAGCATGATAGCATAAAAAGGATACCAGAAATGAATTTGTGAGGGTAAAAAACATATAACTAACAATTTCATTTATGATTTTGTTTCATATTATTAGGCTGATATATATCTTTTCCCACAATCATTGCACGCCATATTGGCCGTCATATTGGCCGCCATCTTGAATTTGAAGCATGATAGCAAAAAAAATACCAGAAATGAGTTTTTGAGGGTCTAAATTATAAGACTAGCCATTTTATTCATGCTTTTATCCCATTATTCAGCTGATATATGTCTTTTTTCCCGTTTCTACCATTTTTGGCGGCCATATTGGCCGCCATCTTCGATATCTCCAGAGCATTGGATTTGGTTTACTGTTAACATCCAAAATGTGTTTTAGAACCCTAAAAGGCACCAAAAATGGTGTCGGTTAGTTCGGGGGGAGGGGGGTGCACGGGGGTTCCCCCATACATACTCCCCTAATGCTAATATCTTAATTTGCTTTGTAACATGTTTGATAGGTCATGATCATAAGCACAAAATTGTCCAAAAAAATATGTGAAGTCATTAGGATATCACAAGAATGTATGCGTGTGAGTTTGTTTTTGCATTCAATATGGGACGTTGAATAATGGAGGGCAGTAGGGTCCATAATTCCCCAAGGTCCACAGTTGGCGATCGTGCACGAAACGAACATGTCTTCCTAAAAAGGATGAAGCACGAAAAAGAGGAACAATAAGGAGTCCACGATTGCAGGTAAATACACATTTGTATGTATATGTTCACGAGTTGCTCGACGCGACCGAGAAGCGGGGGAAAGGCGGCGAACTAGCGAGACCGCGGCGAAGCCTCGTTTAATATTGACGTGGAAACTATACCTTCACTTTCAGTTCGCCTTGTTGGTGGCAGCTCCTCAAACGAAGGCCGAGTAGAGGTCTTCTACCAAGGCGAGTGGGGCACAGTCTGCGATGATTATTGGGACCTACAAGATGCTGAGGTTGTCTGTCGCATGATTGGCTTGCCTTCTGCGTCCAATGCTTGGAGCAATGCTCACTTCGGCCAAGGATCGGGACGGATCATCCTTGACGATGTTAGCTGTGGAGGATATGAATCAAGCATCGCTGCCTGTTTACATAGCAGCTGGTTTAGTAATAATTGTGGACACAGTGAGGACGCCGGAGTTACTTGCAAGTCATACATGACGAGTAGCTCTTCGCCAGCACCACGTCAGTATACTCTAGCGGGGCTATAAAATTATGTGAAACAAGAAAGAATATATAACAAGAAAGATACTTACTTTATATTTACTCCGTTTTCAATTAAAGCTCACCTATCTTAATTCCTCATTGTATTTTGCATTCAGGCTCAGTTCGGCTTGTTGGTGGCAGTTCCTCATATGAGGGCCGCGTAGAGGTCTTCTACCAAGGCGAGTGGGGCACAGTCTGCGATGATGGATGGGACCTACAAGATGCTGAGGTCGTCTGTCGCATGCTTGGCTTGCCTTCTGCGTCCAATGCTTGGAGCAATGCTCACTTCGGCCAAGGATCGGGACGGATCATCCTTGACGATGTGAATTGCGGAGGCTATGAATCGAGCATCGCTGACTGTTTACATAGCAGCTGGTTTAGTAATAATTGTGGGCATAGTGAGGACGCTGGAGTTACTTGTAAGTCATACATGACGAGTAGCTCTTCGCCAGCACCAGGTCAGTATACTCTAGTGGGGCTATACAATTATGTAAAACAAGAAAGAATATATTACAAGAAAGATACTTACTTTATATTTACTCCGTTTTCAATTAAAGCTCACCTATCTTAATTCCTCATTGTATTTTGCATTCAGGCTCAGTTCGGCTTGTTGGTGGCAGTTCCTCATATGAGGGCCGCGTAGAGGTCTTCTACCAAGGCGAGTGGGGCACAGTCTGCGATGATTATTGGGACCTACAAGATGCTGAGGTTGTCTGTCGCATGATTGGCTTGCCTTCTGCATCCCATGCTTGGAGCAATGCTCACTTCGGCCAAGGATCGGGACGGATCATCCTTGACGATGTGAACTGTGGAGGCTATGAATCAAGCATCGCTGCCTGTCCACACAGAAGTTGGTTTAGTAATGACTGTGGGCATGGTGAAGATGCTGGAGTAACTTGTGGCCCAGGTTGGTAGTCTATTGCATTTTATTTATTTTTGGTTGTAAAAATCTGGCCTACGTGCTTCTTATGTAATCAGCATTGCCTGATTCATAATGTATGTTGACAAACATATTGTGCCTCATTCTCATTCCTTATACTTCATACATTCAGTTTCAGTTCGTCTTGTCAGTGGCAGCTCCTCCAATGAGGGTCGAGTAGAGGTCTACCACCAAGGCGAGTGGGGCACAGTCTGCGATGATGGATGGGACCTTCAAGATGCGGAGGTCATCTGCCGCATACTTGGCTTCCCTTCTGCATCCCATGCTTGGAGCAGCGCTCACTTCGGCCAAGGATCAGGACGGATTATCCTTGACGATGTGCACTGCGGAGGCTATGAATCAAGCATCGCTGACTGTTCACATAGAAGTTGGTTTAGTCATAACTGTGGGCATCGTGAAGATGCTGGAGTAACTTGTCGTGAAAGTAATATGACTGCTCCAAACACAGGTTAGTGGATCAGTTGAAAGTGATTTAAAATGTTGGGCTTTCAAGCATCATCAACATTGCTTGTTTCTTGTAGTACTAGATTGACAACATTTCGTACATGAATTCCATTCCATATTGCATTTTTTCAGTTTCAGTTCGCCTTGCTGGTGGCAACTCCTCATACGAGGGTCGAGTAGAGGTCTACTATCAAGGCGAGTGGGGTACAGTCTGCGATGATGGTTGGAACCTTGATGATGCTTATGTCGTCTGTTGCATGCTTGGTTACCCTTCTGCATCCAATGCTTGGAGCAATGCTCACTTTGGCCAAGGATCAGGACGGATCGTCCTTGACGATGTGAACTGCCAAGGAACCGAATCTAACATTGCTCAATGTCAACACAGTGGTTGGTTTAGTCATGACTGCTGGCATAGCGAAGATGCTGGAGTAACTTGTGATAACATGACAACAACTCCTTTACCAGGTTGGTGGGTCGTTAGTAAAAAAAAAAAGAAGATAATTTCTCATTTGTAGTTCATTTCCAATTAGCTGAACTATATATTCCTCATTGTCTCTTCATTCACTTTCAGTTCGTCTTGTTGGTGACAATTCCTCCTATGAGGGTCGAGTAGAGGTGTTCTTCCAAGGCGAGTGGGGCACAGTCTGCGATGATGGATGGGACCTTGACGATGCGAGTGTTGTCTGTCACATGCTTGGCTGGCCTTCAGCATCCCATTCATGGAGCAATGCTCACTTCGGTCAAGGGTCAGGACGGATCATGTTGGACGATGTTAACTGCCATGGACATGAATCTAGCCTAGTTGAATGCCAGCATCGTGATTGGTCTAGTCATAATTGTGGGCATAGTGAAGATGCTGGAGTAACTTGTGGTGAAAGTATCACGACGACTCCAGGCCCAGGTTAGTGGCTCAAAATAATAAAAGTGATTTAAATTTCATAAGGAATTAAAACTTATTAGATGTTGGGCTTTCAGACGTCATCAACATTGCTTGGTTTTTGTTGTACTATTGACAACATTTCTTACATGAATTCTATTCAATATTGCATTCTTTCAGTTTCAGTTCGTCTTGTTGGTGGCAGCTCCTCCTATGAGGGTCGAGTAGAGGTCTACTACCAAGGCGAGTGGGGCACAGTCTGTGATGATGGATGGGACCTTGACGAAGCAAATGTCGTCTGTCGCATGCTTGGTTTCCCTTCTGCATCCCGTGCTTGGAGCAATGCTCACTTTGGCCAAGGATCAGGACGGATCATGCTTGACGCTGTGAACTGCGAAGGCTATGAATCAAGCATTTCTGACTGTTCGCATAGAAATTGGTTTAGTAACGATTGTCAGCATAGTGAAGATGCTGGAGTAACTTGTGACGAAACCATCCGAACAACTCCAATCCCAGGTTGGTAGTCAGTTAGTTCAAAAAAAATAAGATAAATACCTCATTTGAACTTCCTTTTCGATTACAATTCACCTATTACGAATGAGGGTTGTAATTAACTTTACGGTGGCAAGTATAAACCGTCTGTGATATTTTGTTGCTTGTGTTTATGCTGACACTAAGGGTAGTCAGCTCGTTCATTGGGAAGTTCAACAATCCCCCCAAAAAGCAAGTTGTAGCTCCTGGAATAGCGTTCAAGTCTAACACTATTAATAGTTGACACTTTTAATCAGGTTAATCTGTGCTGTGCTACTGAGTCGGTGGCTGAGTCCTTCTATTGGTTAATGATGATCTATTATCTTAGTAGATTTGAAAGTTGATTGATAAATTGTAGTGCTACAGTGGGTACTGAAATATAGTATCCTGTTGACTGTTTCAGCAGCGCCGGTCCGTCTAGTTGGTGGCTCTGCAGCTTGGGAAGGTCGAGTTGAAGTCTACCACAGTGGACAGTGGGGTACCGTCTGTGATGATGCGTGGGACATCAACGATGCTACAGTCGTTTGTCATCAGCTTGGCTATGCTTATGCTGTTAGGGCAAAGAGTGGTGCCTATTTTGGGCAGGGATCGGGTAACATCCTCCTGGATGATGTTCGTTGTACCGGATCTGAGTCGACTCTGTCAGAATGTGATCATGCGCTGTGGGGACAACAAGATTGCAGTCATGGCGAAGATGCAGGCGTCATCTGTCATTATCTCTCTACTACTCCCGTGCCTGAAGGTAAACTATTTGAATCTGTGATGTTAGCATTTTAAAACATATTGTCCAAGAGACGAAAGAAAAGACAAATTACCACAATGTATTTCCTGTTGCTTTTAGGTTCAGTTCGACTTGTTGGTGGCAGCTCCTCCTACGAGGGTCGAGTAGAGGTCTACTACCAAGGTCATTGGGGCACAGTCTGCGATGATGGATGGGACCTTGATGATGCAAATGTCGTCTGCAGCATGCTTGGCTTGCCTTCTGCATCCAATGCTTGGAGCAATGCTCACTTTGGCCAAGGATCAGGATGGATCATCCTTGACGATGTCAACTGCTATGGCTTCGAATCAAGCATTGATGACTGTTCACACAGCAGATGGTTTAGTAATGATTGTAAGCACAGTGAGGACGCCGGAGTTACTTGCAAATCACACATGACAGAACCAGGTCAGTGCAAGTACCACCACGCCAACCTGACTCCCATTGTATCTTAGCTGAAAGCGTGATCTTGTTGTCATGCCAACGCCAAATATGGCTCAATTATTACATGGCCTTTTTACGTCATAACTTTAAATATCCTACACTACATCACCTAACCAAATATGAAAATGGAACATTTTGAATAACTAGGTGCGTTTATTGAATCCCATTCTAAATGTACGTCAGTTAGCACAAAGACTGGAACATCTGTCTCAGGCGAATTTCCCTGTTTAAATTATTCAACGTAATGTCTGTTTTCCTCTTTTCCCCCAGGCCTCTCCGCTGGTGCAGTCGTAGGAATTACTATCTGCTCTTCATCGTTAGTGATCGCAATCATTGCCATCGTCATCATAGTCGCAGTCAGAAGAATGCGCAAGAAGTCGCCACCGACATTCAATAACATAAACATACCCTTGGCATCGGCCGCTGATCCACCGGCCCCTGAACAGAATTCCAACAGTGCCAATATTGTAACTAACCCTCTCTACAGCGAGCACCCCTTTGCCCAGCCCGTACCTCGTCAACCACCTCCAGGGTACTACCCAATGCCCTTCAGTGACCAGCCCCAATTAATGGTCCAGTTACCTGGTACCGGGTTTCCCAAGTACAACCGTACACCAGGGGTTGCTCGGGTATCAAACACCGCCAACGCCGACCTGTCCCCTCCTGCATATGATTCAGTGGTTGTTAGTCCGCCACCTCCTGCATATGCTGCAGTGGTTGTTAGTCCGCCGTTCTACCCTGGTACGGCAACCCAACCCCTGCCCCAGTCCCTGCCCCAGTCAGAGACTCTGCCCCCAGTCAGAGACAATGCCCGAACCCTAAACCCAAACCCAGCGACAGCCCTTCCCGCAGTCCCTGCCCAGTCAGAGACACAGCCCCAACCCCCTGCCCCTGCCCCAGTCCCTGTCTAGGCCCCTGCCCCAGTCAGAGACCCAGCCCCAACCCTAGACCCAGCCACAGACCCAGCCACAAACCCAGTCTCTACCCAAGCCACTGCCCTAGTCCCAGCCAGAGACCATGCCCCAGACCCAGCCACAGACCCAGCCACAGACCCTACCCCAGCCCAAGCCCAGGCCTCTGCCCCCAGTCCCAGTCACAGACTCTGCCCCCAGTCCCAGCCACAGACCCTGCCCCAGACCCAGCCACAGAACCGTCAGCCACAGACAATGCACCAGCCCAGGCCACAGCCCTGGCCGCAGTCCCAGTCCAAGACACAGCCCTAGCAGCCCCAGCTACAGTCCTAGTCACAGATTCAGCCCCAGTCCCAGCCACAGAACCAGCTGCAGACCCAGACTCAGCCCCTGCCCCAGCCCCAGCTTAACCCCTACACCAGTCCCTGCCCCAGCCACAGACCCAAACCAAGCCACAAACCCAGCCACAGAACCAGTCCCTACTAAAGCCCCTGTCAAGTTCCAGCCACAGACCCTGCCCCAGATACAGCCGTAGATCAAGCCACAGACCCTACCCCAGCCCCAGCCCAGACCCCTGCCCCTGCCCCATCCCCTGCCCCAGTCCCGGCCACACATGCAGACCCAGCCACAGACCAAGCCTCGTATCCGCCAAGGCCCCAGTCCTAGCCACAGCCTCAGCAGCCCCAGCCCAAGTAGCCCCAGCAGCTGCAGCCGCAGTCACAGACACAGCCCCAGTCACAGTCACAGCCACAAACCTAGTTGCAGACGTATACTCGGCCCCTGCCTCAGCCCAGCTAAAACCCCTACACCAGCCCCAGCAACAGACCGAGACCAAGCCACAGACCCAGCCCCAGCACCAGCCCCTGCCCCAGCCCCTGCCCCAGCCCCTGCCCCAGCACTTGCCCAGTCAGAGACACAGCCCCAACCCCCTGTCCCAGTAAGAGACCCAGCCCCAACCCTAGACCGAGCCACAGACCAAGCCACAAACCCAGCTACAAACCCAGCCCGTACTCAAGCCCCTGCCCTAGTCCCAACCACAGACCCTGCCCCAGACACAGCCATTGATCAAGTCCCAGTCCCAGCCCCAGCCCCAGCAGTCCAAGTCCCAGCCACAGCCCCAGAAGCCCCAGCCCCAGCAGCCACAGTCCCAGTCTCAGCCACAGACCTAGCTGCAGACCCAGACTCAGCCCCTGCCTCAGCCCCAGCTCAAACCCCTACACCAGCCCCTGCCCCAGCAACAGACCGAGACCAAGCCACAGACCCAGCCCCAGCCCCAGTTTATTCGTTTATGAAGAATATCTAATCATGTAATCCTGTTTAATCAAGATGGTTAAATATCGATTTGACCACTGCTTGAACGTTTAGTTGCTTATAAAGTGTAAACAATATTCATATAATCGAATTTAATCAAATGGTTAGATACTGATTTTGAACATTGCTGTAACGTTTATTTGCTTATGAAGCATACAACAATCATATAATTGAGTTTAATCGAGCTGGTTAGATATTGAGATTGAGCATTGCTTGAACGGTTATCAGCTTATGAAGGATACAATTATCATATAATCGAGTTTAATCAAGATGGTAAGATATTGATTTTGAACACTGCTTGAACGTTTATTTGCTTATAAAGGTTAAGTATATTAACCATATAATAGCGTTTAATCAAGATGGTAAAGATATTGATTTTTAACATTGCTTAAACGGTTTTTTTTGTTTATGAAGAGTATATTAACCACATAATCGAGTTTAATCAAGTTTGTAAATTTGGAATAGTTTATACGTTTAAGAGAAGTGCCAATTCATGATCACACTGCTAGATTAGTTAGCAAGGATTAGAAAATGTTGCAGCTGAGGAAATGAAATGTGATTGGATTGTTAATCGTTTTCCGTCAGTAAGAAAAACTGTGTGTACAAACACTTGTAATCAGCCATTTACATGATGCACAGGCTCGATAAAAGTGCCCAAAAGTATCGGAAACATCTCTCAATTGACTTTCAAGTTTGTATTTTATTAAATAGTAAGGACAATCATTTTTATTCTCACTGATTTAAATCGAGATAAATACTTTAACTAGTAGTTGTTAGAACACTTATGTAATATGTTCAAATGAGAACCGTCTTCCAATCTGTACATTTTATATTGTTTGGTTTTGAGCGAGGGATCTGGTAAGAAGAAAGTGATTTAAACGGAAAATATTTTACTAGCAGTTTTTAGCAATCCGGAGACTTTACTTTAAGTATATTTGTTACTATTTTTGATAACTATTACTCAGATATTTGCTATAATTATTTTTGTAACAGAACATCGTTTGTTCATTGTATTTTAGATAGCCATTGCCCTATGAAGTGAAATGCTTCAATTTACCTAAAATGTAATGTGTAGATTAGTCAGCAAGGATTAGAAAATGATACAGGTGAGGAAACCCTTTATGTTGCTCCAAATGTGATTGGATTGAAGTTAATCGTTTTCCATTTATAAGGAAAACTGTGTGTAAAACTACTTGTAATCGGCCATTCAAAGGATGCACAGGCCCGTTATAGTGCCCAGAAGTATGTGAAATTTCTCTCAATTGTCTTTCAAATTTGAATTTTAGTTAATAGTAAAGACAATAATTTATATTTCCATTGGTTGTAATTAAGAGACAATTTTTGCGAGCAGTTGTTAGTACACAGATTTAATCTATTAACATTTAGGAGAAACGTCTTTCAAGAATGTAAATTTTATATTGTGTGGTTTGGGACGAAGGGAAATCGGAAGAAGATTTTTTTTTGTCGAGTGATTTTAACAGATAATTTTTACAAGCAATTTAAAGTAGTCCATAGACTTTAGGTGTATTGGTTGCTATTTATGACACGGTTTACTCAGATGTTTGCTATAGTTTTGTACAGGGGAGCAGGATAAACGAAGTTGTGTTGGGATGTACCAACAAAGGAAATGTTGCATTCCGATAAACGTCGTTTGTTCACTACTCAATTGTATACATTGTTTTGTGAGGAGGAGGGGAGGAGCTTGTATTGAGGAGGGGAGAGCACCCCACGCGTAACTTGGACAGGAGGATAAGGAGCATGGGAAAAAGATGCGCAAATCCCAATTCTGTGAAATCACTCATGACGTTTCTCCTTGACGTCCTCCCTCTTTGCTACTATGCCTGCCCCATTCCATCATCCCCTTCCGTGCAACATTTCGAGCTCCGCCCTCTGCCCCCCCCCCTCACAAACTCCCCCTCCTCCTCACAAAAGAAGGCACGATTACCCCCTCACCTACTACTGTGGATACTTAATTAAATGTATTTTATAACAAACGAATGCATGTATATCCAAGACACAAAATGACATCAAGTCTGTATCTTCAAAATATCTTGAGGTCAAGAGTTTTCTTTATTAAGTTACATTTGCTTTGAAATACACTTACACGTTATAGTAGTTGGCCTATCCAAGATGTGTTTAGAAAAATATATCTAAATTATAGTTGCAAACCTTGTATCAACTACTCACATAAACGCCGTTTTTAGTTTTGGTAATCCATAATAAATAATAATAATAATAGTGGCATCTTATAAAGCGCAAATCTGTTCTGCGTACGATGAAAGTCATGCCACTTCGCTCTTTGTGTTATTATTATTGTGTCATAGAATCTGGGCAACTGATCACTGAACACTTACGGGGCCCCTTCGATGGAGAAACAATTGTACACTATTGTACAAAGCAACTGATTCGTGATGACTGATCAGAACAATAGCTAGCGCTATGCTTTCGCCATTGAAGGGGGCCTTCGTGATACAATTGATTGCGTGACCGGATTGGTCTACAGGGCGCCCCCCTACCCCCACAAAGAAGTGTTCACTTTTTCAGACGCAGGTTTATCAAAAGTGGGGAGACATTTTGAAATTGTTTTAAGATATTCCTAAACTACACGGTCTTGGTTATGATAGTTAAGGGGTTAAGTGCAAATACAAATACAAGTCGAATTAAAGTCATCTTTTGTGACAAAAAAAGGCACAACACACTCGGTTTCCTGACGATAAGTCCAAAAATATTGAATTGAAATGTCATACACTAATTTAGTGTGAATGGTAACACACTTCTGTTGAAAATCGGGAGAAATCCTCAAACAACCAAAATAATATCAATATAGTATTTAATGTGCCAAAAACGCAACCCGAATTGTAGTCAACTTTCATGGAATGAAAACATAAATCAACGATAAAACAAGAAAAACATGTAGTTACAAATTGAAATTTCATCTAGTTATTGGTCGTCATATATAACACAACCCTGCTGAAAATCGAGAGAAATGGTTCAATAATTAAAATGATATAACCAAATAAAGCAATGTAGTATGCGCGAAAAACACAAGGCGAAATGAAGCCAACTAAAATGTTCTTTCGAAAGAGGGCGCGCTACACTTGGTCACCACCGTACAGAGAAAAACTGATCAATATAAGTTACATTGAAAAAAACTGCCTTTTTTAATACTGACTCAACAAAAACACTGCACTCGTGTTGCGGACGATAATCCAAGAAATACCTGCGTTTCTCCGTGTACACAGAAATTGTTTAGGTGGGGACCACTATTTGTGTAGCGCGCCCTCTTTTGAAAGAAAACACAACAAATTAAAGTCAACTTTTGATATGGAACAAAAACAACACTCTTTTTCCGAACGATACCTCAAGAAATAATTGTTGCCTTAAATTGAAATGTTACATTAATTGTATGTGATATGCAACACAAGAGTGTTGAATATCGGGAGAAATCTTCAAATAATAAAAAAAATAATAAGACTTCAATTTGACTCGTATTTTTTCGCGAAAAAAATACGAGTCAAATTGAAGTCATCTTTCATGACACAAAAACAACACACTCGGTTTCCAGACGTTACTTGTTATATTGAATTGAAATGTCATGTACTAATTAAGTTTGATATTTGACACAATCTTTTTGAAAATTGGGAGAAATCTTCAAATAACAACAAAATAATATGACAAAAGCAATGTAGCGTTTAATTAAAACACAAGCCGAATTGAATTCAATAGAGGGCAGCAAACTAGCCGTCCATAAAACTTCCAGGCAAAATGGCTGCGCCCATGTTGGAGGAAGGTTTGATAAATTCTGATGATTACTACGCTATTTTGAACACGAGGAAAGAGGTGAGTCCATGTTACAATTATCCCTAAGATCTCTTTTTTAAGTATTGAGTGCTGTAACATGTTGATTGTTGCCTGGGAATGTTTGTTATTGGGGGTGGCGGAAAGAACATGAAGAATGTTGCAACCTCCATGACCTCACATGCCCGACGCCACTTCAGCATGTTCAGCGGTTATGTACAACGAAGTGGCTATCGTTACGGCACTCGTTGTTTAGCGCCCTCAACGATTTTTTTTGATACGCACGCAGGTATATAATTATTTGTTTCCACAAGTTTTATCGAGCAGTGCGCCAGCTCAGCCGATAGAGGGTAGGATTTTGCACCGCGAGGTTGCGGGTTCGAATCTCAGTTTTGCACTCGAATTGTTTTCCTTTTCTAACCTGAGGCTTTGGAGGATTTTTTTAAAAAGGGAAATAAAGTCCGAATTTCATAAAGTTCAAATTCACTTTTTTCCTTCTAATTTTATATTTTCTTGTCATGTTTTTTTATAAAAGTTGCCAGGTTGCAGTCTACCGTAACGATAGAAAATGGGAAATGCGTTACGGCTGCCGTAACAATAGCCACTGCGTATGTACAAAGTCTCTGGAGAGTCAAGAAAAGTTCCTCGCGGTCGTGAACACGTTAATTTCCGACTCCTGTTTGAATTGTGATGTGAACTTCTAGCCCCATAAATGTTGCCAATTTACTGGACTACCTCCGTAAATTAAAGGCCACACTAGTTCCAGTTCCACCATGTAGTGACATGAAAAACATGTCGAACTTTGTCAAATTTTGATTTTCACATTTAGGCTTAATTAGCTTGAGTAACTCCAGCTGACATGCTCCATATTCATTCACATGTAACGCTGGAGGCATAACCTGTTCGTTAGAATGTGGTAGCAAGAGGGAAAAAAATGGCCTCTCAAAAATTGTTCATTTTCACCTCTAATTTTTATCCCACCCCAGAGTTCATTTACATACCTCATACATTCAGCAGTCATTTACGAAGCCTAATGATCGACTTGAAACAGACCATAAAAAAAAAATGTGAAAAATCTTGACGATTTCGGTGGCTTGTCCGTAAGAAAATGCCAGTTCCAATGGCTGTCGTCCATTTTGATTTTCTAATTATGTAAATGTATGCATCACGTGATGACATCGAAAAAAATCTGCGCGCGCGATGTATGTGGGTACCACACCGCTTTCAGGCGCCACAAGTGAGTTCAATTTTCGTCTGGTGCATTGTCGTGGAAAGCATTCTCGTTGTCTTGCTTTTGAGAAACTGAACCCACTTGCGGTGCCTGAAAGCAGTGTGATACCCATATACATCGCGCCATATACCCATATACATCACGTGATGCATGCATTTACATAATTAACAAAACAAAATGGACGACAGCTGTTGGAACTGGCGTTTTTTTACGGACAAGCCACCGAAATCATCAAGATTTTTCACATTTGTTTTTTTTGTGGTCTGTTTCAAGTCGATCATTAGCTTTGTGAATGACTGCTGAATGTATGAGGTATGTAAATGAAATCTGGGGTGGGATGTTGGAGGTGAAAATGGACAATTTTTGAGAGGCCATTATTTTAGGGTCTCTTGCTACCACACTCTCACGACTAGGTTATGTCTCCAGCGCTACATGTGAATGAATATGAGCATGTCAGCTGGAGTTACTCAAGCTAGGGTGAGTATGCTTCTAAAGCAAAAATAAACTACAAACTAAGCCTAAATGTGAAAATCAAAATTTGACAAAGTTTGACATGTTTTTCTACATGGTGGAAGTGTGGCCTTTATTTACGGAGGTAGCCCAGTAAATTGGCCACATTTATGGGGCTAGTGGTCTTCGTGCCCAGCATTCATTTGATGGTCCCCGTAGCCCGGTATCCCGAGTACGATTCCGTTACCGAGCGCGCGTAATGCATCAATTATGATAATAAGTTAGCCCCATAAATGTGGCCAATTTACTGGACTACCTCCGTAAATAAAGGCCACACTTCCACCATGTACAAACACATGTCGAACTTTGTCAAATTTTGATTTTCACATTTAGGCTTAGTTTGTAGTTTATTTTTGCTTTAGAAGCATACTCACCCTCTTTATACTAGGCTAATCAGAAAGTGCTGCCTTTTTCAGATGTTTAATTTTCTTGAAATTTCCTGTTGAAATTTTGATACGCAAACGTGTGCAAACGAATCTGGAAATTCACGAAAAATAGACATCTGAAAAAGGCAGCACTTTCTGATTAGCCTATAAAGAGGGTGAGTATGCTTCTCAAGCAAAAACTAACTACAAACTAAGCCTAAATGTGAAAATCTAAATTTGACAAAGTTCGACATGGTTTTGTACATGGTGGAAGTGTGGCCTTTATTTACACAGGTAGCCCAGTAAATTGGCCACATTTATGGGGCTAATAATAAGTAGACTGGATGACGTTTGTAAACACAAGTGCTTTTCGAACTATAACAGGGAGTCGGGAACTAGCTTCAACTGGTTTCTGTTCCTAAAATCTGCCCTAGTTCCCGACTCCCGATTATCGTTCGACATGCACTTGTGTTTACAAACGTGATCCAGTCTACTCATTATCATAATCGTTGCGTCGCGCGCGCTCGGTAACGGAATCGCACTCGGGATATTGGGACCATCGTAGGAACGCTGGGCACGATTAGCTTGGACCCTACTATCGCCAGACCATGTCTGGATGTTAAAAAGGCGATAAGTTGGGTCCAAGTTACTCGGACTAGATTGAAATTAACCGCGTATGCATAAGAGAAGTCTCATCATTGCTTCGTTCTCAAAAGAGTGCCATTCTACTCGACAACCCCACTCCTCACATCGCATCCAACTACAAAAAAAACAAACGTTTTCCGGCGTGGCCCTGCATTCTTTAGCTACTTACTTATCACCATTTTTGCAATGACTGACCTTCATTGAGATGATATATGCAGAAGAAAAAAGCGTCAGGTTGCAACATTCTCTCTGGGGCGGCTTCATCTACTGAAGTCTGAACTAGCTAGGCCCTATACTTCACGAACATGGTGAAGACTTTATTATTATTATTATTATTATTATTATTATTATTATTAATTATTTCTGGTAATGAAACCAAGGATTCCTCAAAAGCGCCCTAGGCACTGTAGCTCGCAAGCCTGAAGAAACCTGTGGAGAGAAGACAATGAGAAGAAGTTACAGTTTTACAGGTGGGAGGAAAAGCCAAGAAGAATATTATGGGGGAAACCCACGGAATCAGGCAGGGACTGAAAACCCAATCCACATATTGGCCCAGGCGGGATTCGACTTCTTGTCATGATAATGATGATCTAAATGGTCAAAATTAATCTTAAAATGTTTCTTCACTGTGTACTGTAATTTGTTTTAGGCTAGCAGTGATGAACTTCGGGCTGCGTATCGACGCATGTGTGTTCTGTATCACCCGGACAAACACCGAGATGAGAAGGACAAAACAGCTGCTGAGGCCGTCTTCAATAAAGTACAGAAAGCTTATCAAGGTAGGCGCACATGGAAAAAAAAATTATCCAACCTTTGGCGTTGGGTTGCAACATTTTTTCCTGCACATGTCTCGTGGGGATGAAAATACATAGGCCCCCCCTAAATAAACGTATTTGTAAATCTTAGGTTACGGACTTGTTACGGGTACTACCCGCCATCTGCGGCGCATCAGAGAAGATGATTTCCTAGCTAGCGGCTACAAGAAGCTTTATTACAAACACAAACAATGGGTTGATACTATCGTGTTTCGCCACTTTCGGGCTTCTGGAGACGCATCAAAGATAGTCTAAATAAAACTGAAAACAAAATATAACCCGCAAAATGGAGTTTTGGAATCGTCGGTAAACTCACTCTGAACTTTGTAGATCTTCTGTTAGTGATATTTGAATGCATGTACTTGTGTTTTTTGTCTCGGACGTTGCGTCGAAATTTATAAATTCGGTTACGGGTACCCGACCCGATAAAATGGAACCGGTTCTTGGCCTCCGCGGGCGGGTACCCGGGTATCCGGGTACCCGCAACAGGCTTATCAGAAGGCATGACACAAGACGCGCCATGAGTGATGAATTTGAATTTGTACATGTACATGTACCAGGTAGCGCAGCGTGTATGATCCGGAACTGACGAAAGTGATCTGCAACTGTCAGGTTCAGTCCTGTACAAAAGCCATGATTTATTTCCCTTATTGTTGAGTCTGTGTGAACATATTCGGTTTGTACTTGAAGAGGAGGAATTTTACTATGAAATGATGTCACTCGGGCATGGAAACTCAGAACATGGACGGGTGTACAGCAATTTGTATAAAAAGTGATCCGGAACTGTCGCACTGATAGTATATGGGACCGTGGGAAAGAATGTAGTAGTACATGTAGTATCCAGACACCACTTCTTTGGTTGTGAACAGTCTATGGAGAGTCAATTGCATTTTCAAAGTATTTGGAAATGTTTCTCAGTCCTAGATTCATGTCTTTTCAACTTTTTTGCAATGACTGACCTGGATTGAGCAAACGATATTAAGCCGGCAGATACAGCGCCCTCTTTGATGCGAATACGAGTAGGCCTACATTATAAGGTATTAAACTACGACTGTCGTTTAAGGAGCACGTGTGGCCGAGTGAATAATATCGAATACTAACTTATTCGAAAAGGAACAACCCAACTTCCTGTAACAGTTGTCATTGTGAAATTTGTGTTCTTTTCAGGATAGACTAGAAGTAGGCCCCTACAAATACAAGGAGAGTCAAAAAAGTGGAACCCCAGCCCCAAAAACTATATTTCATATTTAAAAAAAATATGTAGCACCAAACATAATAATGATTGGAAAGCCAATTTCATAAGCTACTTTTAGATGAAAAAAATGACTGAAATTGCTCAATCCGTTCAAAGATTATCACCATTTAAACACAATGACCCTAAAACCTCTTTCGTCCAAAAATGCAACTTCAAGAATCATCATCATAATTGTCTTCAAACATCACCAGTGATAAAACCTCAGTTTAAAAGTAAAAAATGTTTAACAAAGTCCTTTTGAAGGCCCGTCTTTTAAAGAAAGTGGATTGTTTATATCACATTGTTTGCCAAACCAGGGTTATTAATAAAGATATTGTGTACAACAGTTGTTGACAGTTGTTGAAACACGTATTCTCTGTCATTTTCTTTGTTGTTCCAAACAGTCAGAATACAGACTAAACTGCTTTTTTTGGACGAAAGAGGTTTTAGGGTCATTGCGTTTAAATGGTGATATTCTTTGAACGGATTGAGCAATTTCAGTAATTTCTCATCTAAAAGTATCATATGAAAGTGGCTTTGCAGTCATTACTAATGTTGGTGCTACATATTTTTTTAAAATATGAAATATATTTTGGGGGGTTTGGGGTTTGGGTTCTGCCTTTTTTTGACTCAACCTGTATTTGTATTTCTAGTAACATTCTGAAAAGAACACACATTTCACAATGACAACTGTTACTGGGAGTGGGGCTGTTCCTTTTCGAATAATTTGGTATTTGATACTATCCACTCGGCCACACATGCTTCTTGAACGATGGTGGTAATTTAATACCTTATATAATGTCGGCGAACTACATCAAAGAGGGCGGTATTGTTTAACTGCTTATCGCGTTTCCAAGATTCCCCGTTTCATTTTTCTTTTCTGTACTGGATGCAGTCCTAAACGACCCGAGTAAAAGAGCCATCTATGACGTGTACGGGGAGACGGGTCTGGAGGCGGAATGGGACATCGTACCCAGACGGAGGACACCCCAAGAAATCCACGACGAGTATGAGAGACTAGCAAAGGAAAAGGAGGAACGACGTCTGCAACAGAGCACCAATCCAAGGGTAAGTATCAACCCAATGAATCCTGGATCCTTTAAACTCCTAAGTTTTTTTTGGAATTTTTGTAGGACATTAAGAAATAAAAACTGGATTAACCCTTACCTTCCCAAATCCTCCAAAATCCTTTTTGCAAAATGGAGGATTTTGCAGGATTGAGGCTAAATGGCAGAAATGTGCAGTTGATTTTGGAGGATGCACTGTGTCAAGGTCTTAGGCCGGACCTTGTGTTGTTTATGCTCAGCCGTGCATAGATTTAGGCCTATATTGCCCTTGAGATCCTCCGCACTGCTCCAGGATGTCACTGGCTCTGCCTCAACATATTGACAGTGATTGCTGGAGGATTCTGCAGGATTGAGGCAGTGGTCGCCCCTCCAAGGACCACTTTCGAGAAATAACAGATGATTTTTAAGGATTGAGGCTCTATGCATTTTTTACATGGAGGCAGTTGGAGGATTTTGTGATCTCTTTATTGAAATAGACATAGCTTGGAAATAGAATATGCAAATTACGTGAAATTTTCACAGTTAAAAGTCAATAAGATGTACTTTATCCCTATATTTTTTCAGTAAAATGGAGCGAGCCAAATATTTTAAAAATATTTTTCAAATTTGGTCACTTTCTTTTTGACTCGCCCTGTACTGCAAACTTCTGACTGGATTGACCTGAACTATACAACTCATAACAAGTAGAGGTTCTGATTTTTAATCCTAGCTGGACTTATCTAAGAAAAAAACAAAACCAACCTTTGAAGGACTACTTTGGAATTAGGATTTACTATTACCTTACATTGGGTTCAACTGAACCCCTACATGTTTACAGGTAACATACAACGTTTGCAAACATCAACGGACAAAACTACCACATTATTTTGAAATGTGTTTAGACTAATGACGGAGGGGAGGGGATTTTTTTTGTTTTTTTTGTAAGATCATATGGAGGTGTCTGCGTGTAGTCAAGAGTGAAAGGTAGTATTTGATGGTTTTTGGGGTTTTCCCCTCATTTTTCCCCCCAAAATATTAGGGTAGGACTGTCAAAATAGGGTAGGTAGGGAAACAGGAAGCAGAACTATTTTTGTTTTTGGCCTAAGTGAATAATAGTCTCAAGCAACCTGTGAATTCATCGCACCTGGTGTGCTGTCATTTTCAAGAAAAGTGGAAAGATAATTGTTGAGAAAAAAAAAAGACTTTTTTTTTTTCAAATACAACCTCCAATTTACCAAAATTGAGTAAGTCCCCATTTTGTTTGCAATCAGTTACACATCCATGATCGGGTGCAAGCCAGCTAGTCTGAATCCCTGACCTGACAATTCCCTGATGTCTATAAATTGCTCCGTTTCTTCTGAAGTAGTCTCAGGGAACCAGACTACAAAAACAGCATGTTATTTCTTGATTTTTCCAGCATCTATGAGCACACAATGTTAAATAAGTCGGTGTGATAACATTTGCTAAATTGCTATAAAATACAAATCCCCAAATCCAACCATTTCTGAAAATTACAGCAAAAGCAAATGTATATTACCTTTCAGTACAAAAAAATGGCTTTGGTTTTCCGTGGACAGTTTAGTTTCTTGTAGAGGATTTTAGAGAATTTGGGATGATTCCTTGCAAAAAAAATTCTTCGGCCATTAAGGTTGATAAAAATAAGATGGATTTAGTGCCAAATCCACGAAAATACGCATATGTGTTCGAAGTGCCACAAGTGTTATTATCCTGTCCTAGTTTCTATAACAAAAGATAAGACATACTTTTCTAGAGACGATGTATTCCTTCAGAATCGATATAAAACTGAAGATATTAGGCCAAAAAAAAAAAATTATGCTTCTGATTACATGGCATTTGAAAGTAGGTAGGTAGGAAATTTTTTTGGGGGCCAATTTTTTGTGCACGATCCTATGGAGGCGTCTGCGTGTTGTCAAGGGTAAAAGGTAGAAATTGATGGTTTTCGGGTTTATTCCTCATTTTTTCCCAAAACAAATTAGGGTAGGGGCTGTCAGAATAGGTTAGGTAGGGAAACCGGAAGCAGAACTATTTTTTTGGGGGGCCTTATGTAGATATTGTCATACATGTTAATCATGTATATCTTTGTCACTCCAGGGAGCAATCACTGTTGGAATTGACGCCACGGATCTCTTTGACGTTTACGAAGACTACGACATGGAGTTTAGGTAAGTTTGCAGTAGCACCATTTGAATAAATCTCTTTTGTGAGTATGTGTGGTTCTGAAAAGAACCGGAGGGACTCAACGTTTCGAACAGTATGCTCTGCCCGTCGTCAGGAGAATGAGGGATTCCAACGATGATGCGATGTTATAAGGATGGGTGCTGTGAGGCACCCATCCTTATAACTTCCTTCAGAACCACACATACTCACAAAAGAGATTTATTCACATGGTGCTTCCACAAACTTATCTTGTCTTAGTATCTTTCCACCATGCAAACCTTCAAATCTCATGGAGTTTAGGTATGTCAGATCATTTCACAAAACACTAAGACCTGTCTTAGTTTCTCATAACTAGTCGAAACAGCCCAGTGTTCTGTTGAATAAAAGACACTTGTTTTTTAGTTTTAATTGTTTCTTTTTTCAGCGGTGTCCCATCTATAGAAGTCAAGAACATGTCCATTACACAATCTATTGACGCTCCGTTGACACCCACCGACACGGCTGTGCTGTCTGGTAACCTGTCGACTCAGAATGGTAACGGCAGCGGTAACTTCAACGTGGCCTATCGGCGCATATTCTCCTACCAGTCTTGGGGGGAGGTATGTAGAAAATTACATATGGCCCCAAAAAAAAGGCTCCGGTTTCTGGTATGCGCATGTGTAGCAATGCGCGTCGGCAAAATTAAAAAAAACCTCACTGGTTTGACTGGAATCCTGCTGCTGCACAATTTTAACATGTTTTTAGATGGGTTTACGATCGAGTATAAGCTTTATGTGGCCTCTCTGGGCTCCCATATATTTTGCACTAAATTTAGTCGGGCACCATTTGCAGTCATCAGCCGATATTTGAAAAATAAAAGTAAAAAAAAAAAAAAAAGCCGCGTCGCCGCACCATTTTTGGGCCAAGCTCCATACCAGAAACCAAAGACTTTTTTTTTTTTGGCCTAAGGCGTTTTCACACTGTCACCTCACTTATACATGTTGAAATCAACACTGCAGCCGATTTAACGAAACAGTGCGTAACTTACGTGGTGCGTAGGACTTACTCAGGTACTGTCTGAGCGCGACTCCAGGCTCCCTCGACCAATAGCAATACGAAAATGCGCGTGTGCCTCATCATTAAGCATGCATGTGCGCGCGACACTAACGCAGTAAATGCTTCTAACTCTTGTCACTGGATTCCAGAATAGGTGACGTCTTTAATCGTTACAGAACTCAACCCATCAAACCCCAACGGCATGTTTTGTTGGAATCTGTAGGGATGGGTACAGTACCCCTAAACTGACAGTCTTTTACATTTGGGTTGGCACACCTTCAGAATCTAAGTCAGAAATATGTGTGCGCAGTTTCCCATATGGTGTTGGAATTTGCCAGGATGGGCATGGTTCCTAGTAAATCATGCTAGGGAGTTAGGTTAATTGAACTTAGAACTGTTTATATTTTTTATTTTTAGTTCCAGGCATCAGCAGGCGGTGGGCCCACCCTAGCTCTGAAGATTTTCAGGAACATCAACAAGAGAAGGTACCAGACAAGTAGACTAACCAGTTTGTTTTGTTCAGTTCTGTTATTTTTGTTGCCTCCTATAGTGGCCTTTAGCCTTGTGGTTGGCATATTTCATGAAACAAATAATGTCTCTATTCATAAGATGGAATTTTGCATCGGGTGATGTAAATCAAATAAGGTTTTTTGCCCTTCACCGACGTTTAAACACTGTATTCTCAGTGTGTTACCTCCCGAGTGAAAGTTGAAAATCACTCGGGTGGGACTCGAACCCACGACCTCCTGCTTTCTAGTGCAGACGTCTTACCACTCGACCACCAAGCTAACGGGATCGGTTGGCTGGTTCGAATCTGATGTACATAGCAGCAGTTTCCGCATTAACTATTCATAAGATGGAATTTTGCGTCGGGTGATGTAAATCAAATGAAATAATAATGTCGCATTTCTCTTCCACAGTTTTGTGAGCTGTACGGGTTCCGCTCGGCTGTTATCGGGAACGGTCATCGCCCCAGGCATAGCCACAGGTGAGATGCCAATTCGTTTCATCTTTTCGTTCCTCACAATATCATATTTTGCAAGGCTTGTTAAAGAGGTTGTGGAATGCTTGAAGACATTTCCGTCATTTTTTGGGTATATGTAGCCTAAGGTGTGATGAAATAAAAACGACTATTGTTTCTGTCATGAAATGAGTACAAAGGGTACTTTTGAGAGCTATTTTCCAGGTCCTGTTTCGACCCGAACGTGCAATTTGTGTAAAAGTTTTCGTTGCGGGCAGCAAACAAAACACAGTAAATGGTGACATAATAAACAGGACTCGTTTATGCTACTCTGCATCGGGAGTCCTGTTTATTACGTCACGATTTACTATGTTTTGTTTGCTGCCCGCAACGACGACTTTAACACAAATTGCACGTTCGGGTCGAAACAGGCATGACAGGACTTGAAAAACAGCTCTCAAAAGTACCTTTTGTACTCATTTTATGACAGACACAATAGTCGTTTTTATTTCATCACACCTTAGGTTACATGTACCCGAAAAATGACGGAAATGTCTTCGAGCATTCCACAACCTCTTTAAATTTTGCTACAGTGGAACGCCGCTATAACAAACGTCGCCGGATCCACAGAAAGTGTTCGTAATAACAATTGTTCGGGATAGTGATTTTGAACCGCCGGTACCCTCTTTTGACCAATTCGGTTGGTTAGTAAAAACGTCAAACACGCCCGCGCACCACTGATTACTAGCGCCCATTGGATAAACGCTCGAGTTGCGTTAACTTCCGGTTCCATTCGTGCTATGCTACACCGTGTGAAGTACGCATGGTTGAATTGAGATGACGTCACACTAAGGAACCGGAAAGTGAACTGGCATTTCTACACGAGGAGTCGTCACGAAACTTAAACAATGTGTGGTTTTCCCTTTTATTCCTTTGGGGAATAATAGCTGTTTATCGCTCTTCAAATTAAAACTTTTCAGAGGACTTCACTAAGGACCAACCTCAAACATATGTGAAGCAAAATTTGGTGCGGAATGTCTGACGTTGGTTTTTGGGGGGGTCAAGTTATCGTAAAAATAAACAATTTGCTTTTTGCAAGGGCTATATCTCATTCAATGAAGTTAATATAAGTGTAAGATTTTACATGAAACTAGTTTCAATTGGGGGCTATTACAGGCAAAAAATTTGGTGAAAAAAATATTTTCCATTTTTGACTTACACCCCCCCAAACATTAGTCCAGATGAGTTTTGGGCCATTTTGGGGCCCCTCTAACTTAAAAATGAAACAAGCTACTTTCTTTCTGTTTAAATATTTGAAATCTACAGCAAAAAATAGCCCAGATTACCAAGTTTGAAATGTCTGGGGGGGTATAGTTTTAAATATATGGCCCTTTAAACATTGAAGTTCGTGACGCGACGCACTTTTGGCCCCGCCCACCTCAAATTTCAAAATGCTGTTGCGCAAGAACGAAAAGTCGTAGAGACCCCATATTTTCAGAATTTGCATTTCTCCTAAGTATCTTTCAGTACACCAAAAAAGAAAAAAATCCAAGAGGTGATGGTGTGCACCATTTGTTGAGTTGGCATGGAATGACCCCATTCAAACACGATGTAACCATGGGTGGTTTGATGTTCAAGAATCAACAGTGGCCCAAATAGCATTCAATACAACTGGTAGATTTGTTGTTAATCTGTTGACTTTTTCAACAACAATGTTCGTTACATTTTGTACATTAAAACCGGGAGCCAAGGATGATTTTCGGTATAGCCAAATGTTCCGTATAGCGGTGTTCGGTGTAGCGACGTTCCATGCTATTGTGTTTTTCCCTGATACGGTTAAACACACATTCTGAGGAAAATATTTAGAAAACATACTAATAGGTCTCGTTCAAATGATGTCATTTCCTACAGACCATCCACGTGCATCGGCATTTTGAGCGTCAATTTGCATAACTCACATCGTCTGCGTCATATTTCGAACACATTTCGAGCAACAAGCGCGCGTGTTTGGATCATTTTCAACACTGTGCAATGCGTGCTTAATTGCGTAAAATACGCAGTTGCAGTTCTTCTACAGAGATGGCCGTCATTGAGGGAGCCCTATTTTAGATTCTGCTTTTCATTGAAGTAATTTTCATAAGCACGGCATACAGCCCAACATGTATGTTGGTGGTTCCCCATTTTGTCAATGTCTTTGTTCAAGGGGCGCTAGTCAGAAGCCGTAAACCTGTATATGCCATGTAGCCAGGGATCATGCCCAAAGTCATGATGCAAGAAACATGAAAAAAAAGATAAAGGGGACGAACCTGTGTTCACAGGAACGGAGTGCCCATCTCTCTTTCGAAGCGATTGGGCCAGACTCGAGTCCCTGAAATGCTGCTGTGGGGGGATTGCCACACCTCCTCCACAGCGAGTCTGTTACCTTCCCAGCATTGAATAATGCCGGTACCCATTTAACTCTTTCAGTGCCCGCAAAATTTGAAAAGTTTAACCCTAAAGTGCCCAACTTCGAGCGTTGTTTGTAATTGTTCAAAATTCTGTAAAAAAAAAAGGGAAATAAGTTTTACTCACCAAATTTGTTGTTGTTGCTCTCTGGTATATCCTTGGTACATTGGAAAGTCAATAGTAGTCACGTACATATTGCTTCACCTTGAAACACTGTCCTGCACACAGGGGAATTTCGCACTTTTTGCAGAAAATACGAGTGTCAGTGCTGTGCCCTCTCGCAAGACCTCGAATGAAACAAATAAATACAGGTCGTACCTGAATGAAAATGATATTATTAGAAAGAGCGAGAGCGCCCCCTTGTGATAACATGCTTACTCTACCTCGTACATGTACGAGGTTTGGCGATAAGTACAAACATTACCTCGTACATGTACGAGGTTGGCACTTCAAACTAACAAATACACCTCGTACATGTATGACTTTGGCACTGAAAGAGTTAACACCTGGGTAGAGTGGAGTAATTGAGGTAAAGCGCCTTACTCAAGGGCACAACACGCATGACCACGGCGGGGCTCGAACCCACAATCTCACTATCATGAATCCTGTGACCACAAACATGAGCAACGCTTCAATTTTGATTTCCTCCGTGCAGTGGCTGGGAGGCAGCTGGATAAACACACGATGGGTTATATGACTTGGAGATGGGGGATGGCATCCTCCATGACAACCATGGTCGTCAGGGATACGCAGTCAACGCACACTATGTGCCAAATGCAGGTAGGAGAAATCTTCGTATTGTACAGCTTTAAACAATTCAGGTGATTCACAATGCAGTGCGCCACCAAGAGTTTGCCATGGAGAGTCAATTTTTTCAAGTTTACGGTCGAAAAAACATGGCCCATTTGAATGAGTGTCAGTAAACAACTTGAGCTAATTTGTTATAGATTGAGGCATAGCGTTCTGCTGCCTTTAAAAAAAACATCGATAAAAAGAAAAGAAAAGAAAAGTGCAAACTGATACTCGAATCATTCGCTTACAAAAATACTGACCGGAAAAATAAACAACTTCAAATGTCCTGTGCCGCAAATTTGTCGAACATATCCCATAATGCACTGGAAAAAATGAACTCTCCACGGCAAACTCTTGGTAGCGCACTGCATTGTGAATCGCCCGAATTTTCGACAAACCTTTAGCCCAGGCATTGACATTGCGGGTTAATCCTATACAATAGCTTAGCACAGTCTCAAAAATTTGATAATTTCAAAAGGTTTATTTGGTTACATTTTGCTATTACAATGGAATCCTCAATGTGCAGTTCTGTTAACCCTAACTCCCTAGGCATTTTTGCTAGGATGCAACCTCAGTCCCGCAAATTCCTCCCACTGCCTCCATGTAAAAATTGCATACAGCCTCCATCCTGCAAAATCCTCCGTTAGTTCTTGAATGTTGTCCTTGGAGGGGTGACCACTGCCTCAATCCTGCAAAATCCTCCAGCAATCACTGTCAATTTCTCAGGCAGAGCCATTGACATCCTGGAGCAGTGTGGAGGATTTCAAGTATAATCTAGGCCTAGATTTATGCACGGCTGAGCGTAAACAACATAATATCCAGCCTAAGACCTTGACACAGTGCATCCTCCAAAGTCAGCCACACGTTTTTGCCATATAGTCTCAATTCTGCGAAATCCTCCATTTTGCAAAGAGGATTTTGGAGGGCTTGGAAAGGCTAGGGTTAAGATGTTTCAGGGCTGTTTTGGTTTTTATGCTAATGCAAATTTCCATATTCATTAGCCAAAACCTTAAGTTCATCCGTACAAGCAGACGCTTCAGTGTTATAGCTGCTTCAGCATAAAAAATGTCCCTGACTTTTAGGGTTTGTTTCCTTGTTTTTGGAGTGATTTTCCGTTGATTTAGAAAAGGGACAGTCAGTTAATAAGCAGTCTTAATACACAAACCTTTTGGGCTAACTGCATTTTGAATTAAACCTTCGTACGGAAAATTCCTGAATTAATGTAACGTTCTAGTTTTAAAATGTCATTCATAAATACCTAAGACAGTTGACCCATTCCTATTGGTCGAGAGCCCGTCACGTGGCCATTCGTAAATGGTTGATTAAACATGGGCTGGCTGGTCATGAACATATTAATGACCCTCGTCTTCAGGTCGGGTCATTATCAGCGTCCAGACTCCAAACCGGTCTTAAACATGGTGTTTGAAACCGGCCAAGCACACATTTATCTCCTTAGTTATGTTTTGAAGAGGTTGTGGAATGCTCGAAGACATTTCCGTCATTTTTCGGGAATATGTAGCCTAAGGTGTGATGAAATAAAAACGACTATTATGTCTGTCATGAAATGAGTACAAAAGGTACTTTTGAGAGCTGTTTTTCAGGTTCTGTTTCGACCCGAATGTGCAATTTGTGTAAAAGTCGTCGTTGGGGGCAGCAAACAAAACATAGTAAATTGTGACGTAATAAACAGGACTCCCAATGCAGCGTAGTATAAATGAGTCCTGTTTATTACGTCACGATTTACTATGTTTTGTTTGCTGCCCCCAACGACGACTTTTACACAAATTGCACGTTCGGGTCGAAACAGGACCTGAAAAACAGAAGGATGTCCATCCAGTTTCTTACAAGTTTTTTTTTTTACTTTCTAGCTTGGAATTCCAAATTCGTTTGTTAGCGTAAGCTTCACCAAGAAGTTTCCAGAGCACGACGGCAAAATCACACTAGCTGCCAAGTAAGTCAGGTTTACGCCTCTCTTTAACCCTAACTCCCTTCGCCTTTTTGATAGGATGTAGCCTCAATCCTGCAAAATCCTCCAACTGGCCTCATGGAAAAATAGCATATAGCCTCAATCCTGCAAATTCCTACATTATTTCTTGCATATGGTCCATGGAGGGGTGACCACTGCCTGAATCCTGCAAAATCCTGCGGCAGCGACTGTCAATATGTTGAGGCTTTGCCAGTGACATCCTGGAGCAGTACGGAGGATTTCAAGCATAATCCAGGCCTTTATTAATATGCATGGCTGAGCAAAAACAACACAAGGTCCGGCCCAAGACCTTGACAAAGTGCATCCTACGAAATCAGTAACGCACTTTTGCATGTACAACCATTAGCATTTCAACACTGTGAGAAGTTCTTAAAGAGGCATTCTTCATGCCTTTTCCAGTTTGACCCAAAAAGTAGATTTAAATTGTTTTATTTTACATATGCTATTTTCCTAGTAATATAAAAGTGTTTCACATTTTGAATGAGACATTGAACAAAAAAAATCCATCAAAGTTGAGTTGTGGAAGCATTTTTTTTACAAAATTTGAATCATTGCAACTCTCACAGGGCAGGTTTGGTTTTGTGTGAAAAAAATGAAAGCCCTTTTCAGAGGGTTGTAGACGCCCAAAGTTGGTGGAAGAAGTAGTTTTTGTTTGTTAAAATAAATCATACAAATTGAAAAATTGATAGGAGAAAAAAAAAAGATTTTTTTTTAAGAGCATGGGGCACGCATCTTTAACCTAACCTCCTTGAGTGATTCACTAGGAACCTTCTTCACTCTTAGGGGGGTGCGGCCTAGTGGTTAGGGCTCACAACTCAGGATCAGAGGGTCAGGGGTTCGAATCCAGCTGCTGGCCATATGTTGTGTCCTTGGGCAAGCCACTTCATCCCCACTTGCCTCTCTTCACACAGGAGTATAAATGGGTACCGGCATAAGCTGGGGAGCAACCTGCGATGGACTAGCATCCCATCCAGGGGGAATAGAAATATGATCAGTCGTTTCATGCCACTGAAACCGGAGATAAATGCCGGCCTGATAGGCCATTTTGGCTTTTGACAGACTTTACCTCTTCACTTTCATCGCTCTTGCAAAATCCAACACCATATGGTAACTCATACACTCACACTGTTGGACTCTGATTATGGTGGTATGCCTGACCCCATGTAAAACATAATCAGTTTACTAGTGCAGTACTCACTCCAACAGATTCCAACAAAACATGCTGTTGGATTTTGAAGGGTTGGGGTGGTTAGGGTTAAGTTTAGCACAAGATTTTGGCAGTAGTTTTGCTCAACTTTTCTGCTAATTATTAAACACAACAATGTCATAGTGCTTTGAAACGCAGAAAAGACCAATAACAGGTTACGAACCAAAAATAGCCACATGATTGCATTGGTGTTGACTGGTTACCGACCAATTTTTGATGATCACGTCAATTTTCGAAATTTTTTGAAATTTGCTCCTTGTCAGTTTACTTTTTGTTGTTTATTTGGTAGTTTTTCATATTGAAAACAATTTCTTGACAGTGTAGGGAGACCAAGTGCGCCCTCAGTTGTTGTATTTCCAAAAGTTTGGCAAGTGATTTGCATATTTTCATGAAACACTTTGATTTGCATAGGGTGACCTTTGTGCTTCCCGCGCAAAGGCAACTTGTAACAGAGAGGACCGACACATAATTGTCTCTAAAAATTCTCTCATTTTTGTAGGGAGCATGGCTCCTGCCATGCTTCTGAGGTATATCACAGTGGGAGGGTGATATCATAGAAACTTCCCAGTGAGTGTTGCTCCGGTTATATAATCGTTTTGTGAGAGAAATTGTGTATTTTCGGGATGAGACATCATTCGTTGCATTGTAGTTTTGTACTAGGCCTATAGTGTGTAGCATATGTACACAGCCATGTGTTGAACTTTGACACACACATTGTATTTACTGTCATATTTAGTCTATTGTGCATAAGGACTTTAACTTGAAGTGTTGTAAGAATAAATTTATTGTAGTTCAGGAAATCATAGTCGTCTTATCATCATAATTGTATATTTTGTTTGAACACTCGTCCGCTTTAGTTTGAGGACCGTTCCTCCTTCCTTCCCCCTTAATTGACGTAGGTACTGGTTCACTTCAAATGGCGTCGTAGACAGGATTGAGTGTTCTGATTTATTTCTCCAAGATGTGTACTCGCACTTCGATAGTGAGAAGGTAACATAAGAATGATTTGCTTGTTCTTTTTTTTCCTTTCTTTCTATACTCTAGGGTGGGCCTACTCGGGTCAGTATTCGAGTACGGCTGCGACAAGAAGATATCAAGGCACAGCAGGGCGGCTGCCAAAATCAGCATAGGAATCCCGGCCGGGGTCACTCTGAGGCTAAGGTGGGTATGAGGTTGCAATGTGCGAAAAGAGGTTGCGTAGTGACTGAGCAACTTAAAGGGAATATACATCATTTGCTTTTGCTGTAATTTTCAGAAATGGATGGAATTGGGGGTTGGAAATATATAGCAAATATAGTTACACTGACTTTATTGAGGTTTTGGGTTCGAAAATGCCATAAAAACCAAGAAAAACAATCATTTTCCTGTAGTCTGGTTCCCTGACTCCATATAAGAAGAAACAGAGCAGTTTACATACATTGGGGAAGTGTAAGGTCAGGGAACCAGTCTAGCTGGCTTGTACCCGTTCATAGTTTGTGTGTAATTGATTGCAAACAAGTGCGATGGTCAATTGGGGCCAGTATTTGAAAAAAAGCCAGTTTTTTCCAACGCTGGTCGGCCGACCAGCATTGGAAATTGATACAAAAATACCACTTTTCTTGAAAATGACAGTATACCAGGTGCCATGATTTTACAGAATTCTTTACACTGTCATTCACTAACAGTCCAGCAAGGTATTTCAAAATGATTTGGTAGTTTTATTTTTTGATGTTTGCAAATGTTGTATTTTCCCTTTAACTTCAGTCTACAGATTCAAAATTGTAACATTTTGCAGTTTGTGGGTTCGAGTCCAGCCTGGGGTTGTTGTGCGTGCGCCCTTGGGCAAGGCACTTTGTCACTCATTGCTTCTCTCCAGCCAGGAGTAAATGGGTACCTGTGAGGGCATATATGGCTATTGTGACTGATTTTAGCTGCTTTGCGCCAAAATGGCAGCATGGAGCTGTATACTCCCCAGGGAGCTGAGATTGTCTTTGGAATGTTTCATTGGCCCAATGGTGTGTGCGCCCTTGGGCAAGGCACTTTGTCACTTATTGCTTCTCCCCACCCAGGAATAAATGGTACCTGTGAGGCAGAGATGGTTACTGTGATTGATTTTAGCTGCTTTGCGCTGATATGGCGACATGGAGCTGTATACTCCCCAGGGAGCTGAGATTGTCTTTGGAATGTTTCATTGGCCCAATGGTGTGTGCGCCCTTGGGCAAGGCACTTTGTCACTTATTGCTTCTCCCCACCCAGGAATAAATGGTACCTGTGAGGCAGAGATGGTTACTGTGATTGATTTTAGCTGCTTTGCGCTGATATGGCGACATGGAGCTGTATACTCCCCAGGGAGCTGAGATTTTCTTTGGAATGTTTCATTGGCCCATTGGTGCGTGCAGCCTTGGGCAAGACACTTTTGACACTCATTGCGTCTCTCCACCCAGGAGTAAATTGGGTGCCTGTGAGAGCAGATATGGTTATTGTGACTGATGTTAGTTGCTTTATGCCGAAATGACAGCATCGAGCTGTATACTTCCCAGGGCACTGAGCAGTGTTGTAGTACTCGTACTCGGTACTCGTACTCGAGTACTACTCAAGTACTATTTTTGGAGTACTCATACTTGTACTCGTACTCGAATGTCAAAGTACTCGTACTCGAAATGACGGTACTCGTACTCGGGCAGCAAAGTACTCGTACTCGACATGTCGAAATTGTACTGAATCATCAAAGTACTCGTACTCGAATAGCAGTACTAAAAAAAAATTGGAAATGGTTGATTGGCTTGCAGAAAAATCAGAGATTCCTGATTTTTCTCTGTGCACGTCTGGACAAACACATTAATAGCTAGCCGTGAGTGGGTCTGTATATCGGTCTGACTGGGCCAGGGCCAATTACGCACAATGAACCATTTGCGGATTGGCCGTATTCGGAAATAGAAGTACTCGTACTCGGAGACCTGAACTTGTACTCAGAAGTACAGGTACTCGTACTTGTACTCGGTAACCTAAGTACTCGGCAGTACTCGGTACTCGGAAAAAAGTACTCGACTACAACACTGGAGCTGAGATTGTCTTTGGAATGTTTCATCGGCCCAATAAGCAGGGTAATAATGATGTAGCGCCTTGAGCACCAATGATAGTGGATACGCTGCTTAACACATTATTTATCATCCACAGGTTAGCAAGAGGTAATCAGACCTTCCTCTTCCCCATCCACCTCTCCCACGAGCTTTCACCCCAGGCCTTGTTCTACGGCACCGTGGCCCCCCTCCTCGCGTACTGGTTCATCAAGGTCCTTGTGGTGGACCCATTCCTCAACAAGCGAAAAACAGAGTGAGTATTCCTTGGATTTACTCTCTCATATTCTCAGCACCATCGTGACTCATAATCAGGGGTTCCGGGTTCGATTCCAGCTCCTGGCCATGTGTTGTGTCGCTGGACAAGCTACTTCACCCCAAGTTACATGTACCTCTACCCACTTTGGAGTGACAATGGTTTACCAGCTACTTAGGAAGTACTTGAATACAGCCGTAATTTTTTCCAGTTATATTTTTAGATTGCAAGAGGCTCCTTCACTCTTCACTTTGGAATGACATGTAATTGCCTTTATTAAAATGTTCTATCTGTGCTCTTCAACACATTCAATGACTTCTTATTAGTGTCCCTTGAACCAAATTGGGGAACCGCCAAAGTTGGGCTGGATAGCTCAGTTGGTAGAGCACCGGAACAGCAATCTGGAGGTCGCAGATTCAAACACTGCTCAAGTCAATTTCGTTGTTCATATTTAAAACTATTATCATGCATGTAGTCAGATTCTGTTTGTGGTTTATTTGAAAATATGTAATAAAAAGCTGTATCTCTCTGAGTGATCCCCGTTCGCTATTTCCCAGGTTTGCAGCAATTTTGCTAGACCGTGGGTGTGTGGTCTCTGGCTACATGGCATATACAGGTTTATGGCTAGATGACGTGCGTCTCTTGAACAAAGCATTGACAAAATGGGGAACTGACAACATAGGGCTGTTGGTAGACTGCCGGAACTGTAATCCGGAGGTTGCAGGTTCAAACCCTACTCAGGTCCATTAAAATGAATTTTCTCTGTTTTGTGTCCCCAGCGAGCTTGCCAAGGAACGTGACTCTAAGCAAGAGATGATGGACCTGAAGAAACAAGAAGCTCAGGATGAGGTTGGTATTAACAAAGCAAAGCAGGTGTTTCTTTAATAGACAAGATTATTAAATCGTCAAGTTAGAATGGGAAAACAAAAGTCTTCGGTTTCTGGTATGGAGCTTGCCCAAAACGTGGTGCGGCGACGCGGGGTTTTTTCCCCCTACTTTTTTTTCCTTCAAATTTCGGCTGATGTGGCAGAGGACGCTTCGATCCCCTTAAAACTCTCAAAAATATCCTTCAGGGTGGAGCTTGAGGTGACCTCAGTAAGGCCATAAGGCTTGAGAATTCTGCACCTATTTACGATCTCGACCAACAGGAACATTCTTTGGGAAATTTGGATAGTCAAGACAAAAATTAGAGAAAACGGTAACCTCAGACCATACAGCGACATCAATATCGTGCATGTGCTGCCAGGCTAGTCATTAGTCTGCTCCCATACATATTGCGCTAATTAAAAGCTTTTAAGGTTCCAGATACACGACCATCGCTCCCTCAGTCCGGCTTCCAGATGCACAATTACAAAATTACGACACTGAGAGGCGACATAAAGCTTATACTCGATCGTAACCCCATCTAAAAACACGTTAAAATTGTGCAGCAGCAGGATTCCAGTCAAACCAGTGAGTTTGGCTGTTTTGAGACATCACCTTACATTGTTAATTTTGCCGACGCGCATGGCTACAGCGATGCGCACACAGACCAGAAACCGGAGACTTTTTTTTTGGCCATACGAAAAGGAATATTCTATATCATTGATACAGAGTCCATGCACAAGTACCCCCTCAACGGTTACACCGAGAGAGTTGGGGGAGACCACTGGGAGGACATTCGAGCGCATTGCTTAAAGCTATAGTCCATCATTAGTAGCTGCCGTAATTATTGTTGAAAAACATACTTGGTTGAAAGATAGTAAGGGGACAAAACTCCCTGTGAAATTACTCTTTCTGGAAAGCTGTCATTTTGAAGTAATCAACGAAAGAAGGCCTTTCCAACGGTGCTTCTTAAGACGCACCGTAGGAAAATTCAAATTAGTGGTTTGTTTTGTTATTCGGCGAAGCGTGCGCAAGCATTGGCACGACGCACACACTACCCCGGTTGCTATAATTCGTCGGATCAGCGCGCGACATCGCGTAGCTGCAATCGGCTCAGCGAGAATGTGTCTCGGACGCTGAATTCAGGCGCAATTCAAAACATGATTCAGCAACTTTTGATTTGAAATTGAGATCCTAGAATGTTGTTTTTCTCGGAATATACAGCTGAAGCTGAGCTGAAACTTCATCAGGTTAGTTGTTCAGTACCCTTCTTTGGATTTTGAGCACTTTTTTGCTTCAAAAGAACAAAATGCACAAATTACAAATGATGGACTATATCTTTAAAATTAAAAGTTGCACTTAGCCAGATTTTCCATGGGCATTGCAACACACAATTGAATGCAATGATGCAAGCCCTGCATTGAATTGTGTGTTGCAATGCCGATTGAAAATCTCGCTGAGGGCAACTTTTAGTTTTGGGGTTTCAGGAGCTTCGGCGCTTGCGCTCTCGTTATTTCTTACACAGTGTTCCCAAGTGAGGCATCAAATTGGACCGGAAAGTTCCGTGACAAATCGTGTATTTTAGATTTTTTTTGTTCACCGATAAAATGTCCAAACAAGGATGGTTTTACAGGATGAGTAAAAAAAAGTAAAACCCAAACCCCCAAAAATATATTTCATATTTAAAAAAATTTGTACTAAGTTCTAGATGAAAAACATTACTGAAATTGCTCAATCTATTCAAAGAATATCCCCATTTCAATGCAATGACCCTAAAACCTGTCTTGTCAAAAAAAAAAACAATTTATTGTGTGTTTTGACTGTTTGGAACAACAAAGAAAATGATATAGAATACTTGTTTCAACAACTGTCAACAACTGTAGTACACAATATCTTTATTAGCAACCCTGGTTAGGCAAACAATATGATTTATAAAATCTACTTTTTTTTAAAAGACGGGCCTTCAAAGGGACTTTGTTGAATATTTTTAACTTTTAAACTGAGGTTTTATCGCTGGTGATGTTTGAAGACAATTGTGACGACGTTTCTTGAAATCACATTTTTGGACGAGACAGGTTTTAGGGTCATTGTGTTTAAATGGTGATACTCTTTGAACGGATTGAGGAATTTCAGTTATTTGTTCATCTAAAAGTAGCTAATGAAATTGGCTTTCCAGTCATTATTTTGGTGCTACATATTTTTTTATAATATGAAATATAATTTTGGGGGTTTGGGTTCTGCTTTTTTTGACTCGCCCTGTAGAAACTTCTTAGTTTCTTTTTGTGCCAGGTGTATTGTTAGTGCATAGGTCAATAAACCATCTCTTGTGTTCCCCAGGTGCACCTCATGCAAGAAATGGTACAGCGCATCGTCGAGACGGAACGCAACCGGGAGGGGCTAATCATCACCAGGGCGTGGTATGGCAAGCTGGTCATCCGGGAAGCCGAGGAGGAGAACGGAGACGGGGAGGTCGGCGGGGAAATCGAGGGCATGATTGACGTGACGGTACAGCTACAGTGCCAAGTCAAGGACTCCAAGCTGATGCTAACGGATGCCTCCAAGGTTTGTACTGATTCCTGATTCTTGATTTATTAACATGAACACAAATTTAATGCACTATAGACGGTTCTAGGAAGTGGCCTGGTTGTTAGGGTTTGTGACTCGTGATCAGAGGGTCAGGGGTTCGAATCCAGCTGTGGCCATATGCCGTGTCCTTGGGCAAGCCACTTCACCTCCACTTGCCTCTCCACACCCAGGAGTATAAATGGGTACCAGCATTAGCTGGGGAGTAACCTGCGATGCACTGGCATCCCAACCAGGGGTTGTGTCCTTGGGCAAGCCACTTTACCCCCACTTGCATCTCCACCCAGGAGTATCAATGTGTACTGTCATTAGCTGGGGAGTAACCTGCGATTGACTGGCATCCCATCCAGGGGGAATAGAAATATTCTCTGTCACTTCATGCCAAGGAAACTGGAGATAAATGTCGGCCTGATAGGCCATTTGATTGCTGACAGACTTTACTTTGCATAGACCATTCTGAGAACACCATCACTGTTCACTCACGGAGCCCCTTTCAATGGCGAAAGTATTGTGCTAGATATTGTTCAGATTATTATTATTATGATTATTATTATTATTATAACTATCTCTGGTAATGAAATAAAACCAAGGATTCTTCAAAAGTGCCCCTGCACCCGATTTCACTGAACGATGCGACGCGTCGCTACATGAGTTACGACGTGTAACACATCACAACTCGCAACACGTCGTACAATCCACGAAACTTGCGATGTATTGAACGCGTCGTAAGTTCCTTGACAATGGCTTAAAACACGTCGCAAGTTACGTGTCTAGTGGTCATCGCAAAATAAGAAGAGTCCTTTTCTTAGCCAGTTGTATGCCTTTAATAAACATCACATAAACGAGATTATAATACCGAGGCAATGTGTGTAAAGTTGTAAATAGAAAATTATGAAATGAAATAGACTGGAATATTGCAGTTGAAATTTCAAAGTAGCTATACAGTCCACTGAGAGCTTGTTTTCGTTTAAAATTCATCACATGGCCGCCATTTTATTTGACGTTTTAACAAATTTTGGGCGGAGATCCGACGACTCCTTGTTGAATATCAGAAGACTTTTTACTGTACGCTGAAAAAATACATAAAACAGTCAACGAGTTGTGCTATAAATACACCTACGACGCGTGTTAAGTGAAATGGTTTGCAGGACGCGTCGCAGCTGCGACGCATCGTAGTGATACCACGCGTCGCAGTGCTGCGGTGCATCGTAAGTTACGAAGAGTTTTAGAGAATCAGGTGCAGGCACTGTATAGCCTGCAAGCCCAAAGAAACCTGTAGAGAGAAGACAACGAGAAGAAATGACAGTTTTAGAGGTGGGAGGAAAACCCCAGAAGAATATTCTAGAGAAAAACCAAGGAATCTGGTAGGGACTGAAAACCCAATCCACATATTTGCCCAGGCGGGATTCAAACCTGGGTCACAGCGGTGGAAGGCGAGGAAAGTACCGCTATGCCAACCTGACTCCCCAGTCTGTCATGGGGCAGTTTCTACGTACAATGCCTTCATGAATATACAGTGATAGCGAGCTGAGATTGGTCGATAGGCTAGTGCATGAAATTTGCGACGAGCATGAACATGTGTGTGTAGCGTGTGTGCTATTTCTTGATTTTTTTCCCGGTCAGGCAGTGTAATAACGGTGAACCTTAATTTGTTTTGTCTGTCCCCAGGCTGCCCTGCCAGGGTTTTACGACCCATGCGTGGGCGAAGAGAAAAATCTTCGGGTCCAATACGAGTTTCACGGTGAACAACACGAATGCACGATAGCAGATAACGAACCTCTGCGAATACCCAAAAGATGTAAGTTAGTCCTTTTTCTCACAAGATTTAGCCAGTATGTAGTTAGACATTTCTGAATTGAGAGGGAATACTTTAAAATGTCTTGAAATTTTTCTGGCTGTGGAAAATTCAAATTTATGGGGAAAGGGGGGTTAGACATAACTTGACGCTAGGGGCACTGTTTGCGAAACAAATCTTTACATATCAAACATTAAACATTTTTAATACGAGATCCTCAGAATGTGTAACTTCCCTTATTAACAATTATTTTTATCCACTCTTAGAAATTAGTTTTAGAAAAACGTCTGTGCATTTGATGTTTTCCTAATTTTTATGGTTTTTTTTTTTCATTTTCTTCAACAGCTCACCATGTTAATCCCAGTTGAGACGGGGCGAAATCCTGGTAACATAAGCCAAACTTCCAGCAAACCTTCAAGACTTTTTGTCTTCACTGACCTGAATTTGAACCATCCCAAGACGTTTACAGAATTGTTGAATTTTTTGGCCCCTTTCCTTTGATCATGCCTCCAAGTATCTCTAATGGATCCCTCCTGCCTGTCAGTCAAACTGCACATTAACCAATCAGATCACCACTTTTTGGTCAGGTGACCATGGTAGCTCAGTCAAACTCAGTCACAAGCACTGTGAGAAATTTACATAAACCAAAGGTGGGCGGGGCTTGACATTGCACATTGACCAATTAGATCATGACCTATAGTCAGGTCACCGCAGGGCTCAGTCAAACTCAGTCAGAAGTACTTTGAAAAATTTACATAAACCAAAGGTGGGTGGGGCTTGATTGTGCACATTGACCAATCAGATCATCATTTTTAGTCAGGTGACCATGGTAGCTTAGTCACAAACACTGAGAAATGTACATAAACCAAAGTGGGCTGGTCTTGACAGTAGCACATAGACCTATTAGATCATGACTTTTAGTCAGGTGACCATGGTAGCTCAGTCAATCTCAGTCACAAACACTGTGAGAAATTTACATTAACCAAAGGTGGGCTGGTCTTGACAGTAGCACATAGACCTATTAGATCATGACTTTTAGTCAGGTGACCATGGTAGCTCGGTCAATCTCAGTCACAAGCACTGTGAGAAATTTACATAAACCAAATGTAGGCGGGGCTTATGGCCAAATCTGGAACAGAACATTCGAGATCAGGTATGTAATCGAGTATATCACAAGTCCAGTCACAAGAAACTGTGGATGAACAATAACAAAGGAATGCTTTTGTCAAAAGCTCATTTGAATAGCTTGTGAGTTGAATTGGGACTGGAGGACTTGTGATGGACTTATGATGGACTCGACAACATCCCTTTTCATGATCAGCATCGTCCGGCATTTTGCGAGTCCAATTTTGCGTGACGCGTATCGGCTGTGCTGTATTTTGAAGAAATTTCGAGCAACATGCATGCGTGTTTAGAACATTTTGCACACTGCGCGCAATTGTACCTAATGGCATTGAATACGCAGTTGTAATTTTCCTACGAGGATGGCCGACTGACAGAGGTCTATTCAGTCATAAGTCATTGATTCAAAATTAATAGGCTTTTTGAATGAACTTTTAGTAAGGCATTCCTTTGTTATTGTTCATCCCTATTTCTGTCTGGACTTCTACATTTGACTGGTGATTTACTTGCGACTAGGACTTGTGATGAACTCGATTTCAAGCTATTCTATAGACTCTACCTCAACAAAAGCAAAGTGTGTCACAAAATCATGGATTTACTTTGGTTTGCGAAGTTGGGTTTTGTAACCAAAAACTGTTTTATTAATTTTTTTTAAATTTTTAACAATGAAAAATGACATGAAATCCGACAACTAAATGTTTACTTTTTGAATTAAGTGTTAATACCTTTAAGGAAAGGGGGAATTTGGCCATGTGGTTAGGGTTCGTGACTCATGATCAGAGGGTCAGGGGTTCGAATCCAGCTGCTGGCCACATGTCGTGTCCTTGGGCAAGCCACTTCACCTCCACTTGCCTCTCTCCACCCAGGAGTATAAATGGGTACTGGCATTAGCTGGGGAGTAACCTGCGATGGACTAGCGTCCCATCCAGGGGGAATAGAAATATTCTCAGTCGTTTCATGCTACTGAAACTCAAGATAAACGCCAGCCTGACGGCCACATTGGCTTGTGACAGATGTTACTTTTTAAAATAACTTTTTAGGAAAACCCTTCATTGCCAAGGTCACATATCCAAAGAATTATAACAGAAGTAATATCTGTTGATTACTTTTGCACAGAGTAGGGTTGCGTCAGCACAAATAATAGTGTGTTTGGATATTTGACTGTAAATTTGACCAATCATTCGAATATTTGTAGATTTATTAAACACAGTATGAACACGGATCTTCCTCCTATTTCCAGGGTTGTCCAAAGAAGTTATCAAAATACATTTTGATAGCTTGAAAGAAAAATTAAGATGCTTCTTAGGAAAACTTGTCTTAAGTTATCTCGCGACTCATCCTAGGATCGATTTCACCAAACGTAAGTTGCATTCACTACAATGACTTTTCGTTAAAGGCGAGTTTCAGTCTAAGGGTATTTTTCGTGACAATTTCTTAGCTAATTTTAACGCAAGAGGGTATTAATGCAATGATATCCTTTGAACTATACTGTGTAATGCTATCTTAAGCAGACGATATTTTTTTTCAAGCGAAACTTTATGTTCTGCAAACGCACATGAACATTGGTTTTGCACGTTTCTTTATCAACAACCATTCCTCGACGATTCTTATCAATGACCGTTTCCTCGAGGGGTAAAAACAAACATGAAACAGCCTTCAAATTGGCAATTTGGTCCTCCTCTAATTAATAACGATTCCTTATTGTATTTCCATTTCGTTTTGCTTAAGAAACGTTCAGTGAAATCGGTCCTGGGCTGCACCTCGGCTAGAAACGATTTTTGAGCGGGGACTCATCTTACATGCAAGTCCTCCGAGGAGTAACAAGATGGGTTTTGTGAAATCGACTCCTGGTGTTTTATGTTTTTGCGGTTATCAGCTCACTGTTAAAGGGGCACTGGGTCCTGGAACAGCCCAATTGGGCTACAAAACGCGCTTTGAACGAGATGTTAATCGGAAAGAACATTTAAAAGTAGGATATACATGTAAACATCCACACAACTATCCTTTAAAAACTGGGCGTTTTTGTGTTATTCCTGTATTATGCGTGCGAAAACAAATTTCGGGGTCCACTTTTGCGACCCCATAAATTCAAGCAGTTTGGATGCTAGTTGTGATTTCATTCCTAAAGTGTTCGCCTATTGCGGACGTTGAAGAAACCACATTTTTTGCGATGGTGATTGGTCACCGCTGTTCCCGAGACACACAACGTGTATATCGTACACTGAGAACGACACGAAACTGTATTCGTACTCCGTCGTGTCCTATGTAAACAACTGGGGATTTTTCCTCTTTTCTCGGGAACGGTAAGACATTAGGTTGGTTTCCTTTCAACCAGATGTTTGAAATAGGATAAGTAAACAATCCAAAACCTGAAATTTTCGGGGATTTCAGGACCTAGTACCCCTTTAATGTATTCAACTACTGACTAAAGGTCACTCTGTGTGACCTGTGATGTCATCAAGTACAGAAGTATGGAGTGCATATGATACAATATTACAATGTCAATCCCCATTCCATCACAAGTCCAGTCACAATTAACAGGGGATAAACAATAACAAAGGAATGCCTGTGTCACAGTTCAGTTGAATAGCTCGCAAATTGACTTAAGACTTGTGATGAACTCGACTTCTTAAATTCATGGAATGAAAAGATTAGTTGTCAAAGTCCAAATAGCTAAATTTTTATCAAATTAGGCGCTAAATTTTATCAAATTAGGAAAAACTTGGATAAAAGAAGACATCTTTTCACATCACTTATTGTTTTATTATAAAACCAAATGATTGCTTGTTTTAATGATTGTACTTGTAAATGTTTTCCAGAAATAAAGCATGTCTGTTTGGCCAGGACAAAAGTGAATTCAGGAATCCCTTTTTTGGAGATGTATTTGGCCAGCTCACTGTAAATCTGGTATCCATATATTGTATTGATACACGTATTCGTTAATCACTGCCGCACAAGAGTGAAACAAATGTTTGTATAAAAAAATGTATTACTGAATATTTCATCGCTAAATTTTGTTGGACAATATCGATTAACATTAACCCTAACTGCCCTGAATCCTTCAAAATCCTCTCTGCCAAAGTGGAGGAATTCGGAGGATTGAGGTGACAAGGCAAAAGTGCCTTACTGATTTCGTAGGATGCACTTTGTCAAGGTCTCGAGCCGGACCTTGTGTTGTTTTTGCTCAGCTATGCATAAATATAGGCCTGGATTATGCTTCCTCCGTACTGCCCCAGGATGTCACTGGCCAAGCCTCAACATATTGACAGTCACTGCTGCAGGATTTTGCAAGATTCAGGCAGTGGTCACCCCTCCACGGACCGTATTCAAGAAACAATGGAGGAATTTGCAGGATTGAGGCTATATGCTATTTTTCCATGAGGCCAATTGGAGGATTTTGCAGGATTGAGGCTACATCCTAGCAAAAAGGCCTAGGGAGTTAGCATTAAGTCGTCAATCTTGAAATTCTAACAAGCATGACAAGGACAGACCAAATACATGCAAATTGTAATTTATTAACCCTAACCCTCAATCCTCCAAAATCCTTAAGGTGGAGGATGATTGGAGCCTTTTGGAGGATTTTGGAGGATTGAGGCTGAATGCCACAAAAGCATCCGTTGATTTTGTAGGATGCATTGTGTCGAGTTCGTACCCTGCATTGTTTATGTTCAGCCATGCATAATTGAGCCCTGCATTATGCTCGATATCCGCACTGCTTCTGAATGTCATCGGCACTGCATCAACCCATTAACAGTGATTGTTGGAGGATTTTGAAGGATTGAGGCAGTGGTCACCCCTACATGGACCACATTCAAGAAATTACGGTTGATTTTGGAGGATTGAGGCTGAACCCAATTTTTACACAATGGCAAATCGAGGATTTTGCAGGATTGAGGATGGTTCCTAGCCAAAAGGGCCTAAGGGGTTAGGGTTAAAGGTGGGTATTGGGTCGCGAAATGTTCAACGTCTCAATCACATCCGCACACTCCAAGAAAAACGCAGTCATATGGAACAGCATTGTTGTCTGTTGAGTCACATGCCGTCTCGGTAGTTTGGCACATTTTTGTCTATGTACTTCCACCGTCCATGGTTTCTGTTCATGCGCTTGTGCAGGTACTTCATACGCTTGAGCATGGCATATCGCTCCGTCGGCCCCATGTCGTCCCCCATCACTTTATTTTTCCGGATCAAACGCTGCAACTCGTTGCCTTTCCAGCCTCTCAGCCACAGCGGGCCGTGCTTGACGTTGTTCTTCAGCAGGTAGGATCCGTCCCCGAGGATGTCCTTGTAGTCGTTCTCGCCAAAGAGGGCGTGCTTCTCGTCCCAGCGATCCTTCTTGGGTTTGTTGGGGACGGAGAGTTTGTTCCACTGGATCAGGGACTCTGTTGGTGGACGTTGCTTGTTGCTGCAGGCACATGCTCCTAAAATTAAAAGCAGAATAAAGAAACATGTATTGTAATCCCTAGCAATTGTAGCATGCCTTCAGTAACTCCATTCAAATTTCAATGTTATATTTTAAACAATGACGAAATTCCATATCGGCACAGTTTGAGAACAAATTTTAATTGAAGTCTGACATTTTATTTCAAAAGACATGCTGAATTTTCATAAATTTTTATTTTTGTATGTTTATGACTGGGGCCAGAGTATGAATTGGAGAAGGAAGCCCTGTGTTTTCATTCACTTTTAATACTCGAAATCCTTGCAAAAGTTGCCCCATTATTATAAAATAGCGCCCTCATTTGACAAGCGAACTTCACACGCAACACATTTGTCGGATCGTCTGCTTACCTTGAGATAAATGTCGTACAATCGAACCTAAGTGTAATGATCTAGTCAGAACTGAAATAGTTGACGTAATGACAGCCATCTTTAAAACACAATCAATACTTTTAGGTTGATTAATTGTTGTTAAATTGATTGAAGTTCAAAACTCTACGGACGAAATAAACATCGTCCGTCGACCGTCGTCCGCCTAGCCTGCGTTCTGGATCAAACTTAAAGTTGTTGAATGAATTTAAAGGAAAATAAGAATTTATTCATATTAATTCTCTGAAAAGTAGAATTATGTAATTTTTAATAAATTATTAGTGTTAACATAACCGGAGAAAGATAGTAAAAACGTGACAAATGTGGGTGATGTACATTTAAATATGTGAAAAAGGACAAACTTGCTATCCCATCAACCTTTGCGAAGCGCCAATTTTAAAGATGGCGGAACATCCGGTGTATAAAATTTTGTTTCGTTCGTAGAAAATATTTCCATTTGTTGCCTTTTAGATATGAATTTTTCTGAACCATTTAAGCAGAGTAGTCATATATGTAAATTTTCACCCAATGGGAAATATTTGGTAAGTATTTATCGCTGTATAACGACGTTTCTTGTGGTGGTTTGTCACTCCTAAAAAAATCCCGGCAGTCGACGTTCATGACGTTAGTGACGTTATTTTTACGGGAACTTACGGTCAATGACGCGGTAACTTATGCAATCAGTGCAGTGGCAACATGATATGCACTGGCGCTTACGCTTACGCCCCGCCCCCGCATTAATACACTTCGCCTCACATTGCCACTTTGCCCAATATTGCCACTGCACCCTTTTTGTACAAAGTTTAATAGTCGAGTATGGAGAGTCAAGAAATTTTTTATTTTAAAGTATTTCCCGACCTAACAAACATGACAAAATCATGAAATTGGAAATGTTTCTCAGTCCCAGGAATAGGCCTAAATTTCAACATTTTTGCAATTTGACTGACCTTCATTGAGATGATGATTGATAGTAATGGCGTCAGGCATGTCAGGGTGTAGCCCCATAAATGTGGCCTATTTACTGGACTGCCTCCGTAAACATAGGCCACACATCCACATGTACAAAAACGTGTCGCACTTTGCCAAATTTTGATTTTCGCATTTAGGCTTAGTTTGTAGGTTTTTTTGCTTTAGAAGCATACTCACCCTCTTTATCGGCTAATCAGAAAGTGCTGCCTTTTTCAGATGTATCTTTTTCGTGAAATTTCCAGATTCATTTTTACACGTTTGCGTATCAAAATTTCAACATGAAATTTCACAAAAATTAGACATCTGAAAAAGGCAGCACTTTCTGACTAGCCTATAAAGTAGTCCGAGTAACTTGGACCCAACTTATCGCCTTTTTAAAAATTTGGACATGGTCTGGCGATAGTAGGGTCCAAGCCCATTCCTTGACCTAGACAACACAGTCACTGACAGTCCCAAAAACCAACATTTTCCAACAAAAAACATCAGATTTCACCTTCAAAACGCCCTCCAAATTACTAGATATGTCACCTGAGGTACAAGTAGACATAGATGATTAAGATGGTTGTACTTAAGTTTACTTACGATCCGGAAAAAAAGTGAAATTTTCCGTTCAATTCTGGAGACCCCCTCTGCCTAGGTTGTCGTTGTTGTGCTCACGTTCAAAACTGCATGATAATGGCGTCTGACCTCGACCTCATGCAAATGTGGTGCAGTGCGCTTGCGCATAATGCACTGCATGCATACACGGCAGATTCCCCTGCGCCGCGCCGACGACTGTTTCCTGATGTAGAGCGCTGTGTAAGTTCGCGGTACGCCTGGGAGTCGCGCTGGCTAGCCAGGCGTACCGCGAACTTACACAGCGCTCTACATCAGGAAACAGTCGTCGGCGCGGCGCAGGGGAATCTGCCGTGTATGCTGCATTATGTGCATTATGCGCAAGCGCGCCGCACCACATTTGCATGAGGTCGAGGTCAGACGCCATTATCATGCAGTTTTGAACGTGAGCACAACAACGACAACCTAGGCAGAGGGGGTCTCCAGAATTGAACGGAAAATTTCACTTTTTTTCCGGATCGTAAGTAAACTTAAGTACAACCATCTTAATCATCTATGTCTACTTGTACCTCAGGTGACATATCTAGTAATTTGGAGGGCGTTTTGAAGGTGAAATCTGATGTTTTTTGTTGGAAAATGTTGGTTTTTGGGACTGTCAGTGACTGTGTTGTCTAGGTCGAGGAATGGGCTTGGACCCTACTATCGCCAGACCATGTCCAAATTTTTAAAAAGGCGATAAGTTGGGTCCAAGTTACTCGGACTACCTATAAAGAGGGTGCTCGAGTATGCTTCTATTTCTAAAGCAAAAAAATCCTACAAACTAAGCCTAAATGTGAAAATCAAAATTTGGCAAAGTGCGACACGTTTTTGTACATGTGGATGTGTGGCCTATGTTTAAGGAGACAGTCCAGTAAATAGGCCACATTTATGGGGCTAGTCAGGGTGCAACATTCTTTCCTTAAAAATTATAGTAAAAATAAAAAAGGAAGCGTACTGCTGGGTATTTTATTATGGGCAGTGTATATTTTGCCGGAGACGTCAAACCTTTAGTAAACGTTAGCTTGCCGGATATGCGCTGAACATGCGCAGTTACTGTTTTTTGGTACTATTTTTCGGTGACAAATTTTAGTCTGGCTCCATACCAACATTATCGTGGTAACTCCGCATTCACAAAATGGGAATCAGACCATTTTACAATTTCGGACTTTATTTCCCTTTAAAAAAAATCCTCCAGGGAGCCACAAATCTGAAAAAGAAAATGTAAGGCCAAAAAAAAAAAGTCTCCGGTTTCTGGTATGCGCGCGTGTCACCGTAGCCATGGGCGTCGGCAAAATGAAAAAGGTTTTTTTCAATAAAAGATGATGTCTCAAAACCGCCAAACTCACTGGTTTGACTGGAATCCTGCTGCTGCACAATTTTAACGTGTTTTTAGATGGGGTTATGATCGAGAATAAGCTTTATGTGGCCTCTCCGCACTCCCATATATTTGCACTAAGTTTAGTCGGGCACCATTTGCAGTCATCAGCCGACATTTGAAGCAAAAAAGACGGGTTAAAAAAAAAAAAGGCTGCGTCGCCGCACCACTTTTTGCGGAAGCTCCATACCAGAAACCTTAGACTTTTTTTGGCCTAATACTCTGCAATAAAATGTTTGAGACATGTTAAAATAATAAATGAAGAATATTCCTATTTTTGGGGGATGGGGAAAAAAAAACAGAGAAATGTCGCCAGCGGGGATCGGGATCGAACCCGGGTCTTCCCGCTCATGAGATCCGTTGCTTATCCACTAGTCCAAGAGTGCTACACAACCGTTGGTGGTAATTTAATATATCAGCTCTATCTTAGAGAGTACAGTGCCCTCTGTTGATATGGATTGCCGCCGGCAAACCTTTAGTAACATTAGCTTGCCGGCATTACCTCCGGCAATATATCCACTATCATTATTATACTTTGTCTAGTCAAACTGGGTCAACAGACAAAGCAGGCAAGTTGTGGTCACAGCTGTTGTTACTCTTCCGGAGTCAAAGCATAGCTGTATCAAGTTACTTAAGCTTAATTAAGCAGTCCAATTAAAGCAGTCAATCCTGCCTTTGGGGCTGGGAATTCTTATGGGTTTGTAAACAATCACTTGATTGATTTTGACTGCAATGACAAGTTGACACAGAATGTATGATTGCATAGGAGGGTTAAAGATAAAATGTTCATGCCCCCCAAAAATGATTCTTCAGTAAATCTTAATTGGGCCTATTTTGAAAATTTTTATTTGTTGGAATGGAATTTGTTTGGAATATCCTCAAGAAGTTCTTTTCTGTTGTTGCAGGCGAACACCTTGCAGTACAGGCTGATTGTACGAGATGTCCAGTCTCTTCAGATCCTACAGCTGTACACCTGTCTGGATGCTGTCCAGCACATTGAGGTACGTGTAGATGTTCAGCAAACGTTCATTACTAATTGTGTCAAGCATCAGTGGCCATTACGTTTGCGTCAGTTACAGAATGGAGCTTTAAATAGGAAAAAAGGACTGGACACAAAAATAAAGTTGAACAGCACACTGCTGAACTCAATTCTTTAAAAGTGGAGCGCTGTTGTTCAATGGTTACAGTGTTTGACTCGTGTGGTAAATGGGTCCGAACCCCGACATGGTGCTTGTGTTTCTTGGGCAAGATCCTTTACTACAATCGCCTCTCTCCACCCAAGAGTATAAATGGGTATACATGTGAAGGTAGAGACCAGAATGCGCTGATCTCGAGCTGCTGCAAAAACTGGTCTCATGGCCCGATGAACAAGGGTAATAATTTTAAGTACTTCCAAGCCTTTGGCATAATTCAATGCAATTAAATTTGACTTTATTATCCCTGACGGGAAATTCCATTGGCCTTTTACATTTTAAACACATTAATGAACACTTACAAAATTACAAATAATAAATAATATTACACAAAAATCACAATACATGTACTTCACTATAGAGAGATATAGAAAGTTATTAAAATTCAGTACAGATAAAATACTGCAGTCTGCACATAACCTAAAAGAAAAGGCCTGTTTAAAATTACATGTGATTACAAATAAAAATTCTGGTGCTATGTAAGCACCACATTATCATTATCATCGTAAGTACAACTAACATTTTCATTGCAAACTTGTACAACTTACAAATTCATGGTAATTTATGTTTGGTTAATTCATTGATCTGACTATCGTTGCAGTGGTCATCAGACTCTGCTTTCATCCTGTGCGGCATGTTCAAGCGAGGCATCGTGCAGGTCTGGTCGTTGGAACAGCCGGAGTGGACCTGCAAGATCGATGAAGGGTCAGCCGGCCTCATCGCCGTACGCTGGAGCCCAGATGGAAGACACATACTAACTACTGCTGAATTCCACCTTAGGATCACCGTCTGGTCGCTGGTGACCAAATCAGTGTCCTACATCAAGTACCCGAAAGAAGCTAAACAGCGTAAGTGTTGAGGAATTAATTGTCACCAAAGTTTTACCCTGAAGTAATTTTTTGCTCAGGAACTTTCATTATTCCTCCAAACCCACCACTTTGTAGGAAACCAATTTAACACGTTCATCAAGTCCCATTAATCCTAACCGTGCCAAAAGCAACATAAAACAACAGAGGTTAAAATTTGTTGCATACTGTTGCATTTAGCGTTGCATAACTGTTGTATTTAGCAGTCAACTCAAGGTGCATGCTACTTACATCATGTTGCATTTAGCAGGGTAACTGCGAAAACAAGTAGTGCCAAGGTTGATATAACAGAATCCACCATTGCATTTTGTTGCAATTAGCATGGCTCACATTTCAGCTGTGTTTGATTTTGTTGCATTTAGCAGGGTAACTGCTCATAGTGCCAAGTCTGATACAACACAATCCACTATTGCATTTTGTTGCAATTAGCATGGTTGTTATTTCAGCTGTGTTGGATTTTGTTGCATTTTGCATGTTAACTGCTCATAATGCCAAGGCTAATACAACAGAATCCACTATTGCATCTTGTTGCAATTAGCATGGTTGTTATTTCAGCTGTGTTGGATTTTGTTGCATTTAGCATGGTCACTGCTCATAATGCCAAGGCTAATACAAAAGAATCCGCTATTGCATTTTGTTGCAATTAGCATGGCTCATATTTAAGTTGTGTTTGATTTGTTGCATTTCGCCGGGTAACTGCTCTTAGAGCCAAAGCTGATGCATCAGAATCCACTGTTCCATTTGGTTGCATTTAACAGGGTAACCTTGTTCACTGCACAGAATCACTCCACTCTTGCATTTTGTTTCATTATTTTTGATTGATACCGCACTCCTGGCATCCTAGCTTTTTTAGACCAAAGTTGTTGCATTAAGCATGATTTAAACTGCCATACATTTTTGTTTGAAATAGTGCTGCAGCCGCATTTACAAGCAATATTTGCAATATTGACAGGCATATGTTGTTGGTTTTCCCATAAAGCCTTACATTTTAGTCGTGATGGCAAGTACCTAGCACTGGCAGAGAGACGAGACTGCAAGGATTTCATCAGCGTTTTTGCCTGCAACACTTGGCAGTTAGTAAAGGTGAGCCTCCTTTGTATTATGTTGTTAAATGGTTCTTGTTCTGAAACCTGTTTTTCCCCTTCATAGTGTCATAAAGCGCTTGACAGGCTAGTTCAGTATTTTTCATTGAATTAGCAAGCAAACTTCACAAGTAAACTGAGGTGGGACTCAAACCACTTGACCACAGAGCTTGCGAGGGTTTCCTGCCTAGTTCAAATCTGACATAGCAGCGGGTACCAAAATCGATGACTTTTATAAAGTTTATGTGAGTGTATTCAAATAATTGGGTTTTGTCCCTTCCCCATGTCATGTTACAAAGCACTGTTTGCACATTCCTTTCTGGAAACCTTTTCCCTCGGCAGTGTACAGTGGTGTTTGAAGTTAAGTTCTGAAGAGAAACATGAAAGTGTAGGCACCTGGAGGTTTGAGTTCTTTTGTGATGGTTCACTAAAAAACGGACTGAAAATGGACAACAGCAGTGACAGCTTATCAAGATTGAGGGGCTGTGCTACCAGTTTCAGCATGCCATTTAACTCTAGGTGGCACTGTTCAGACTACATTGATGAACCTTGCCTGTTATTTTCAGCATTTTGAGACGGACACCAGAGACATGGCCGGCCTGGAGTGGTCCCCCGACGGCAGAGTGCTCTGTGTCTGGGACTCCCTGCTTGAGGTAAGAAATGCTCCTCCCTTACTACTACGGGTACACCAGTTTCAAATTTGTCTTAAAGTTAGGGTGCGTCTCAAGTCATTTCCGAGACAAGTTCTGGACAAGTTGCGGACATTTTGTCGGCAAGACATTCTAAACAACTTCCCCCCAATCTTCCCGCAATAAAGTTATCAGTATCGATGAGTCAAGCAGTTGCTAATGACAATTCCCAGGAACATGTCCGGGACAAATGCAGAGCTTCTTCCGGACAAAATGAATGATTCTACCCGCAATTTGTCTGGAACTCGTCCCAGATATGAATTGAGACGTGCCCTTCAGAAAGATGGATATGTAGAAATAAATGCACTCCAGCGGTTGTTTTGTCAGAGGAAATTGCAGTGGCGGAGTTTGCAAATGTTAGTGGGTCATTCTAAAAATTTGGGGTCAACTTCTTCCTGTTATATCTGACATGTATTTAAGATTTTATGATTCCGGATGCACTCCTCCAAGAGTGATTATGAATATCAAACTACCTACCCAACAAATAAAGAGTCGGTTGATGTCATTATTAATGATTCTTGAATGGCAGTAACAGGGACAGGAAAAATGTCACATTTTGGCCCTAAGTTTATAAAATGGCCCTAGTAGCTGTAATTCAGCCAATACATGTAGATTTCAGAAATTGTGTCTTTGAAAAAGAAACTTTACCAATAGAGAACACTAATGATAGTGCCCTTATTTCCATTAGGACGTGCATTTTATATTATATAACTGACATAGAGATCCTTGTCATTTGATTGGTGGAACTCACATCACGTGACATTCGTTATTGCTCCCATTCACGCTGGGGCTCCAAAAGTCCCATTCGCCCATGAGGAATGGGAAATCCTGTTCAACAGTTAGAATCATTCTTGTTCCATGACGCGGTATTGTGTGCAAATGCATGCTGGTGTGCGCGTTGCGCATAGCGCATATTGTTCCAAAGAGCCAGCGCTACAGAGTTGGGTTCGTCAAGGGGAGGTTTGAAAGAGAGAAATACATTTTCCACTAATTTTGTAGTGCAATAAAAGTTCAAATATGTCAAATTACAAGGATCTATATGTCAGATATATAAAACAAATATTGAGTGGCTTTAAATTGTGAAATGGGAGGAATATTATCGCTCGGTAAAATCTGGAATTGTTTAGTTCGCCTCATGAACTGGAAAAGTCCAGAATTTACCTTACGATAATATTTCTCCCATTCCACTCTGAGCCACTGAATATTTGTATACTGTTGTTAATTATCCGTTCTTTATTGCTCAAATGCAGTGCCACATACAAATGCATGTTGAAGCCTTCAAAATAAAACGTCATTTTCATTAGTGGTGGGAGATATCAGAGATTTCAAAATCCAGTTATCCTTTTTTTTTCTTCAAACCGACTAACGATTATCTGATTTCACTCGAAGTTCCCATTCAGCTCACAGTCATGCCAACAAAAAGTGAGGAGTGAGGTGCCGCATGCAATGCCCTCCACAATGATTGGGTATAGTTTGTGGGATTTAATGACCACTGGGCCTTTACAAAAGCACCCCTGAGCTGTAATGGTGAAAAAAATGGTCAGACGAATGGGCAGACTATTTATGAACAAAGAAGACCACTAGCCAGTGAATGCGGTTACATTCAGAGACCATGGAGCAAATTGGTGTATGCCAGATACCCTCTGCAGCTTGTGTTTAAGAAAATGGCTGCTTCTTTTTTTAAGGTTGGTTTCGAATTTCCAGTTTCCAAAATCCAAACCGAATAGTGGCATTCAAACCGAATTTTAAACAATCTGGATTGTAATCCCATCTCTACTTTTCATTGTCACGTTTTCTTTTTTTACTTTTCTTGACAGTACAAGGTGCTGCTTTACTCCGTAGACGGCCGCTGTCTGGCTACCTTCAAGGCGTATGACTATGCCTTGGGGATCAAATCCATTGCCTGGTCCCCGACAAGCCAGTTCCTTGCCATCGGAAGTTTTGATCAAAAGGTGAGAGCCAAGTCTCAAAAGTATTAATAGTCTTATTTATTTCTGGTAATGAAACCAAAGATTCCTCAAATGCGTGACAGACTTTAGGCCACTGTGGAGAGATGGGCTCATCGCCGGTTCGAGGACTGTGCGATCGGCCAGGCTATCCAGAGTGCCCCAACGGAGCTGAGATAAGCCCGGGTTGGCCTTGTTTGTTATAAAAGCATGCCTCCTGCAAGGTCGGCACTTGCTGGCATGTATTAGCTCTAGAATTACCAGTTATCCATGTAGGACTATGCAATCCAAGGAACCATAACCGATTTAATCCACCGTTTGTTTGATTAGTCACAGACAGTTGAAAATTCAATCCTGTTCCCTGCCACGCCTTTTACACAGGCTAGTCACCAACAGTCAGATCATATTTCTTGTAGGCAATGTGACAGTCAAATTCCATCAACAGACAAAAGCAGGTGACTGGTAGGCACAGCTGGCTTATCAATCTCCTACAGTCAAAGCATAGCTATATCAGGTTATAACAATCACAGCCAGTCAATCCTGCTTTGTGAACGCAGGGAGCACTCAACTGTTAAAACAGTCACCTGATTTATTCTGACTGCTGGGCTGGCCTTGTTGGAATTTGCCAGGCAGAAAGGGAGGGTTAAGGAGCCATCTGCAGTTTCGCCTGTGAGAGCTTTTACTTAGTCATGCACGGCTTAACCCCCTAGGCCCTTTTTGCTAAGAACCATCCTCAATCCTCCAAAATTTTGCAACTCCGCCTAAAATTTTCAAAATTGTCAGACAGTCCTGCCTCAAAATGCATTCATCATCAATCCTCCAAAATCATCCTCATCCCAAAATTTGCTCTCGTGTTTAAATGAAGGATAACCAACGCCAAATCCTTCAAAATCTTCAGACAGTCCTGCCTCAAAATGCATTCATCCTCAATCCTCCCAAATCCTCTTGTGCTTCAATCACCATTCATCCTCAATCCTCCAAAATCCTCATTTGATTCAATCACCATTCATCCTCAATCCTCTAGAATCCTCCAAAACCGCCAGGAGGATTTTGGAGGAGTGAGGTGGGTTAGGGTAGACAATCGTATATGACTACTGGCAGAGTGTTGTCTAACTTTCTGTTATACATGGTTCACCCTAGTGTATTTTCCATTTCAAGGCACAAGTATTATGAGTGACGTCTAGCACACCTTCTTTTTCAAAGTGCAGTAAATTTATCCTGAAAACAATCAGTTTGTCAGCTCTTAACTAAATTTGGCAGGAGTTTTTTCAAAGATCACATTGTTGCTCTCTTCAAATTTAGTGTGCATTTGTCTTAACAGGTTCGTGTTTTGAACCATGTGACGTGGAAGACGGTCGTGGAGCATGCTCATCCACCTAACCTTGACAGTGGTTCAGTTGTAAGTCCAAAATGAAACAGAAAACCAAATAGAAGTAATAAAACATTAAATTTTTTGAAGGCTTTTATGTTTCTGCTCTACATCTTGCCATTAAACACTCCAGAATCCGCCACTCCAGAATCCACCACTTATGATGCATTCTCCCCCAATGATTTTATACCAGGTACTTTACAAAGAAGTCGAGAAGAGACCACAGTTAGTCAGAGAAGGCGGCCGGGGAGTCAGTAACCAGACCAACTGGAGGCCAGATGCCAGCATGTTCAGCGTCCAGAGTAAATGTAAGTTGCCTTTTGCCATTTCTTTCGCCACTTACATGACAAGGCTTTGCCTCGTCCGCTTTGCAGGGAGGGCACCTTCGCGGGCAAGTTGCCTGCCATGTGCACGATCAATTTGTGAAAACATATACATACACCCCTTGCGCTTTACAGTATAATGGTGATTTAACCCTAACAGAGGATGGGGGAATCGAAATCCACACTTGTACATTTTGTCTTCTATCACTGCAACAATTCTTTTGAGTTCATAATCTTCATGAGAGTTTTGAGATTAAAAAAAATTTGTGCTCTTTCAAGTACTTGATTAAGTCTTCTTGTCAGCACTTGGACTCAGATTTACGTTATCAAAATGTACCGTCATTGTCCTGATCTGTTGTACAGATGAAGTCCTTACCGAGGGCTCCATTCAGATCCCGGTGGTCAAGCCAGACCCAGACAAAGCCAATCCCAAGGTCGGAATCAGCCAGCTGTCGTTCAGTCCAGACAACCGATACATGGCCTCCAAAAATGGTAGGTGGCAAGGTGTTGGGTATTCTGAGTATCACCCGCAGTCCAATAGAGCCCTCTCCGTAACCACCGTCTGATATGAGCAATGTACATTTTATGCGACCCTGCGCGCCAGCCTTCCGGAGTTAACTTTAGCAATTGTGACGGCATTTCAATCACAAATGTGGAATAAGCTGTTGATTGGTCAATTTGGCTGCCATGTTTTTGTAATACAATGGATTACCGAAGATCCGATAGAAGGTCTCCCCCTGAATGGTCAGAATCTTGAGGTCAAGACGTAGTCTAGTTGCATATTTAATCGCAGAATCTGCTCGCATATCTTAAACCCTTGCTGTGCAAGGGGATACTCCATAGATGAGGTCTCGGGTCCACAGAGGGTGAAATTTCATTTCTGACATCCGACTTTTGCAACATTTTACCGTATTTGTCTGAACAAAAATGGAAGTTGTCAGGCACCTTTTGCCTGGCATTTCATGTTAGGCCGTATCTGAATTACGTGATTACAGCTGGCATTTACACATGCACCTATGGAAGCAGCCGAGTCCACTTCTCATAGATGTGTGTGTTGCTGTTAGCTGTAGCTATAATGCCATGTCTATCTATCTATCTATCGTGTCCAACTCAAATGTTGTTGACCAATGGTGAGCGCAAAGCTGTGCTTTGATGGTGCTGTTGGCTAAATGTTCAGTAGTTCAAGGTTCCTTCAACAGCGTACATCTCAGTAAGTGGTCCATTGTATAAATTATTACTTTTGTCTGAGCACAAGAACATGATACTGAAGGGACAAAAATGACCTCAAGAACCTGATTTTAGAAAAACAGCATTGATCATTGTTTTTTATTTATGACAGATTGGCCAAAATAATTTTACCTTCAAGATATGTTTGTACTGTCGCTCAAAATGAAATACTGTGAGATAGTAAGTATTTCTAGTGTAATTCTTTAAAAATCAATATTTGTTTTGGTTTTCAGATAACATGCCGAATGCGTTGTGGATATGGGACGTACAGAAGCTATGTCAGTCTGTGCTGTTGTTACAAGTCAACGCTATCAAATGTAAGTTGGATTCCATTATGAAAACAGTGATGGCTCATCAGATGTCAATTTATTGTTCATTTTGCTACTTCCAAGCTGTTCATGTTTGATACGTAGGTGATAAAGTTAAATTATACGTATATCAAGCCTTCTTATATTTGACCTCCACCAATAGGCCTAATTGTTCACTCTTTGGTTGAGCTTGTATAATTTCATTTTCTCTCAACATGTTGCAAAGTCGTTCTTCTTGTGCTCATTATTCTACTGTAATCATTTCTGTTTTGGCCATCTTTTTCTACTCACTTATCATGTATCTATTTGGCTGTTAGTCAAACCTTTGGGTTGTCTGTCTGTATTTTGACCATTAACGTGTCCGTTTGATGTCATATTTCATATCATATTTGGATTTCATTTTTTATGTCATATTTGTGTGCCATATTTGTGTGTCATATTTGGATGTCATATTTTATGGCATATTTTAATGTCAGATTTCAGGTCATATTTGGATATCATATTTATTTGTTGGTTGAAACAATATTGTTCATTGTTTTCCTCATCAAAATGTTGTACCTACACTGTATCTTGAGTCCTTCCGTCACCCAAGCTTTAGCTTTTCATGATTGTGTCTCCCTACACATAATCTCTTACTAGTTATTACATTTCAATGACCAGTGTGTAGAAAGAAACATGTATTGTAAACGTTTCTTGAATTGATTCGAATTTGACTATTTTTTAATGGTCTTGATGACTGTTTGATGCAGGTATGCAGTGGGATCCCATCCGAGCAAGATTAGCCGTGTGCACTGGTAACAACAAGCTGTATATGTGGTCCCCTGCTGGGTGCGTCTCTGTGGAAGTACCTGCTGAAGGTGCGTATGACAGCACAGTGTGTGGTTGTGTTGATTAGTCAATTAGCTGCTCTGTTTTTGTCATACAATGGGTTACCGAAGACCTGATAGAAGGCACCTGCTATTTTGCTTAATTAATCGCCCGCTGTTTTGGTTAATTAATCGTCAGATCTGCACGTATATCGTTCACGCTTGTTTGCAAGCGGATATTTTATAGACTAACTTGCTTAGGTATATTGGCCAGAAACCCTGCTGATCCATCAGGTAAACAACCCCAAGGCCAAAATGTAGTCCCAGACTGCAACAGGATACAACTGTGGTATTGTTCAATGGGACTAGCTCTAGTAGTCTCAGAATTGGCAGTGTATGCACGGGTGTACGTGTTGTATAAAATCCCCTAGGACAGTCACACAAAGGGGGAGAACAACAGATCCTTTCACTCCTCGGGAGTTGGAACTTTTGTTCAAAACGGTCCTCTGTAGTAGGTTTGTGTGCTTAGTTTATGGGAGAGTGTTATATTACAGGGACAAAGGGAAACACAAAGCATTGTCCTCTGGAGTATAGTAAAACAAGAGTGGGTGTGTTTATGGCTCAATGCAGCAAGGTCCCATCCCACAGACTTTGTCATAGGGTTCATTGGGTGGCATGGGTGGCTAGTGCGTAAAGTGCTCGCCCCTCACCACTGTGGTCCTGGTTCGTTCCCGGCTGCGAACCATATGTGAGTTGCGCGTTGGTTCCCGTGCCACGAGGGTTTTCTCCGGGCCCTCAGTGTTTCCTCCCTCTGAAAAAAATCACACTTTCGATCTCTGGCTGTGCTGGGTTGTCATATATGGGTCGTATGGCTGGTCGCCAAAGGGCGCCTTTACATGCCAGCGGCTTGACCACGTTGTAGCCGCGTCCTTTGCAATTCAACATCTCAGCTGCGAGTAAGGATGATTAGCCTCCCAAATTATTATTCTTATTATTTGTCACCTGATGCACTCTTGGTTGGTTCTTCTCCTAAATACTCCGCGGGGGAGTTTGACCAGGAGGCGAGAAACACCGGGGCAAACCCCTTCTCTTAGCGATGTGTCCCCGGGTTCTTTTACGTGCATTGCATTACACAACACACGGGACCTACGGCTGTACGTCCCATCCGAAGGACGAAGCATTAATGGTTAAGTGTCTTGCCTAAGGACACAAGTGTCCACCCGGGCTCGAACCCACGCCACTGTTGCCTCTGAAACACCAGAGCATGAGTTCGGTGCTCTCTTAACCGCTAGGCCATGACACTCCACACCATCTGAAGCTCGGACAGTTTGACTTTTGATTTGGTATGCGTGTTTCAACTGGCAGTGATATACAGTAAACTCCGGCTAAACCGGCACTCTCGGGACCCGAGAATTTGTGACGACTTATGCGAATGCCGATATCTGCTGTAAGTCGTCATTTTGCCGGCTTACATGAATGGTCTTTTGCACACATGATTCATTGCACTAATTGGCTTCCAATTACCCTGGATTATCTCCTTAATGCTCGAGTTGAATCCAGCAAATTAATCCTTGAACTGTATCATCACGTTTGGGGTATTGATAGTGGAGACCACGATACATATGTACGTGCACAGTAACAAATTAAATGCGTGCGTGGTCCGGTATATGCCACACACGTATTGACTGCAGCAGTAGTCATTCAATAAGACGACCCCCAAAATGGACAGAGCGCATGCGTACAGCCTAGAGGGGGTACTGGTATTGATATGCTCACGATGCATATGCGATGTTTGCAGTAGAACTCCCTTTTTCGACACCGATGCATGCAGCGATCACGGGCCGTGCGAAACCACTTTCACTCGACACTTTGCCAACCGCAGTACAGGAAGTCGATGCCAATGCGTGATTTGTTGAATGTCGACATACACAAATCGGGACTTTAGTAAGACGTCCGACTTGAGCAATTTGACAAGTTGTACGATGTAGGTTTAGCCGGAGTTTACTATAATTAATGCAAGCTTTCTTACTTGTTTCTTTTGATTGCACAGCGAGTTTCCAAGTGAACTGGTTGCAGTGGCATCCGGATGGTAACGCCATCCTGCTGATGAGCAAAGATCAGATGTGCGTCTGCTTCCTCTCTGAGGACTCGCCTTAAAGCACCTGTCATCTACGCTTCTCGCTTACGCAAACAAATCCAAGGTATCTTTATGGCACTTCTTAGTTCTCAACTGTGGAAAAGCTGATGTTGCATCTAACAATATGTACCTCTCCACTGCTCAATGCACTGATCCAATTAGCCCTGCCCAATGGTGGTTCGACCAATCACAGCCATGCTTAACGTCTGACATGCACGCACATGTATTACATACACCCGGAAGACAGAGAGACAAACGGAGAACAACAGATTCTTTGCTGTCCTCGAGTGTTTATCTTTTGTTGAAAATGGTTCTCGAGCATGAGCGTGTGTGCTTAGTCTATGGGAGAGTGTTATATTATAGGGACAAAGGGAAACACAAAGCCTTGTCCTCGAGAGTATAGTAAAACACGACTGTGTGTACCTGGTTACAACCTCGTTCCCATGGGTACAATCTTGCTGTGCCATGTTGGTTCACACCATGCCTTGCACGATCTTAACCCCTGGTATTTTGTGATTTAAGTATCCCTTTATTTTGGAGATTTAAATTAGTACGGCAGTCGATGTGTTTGACACGGGACACAGTGCTTTTCCTTATGACATTTTTTAATTTGTAGAATCAATCCTTTGATAAATGAGATTTTGCCATCGCATTGCTAGAATGTATAATGTGCGTACCCCTGTCGTCCTTTTTACAACACAAAGTACAGGTATTTTTCTCGAAAAAAAATGAGATTTCCGGACTTTCCATATTGTTGAGGCGTAGTGCAGTCTTGAAAAAAAAAATGTTTCAGGATGATTTAACATGCAGGAGATAACGTGAACGCATATAGTGTGTGCAGCATTCGAAAAACATGCGAAGTACGCTCTGAATAGTAATCAATGTCGTTTTCGTATTTTACATGGCCAGGGGTTAGTGAAGGAACGCGCACGCAGCCCATGGAGTCGGGGTTGACGCCCGTATGTCACACACAGTGGGCAGGGCTATTGTCAAATATGCAGGGAGCTCCACGACGTAAACATTAACTGTTAACACGCAACAATTTGGAACACTTAGTTGACATTGGGAGGCGTTCGCACAAAGTACAGACAATATATTTAGCAAGGCCAGTCCTATACCTTCCATGCTTAAAGAATTTCTTTCTCTGAGGAAAATCGTTATGAAGTCACCGTTGATGCCTTCTGACAAGAAGTCTTTCAAACCTGTTTCTGTGTGCATTATTAGGGTATTAAAATTCGATTTAGCAATTTTTAAACTGACACTTCAGTACATGTAGCTGCACATTTCAAGTATTACCTTTTATTTTTCAATATATAAACTGTTGCTCGGCCTAACTTTTCCAAGCTGTACAGTCATGGTAATGCATGTTAATTTACTACATCGTGAAGAAATTCCTTGATGATCTCCAAATCCGCCTGAAATTAAAACTGAATATGGAAAGCCATACAGCAACAATTATCTGATTGTGAAATTGTTGCATAACATTCAAGAATCGGGTTTAATTTAAAGAACATTGCAAAATACTGGAACAATGAATTTTCTTTTTATATTAGACTGAGTTTGTCATCATTCACATTTACTTATAGACATACAGTAGCATATAGCTGCAACATGTATTTTCCCCGAGAAATAACTTTTAAAAAATTGCCAATTGTGTTAATGTGAAGGTCAACAAATAATTGAAACCTGCGGCCAACAATTGATTGAAATCCTGTTATGGACATGCTGACAACAGACCTTTTGCTCTGTACAGCACTACATGTGATGTTTATTGCTTTGTGACTGGTTGTCATGTTTCGTAGCACATGAACTTGCTAAGTATAATATTGTGAAGCAGTTATGCTTAGTGGTTTGAACCACGCCAAACTGAATATTAAATAAAGACTGTAATTAGTTTAACTTATTTCCGCACTTTGATTTGTGTATTACACATCAATGAAATACTCCCAGCCAAATGAAAAATGTACATATTGAAATAGCATGTTTATCAAAACATACCTTTTTTTGATTGGAAATATAAACAGATTTAAATAAAATCAGTGTAATTAATATGCACATACTATGATGTACCTGTCATACTTTTATGTCAAACAAAATGAAGTTGTTCACAACTCACAAGAATTTCAAGTGTCTAAAATGCTTCGCGAGGGAAAGATTGGATTTTTCAAAAAGGGCACTCAAACTGCTTTGTCAATACAAACGGAGCAATCTTTTCAGCAAATCTGAGAATCTTAAAGCAATGCGTGTGCACTGTACAACACAGAAACTCAACTTTTCAGAACACCAACTCTTGAAATGAACACTTGAACACTTTCAATAAATACTTTTGGGGGATTTTTGTAAAATCATGTTTAGAAAAGGCTGAATTTACCCTCTCCGGAACTGTCGACGTTAGGGGATCTGGACCCACCGAAATTGAAACTGAAGCCAGCGGCCGGGGATCCTCTCTCGTCATTTCTGGCCTTGTCGGCTTTTTCTGAACCTCCGCCGAATAGTGACAGGACGCCCCCTGGAGGCCTGGAGTGGCCAGTATCCATAGGGCTGCCAGGCCTTCCAAAGATGGCTATGATACAATAATATCCCAGAAAAAAAATGTAAAAATTGCAGATCAGGAGACGATAAAAGTTCATGAACTTGTATCAACTAGTCCATGGAATATAATATGCAGATTTGGCGATTAGTTATGCAATACACTTGCGTCTTGGCCTTTGGATTCCGACATGCAATGGGTGCCTTCTATCATATCCTTGGTACCCAATGATGTATGTCAGCTGACAGCTATTGACCAATTAGGACTGTGCATTGGAACAGGGTACCCGAGTACCCAACCGTTGATGTCAGGAACCGGTTCCAGATTATGGGATCGGGTACCAGTAACCAACTTTACAAATTACTTAGTAACTTCTCAGACAATGAAAAAGAAAGGTTTGAATGTCATTTGTGGGGAATTTTCAAAAGGAAAAACAGGCTTCATGTGAAAACAAAACATATTTCATGTTTATGACGCACATGAAAGTTGCAATTTACGCCTTAAAACTACCCGTCTTAAGATTTTGAGCACTTTTGTTGTTTCAAAAAAAAATTTTTGTCCAAATTACAAATGGTCAACTCTGTCTTTAAACACCCCAATCAGATTAGTGTTTATTTCGTTGGATGATTTTGATGTTTTTTACCTCTGACTTTAAACTTACATGCACCAGTAGGATGTGACGACACTTGGTCTCTGCTTGGACCAAAGATATTGGTGGGGGTGTTGGAGGCTGGCTGAATGGCTCCACCCATCTTGGGGTATGGAGAAACACATTTGGTTAAAACATTCAACCGCACTTCCAAGTTAAATTCTTTTACTGTTTAAAATGGCTTTACTCTATGGTGTCATTATCCCCACAGCTGTGAAATTGATGAAGAGTGCTAATTTTGAAGCAAATTTGAGTGCATTTACCCCTAAATGTAAAATGCTATGGATTTGTGAACACCACATTTGCGAATCATCGTGTGTAGTGGTGGGATAAAATCCAGATTTTTTAAAAATTGGGTTTGAATTCCACTATTCGGTTTGTATTTTAGAAACCGGATACTCAAAACCAATCTTTAAAAAAATATTGCCTTCCAGTTTTTGTGACACAGGATAAAGAAAACAATTGGACCATTCCCAAATTCTGCTCCATCATCTCTGATTTCAATCAAATTCAATTGCTAGCGGTCTTTTTTGATTCATGAAAAGCCTGCCCATTTGACTTATCAGAGAGTTCCCACCCATTTGTTCAACATTACACCTCTGACGTGTTTTTGTAAAGGCCCGGTGGTCATTGAATCCCACAAACTATACCCAATCATTGCAGAGGGCATTGCACGCAGCACCTAACTCGTCACTTTTTCTCGGCATGACTGTAAACTGAATGGGAGCTTCTAGTAAAATCAGATAACCGTTATAGAATAACCAGATCTCAGCAATAGTAATGTGCATGTTCGTACATGTACGAGAACCAGTGCAAACGCAGAATTGGTCCTTCCCCGAACGTAGTGCCATCTACATTTCCCACATAACACATGCTAACAGTGACCATGTATTAGCACATAATCGTTTCAATGTTACAAATTCCTCAACTCTTACCCCAGAGAAGAAAGACTCGAAGAAAGGAGAGTCAAAGTTTTCGGAGGAGGAGGTTGGAGGGTTACTACAAGACTTGTCCGCCACTTCACCCTACAACAAACAAAATGAGGTTAATTAAATAAAAGATACCTTTTTGAGACTTGAGTTACAGAGCTCGTATCAGGAGCTTGCAACACCATCACGGTGTCTAGTACTGCACCTGAACCGCCGAACCGAACTAAGGAATTCTATTGTCACAATTCATTTGAATAGCCTGTTACTTAAAATAAGTTGGTGGGCTAATCATCCTTACTTAAAATAAGTTGGTGGGCTAATCATCCTTACTCGCAGCTGAGAAGCTGAATTGCCAAGGACGTGGCTACAACAAAGTCGAGCCGTAGGCTGCCATAGGTGCCTTAGGCTGCTGCCATACGACCCATGTTTGACCACGAAGCACAGCCAGAGATCGCAAGTGTTGCTGTTTGTGGAGGGAGGAAACCGGAGAGTTTGGAGAAAAACCCTCGTGGCACAGGAGAGACTCAACGAACAACTCTACTCACATTATGGTCCGAGCCGGGGATTGAACCTGGGCCACATTTGTGAGAGGCTAGCGCTTTACGCACTATCCACCCATACTTGACTCAAGAGTGGAAGATTTGTGATTGACTTGAATGAGGAATTGCGAAAACTTCATTTCAACTTAGCTGACTTCAACTTTTGAATTGACTTGAACACAATTGAGACACCTACATGTGCATTTGCATCCTCGGCGGAACCAAACATGGGCCTGAATGAGTAAGAGAATCCAGGCGACTTGGCCATCTCCTGCAGGCCCTGCAGATGAGTGTCCAGATCAAAGGGGCTTCTCGGGGGCAGAGACATGACTGATCCAGGCGTGCCTGGGTCCTGGAAGCTGGTCGGGTCTGTAGCCGGCGTCACTGGGGCTTCACTCAGAGATTCGTCTACTGTAAGATTAAAAGGCAAGGGGTGCTCCATCATGTTGCAGGGGCGGATCCAGGTTTCGATCAAGAGGAACGTTAACTGCCAAGAGGGGCGTTTGCAGGCATTTGCTGTGTTTTCTTGCACAATTTTTTACTTTTTTATGCAGCCGAAGAGGGGGTTTTGACCCCTGTTTGCAATTGATTACACACCTATGAACGGGTACAAGCCAGCGAGACTGGTTCCCTCACCTTACAATTCCTCGACAACTTTAAATTGCTCCGTTTCATCTTAAGTGGGGTCAGGGAACCAGACTACATAAACATGATTGTTTTTCTTGGTTTTTCCAGCATCTACGAACACAAAGCTTCAAACAAGTCAGTGTAAAAATATATTTGCGATAAAATACTAACCCCCCAAATCCTTCCTTTTCTGAAAATTACAGCAAAACTAAATGTTGTATATTCCCTTTAAAGTCACTTTTACATATTACTTTTTGTCACAGTTAACGGGAATACTTGTTATTATAAATGCACACTCCAGATATGCCAAGAATCGATGCAAATTATAACTTTGAAGTCACGTGCTGCACTAAGAATCTGTCAACAATTAGAAAAATTTTGCACATGCCTGCATCATCAGTTCCTCCACTTTCCTCCTCCCCACTGACTTCAAATCGGCCCTCTGTGATTGGCTCGTCCTGCCGTGGGACTGCTCTCTGATTGGCTGCTTCCGCCCTCTCATGGGCGGAGACTGAGGGTAGGGCTGGTGCTTCCTTGGGTACAGGCGCATCTGAGGACTGTTGCACCATTGCCTGCGGTTGCATCTAGTTTGGAATGTCCGGTTTTGGTTTTGTGAAATAAATGGAAAACAATCATTTGGGTAATACATTGTACATGTATTTGTTTTATTCAAGTATTAACCCTAACCCACCTCACTCCTCCAAAATCCTCCTGGCGGTTTTGGAGGATTCTAGAGGATTGAGGATGAATGGTGATTGAATCAAATGAGGATTCTGGAGGATTGAGGATGAATGGTGATTGAAGCACATGAGGATTTTGGAGAATTGAGGATGAATGGTGATTGAAGCACAAGAGGATTTTGGAGGATTGAGGATGAATGCATTTTGAGGCAGGACTGTCTGATGATTTTGAAGGATTTGGCGTTGGTTATCCTTCATTTAAACACGAGTGCAAAGTTTTGGGATGAGGAGGATTTTGGAGGATTGAGGATGAATGCATTTTGAGGCAGGACTGTCTGACAATTTTGAAAAATTTAGGCGGAGTTGCAAAATTTTGGAGGATTTTGGAGGATTTTGGAGGGTTGAGGATGGTTGTAAGCAACAAGGGCCTAGGGGGTTAGGGTTAAGCTATTTTAAGGAATTGCAGTGTGAACCATAAAGGCAGGAGCTTCTTCCCACAAAAGAATGGGTACCACAAAGTAAACTACATGTGCCCATCTAAAATTATCTTTGGACCTTTTTCGGATTGGAGGAATGGCTTTTGAACAACGAACCTGAGTTTTATTCACACTCTCCGCTGGCATTCTGAGTGCAAATGGCTGCGGCACATTCTCAGAGCTGCCGCTGGCACTATCGGCCGAGAGTCGAGGGGATGCCAGGATCGGCATCTGCAAGTAAGGCGGTCGCCGCAGCGGGCTGGCTGGAACCGCAGCTGCCGGCCTAACCATAGGACTCTGGATGTACTGGGGCGGGGCTCTCCTGGTGGGCTGCTGAAATATCGGGGACTGTGGGGGAAGGATCTGTTGGGGTGTGGTAGGAACTGAGGTTTGCTGTTGCCGTTGCTGCTGCTGTGCCTTCAGCTGCTGCAGTTTGTGTTCCTGGTACAGCTGTTGTTGTTTTTGTCTGGAAAACAACATGTGAAAGTAACAAAAAGTTTTTTTCTTCAAATATTTTTGACATTTTGTTTACAATCAAGGCAGCAGTTGCATATTTGAAATGGTTCAATTAGTACGAAACACCATAACTAAGCAATCCCGCTGTGACCCAACCTGTGTGCAGTGATTTTCTCAAATAATAGTCCAGTAGCGGATCTAGATGGGGAGTGGCGGGGGTGACACCCCCTGCCCCTGTTCAGCAATGTTTTGATACTAGAAAAAGAGGACCAAAAGTAATATATGGAATGCTAAAGTTCCTTAATTTATTTTCAAATTGCCTTAGAATGCAGGAGAGAGCATGGTAGACTCCAAAATTTTCTTGGCACGCCTTTGATCAACCCCCCTTCATATCGAACCCCCGTTTCCTGAAAGCAAGATCTGCCCTGACGTCTCCAAACTAGACATATGAAACAAGATAATACCGGAGTCTTATATAGCGCATGTACATGTATCTACCAGCAATGAGGTACTCAAGGCGCTGAAAATTACGTCTGTTATTAGAGACATGTGGATGAAGTACATCAGAAAATATGATAGCACCTTTATGAGGGTTTACAAGGTGCTGCCGCGCATTAAGCAGCCACTGTTGGAAACACCGGGGCAAACCCCTTCTCTTAGCGATAAGTGTTACTGGGTTCTTTAACTTGCATTACACAACACACGGGACCTGAGGGCTTTACGTCCCATCCGAAGAAAGGAGCAATGATGGTAAAGTGTCTTGCTCAAGAGCACAAGCACTATATTCTCACGGTCAGGATTCGAACCCATGTACCACGGCACACGAGTCGAACACTGTAACCATTGGACCACAGCACCCCTAGACTGAACAGGGCATATTTTAAATGGGTATTTTGTTTAGACTGAGGATGTCTGATCCAGGTCTGACCTCTGCATGACCCCTGGTCTATTTTTAGACCAACATGCGACCGCAGTTCTATATATACCTCTCCAGTTCTTCCTGGCGTGTCTTGTCTTCGGCCTCTTTCAACTTCCTCTTGCGTTCCTGTTCCTCCTTTTCCTGTCCTCAAAAGATTAATTATTGCTTAAAGCGGACACCGCGATGATTATTAGTCATAAATGGTTACTCACACCCCTTCATTTGTGATAAGATATGTATAAAGTTGTGTTTAAAAGTTTAGACTAAAGTACATGTACATCTTTAATGCCTAGAAGTTTGTTACGAAAAATCCTAAATGCATAGTTCATAGTAATGTATTTAGAATAAAGGCAGAGATGCAATTAAGTCAATCACAAGTCAAATAATTTAAAGTCAAGTTTAAAAGTCAGGCCCAATTTCATAGCTGTTATGATTTTCTGCTTACAGAGTCTCTGTCTATTGCGCGGAGACCGTAAGCAGTAAGCACAGCAAAAGAAATGCTTACCTCAGATGAAAAAGTTACTTAAATTACTGACTTAACAATAGAAATTTCCATATGCGCAACCATTAGCACATCCACGCAGTGAAATAGTGCTTAAGTTTAGTAAACTTTTCTGCTATAGTAAGCTCAACGTTTCTGCTTACTAACAAGCAGCGCCATGAAAGAGCGCCCAGGTCTTAGATCAGCCACAAGCTTCATGAGCAATGGGATTAATAAATGACAATGGAATGCTGTCATGATTCATTTGAACTGCTTGTGATTGGATACCGTATGACTTGTGATTGACTTGTGATTGACTTGTGATGACTTGATTAACACTCTGGCTAAAGGTTTTATATCTTAAATAGATATGTAGGCTTGGCCGGTTTTAAACAAGTCCGTTTAAGACCGGCTGGGGGAATGGACGCTGATAATAGCCCGAGCCCCCAGCAGGTCTTAAACAGACTTGTTTAATACCAGCCAAGCACATATTTATTCTCATCATAAATACATTTCGGTAGAAAGTCAAAACAACTCAACAATTATACATTTCCAACTTTTTTATTTAACAATTTCACTTCATGTCTTCTGAAACACCACTCTGGCTATGTTATGGTATGTGCCTCTCGTGAGTAGTCATAAACAACTCCTTATACGGAGATTGGTGCGCACTGTATGATGTGGCGCAGAACGCAGCGGTGCCGGTGTAGTGTCAATTGAGGACTCTCGAAATACAGATTCAGTGGTAGTATTGTGTATGCCTAAGTGAAGATTGTGAACGTTCAACCAATAAAAGGTTAAAAGGGACCAGATTTCATAGGAGTCCAAAATTTCAGGTGACACTGTTAAAGTGTTAAAAACCAGCAAGCCGGTGTTTTATCAAAAGAACAGCCATGCAACAGGCTCTCTACCAATAGGAATGGGTAAACTGTCTTAGGTATTTATGAATAATGTTTAAAGAAAGAAAACCGTGATAAAGTATTAAATGTAAACAAGTGAAGTTTATCCTTTTTGCAAGAGGCACAAGTCAAGTGAAAGATCCTTGAAGATCGCAGGCCTACCTTTTGCAGTCGGAGTTGCTTTTCTTTCCTCTCTTGTATTTTCATCTTTGCACTGTTGATTGACCTCAGTGTCTCTTCCTTCTGTCGTCTAAGATCTCTTGTTCGTACTGCAGCCTTGGCTCTGATGCCACACTTGAGTCAAGCCGTTTTCAGATCATTTTATTTGAATATAAAGTTACTTACCCCAAGTCTATTATTTTTTCTTTAGTTTATCCGGAAAAAATATATTTTGGTTTTGAATTTTTTTTTTCTAGAAAAACAAAACTTATTCATTCATGAGATGTATTTTTTTATTCACTTATATTCACTTTTGAATGAGACATCAAACAAAAACCCTGTCCACATTTATTTGTGCAATATTTACTTTATAACTTTTGAATTTTTTGTACCCAAAAAATCATTCTGACTGTTCTTTGTGCATAAAATGGGCCAAAAGATACCCAAAATAAAAATGTATTTTTAGAGAGAGGGTTGAAAACATCCAAAATAGAGATGAAATGGAGTTTTTTGTTCATAAAAAAAAAATACAAATTAAAAATTCATTAGGAGCAAACAAATTGAGTACATGAGTAGAACAACTTCAACAAAATGCTGATTGTTTTTCTTTGTTTTATTAATTTCATTTACAAAAAAAACAAGCATTTGGTAAGAAAGCACGAGAAATTCACACTCTGAACTAGTTCGCCGAGTGTTTTTTAAAATCTGCATTCATGGTTTGGAAATTATTAAGAAGGCTTACAAAATGAATACCCTTGTCTTATTTAAAGATATAGTCCATCATTTGTAATTTGTGCATTTTGTTCGTTTGAAGCAACAAAAGTGTTCAAAATCTAATGACGGATAGTGAACAACTTACTTGATGAAGTTTCAGCTCAGCTTCAGCTGTATATTTCGAGAAAAACAGCATTCTAGGATCTCAATTTCAAATCAAAAGTTGCTGAATCATGTTTTGAATTGTTTTGAATTGCAGCTATACGCGATGCTGCGCACTGATCCGACGAATTATAGCAACTGCGCGCGCCTGTGCGTCGTGCCAATGCTTGCGCGCGCTGCGCCGAATAACAAAACGAACTACTAATTTAAATTTTCCTACGGTGTGTCTGAAGACGTACCTTTGGAAAGGCCTTCTTTCGTTGATTACTTCAAAATGATAGCTTGCCAGAAAGATTAATTTCACAGGGAGTTTAGTCCACTTACTATCTTTCAACCAAGTATGTTTTTCAACAATAAATACGCCAGTTACTTTTTCGGATGGCTGCAAATGATGGACTATAGCTTTAAGGCAGAGTGTATTTTTGCACGACGCTTCTTTTTTTAGTTTTGTGTAAGGATACATCTGGATGACCCAATCGTTCAGGCTTTTAAATGGCTTTGGAGCTGTTAAAGGAAAACGAGAATTTAGAAAAATTGAGAAGGATAAGATACAAATGTAGGAAAAGTAATATGTTTGGGGGTAATACAACAATACCAGCAATAACATGATAGAAATTGAGCTGTTATAATTTATAAAAAGAAAAATTGTTTGAAAAATGTCTGTGAAAAAAATTGTCATCTTTGTGAAGACATTGCCAAGAAATTTAACTTCACAGAAGAAAACGCTGACCCTGGCATTTTTACCTTTTGTGGGATGTCTCAAATGGGCGTAAAATGCCGAAATCTTCAAAATACCACAATAAACACTACAATTCTGTGTCAGATGCTGTCTATAAAGCCTTCCTGCTTTTCGTTTTTTGGGGGATCGGAAAATGGATTTTTGAAAAATTCTTCTACCACTTTTTGTACACTTGTCCTTTAAAGCACCTTATGAAATGCCTTTCCCGTTTTTTTTGCTATAAGCTTACGGGGATGGGGGGGGGGGGCACTTCATCCTACCGTCTCCCCCCCCCCCCCCCACAAAAAAAAATCGTACCATTCTTTTTCTGGTCTTCTCTCTCCTGAATGGCTGCTTCTAGGGACGTGACTTTGTGCTTTGATTCAGTCAGTCGCTCCCTCGTCTGTGCCACCTGCTGTTGCCACTGCCTCAGCTCCACAGCCAACGCTTTCTCCTCATATTTGGCCTTGTACTTGTCCCAGATGGACTCGTAGTGCTGCAGAATTCTCTCCTGCTCGGCTCTGTGTACAATAAAAAAAATCCACATAGGTGTCTTTTTGTACATATTAATATACACAATTATTGGGCACTAACAGTGGCGTCAATTCATGCCATGGGGGATGGTGGATGACCCAAATCCTAATATTGCCCAGTCATGGAAATTTGAAAGCTTTTTTTTGGGGGGGGGGGCTAGAGGGTGCTGTTCATGATACAAATGTACATCTTATGCCAACTGGCTGCTTACAATACATCAAGACGGTGCATTTAAAGCTTACGTGCTGTTCGTTCTCCGTTTTTCAACAGTTGGGCTTTTAGAAAGTTAGAAAATAGCCTGAACTTTTATTTGGGGGGGGGGGAGGGGGTGATCCAATGGGCCATGGGTAAAAAAGTGGGGGGGGGGGGATTTACGCCCTTGGGTACCGGACATATATTTTTTCACTGAAAACAACTCAAACATGGGGATTTATCTAGGATATTAGAAATGCCCATTTCCTAGAACAGAAAATTGAAAATGGGGGGGGGGGGGGTGTTGAACAGGCAGGTGTAATGTTTACTAGGGACAGCTTAGGAATACAAATGCACAGCGTTTCCATATATACCATTCTGTGGTTTCCTCCAACCACTAAAACTGTACATCTGCAGTGCCAATGGCCAATTCTCCTTTTCTTGTGAAATCAAACTTACTGTTGGACTTGCCACTTGTCTTGCAGCTCATGTAATTCTTTCTGTGCCGTTTCTTGGTTCAACACCAAGGCAAGATAATGATTCTTCAAGCTAAAAAAAAGAAATTGGAAATTTAAAAAAGGTACTAGGGGATTTTCCTTCCTTAATCATTTCATTTGTTATTTCAAAGTTGACACTGGAGAGTAGTTAAATTTCCAGTGTTACTGTCAGGTCAATCAATCCCAAGTCCATCTCAAGTCGCTCGCACGTCCAGCCCAAGTCCAGCCCAAGTCCATCCGAAGTCCATCCGAAGTCCATCACAAGACATCACAAGTCCATCTCAAGTCCATCACAAGTCCATCACAAGTCCATCACAAGTCCATCACAAGTCCATCGCCATTCAATCACCATTTAATCACAAGTCAATCACAAGTTCACAAGTCAATCACAAGTCAGTCACAAGTCCATCACAAGTCAATCACAAGTCCATCACAAGTCCATCACAAGTCAATCACAAGTCCATCACATGTCCATCACAAGTCAATCACAAGTCCATCACAAGTCCATCACAAGTCCATCACAAGTCCATCACGAGTCCATCACAAGTCCATCTCAAGTCCATCACGAGTCCATCACAAGTCCATCACAAGTCCATCTCAAGTCCATCACAAGTCCATCACAAGTCAATCACAAGTCCATCTCAAGTCAATCACGAGTCCATGACGAGTCCATCACCATTCAATCACAAGTCAATCACAAGTCAATCACAATTCACAAGTCAATCACGAGTCAATCACAATTCACGTGTCAATCACAAACTCAAGTCCATCACAAATCCATCACAAGTCCATCTCAAGTCCATCACAAGTCCATCACAATTCAATCACAAGTCAATCACAAGTCAATCACAAGTCCATCACAAGTTAATCACAACTAAATCACAAGTCAAAAACAAGTAACCTAGTCTCAAGCTGTTGGGTCAACAAAACATTCCTTTTTGGACTTAGGAGTTCTACATGTTCGGATATTAAGGGACCTTATTTTGTGATTTGTCTTGTGATTGACTTGTGGTTGACTTTATTACAAGTGTGCAAACATCCATCCTTTTGACCTTTCATAAGTCTCCTTGTTGCGACAAAACTGTTGATGAGCTGCCTTAGTCTCCTCGTCCAGCCTGGCTGTTTCCTCCTGTTGTGTTTTTGTACCCATCTCTTTCTCAATAGTGGCTGCTTCAAAGGCTAACAAATAACAGAATATTAAACATAATTATTTTCTCTAACTTCTTAAACTTACCCATTTCTGAAATTGGTGTCTTTCAAATTTCAGCAACTAATTTTTGATGTGTATTTTCTGTCAGATTTGAGACACAAATCTGTGGGAATAGTGTTGCGTGAGTTGGAAATTTGAGATGCTGAATATGTAGTTTTAATTCCACAAAGCACATTTTACCAAAGTACATTTTTGCCAAAGCACTTTTTGCTAGTCTCTAAGCCTCATTTGTTTTCTTTTTCTTGACTTAAGTTTAACAAACCTGCTGTCTGTTGCTGTTCCTTTTGTATCTCATGCTGTTGTTGTTTATTCTCAATTTCTGTAACACATTGGGGAAAAAAATGGTGAAGGGCAAAGTAAAAAAGCTGTTTCTTTATTCAAACAGGGCACTAACTTCAACTTTGTTGGTGTCTCTAATGTTGTTATAATAATAAACCAAAAGTCAGCAATAAGGCCGAATAAAAAAATAAAAACCTGTTTAGTGTCACCACCCGCTTCCTTTTGGAGGCCGCCTCCTTTTTCCCTTTTTTTAATTGAAAAAAAAAAATTGATAAATTTCAAACAGTGACATCCTTTTGGCCTCTTTGTCTGTTGCATCTAGCTCATATAAAGCTGGTATGTTATTTCGTGAGTCCAAGTGGGGGCCATTTTTAAAAAAAGAGCTAGCGGCCATCTTGAAAAAAGGCAGGACGCTAAGCATGTTTGTTTTTATATGGTAAAAACTCTAAAGCAAAAAGGCATGGCCATGACAATGCATGTGTTCACAGATTTGTTTCTGACTTTGGGGAGAAACTTACCTAAGCTCTGAAGAATTTTGTCCAAATCAGCCAGACCAGAATCCACGAGGGCCATGCTTCCTGACGCCATGGTAAAGCAGGGTGTAATTATCAAGGTCTAGTCTATAGGCGCCGGGCAGGCCAAACGTAGTTTACGCAAGGCCTTAGGCCTAAGTAAAGTTTAAAAAACTACGATATAAACATGGATAACCAAACGAGCCTGACTGCTGTGTAGAGTGACGAATTCCTTCGCCTGAATTCGTGATGATGTCATCGAATTTCCTGTCTGGAAAACGCATAAATCGAAACTATAAACTTCTATCTTCATAAACGTGTCGTCGCATTCGTCTAAACCCTGTCCCTTGTTGCATAAATTTCCGATCAAATGTTGAGGAACTGGAACAATAATGTGACACAGTTTCACTTTTTCTAGGCCGGTCGTGAGCGCGCTCAACGACTGTTTTATTTATAAAATTCATGCTCCGCTCTTTAATGACGCCGCGTACAAAATATATACGGGAAGTGAGCGCAAAATTGTCCGATACGTGCGCATCCCGTCCAAAAGACGGAAGCGTACATGAAATAGTTATCTAGACAATGGTACCTTTATTTTTTGGCGCGAAAAGTTTTACTCAAAAATGTGTCAAAATATAGTCTGGTTCCCTTTCATCTATATAGGATTGATTGCGCTAAAGTATATATTACCACAAGCACCAGACCATGCACGGCCCAAACTTTTCCAAGTTCATGAAGTGACGTCGGATCGGACGCCTCCGTGAAATTTCGTTTAGGCCTACAGCATGTACAGGTTTGGCCTTCATTCTGCAGTAAAAAGAATCCTCTTAGTCTAACATGTTTGAATTTTGAAAGATTTCGCTTTGTATTTTTTGTCGGTCCATGTAGTTGTTGGACTTGGACTTAAAAAGACGAGGCCGTTTGTACAAAAAAGTAAAGTTTGCTCTGTAACACTAACAGTAACAGTCACTGTCATGACTTGAGTGAACACGGCACGGTCACGGACAGGCCAGGTGGTGAGAATTTTGATGTTGCAAGATTCATGAAATGGAGGCCGAAAATAAAACGGAAGGAGACAAGAACGAGCCCACACGGCAGAATGATGACAGCGAACTGGAAACGATTGTAGGCATGGAGGCCCTAGTTAATGTTGATGAGGAGATAAAAGAAAGCGAATGTGTCGAACGTGTCGTCGATGTCGAACGGGTAAGCTTGTGACTGTGTCAGCATGATCTTTAATGTTTCGTTTAATACATCATGTACATGGACTGTGGTTAGTATCAATCATTGTCATTTAGGCCGCCCAAGGCCTAGGCTAGGGGCTAACGGTTAGCACCATTAGGCCTAGTGGCTGGCTAGCTGGCTGGGCCATCGGAAGTCTTACTTTACTTTAACATTTTCGGGGGGAGGCACAATATTTATGGCATAGGCCTCTGGCCTAGGCCCACAAATACCAACAAAGACCTGAATGAAGAAATGCATCAAGATTTGCAGTATTTTTGACTGTCAATTTGTAAACTTGGAACTTATCGAAAATTTGTTGTTTATTTCGTAGGCCTATTGCAGTATCGGTACGGCAGCCGTAAACGCAATTTTCAACCATGTCAACTGCTATCGTTACGGCATTGCATCAATTGTGAATCGATATCACATTTACAAAAAGTAGCCTACCCATCCGACCAAAACGCCTTTGGTACATGTACAAAATGATGTTCAATTCAATTCAATTCAATTTATTTCCACTCTGTGGAGGCAGCATCCTAAAAAGCCGAAGCTAATTCAGTGGTGGATGTGCCCAACAATACAAGACAAACAACACTTAGGCCCCTATTATAGAATTTGAAATAATAAATGTTAAATATATAACGGTTAAACAAAGTAGACATGACAATAAACAACACATCAATAGCGGCTAAGCCAACTTAAAAATTGAATCAGGTATTCTGAGAATTTTCTTAACGCATTGTTTTAATCAAACTGTACTTTATATTTAAGACGACCTAGATTTCATTTTCTTCTTTGGAATCAGTGGCTTTGGAGGATTTTTTAAAAAAGGGAAATAATTAATAAAATCTGAGAACCATTCGGTTGATAGTCTGGTTCCGGCAGCCAAAAATCCTGACATTGAATAGAGGCCTACTTCTATTTTACTACTAACTATACTAGTAACGATAGCAGTTAAAAATCACGATACAGCTGCCGTACCGATAGCCACTGCATTTTATAAAAAGTATTGAAACTGATTTTGCCTTGACTTTTATTGGCTAAAATTTAAGTAGGGCCTAATTATAGGGTCATGTAAGGAGCTAAAAATATACTTTATCCCCAGCGACATGTAGGCTACATCATTATATTAGGCCAAAAAAAAAAAAAACATGTTTAGCATCCTGCCTTTTTGAATAAATGGAAGTGGGAGGCCCTTTTTTTTCCTTCCCAATATGGCCGCCCGACCCAGCTATTTCTCAAGATGGCCGCCAGTTTATTTTAAATGGCCGCCATTGGACTCGGGGAAATAGCATACCAGCTTTATATGGGCTAGATGCAACAGACAAAGAGGCCAAAATGATGTCACTGTTTAAAATTTATCTTTTTTTCGGTTTTTGAAAGAAAAAAAGAGAAAAAAAAGGAGGCGGCGTCCAAAAAGGAGGCGGACGGGGATGCTAAACATGTTTTTTTAAATTTTTCCTTATTGATGGGTAAATGAATTATTGATGAAACAAACTTAATTGTTGGGTTGTGTTTTGTATGGTGTGTATCACTAGAATATCCCATCAGCAAATTCTGTGTCCGATGAGGAGTACAATGAACTGTGTGATGCAGTCCTGCAAAGGAGAAAAAAGACACTTGCTGACAGACCTGGTGAGAGTCTCTATGAAAATGTTATAAAGGTTTCCTCAAAGTTAAACAGTTTAACAAATAAAGTGAGCAGTATAGACTTTTTCAAGTGTGCTTGATCAATTGACAAGTACATGCTAATACGTGGTGTTGAAAAAATTGAACCAAAATGTTTTTTGCTCACTGGCATTTTTCTTGTAAAGTACACACATACTGGAATTTGTATCCTTGAGGAGTCATTTCTTTGTTCTTGGGTACTAAAATTTTACAGTTTGTAAGTGTAGTTTTAAAAGGCTCCTGTTTTTAATAACCTTAAAATTTTGGGCTGAAATGGACCGATCCAGTAAGCACCGCCCCATGGTATTCTGACCAATCACAGCCGTGATTTATGTCCGACACGCGTGCACAAAAGTCCGACATGCGTGCACGCGCGTATGATGCGCGCGGCAGCCAAATGCAGTGTGGCATTGGAGAGGAGCATGTGTTAATTTGCCCACGTGCGCAGTGGGAGGGGCTTACTGGATCGGTCCATTGTCACGATCAACACAACTTGGAAATTCCTAGTTTTTGAGTAAAATCCATATATCTATTTCGTGATAACCTTTTGGAGACGTATTCACCCATTGAAATTGCCCTGAGGAGACATATTCCGTCTTTTGTTCCCTATTAATGCATATGTGTCCACAGGATACCATGTACCGGATCAAGTAATCGTCATAATTCTATTAACATTTATACCCAGCCCTTGTTATTTATAAACTTGCATGTACTGTTGTGAAAAATGGTGGTTGTTACTTCGTGTTGATTGACAGGGTGTGGTCCTGATGAAGATCTGGAGGATCCACAGAGCGAGGAGGAAGAACTTCAAGACGTTGACCAGCAACAACAACAAACAGATAACATGTGAGCCATCTCAAACCCTGGGCCCAATTTTACTGAACTTTCAAGCACAAGAATTTGCCAAACATATTTCCTTTCAAAAACAGATCATCAGCCAAATTGTTTATGTGATATTGCTTGTGTCTGGTTTTCAACTGACATTTTCTTGGCACATACATTTGCTGAACAACATCATTTTGCATAGTAGCTCAATTAAATTGGACGCTGATTTTACAGGCATGGGTTTATATGGTAGGCATCTGCCACCTATTACTTTTTGGTTCAAGTTGATCAAAACTTGAGGACTTATTAGGCCAAAAAAAATAATAGTTCTGCTTCCGGTTTCCCTACCTACCCTATTCTGACAGCCCGTACCATTATTTTTTTATTGGAAAAATGAGAAGAAAACACCCAAAACCATCAATTTCTACCTTTTGCCCTTGACTACATGCAGACGCCTCCATATGATCGTACACAAAAAAATTGGCCAAAATTTTTTTTTCTATTTTCAAATGCCATGTAATCGGAAGCAGAAAACAGAGTGACGAAAAATTTTGAAACTCTACTAATGCATAGAGCAACTCTTCCTAAACATACCCAAGAAATTTCATGACTATAGGTCACAGGGTTTTGGAATTATGGCTTATTAATTATTCATATGTACGAATGGCAATTCTGCTCTGTGTACACGAAGTATATGCGAAAATTCAGTTTTCACGGCGCATAGCGCTGGAAAATTTTTCGCTACGCAGCAACCCGTTGTCCGATTTTTATGTTTTTGGTATCAAAAGATGCGCAAAGCTCGAGGCTAAAAAGTCTTAACAGAGGCTATCACAGAAAATGTTGAGGGGGGGGGGGGGCGCCCCCCCAGGCCCCTTTAGGGTTAAGTAATCCTCTAAAATTAAAGATGCTTGTTCAAATAATAAGTCACCCGCCAAAAAAAACAAAAATTAAGAATTGTATGAGGAGATAAATACAGTTGGTGGCAATAACTGCTCAGTCACCAGCAAAATTCTTTAATTAAATTCCTTCTGCTCCATGTTGAGTGCGTTCGATTACTTCCCCCGTGCTTACTCGTGCAAGTGCGGCAGCGTTCGATTTACCTCTCACGTGACTTCCCGCGCTTACTCGAGCCTGGCCCAAGTAACCGACTCGCCAAGCCGGTTACTTGGGTAAGTATCCCATAAGGCCATGCAATAAACATGGCTGCCAACGTGACGTCCGGCGGGCGCCTCAGGCTGTGTCCAAAACGGGCTTTCAGAGCTACGGCTACGTCTATTGTCAGCGCATCCCCGCGTATTTTCAGTATTCAGTATTTTCGGACCTAGACTAACTAGCTCTAGACAGTTGATTCGGATGCAGCCTGAGTGTCATGTCAAAGTTCAACTCTAGCTCCTGCACGAAACTTTACCCGAAACCGTTCATTTATTTAGCTCCACTGTGCATGTCTGTCATCACGCGAGGAGCCAGGCGTGAGTAAGCTGGGGGAAGTAATCGAACGCACTCATTGTATTTCAAGTGATTCTGTTATTCATGAGCATCACTATAATGGTTGCTTGTTGATTTCCTCCTTAAAGACACAGCGATCTAGTCACCCCGGAGCTGAGCGCCGAGGAAAAGGAATCCCTGCCCATGCCTCCAAAACTCTCTCACAAGAGGTCGCACAAGAAGAAGACTCCTCAGGCTGATCGACGCAAGAGAAGTGGGAGAAAACTGGAGTACCAGAGCTCTACACAATCTGGTATGAAACTTAAGATATCTGGAGACAAATTTCAGTGTTTTGTATAATGGTAACGCTGTTTAATCACCGTCGCTGCAAATAAAAGGGAAAAGAATTGTAATTCTTCTTCATTACTTGTAATATCTCAAGTACGTAATGGGTGTGTATATGTGGGTCTACTGACAGTTGTTCGAATACGTGTCAGTAATACCTCAAATTTAAAGTTATGGGCTCCGTGCACAAGTACCCCTTCAACGGCCAGAAAAGGAGAGTTGGGGGAGACTTAGACCGGTTCCCGATTCATCCACTGCGTATTTCGAAAGATCCAAAGTTATGGGGGCAGGGATTAGTCTAGGAGACCATCGCAAGATAAATTCGAACGCATTCGCGCACTGACGATGATGACGGTCACGCGAAGATGCTGTGGCTAATATCTTTGGCACATTCAGGAAGTTGTGCATTCTTCACGCGCGAGCAGTATAGTACAGTACACACACGCTGTGTGTCCCGTGCACGGGGCTCAAAAGTGGTAAAAAGGCACCCTCTTTTGTTGACGCCCAGCGCCCATAGGCCTACTTTATGAATGTTGGAAATGATATGTGTTTCATTAAAATGTCTACTTACTGTTTAACTGTGGCAGACAGAAATTCAATAATTAAAAGTGGCCGGCAAAAATGTCATTGACCTCAAATATGCAATCATTTTATTAAAATGGCAGGAATGTTTTGATGTCTTCAAATGTATAATTTACTGTTTTGCAGGCATAATTTTCTTTTGGCAGGCATAATGTCAAAGCTTCTAGCTAAGTCTTCTTCCAAACCATTCCCTCCAAAATTGGTTTCCTTCCCCTGAAAAAAAAACAATCTTAGGCCAAAAAAAAAATAGTCTGTCTCCAGTCCTGATTTGAAAATCACAGGCGTGTGGGAAAACGCACACCTGGATTTTTCTAGGCGTGTGGTTTTTCTAGGTGTGTGATCTGTGGTCCAAGGAAATTCAGGCATGCAATTATTCACACTTCTCGGGAAGCTTTTAGGCATGCGATGGCGTGGGGGTGCGATCGCACGCCTCAAATCAGAAGGACTGGGTCTGTGGTCAGACCAAAGCTCCGAAATTGATGAGGCAGCACATTATTTTTTGTTTCCCCCATTTTTTTTCCAATCTTGGATTGTACAGCCAAGGTGGGCTCTATTTTTGTTTTTTGTGTCCTCATATACATTGGTGTCCTCCATCATTTGCCTTGGTGTCCTCCATCATTTGCCTTTGTGCACTTTCCCAATTCCTTGGTGCTCCTTCGTACAAAAATTTGAGGTGGCGCGGCAATAGAGATATCGCTGTTGTAGCTACCGCGAAAAATTTGAAGAAAAAAAGACGTGCATGATCAAAATCGACGCGCGCGCTGACCAGAGACCAACTGGTTTTTTTTGGCCTTAACATCCCAACTTGTTTTGTCTAGAATAACATTTCCTCACATATAATTGTTTATTTCTTATTCCTTAACCCAAAACTCTCCAGTGCCCCTCCACAAAGCGATCAAGAGAAAACGCCTCCCAAAATCTGACCCCAAACCCAAGAAAAAAAGAAAGGGCAGCGATAAGAAGAAGAAGCTTCAAGAGCGAACGGTCCATGAAGACGGAACCTGGGTGCAGTGTATGCACAGTGAATGCTTGAAGTGGCGCTATCTGAGTGATGTCACAGATCCCGCACTGATACCTGAGCACTGGGTCTGCAAAATGAATACAGGTAAAAGTCTGTAGATACTTCTACATTGTGAAAGAAATTTGTTTTAGGAAACACAGATTGTGCAGTTCATTTACAGGGCTTCGGTCTAAGAATTCCATTATTTTTTCGTAACAAATTTTAAACTTGTACACAGCATTTTTTACTTGAAGACAAACTTTTTTCCCCTACTTTGGGCACATGTAACCCTTTGTAAAAAGGCCTTTATTTTGGATTGCTAATGCATCTCTTAAATGCAGCAAAAGATCAACCTTAATTAGTTTAGGACCACAAATAATTTGCAATTTGTAAAACAATCATTCCACAACTACAGAAGGCAGATATTTTGATTCAAAATTTGAAGGTTTGCATGGTGAAGTATTAGCAATAAGAGAAAGTTTGTGGTTTTACCATGTACATGTAGTAAGAAATCCACCTTTTGTGAGTTCATGAGGTTCTGAAAAGAACCAGGGGAACTCAATTGTCAGACAGTATGCTGAATCCGCCCATGGAGGATTCGTTGGGTGCCCGGCAGAAGGGCATATGAGCGTTCCAATGCAAAAAAAAAATCACTTTTCAAGAAAATTGCATTGAAAGGCTCCAATGTGTCCGCTACACGTATTATGAATCCAATGTTCTCCCACACATATTATAAATTGTAAACTTGTCACACATATGAATCATAATTTTGGGAACAACATATTAATTTCAGATGAAAGTATTAAAATTTCAGTGAAATAGAGGCAGTTTTCTGCATATGGCCTTTTGCTGAAAATGTTTTGGTGATTACGCGTTTGTGTGTAAGGGCGTAGGCGCCTACGACCTTCTGCCAGGCACACTACGGATTGTACCCTCACGACACATGTGGCCAGAGCCCATTTTCGTGGCTCTGTTTACCACAGAATTCCACGCTTATGATCATCATTTTGTGCTAGCAGACAAGCAACAAAAAAAAAATCTGTGCTAACCCTGTGTGAGCACAGAATCCTTAGTTACGTGATGTACACATGTGCAGATATAAGCCAAAATCCTTGCCAACTTGTGAAATATGCTAGCCGTAAGCGCGGAAGTTTTAGTAAGTAGGGATTTTCCACTAACGGTAGGCAGAACCATGAAATTGGGTCCTGGTAATTATGTGGTTTGTGGGGACCTCAATAAAAAAAACCAGTATGCTCCGCCCACCATTAGGAGACTCTTAACTACAACACAGCAAACCACGTGAACCAAATAATCCTTTTTTTAATTGTTATTTTTTTATCTTAAGATTCTGCTCACAATTCTTGTGAACACCCTGAGGAGGATTACCACTCGCTGGAGTTTGTCTTCACCAAGTTCACCGAGGGATCCATTGTCTGGGCCAAGATGCAGGGCTTCCCATGGTAAAATACACAGCTTCTGTCAGAAGTTGGCTCAAGATATTTTAACTTTGAATTTGACACGTGAAAATTAATCCAGGGACTGCTATTCACGTAAATGCAATAATGAATTCTTGCTCATGAAACTAAAATGTGTATTTTTCTGTAAACATGACAGGTGGCCGGCAATGGTAGAGGAAGACCCCGACACTGGTACATACCTGGAACAAGAGGACACCGACACCTACCCTGTAAGAATCTCAAAAGAAGGGTCTAAAAACAATTCCTAAAATACAGTAAAAGGATAACTTTTGCCCGTATTCACCATGAAATATCTCTTTTGTGAAGAAGTGTGGTTCTGAAAATAACTAGAGGTGAGAAATGTTCTTGATGTTTCAGACAGAGTGTCCCATCAACGGAAGAATATTGAGGACAGAGGACACTGTCCTATAACTGTCGAGAACAATTCTCACGGTCTGTTATTTTCAGAACCACACTTCTTCAGAGGAGAGGTATTCCAGGGTGTATCCGCAAAAAACTATTCTACTATGTATTGCCATGCAGAGCTTCAAAGCACATTCATTTCTAAATTGTTAAAGTCCTTTCAGTGTGAACACTAGATTTGGGAAAGGATCTGTCTGTTTCAAACAACTTGTTCCCTGGCCTTTTTCAGAGTAAAACATCTTCCGACAGATTGAACATGCACCTTGTTTTCCAGTTTGTTTCAAGTGAGAATAGGGTGTTTTTTTCAATTGGAGTACTGTGATAAAAATACCTTTTAATTATCACGGTCCATAAAATGCGGGAAGAGTAAACAACCGTTTCAAAGTTAAAATTGAGGAGTCCTCTTTCCAAATGAAATGTGGTCAAGTTGTCAAGTAATAATTTTACAATTTTGTTTTTCTTTGTACGTGAAAAAGTCAGAACAACTTTTGACACAATGAGATAAATATTTCTGTTCATTTATAAGTACTTATTTTGGTTTGTTAATATTTCTTTCCTTGTTTTTATTTAGACTCACTACCATGTCGTGTTTCTGGACAAGAATGTCTCCAGGACTTGGCTGAAGAGCACATTCATCAGGAAGTATGATCCCGGCAAAGACGAGCAAGTAAGATTTATCAAATCCTTACCAGGATGACTGTCTTAGGAGGATTAATTCATTTGGGGGAACTGGGGTGAATTGTGAGGGTTGATCATGAAGTTAATGATGTACTTGAGACTTTCTGTGAGACCTCACACGAGGTCTCACTATTGTATAAACAATGTTTATGCAATAGAACATCAGATTTCATTTAAGTCCAACTTAATAAGCTGAGACATAATACTTTTACTGTCATTATACAAAACAATTACGACGTTATAATGTTAAAGTAGGATTTGAAATTATCTTTTTATTGGAGCAAAGGATCTATTTCTTCAAAGAGCTTGAGAAGGTCTTTGTGAGATGTTTAATAAAAAAAATGCCGTATTACCTGACAATGAATGTTGACTCAAATATCGAACATCCATAGGTGTAGTACTAGTTATTTAACTTGCAGTGCATTGTACTTGACAAACTCTGAGGGAGGGGATAGGTATTAACTTTGCATACAAAGAGTCAAAATAGCACCTGGAAAAGGTACCTGCTGGAGATGACAAGCCAATTGGCTAAATGTTCAGTGCGCATTGTCTGCAGTCCAACCATTTAAGAGAACTAATTCTGATCTGCAGTGAAGACACGAATTTCAAAATGGAACGTACATTTTGGTTTAATTGAGCCTCACAGATATTTGTGCAGTGATACCTGATTTTCCAGCCCACATGCTTTGACAATATGGAGGTTCTGAGATAACACTTCCCAGTCGAAACTTCCCCACTAAGAAACCCAATCCAACCCAACCCAACCCACACAAGTGTGTATTTGCCTGCAATCGGGAACCCCCTATTGTCCCTCTTTTGTTTGTACTAACTTTTTAGGAAGACCTCCCATATGTTTTGTACACGAATCCAAATAGGGGACCTCTCGGGAATTGGGACCCTTTTGTCCTCTATTGTTCAGCGTCCCCTACTGAATGCAGAAACAAACTCATGCCAACTTGACCCAAAACAACCCATCCCAACCCAACTCATCCAACCCCCCCCAAAAAAAAACCAACCCAACCCAAAACAGTCCAACCCCAAAACAACGCAACCCAACCCCCAAACAACACAACCCTACCCAACCAAACCCAACCACCCGGCCAACTCAACCCAAAACAAACCCATAAAATCCAAACAAAACTTACAGACATTTTTCTTTGAGTGAGAATGATTTTACATTAACCATGACTTTAACAGACACATGCAAAGGGCCGAGACTACAAACAGCAGGTTAGTCAAGCTGTAGCCAGAGCTAACAAGGCACTGTCCATGAACGTACAGGTACGTAAAACAAAGTCTATTGTTTAAACATCAATTTTTAAAGATAATTTTTAAAAATGCATTTTATGCAGTGGCTCAGGGTTCTAGCCAGGATATAATTATAGAATAGGAGCATTGTCCAAGATGGGGCATGCGAGAGCGAAGCGTGAAGCCTTTGTGGCGTGGGGTCTGGGGCCCGCTCAAGGGCCCCAGGAAAATTTTGTTTTACCCTGGCCACTGTGCATGTTAGGCAACAGCTGCATGATAAAGCCTGCACGCATGTCTGACATTAATCATGTCGGGAACATCATTGGGGGCTTAATAGATCAGTCTATTGCAATTTCTTTCATTACTTGTATTTCTTGCTTAGTTTGTTTGTATTCTATCATCTTTAAAACTCGGAATCCAAAAAATATTACATTGACAAACTAGGGATAGGCATGAGATTTTTCAGACTTGTCTGAAATCAGACTTTTTTAATCTGAGAGAAAGACGTATTCACTATAGGAAAAACTAGATCTTTCAGACCTTTCATCCAATTTTCCGATTTTTTTTTTCTTTTAAATTGACAATCACATCCCTGTAGAAAACCACCATATACGTCCAGACAGGTTTAAGTGAGTTCAGAGTAATAATTCACATATTTATGATGGTTGTATGATACCAAATTTTGTTACTTACTGTTTGCCTTGTTTTGGGGATCACAAAGGGTAAATTTTTTTAAATCTCAATTTCTACAGGAGCGAATAAAGACATTTGGCTTCAGTCACACCTTTAAAGGAAAGATAGTGGATAACTCACAGGAGTCTTCAATTGGTGAGCACCTTTATGGAGTCATTTCATTTATTTGTTGGTCAGTGGGGAAAAACCCTTTAAAACCCTTGAACCTTAAATTTTGTTAAGAAGAATTTAAACCAGGGTTTGATAAGCCATTTTTTAGTCATATAAAAATCAGATTCCCTTTAAATTACGTTTCTTACTCTTGGAGAGGTGTTTTTATACAGTAACAAAATGTTTTGGTTCATTTTGTTGTTGTAATCACCCATAACGGTTTGGGTCAAAAGTCAAGATGTCTTTTTAAAATTCCAGCAAATACTTACTCAAACCATGCAAATAACAAACCTTAAAGTCCACAAATTTGATTTGAAGAAAACAGCTGAGAAAGCTATAATCTTAGAGAAACCATGAACTTTAATATACCTCAAAGACTGAGAAACAATAATTTAACCGATTTTTCTCAACAGCAGTCTTTCTTAAAACATTTTCTGTGTCTTTGATCTTGTCACAGTTGAGGTTGTAGATGTCGCTTCAGATTCAGACCATGAGTCAGATGATGTGGATGTAGAGTTTGATCTTGAGATACTTGGGCTGGACGTAGACGAGATACTTGAGGAGGCAGAGGCCTTACTGAGTGAGGCAGGGGAGACCATCCAGTCACTTCAAGACACACCTCTTGATGAAGGTAGAATATCATCTGTAACCCAGTACAAAATGCCTTCAGGGAAGTATTGAATTCCCCACAACTGTGTGAAAAGAGAAATTTGTTTGAAAACTCAGTTGGAAGAAATCTTATTGCCTCAAAAACTTCCTGTTAATTTTCAGTATAGACCAATCCGGTGACGCTATCAATTCTATCATGAAGGCGCCTTCAATGGCGAAAGCATTGTGCTAGCTATTGTAGATAAATCCATCATGTAGAAGTTGGTTTCTACAATGGACCGATCCAGTAAGCACCGCCCCATGGTGTTCTGACTAATCACAGCCGTGATTTATGTCCGACGTGTGTGCACTCAAGTCCGACATGCGTGCACGCGCGTATGATGCGCGCGGAAGGAAAATGCAGCGTGGCATTGGAGAGGAGCACGTGTTAATTTGCCCACGTGCGCACTGGGCGGAGCTTACTGGATCGGTCCATTGCATGCACAATGGTTTTTCCATTGAAGGGGGCCTTGTGAGTGTACAGTGATCACGTGCGCGGATTCGTCAATATACTTTGCTCAGTCAACCGTGTCCTAGTAGTTTTAGTTATTTCTCTGTCAGGGAAGATACTTCCTCCTCTGCTAATGCAAATGAAAGATATGAAAGATGTTTACCATTAGGAAAGATGTTTATCATTTGGTTATTTTGTTTTCTTACTTTACTTTCTGCAGAGGCCCCAAAGGAAACTAAAAAGAGAAGGAAGTCAAAGAAGATTACGGATGGAGAGGCACGGGAGGGTAATATTGATAAGGAATGTAAGACAAAGAGGCAGTACAAAAAGAAGTCTCTCAAAGATATTAGTGACCAAAAGAAAAAGAAGCATAAATCCCATCATCATCATTCAAAGAAAAATAGTAAGGAGAAAGAAGCAGGCATCACTGCAGGGTCAAATGACGATACTGCAAAGCACATGGATGAAGAATGTCGCAAGAGTGTTGGAGATATTCAAGCTTCTGAATCAGAAATACGATCCAAGATAATAAATGATGAGGTGAAAGAAGATGGCTCAACAAAGAAGTCAAAGAAGCAACATGTCAAGAAGAGCTGTTTACTCAACAAAAAAGCAGCAGGAAGTACAGGGGAAGATGATGCAATGAATCAGTGTAAAAACTCTGATCCTGATGCGAGAACAAAACAAAAAAAACCCAGAAAGCCAAGAGTAAAGAAATCACATGTTGAGGTTGAACCGAAAACAAATATAGCACCTGCTGTAGTGCTAAAGGCAGAAGAGTCTCCCCAGACTAGTACTTCAGTGGTTGAATCTGAGAAACAAGAATCAAAGAAAACTGCTGGAGATGTCAGACCAAAGGTGAAGAAAGTCAGAAGGCCACGGGTTGAATCCAAAGAGAATAATGAGCAAAAACCTGCTGTGGTGCCGAAGGAGACAGCCTCAGTAAAAGAATCTGAGAATCCACAACAACCTGACAAAAGTGATGGAGCTGCTGTCCCAAAAGAGAAGAAAGAAAAGAAAGTCCGAAAGCCAAGGGTTAAGAAATCAGATGGTGAAGTTGAACCCAAAGTCAAGAAGCCCAGAGCAAAGAAATTTTCAGCAAAGATGAACACAGGGAATTTGAATAAGACTGATACCCCAACAGCAGAATCCGAGAAAATCCAAGATGTTAGAGAAAGTGACACAAATTCAAAACCAAGAGTCAAGAAGCCAAGAGCTAAGAAATCCTCTGCTGCAAAACCTTCAGCAGATCCTGTGAAGACTTGTACCGCAGAAGACATGTCTGACAGGTTAAATATCGAAGCTCATGGCTCTCCAAACACTCGGGATGATGATTCAAAAACCAAAACCAAAAAGAAGAGTAAGACAACCGAGGCTGGCCCAAAGATGAAGCCAGCTTTCAAAACACCATCCAAGAAGTTAGAGGATGTGGTAAAGAAGCCAAAGAAGTCATCCTTTGCAGTTCCGTTGGTGAGAAAAGATGAACAGTTGTCTAAAAAGTTTCATCAGAAGGAAACCACAAAAGACAAACTTTCCAATAACATGGAAAATCATGCCTTGATGTCAGTTGAAGGGAGAATTGACAAAGACTTGAAAAAAGAGCCTCCTAAATCAGATACCACCACCACTAAAACTGGTCCAGAAGATGCTGGTGTGTCCAAACAAAGAGCCAAAAAGTTTAGCATCAAGAAGAAAGCTAACCTCCCTCTTTCCGAGTCAACTTCCTCAGCAGAAATTTCCGTGACTGATGCAAGTCCATGCATAAACCAAAATCCAACTCCCCCAGCAGAGCCGACTAGGGATGCTGATTGTACGTTTAACCAACAACCACAGAAGCTGGAGAAGAATCCGCCTAAGAAAGGTACTGCAAAGAAATTCAGCATCAAACACAAGACCGCAGTCTCAAAGGCTTCTTCAGTTGCACATCCCCATTCAGAACCACCAGAGCTTATGAACAAGGTCAGTCCAGACACCAGTAGGAATGAAAATCCAGGCAATGAAGTAAAAACATTAGGTATAAATGAGCCAACAGGGGTAACCAAAAAACCATCACCAAAGAAGTTGAACGTCAAGCGTAAACCATCATCTGAATTTGGAGAAGCGACCAACCTGAAGTCTGGAATTGATGCCAAGGACAGCATATCTCCATCTCCCAAGAAAATGAAAGCTGAACGACAGGAGCAACATTATGTTGATGATGAGGAGTTCCTCCTCAATCTAGATGAGGATCTCCTCGATGATGACACTGTCTTGGTCGTAGAAGATAGGCAAAGGGATCGGGTGGATGTGGGGGAGGATAGTGATGACTTCAGCATGGAGGATCTAGAGGACTGGCCTAAGGATCAAGACACAGTTGATGAGCCTTCTCAGGGAGATCCCAACAAACTCCTTAACCAGACATCAGGAAGTGACACAAACCCACAGTCGTTTGAAATAGTTGAGGAATAAATAAATACCCTTGCCAACATGACTTATATGGCCTTGACTTACTTTTTCTTGTTATCGAAAGTTAATTTGTTGGATTTTTTGATATTGTGTTTCGCCTTCAGTTGTGTGTTAAGTAAATATAAGTATATATCCCATATCAAAAGTGCATTTTGTATATAAATTACCATTTTTGGTAATTTGTATGGGATTTGGGATAGTAGGGGCTCCATCATTATAGCTTATAAGGACTTTTAGGAGGCTCAGGGTGACCCAAGTCTCAATGGAGATGGTATTTAAACCATTTAGGCGATCCAAAAAGTGGAATGCTATACCTAGCTTATTTAATTGGATGACATAGTATTTGATCATCATCCCATCCAAATACTGTGGTTGTAGGTCTAAAATCACAATGTCTTGAGATGATACAATTAAACGGAAATGTACACGCCATTGCAGCAATTAAAAGACCAACCTACCCCGCGATTATTTTACATCCATGTGCTAGATTTCACCTCTATTGTTAATTAGTTCTTGTTGCTTGACGTGCATCAGTTGTGTTAGAAAGTTGATGAAGATACCTTTCCAAAAGTATCGAATGAATTCAAGTTGGCAGAAACTCAGGATAACTTGCTGAAATTGCATATTGGGAATTTAATTTTCCATTTTGACAGTAATAGCAATTCATTCACTTATGAAAGTTTAATACAACCTTTATCTTTGATATTTATGATATCTATAAATAAGCATATTTAAATTTGTTCATTGGTGCTGTTCAGTGTGTGTTAGAGAAAAACATTATTAATTGCAGAGACCTACCTGTTGTAAACAAAAGTTTTTATTTATTGCAAGAAATAAAACAATGTTCAAGAATTAGAAAGAAAAATCCAATAGACTGTTTCAAATTACTTCATTATTCGGAACAACCCAACAAATACATCTCATATCCAACTACATGTAGTTTTCTGTGGCAAAACACAACATTCCGAGGCTTCTAAAATAAAAAAAAAAGGAACTGATTTTGTGTAAACAAAACGTCAGTATGTCATATCATCCTACATGCATCTTTCAGTTGTATGAGTGTTGGTGTTACCCACTGTATATCAGGGTTTTGTGCCACTTTGCTTGAAAACTATAAAATAAATGTCATCTTGGCATGATCAAGTGTTTTGTTGGCCCGCTAAAAGTGAAACCGCACACAAATGCCCTGGAACCGATGACTGAGGAAACGATATAGCGCCCTCTATTTCTACCTTTCGGGGCTTTCCAAACGCATTTCCTTCAGGAAAATGCAGTCTGGTTAATACCAATTACTTTTGCCTTCCTTTCTCTACACACTGTTCACAAGCCGACATCCTTGCCACCTAAACCCCTTCCTGACGGCCTGATCTATATTTGAGAATTAACCTTTTGGGTTTTCACATCGGACAGAAATAGCTTCTGCAGGCACACTTAATTGCCGCTCAACTCTCACGGTTGACACGGCATACGATCCCGAGTGGGTCAGATGGGATGAATTTTTTTCCGGTGGGGTTGAGACGATTGGCAGAATTCCAACATTGCAATTAAAAAAAAGCTTCCCATTCTATCCATTTCCATACCATCAAATTGGGAACACTCGGTTATTTTCGTGCTCAACTTCGGTCCCTGAAAATTTGACGGCCCCGAGGCGCCAAGTGCCTTCTCATTTCGTTCCTTAAATCGCGATATTCGGTCTTCCATCTAAGTTGACTCGACTGGCGCTGGCAAAGGCGAAAGTTTACAAACTTTTTGCGAAGGAGTAATCTAGGCCCGTTGTTACGCAGAATGATGTCATTCCAAGCACATGAATACTGCCTGATGTCTTCTGGAACACCACTCCTTAACAGTGTTTTGGCCTCGTTGTTGGCAAACCTATAAAGCTGGTCCCAGTGTGCACAGAATTCTAATCAATGATTCCAATCGCTATGTAGTCTTTCATGCATTCTGGTCTACACAATGGGCGGAGTTTAGCCCATTCATCGGCATAACGGGGTAATCCTATACGATTGCACTGCCCGGCCCACAAGTGACAGTCGTTCAAACAGAGGACACTATATATGTTGGTCCTATGGGCCGAGTAAAAGTCTGCTCCAGTCGTAGACAGCGATCAGACGAAAACTTGTGTAATCAGCTCGCTTGTAGGCCTATGTCTACCTTCTCTGTCGGCCATGTTGCCATCATATTTCCTTGCTTTGCCCTTGAATCCAAACAATGTGTCTGGTTGAAACTTACAGTCCGGTTCCGGAAGCAACCTATGTTTGTTTTTGGATGCCAGCAGATGGCCGTCACATGACAACGGCAGTTGAGCAAGGGTGTCGGACATCCGACACGTCTGGTTCTACTTCCCAGATCTGACTATAAAACGGTGAATCTGAACAAAAGTACACGTAGACCTACTTTGCTTTCTCGGATACATTAGTTAGTTCAATTTTTATTGGGTCATACAGGTTTTTTTAGACCTTGGATAGCTCCGTGGATAGTCGAACATCCCACCCCTTATGTAAAAAAAAAAGCACCAGCATGGGTGGTACATTATTGCAACATTAAACTTGACTCCCCAGTTACATTACGTTAATTGCTGTGTTTTGTGGGGGAGCCCCGACCTTGCGAAAACAACAATTTCACAATCTGTCCTTAACGAGGAAGGTCTGTCAATTTCCTTTCTGCTTCCTGCAATTCGTGACTTGTTACATCCTTTTTTGCTTGGCCTTTTGTGGTTCATTACCAACTCGTCATCAGATAAGGTTAATAAAGGGAAAATCCAACTGGACCTTTAAATTGGAAATACGGAAGCCAATACCATGCACTCAGATTCCGTTTTTCGTGAATGAATCATGTTTTGATAGTTTTGCTGTGCTTGACATTAAGGTCTTGTACCCTATCATGACGTGGGGTTAACCACATGTAGCCAGCAGGGCCAGGTCCACGGGATATGATCAGGCCTCCGCAGTGGTACAGCATGGCCCCAGCTCCAGCTCCGTGAAACCACAACATCCCACTTCCTAGCATTTGTTGTCCTTTCCGTCCGGCCAATAATGTATCATACCTTGCCGCCACGATAACTGAAAAGAAAAGAGAGTAAAGGTGTTTCGCTTGCTCCGAGTACTCCCTTAGCTAGTTATAGAATTTATGGAATTAATTTTGTTGGCATTTATTGCAAAAGAAGAAAATCTGGTCGGGTGAGGTGCTCTACAACCTCTCAGCAAACGTCAAAACCACAAAATATCAAGACGTGACGGGGCAACGTTTAAATGATTGATTGAATAAATAAATAATCATAACACCTTGATCTGTAAAGACTGTATCATCGCATTTCTCTTTTTGTGTGCTGTGTTCCGACGGTTCGAACTGTGTGCGATGTTCATCTTGACATCTTCATCAGAACATGGAACTGTTTAATAGCTCCACGATCTGAACCATGAAGTACTGTGCAAGAAAATGTGCCGAAGTTGGGCGCATATAGCATTCATTCGAACTTTCGATCGAAGGCCCATCGTCGTACGTGGATCTGCCAAAATAGCACTTCCAATCCAAAAAGGGATGAGGCAGTAAGAGGCACTAGGAGGGCATGTGTTCCCTTTCCCAACTGAAACTTCATCCCGGTGCGCCACTTCATGTACCTTTCCGAAAGGTCGCTATACACGAAGAAAAAAAGACGGTGCCCCTCGCAAATTGGATCTAGTTACCGTTTTAGGACAACCGGACGTATTTTAAAATGTTAAAATCATCAGGTTCACCAGAGGGTGAAATCCTAAAATAACGTCCCTCATTTTTATAGAGTTTTCCAATTTAGATTCCTCGCTCGGGCCCTTCACCTGAAACCAAATTGGGGATAAAACAACTCCAAGTGAGTTTGATAGATTGCAAACTACCTCTCGCGGGGATGAGAGCGTATCCGACAGCGGGAGGTTTAGTCCTGCCATAGCAAAGGTCACCGGAAACTCACCCGAGAGAACGTATAAGGTCAAAGGTCGAATACATTATGAGGGTGATGTGACATTAATCAGGTGTGGTGTCATAAAGTGCCCCTTAATGAAAAAGGAAAAAGCTTCAGGCATCAAATCTAATACTAGTTATAATATAAATATTCCTAATATTTGTATTCATGAGTCTGCATTTCTCGTAAGAATGTCTTTCATTAGTAAGGTATAACAAGTGAGTTGGAAAACATACATGGGAATTTTAAATGATGTTGGACATGCATTAGAAAGACAAACAAATATCAAAAGTGAGATAAGTATTTAGTATTGTCCATTCGTACTCCTATCAGAAGGGAAACTTTCTAAATTGTTATTAGGAATCCTCGACCTCTAGTCTGTGATTGCTTTTGAATGAGTAAGAAAAAATGATATATTCCGAGCAAGGAATTTATAATCGACAAACACTTCTTTTCTTATTGAAAATCTATAACGAGTTTGGTAGAAATCGTTGTTACCCCATTATACGATGACTTTTAAAATTCAGGTCGGTTGCCTCCGGGCTAAAAAGGCCAAATTAAATACAGGAAATAACTTCCATATTTTGATGATCATATCGAGTTTTTAAGCGTCTGTTTTGTATTTGTTATGCCCCGTTTCCTGATTGAACTGCGCCTGTATTATGAACTTGTCATAACCTACTTTTTAATATCCAAAATGATTTATACTGCGCTTACCTATTCACAACAGGGCTATAAAACTAGGATTGAAAGGGAAATTGAACTAGACTTTGAATCAAACAGCAAAATCCATTGAAAAGACCCGACCCGACCTAAACTTAATCTCTCCCAGATCGACGAATTTTACTGCCGTATTTATACTCATGCACCCGCTGTACTTTCAACGCTAAACTTTTGACCTATAGCTGAATGAAATCCAACACGGTAGCCACGCCTCATCTTTGTGATGATTGGGTGCGAGGTAATCACGGTGCGCCGACTTGGGTCAGTAAACAAATAGCGATACGAGTCCATGATGACGGGTTCCGAGAAAGAACCAATGGAGAATGAGATACATATGCATGAACCACTTTGCAACAGGCACGTATATACTGTACACTTTGCTGTACACATACCGTACACGGCATACAGCGCCAGTGCTCGTGGGATCGCGATCGGGACAGCGCTATTCAAAATTACCATTCACATATTTCACTGGACTTCAGGGCGAGTAGACGCAACATTTGCGAGCTTGATTATTTTCCTACTGGAGCTTGAATGAAGCGTGGAAAACTTGCGAGAGGTTGGAATACTTGCCGGTAGTTCTTACTAGTTTGCCGAGCCATTATAGCCGATCACTGGCTACAACGAGTTTTTGAAATCTTCACGGATAAGTGGAAGGTACAATTTCAAGTGGATATTTGCTGGGGAAGTTTTCAGACACCACCGACCGTCGATCGGAATTAACCAGCTATTGGGGAAAACAGGAATATCGCTACTGTGGTGAAATAAGACTAGTAATAGTATTGGAACCAATACTTATTACAGGATTTAAGGACACACTGGAATCGATAGCCATCGTTTGTTACGTTACTGTTTGTGTAAAATAATCGTGAGCCGATTTGTGTAACGACGGTAACAAAAAGAGTAGGCTTTTCGAGTCTGCAGACCGGAGTGCAGCCATGGCAAGGAGTGCAGCATTCATCACCGTGCTGGTGATGGGATTACTAGCGGAGCTGAAGCTCGTGGGGACCCAGTATATTCCACCACAGGGAGGAGTGAATTATAATGACCAACAGCAACAACAGGGTTACTATCAGCAGCAGGGTAATCAGCAGCAGCAGTACGCGGGGTACGGAGGAGGGCCAGCCCCGGGATCCATGGATCCTATCCCGGTCCGGACATCGGGGATTCCAATGGCGTCGTCGGGCAATGAACTGGGAGCTGGAATGTAAGTTGATGAGCCCTATTTTCGGAAAGAATGTTCCATCCTGACGCCACTTTTTTTCGTCATAACTCATAATGTGATCTCAATGAAAGGCAGTCATTGCAAAAATGTCGAAAAGTCATGAATCCGGGACATGACAATTTTGATAGAAAATTCTTAGAAAATGCACGCGGCTCTCGTCTTCACAGCCACAGGTCTTATACACAACCAAAGAAGTGGCGTCTGGATATATTCTTCTCCCCTACCTAAAGAAAGATTTGGTCATGTTGGTGCATATATTGGCCTATGCCTATAGAAAAAGTTGGTAATTTGGTAAATTTCTTGAAACATTCAGATAAGGTTTTCCTACCTCCATGCTTTGGCAATGATTTTATCACGTCTTGGGAGCAAAACTGTTCTCTAAACTTAATTTACAAAGTCGCAATAAAATTTTAGTGAACATACAAAATATGTTAGCACATCATTTTGGACAACTACTGCTGAAAACGGGCATGTCGTACGTCATTGTCAAAACTTAATTGGAAACGTTTCACATGAAAGATTGTTTTCGCACGAAGAATTTTTCTGACCAATGTTATCGTGACCAATTACAATGAAAGTTTTTTTTTTTATACTAGTGTGGGCTACCATGCCTGAAAATATTTGACATTAAAACTGCCGATCCTTCAGTCCTTGGTAACTCGCCTGTGCGTCTCAAAACAGTGCCGGGTGTTGTTTGGAGGTATTCGCGGTGTGTTATTCTTTCCCTTCTTCGTTGCGTCTTTTGTGAAGAGGTCCTTTTGTGGCCGTGTTTAGGGCTTATCCGTAAGCCAAAGTGTCATTGAAATGAGAGGGTTTGATTGTTCGCTGTCACGCGAGGCGCAGATCCTTGGACACCAAAAATGGTTTGGTTCACTCCTCCGTTACAAAAAGGCGTGTTGATGATCAACCTGTGGTCACATCAATGGTTGTGCAATGCTGGATGTTGTGTCTGGATGGCACCAAAAAAGCGCGCGTTCACGGCCCGTAACACCAATACTCCTGTACAACAGACATGACTAGGGAATTGACCCGGGCAGTATCGATTGTCAATTATGGCATATTATATACCGAGAGATCATTGAACTCAACAGGAGAAGAGTGCTTTAATAGCTTTTCTTTTGTGCAAGGGAGCGGGCCAGACGTTTCGATCCAAGCACTATTACTTTTGATTAGCAGAATGTTTCTCAAAGGAATTTTATTTTGTGCAATTGAGAAAGCTTGTGCTAGGATCAAAACATCAGGACCTCAAAACTTAATATTCACGTCAGTCTTGTCAGAAAGGCGGTGGCAGATATAATTATGATTATATCAAGGCTTTTGTCTTGTGTTAACAATTTGTTGTATATGTTGATACCATGGGCGTCGCGAGGGGGGGGGGGGCAAAAGCCATATTGGTGCGAAGCCATATTGCTGTTTATTTGAGGGGGGGGGGAGGGGGGTAGGGCAAATGCTCCCCTGCTCACGCTCGGAAAAATGATAAATTGAGAATACATGTATAATGAAAAAGTTCATCCAAACATTGTGTATCAGTGCCATTCTTTGGTCACAATATGACATAAAATTGAGGTTGTCTGATTTTTGAAGCTCTACCCCATATTTTTTTTTTTTTTTAAAGTACATCTGACATATTACTTTCACTGATTCATCAGGTTAGTACTTTTAACTCCCTACCTCAGAGTAAAGTTTCTACTTTCACAAATTGTGTCAAAGTATTACGAGGGGTCATCAAAGTTTGGTCACGGGTGTGACATAAGACGTAAAAATGTCATCAGGCCCATATCGGAAATTCACACTTTCCTCCAAAGTTCTAAGGACACACATACTGATTTTTTGAGAAAGACTCATCTTTTGTGATTTATTTGCATAAACAATGTCCACCCTCTGCTTTAGTTTTACTAAATGGGAATTGTTCAGTGAGCATGTCGTCGCAGAGCTGACAAACCGACGAATAAGCGAAAACCTTGTTTGGAGTAATTCGCGTTTGAAGTTGGAAACTTCTCCGGGCGCCGTATTTTACCCTTAATGTTTCCATAAAAAAACTGTTAGTATATATTCTGAATAAAATATGAAACTAAGTATCGACCAGGTCACTTATTTAATCAGAGAAGTTGTGCGATATGGTTTTATTTGATCGTTAACGCATTCGTCAGTTTGTCAAATTACATTAATCGGCAATATCCGGTTGTTCTTCACACTGTTTGTATGCTATTCGTCAGTTTGTCGGATCGCGCGTGCACGCACGCGCAATCCGACAAACTGACGAATAACATTCGTTGGTACTTTGAACGCACACCTTACATAAGCTGGTTACCAGCGAAATGTGTGTAGCTATTCGTCAGTTTGTCGGATCGCGCGTGCATGCACGCGCAATCCGACAAACTGACGAATAACATTCGTTGGTACTTGGAACGCACACCTTACATAAGCTGGTTACCAGCGAAATTTCGTATTCGTCACTATGTCAAATTATGGATTTGTTTTTGTGAGTGATTCGCCACAAGGGGGGCTCTGAATCTCAAAATCCAGACAAATATTAAGAATTTTGGCATAAATACTTGAAAGAGCAACCTTCATAAGGCCTAAAAATAACAAAAAATCGAAATCGCCAAAATGGTCGATTCGCCGGTTTGTCAGCTCTGCGACGATGTATGTGACATTTTGATATTTAATTTATGCAAATGTATGCACAGATAGACCAACATATGAAATGTCTGAAGAAGTTAATATATTTACATACTAGCAACACTTACGTGAACAATAATAATTTGTATTACATCAAATGAAAGACTTCTTGATTTTTTCTCAAAATTAATTTAGCTTCAATTTCTGAAGAATTGCCCATGTTTTGAATTGACACTGTCAGATTTCGATTATTTCCTTTACATAGTATTATATGCAGTAATGGATGACTATGAGCACCATTGATATCAAAAGTTTCATGTAGAATTTGAGAATGAGTTTTTGTAATTATGCACCTTTTTTTTTTGCCATTTCAGGCCACACGTTTGTCCCTACCAAGAACCCTCGATGATAGGCCACCGACGGCCCTGCGTCAAAGCCTACACTAGGATGGTAAAAGTATGGAGGCCCAACTGTGGCTACTCTGGCCAGTGGTGCGTCGGATATGAACGCAGGTAATTATTTAAAAGAAATTTTAAAAATATATAAAATCAGACAAGTCATGCCTCTAGTAAAGCATGTACTTGACTAATTGACTGACAACCCCCCCCCCCCCCCGCCTCAACCTAGCCCTGCCCCCCTCCAAAAGATCTCTGTCTGTATGGCTGTGTTGCAGAAATCTATTCAGGCATGACACAACGGAGTATAGGTGCTCAAGGCGCTGGGAGTTATGTCTACTATTAGAGACAGGTGAATGAAATGCATGAGAGATATGAGACCAATAAACAATTATGTAGCCCTTTATAAAGGTTATCAAGGTTCTGTGGGGCATTAACTGCGTATTATTATTGTGGCAATGATACACTGCAAATGTGGTCTTGTCAGAAGTGACATAATTGAGAGAATTTATGGGGAGCTTAAGTCTGACACCAAATTGAACTGTTTCACGGATATCACCATCTTAGTGGTCAGATGGTTATCTCAGGGGGCATTTCAACTGAAAAAAAGAATGGAATCTAGCAAAACCTGATAAAAATGAAATTTAAGAAGGCTTGAAATGAATGTGTACATAAATATATACATTTATTGTTGCGTATCTCAAAAGATACGAAATGTTGCAAAAACAATGGTACGGAAAGGTACCGGTATGCTTTCACTTTCTAAAGGGAATGTCCCAAAATTTTTCACAGAAGTTAAAATAAATTTCCAAGAACTTTGGCTTTCCCATTGGTGAAGCAATGCTCACATAAAAGTGCTAACACTTCCCTAAATTGACTTGATGAAGTAAACAGATCACGAAAACTCTTGTCAAAATTCCTGTAACTTTAAAGGTGTATATTGTCCTTCAATAATTAAAAAAATTCTTGCAATGTACCACTATCAATGCCATTAAGCAGCCACTGCCAGAAACACTTTAGATTGGACTTTAAGCTAATAGCGACAAGTGTTATTGGGTTCTATAGCGTGCATTCTACAACACACGAGAAATCTACGGCTTTACGTCCCATCCGAAGAACGGAGCAATAGTGGTAAATTGCCTTGCTCAAGAGCACAAGCCCAATGTTCCCACGGTCAGGATTCGAACTCCTGTACCACAGCCCTCAAGTCGAACACCATGACCATTGGACCACAGCACCCCACAAGATGTTTTACCACTTTGCATTCAACTTCAAATGTGTATTATTACTGTGACACTGATACACTGCAAATGTGGTCTCGTCAGAAGTGACATAATTGAGAGAATTTATGGGGAGCTTAAGTCTGACACCAAATTGAACTCCCTGCGCGGATTTTTTTTGCACAACGTGTGATTGTTGCCGCCTCAGCCATACCACAAAGGAACACTTTTATAGGGATAAAACTTAACACATAGTAAGCTTGACACCAGGGAATTGGCAACAAAGTTTAGGAACATAGTGTTGAAGTAACCTTTTCACCAGATGAGTTTCAAAAGGCTGCAAGCCAGCTGTTCCCTCATATTTTCTGCCTTTCAAAGAAAGAATCGTTAACCCTAATGTACCTGAATGCATCAATCCACACCCTGTTTCGGGGGATTTCGGCGCATTCAGGATACCTCCATATTGCACAAACTGGGGGATTTTGATGGATTTAGGATTGTAAGCCTAGCGGAACTGCAGGATTTTGATAGATTCAGGATACCCCTATATCGAGCTGTTTGGGGACTTTGGCGGATTCAGGATCTCAACGGATTTACTTCCGCCTAAATGGTGGATTCTGATGGACTCACTGGCCACCAACATTTTTTTGCTCGGCAAAATTGATGGATTTTGGCGGATTCAGGATACTCTCTAGTAAAAGAGCCCAAGGGGTTAGAGTTAAAAGAATATAATTTAGAACAGGAAATTGCGTAAGTGACAGGCTCGATACTTTTGAAGATTGCTCACATTTTAAATTTGTTTATTGTGAAATTAATTTTACAGAACTGCATACTACACATCGTACCGTCTCGTTTATGAAAACTCTTACGTCACCCGCTACAAGTGCTGTCACGGCTGGTCGCGATTCAACGGCGAATCAGGCTGCATGTATCGTAAGTAACCTCTTTTTTTTGCGCTATTCGTTATTCTGTGTAGTTTCTCGGAGATCATGAAAATCGATAAGAAGCCAGCTTTAACCATCGACAGGAATCGCAGGATATGTGTACTAACTGATGAATTTATCTTCTGTGGGGACATTCTAGTTACATTTCCTTTTTTGGAAGGTAGTGAGCGAAACAGATGCAATATGTTACTCCCTGCCTACACGTGATTCATGCGCCAAGTGACCTTTTCGGATTTTTGCGGTCACCACCGCCTCGCGCTAATTTGTTAAGGAAAGCATTTACTTTGCTTGTTCAACTGCAATTAAGTGTAGTGTGAGATAACGGCCAAATGGGTAGGACACGATAAGGCAGATGGAGAACTCCTGTGCTCTTTAGCTCGAGAAATTGTAATTGCCTCCCTCCGGGCTATTAGATTCAACAACAGAGGGCGCTATGCAACCTCGCGAAGGAGCGTGCGAAGGACACTTCCCAGTTGTCATGCCTCCCTCCCCATGGGTATAATCGCAGCATGCATGGACTGTTTCACGGATATCACCATCTTAGTGGTCACATGGTAATCTCAGGGGGCATTTCAACTGGGAAAAAAAATTTACTCAAGACCAAGGCTGATGCATAGCTTCACAAAGTGGAAAAATAAAAAGAACGGAATCTAGCAAAACCTGATGAAATTTAACAAGGCTTAAATGAATGTGTACATAAATATACATTTATTGATACGTATCTCAAAATGTTGCAAAAACAATGGTACGGAAAGGTATGCTTTCACTTTCTAAAGGGAATGTCCCAAAATTTTCACGGAAGTTAAAATAAATTTCCAAGAACTTTGGCTTTCCCATTGGTGAAGCAATTCTCACATAAAAGTGCTAACACTTCCCTAAATTGGCTTGATGATGTAAACAGATCACGAAAACTCTTGTCAAAATTCCTGTAACTTTAAAGGTGTATATTGTCCTTCAATAATTAAACAAATTCTTGCAATGTACCACTATCAATGTGTCTAAGAAAATAAAAAATATTGTGATCAGGAACAGTGAAAAAATTAGGGAAAAGCTGAAAATACATGCCACACCAAAACTTGTAATCTTCTGACTGCGTACTTTCAAGGGGCGTTGTTAGTTTACAGACAAATTTCAAACTTTTGTTGAAGTTGGTGTCGGACAATGAAGAAATTGCCCCCAGCTCTCATATTCAAAAGCTTTCCTTTTCTTTATGGGACAATATTAAATTTAATAGTCGGGTCAATATTTTTTCTTTTTGTGTGTTTGTGGTTTTTTTTTGCTTTCAGGGTTTTTAGGATGATACATTAGCACCTCCTGCGGTGCCAGTGTCTCGTTAACTTGTTTTGATCGACAAACACTCTCTCTCAGAATGAGATGTTGTTTTTATAGTTTGTAAACAGTTTGTTGTCTTTGCTTATCCTTCAAAGAAGAAGACCTCCGGAAAGTTACTGGAAATTGCAACCACATGCACAGATTAGTCTTGTCAAATTCAACTTGCTCGGATTGCGTCAGATCAACGTAAATAGGTTTATGTATGCACCCGTCAGTTGTTTTTTTTGGTCCTATTTTTTTTTCCTGATGGAAGAATACATGATGATTCATCAACCCCAGGGCTTTTCGGAAAATTAAGATGTTTACGCCGTGCACAAGGCTTTGAACATTTGCCGACGCCAATTTTATTATTGTTGTCATGTGCCTACTCGATTTAAAATTGCAACTTGCCGAATCCAGCAACATAACGGACGTGTGCGCAAGTACACACCCACGCAATGACGGCAATGACCAAAAGAGTGGCGACATTAAAGGGAATATACAACATTTGCAAACATCAAAAAAAAAAACTACCAAGTTTTTGCGAAATACCTTAATAGGATGTTGGTAAATGACAGCCTGAAGCATCCTGTAAAATTATGGCACCTGGTATACTGTCATTTTCAAGAAAAGTGGTATTTTTGTATCAATTTCCAACGCTGATCGGCCGATCAGCGTTGGAAACAACTGGCTTTTTTTCAAATACTGGCCCCAATTGACCATTGCACTTGTTTGCAATCGATTACAAACCTATGAACGGGTACGAGCCAGCTAGACTGGTTCCCTGACCTTACAATTCCCCAATGTATGTAAACTGCTCTGTTTCTTCTTATATGGAGTCAGGGAACCAGACTACAGGAAAATGATCGTTTTTCTTGGTTTTTATAGCATTTTCGAACCCAAAACCTCCAAAAAGTCAGTGCAACTATATTTGCTTTATATTTCCAACCCCCCAATTCCATCCATTTCTGAAAATTACAGCAAAAGCAAATGATGTATATTCCCTTTAAGAGGACAATTGAGTGCCTTTGCCACTGGGCAAAAGTGGGCATGCCATTGCCATACACGTAGGTTTGTAAAAGTTTTGTTGCAAATTGGCTCAACAGTCCATTCATTCTCAGAAATTGTTGCAAAGAAATCTTATTGATTTTAAAAGATTATTGATTGAAACACTCCCGGATTCTTCAAATTCTACCAAAAGCTTTGGATGATTGAGGCCTATGGAGCCAGTTGCTCTGATTTAAAATGGCAGTAAACCAGTTTGATATATGAGACACAGGTCATTCGGATAATCGCACGCTCACGAAGGCGTATGAATGCGCAGGGAGACGGGCACATGACACTCCTGTGTTAATAACGAGCAGAATGGGCGTGTGCGTAACATTGCGTAACATCACATCAGCGATTTTATCCGGAATAACCTTTGACATGGATTACTTCATCGAGATATCTAACTTGCTTTAATTTAAAGGCGCCTTGAAGGTTCAAAGCACAAACACAAGGTCTCGACAACTATGGTCCATCTGGACCTGCTTCAATTGAACACAGGTTAAAACAAGGCTTATCGTTCACACTTACACCAACTCTTGTTTTACTATACTCTCGAGGACAATGCTTTGTGTTTACCTTTGTCCCTGTTATATAACACACTCCCATAGACTAAGCACACAAACGTACTACAGAGGACCTTTTCTAACAAAAAATCCCAACTCACGAGGACTGAAAGGATCTGTTGTTCTCTCTTTGTGTGTCGGTCCTCGGGGGTTATGTACAACACATACACCAATACACGTATTTAGACGGGCTGGCTGCAGATTTGGAATTTTCTACCTGGGTAGAGCCTCTTGACCTTGGTCCTGACCAGAGTCAAAATTTTACCTCTGAAGTGTGCTAGACCTAGGAGCTGTGTTACTTCAATTTAGTGTGAAAGGGGTTCTGAAATCTTGGGTGAAAGGGCCTATCGGTCTGCTTTCCAGCACGTTGGTGGATTTTGGATGGATTCAGAAAGGTTCCCGACAAAAATGTCAAGAGAGTTCAAATGAACTTGTTAAATATGTTTAGGTTTATCAAAAGGGCAAAGTTTCGTTGATATTGACAGGTTCTTTTGCAAAGTGCCGGAGGAATTCAGGTCACCAAGTACCCATCAATGAAGTGCCTACGTGACAATTTGAATTTTCGTTTGTAGGTCTCGACCTCACCGGTTCCACTCACCTGTCGGTAACCCGACCCTCTCACTCATAAATTGTGACAGAATGCGTTATCAACTTAAGTGTCTCCTTTGGAACACATTATTGCATGCACTTGTATCTAGAATGTTTGCCCTTTTTTCGTGTCATCGAATGTTTCTAAACAGACGTGAGGAATGTGGGCCAAAGACACATTGTCTAGATACTGAGTCACTCAAGTTTGTGATAAACTAACGTTGCATTGCCTAACAACTAGATGTAGGTTTAAAGTCCACTTCAATCGCATTTGGCAGGTTCTACCCCTTATCTTTTTGTAGACTGCATTATTTTTCCTTTGTTGTACTTGTTCTATCAAATGTCGTATTGAAAGTTTGTCTATTACACATTGAAGAAATCGATATTATACATTTTGAAGGAAAAAATGGCCATTTCTTAAGATGTGTCAAGTGACGCATTTTCGAAATTTACTTTTTTGGTTTGTAATTCGGCGAATCCGTGAATGGGTGCACGCAAGCATTGATGGCTGCTATTATTCGTCGCTTCAGTGCAGGGTTGCCAACTTGAGTAAGAGCAGAGAGTGAGAATTTGGCGATGGAATTTTATCAAAGCGTAGAGCTTATGCGAGTGCGAACCGGCTAACGGTGTGGGATTCAGGGCCCGCCTTAGGGCCCTAAAAAAAATTGGATTCTAGATGCCCTGTGGTGTGATCTGAAGCAATTTATGACCACCTTAACCAATTTTTTTGAGCAAAAGATCATCATGTAAACATCATTTTCTAGATTTTTTTTTTTGGCATGAGAAATCCGTGTGGGCGTGAGAGTGTGAGAATAACTTTAAATGTGTGAGTCTCGCGCTCAATGCGTGAGAGTTGGCAGGCCTGTTCAGTGCGTGACAATCGCAAGCTGCAATCAGCTGAATGTGAAGTGTCCCGGATGCTGATTTCGGGTGCAATTCAAAACAGTAAAGTATTTTGGGGCGCAGCGAGAGTCCTCAAAGTAAAAAAAAGTTCTGCTAGCAGAACATGGACACTTAAAAAAAAAAAAAAAATTGGTGGCGCGACTTCCAAAACAATTCTGCTAGAAAGAAAATAGGAAAATTAAGTTGTCCACTTTTGGGGTTAACCAACCCCGAACCCAATACCCAACCCCCTTTCCAAAAAAAGTGAAATAACTACACATTTAAATGCATTAATGCAATAAAATGGAATTAAAAAAACCACCAGATAGGTGTGCCTGTTCGTGTTTATAGCCAGTTCAATCAAGCTTTCAATTCCTGTCTGCATGAACGCTTCCACGATTCCATTTATCGAGGCATGTTTGTCCCCTCCCTACACCGCTTTAGAAACTAGCCATTCGAGACTCCTCGCCCAGTTTACAAGACCCGGGCCAGGTTTGTCAATATTCCATTACAATTGCATGTACATCACCGTGCATGCCTCAAATCGCGGCAAAACGCACTCGCATAACAGATTTGATACCTGAGGTACCATTGTACACTGTA